AAATCAAAATTAAAAAAAAATATATAAAAATGTTTCTAAAATTATTCTAGGATAATCTAGATATAAATATAGATATATTAGAATATAATTAATATAACCATAAAATTATATTAAAGGAAAGAGAATATCCAAAATTATATCAAGTTTATAGATTAAGTTAGAACAAATCCAAAACCTTATATATTATACTTCAAGATAAGGAAATAAAAGGGTTTATATAAAAATCAAAATTATTAATAGGATATTTAATTTTTTTAATATTTAAAAAGAATAAAGATGGAATATTTAAATTAAATAAGAAAGGAGAAATAATATAGAGGAATGTTTATGATTATTGATAATTAAATGAGATTATGGTTAAAGATGGATATCCTTTATTATATATTAAAAGTTTAAAAGAAAAAATAGATAATAATAAATGGTTTATATTATTAAATCTGAAATTTATTTTCAACTTTATATAAATTATTAAAAAAGATAAGTAGAAGATAGTTATTAGAATATTATATAGTTATTTCAAATATTTGGTGATATTATTTAGATTTATAAATACATTAGCCACCTTTTAATAAATAATCTAGGATATTCTATAATAATTCTTTGGAAAGAATATTTTTATATATTTAGATGATATTTTAATCTATTTAAAAATTAGAAAATAATATAAAAAAGATATATATAAAATATTTAAGGCCCTAAGAGAAGCTAAGTTTTTTATGGATTTAGATAAAAATAACTTTTTTATTTAAAAATTTGATTATTTTGGATATATAATTTTTCTAAAAAAAATTAAAATTTAGAAATCTAAAATATCTATAATAAGGAAATAATTAACTTTAGAAACCATTATGGAAATATAAATCTTCTATAATTTTTATAATTATAATAAAGTTTTAATTAAGGATTTTAAGAAAATTATAGAACTAATAATAATTATAATATATATCAAAAATCTAAAAGATTTTAAATGGATATAAAAGGTAGAAAAAGTATTCTAAAAAATGAAAAAGATTATAATAAAAGATCTAGTAATAAGGTTACCTAATTTAAATAAAAGAAAATAATTATATATTAATATTTTAAATGGAATAATAAGGGTAATATTAGAGTAATTAAAAGATAATAGAAATTAATATTTAATCATTTATTTTTTTAAAATCTTTAAAAGATTAGAAATAAAATATAAAATATATAATTAAGAATTTATAATTATTTATTAAATATTAAAAGAATGGAAATCATAGGTATTAAGAATTATTGAACCTTTAGAGATCTATTTAGATCATTATAATCTTAAGTTTCTTATAATTATTAAGGTTTTTAATAGTAGATAATCATAATAGATAAATAATCTTACATATTTTAATTTTAAAATCCATTATATTAAGGGAAAAGAAAATATTTAGGTAAATATTTTTAATAGATTAAAGGATCTTAATATTAAAAAAATTAAAGAAAAAAGGATAATATTCTAGGAAATATTTAATAATATCCTAATATTATTAATAATATATTTAATTAAATTATAATATAAATAAGAATAAAAGATCAAGGAAAAAACCTTATAAATTAAAGATATTTTATTAATATAAGATTTTATTATTAAGGATATAATATTATATAATAGGAAAATTTATATATTATTAATATTATAAGAAGAATTTATATAAGAGGTATATGAATATTCTTTATATGGATATTTGGGAATCTTTAAGATAATTATATAATTATAGGAGATATATGATTTTTTAGGAATTAAGGGAATAATTAGAAAGATTATCTTAAATTATAATATCTATAATAAGGTTAAGAAAGCCAAACATAAATCATATAGATTTTTATAATTTATTGAAATTCTAGATAAACCATGGGATATTATTATATAGGATTTTATTATTAAATTATCCAAATTATAATATCTAGTAATCAAAAAAAAATATAATAACATATAGGTTATCATTAATAAACTTATAAAATATAGGTATTTTATGTTATTTAAAGAAACTTATATAGTTAAAGATTTGGTTTTCAAATTTATTAAAAAAGTTTTTAATAGATATGGATTATTAAAGAAAATTATTTTAGATAAAGATAAATTCTTTACTTTAAAATTTTGGATTAACCTAATAAAAAGGCTAAGGGTTAAACAGAAACTTTTTATAATAACTTATTTTTAAATTAATAACCAAATAAAGTAATTAAATTAAATATTAGAGTAATACCTATAAAATTATATTAATTATGAACAAAATAACTAGGTAGAATTCCTATTATTTACTATATCCTTATATAATATTTTAATAAATAATATCATTAAGATATTATTATAAGAAATATTATATGGATAATAAATAAATATAGAATATAAACCATTAATAAATAAAATTACCCTAGAATTAAAAACAATACTACTTAGAATAAAAATATTTGTTATTAAAACCTTAATATTATAAATTAAATTTAGACAACATCTTAAATTTCTATAATATAAAATAATAATATATTATAATAAAAAAAGAATTAAAAAACCAATTTTATAAAGGGGAGATAAGGTTTATTTCTTATAAGATAAATAATACTTTATATTAAAAATATCTTAGATTTAAATTAAAAAACCAAATAAAAAACTAGATTTTAGGAAGCTAAGATCTTTTTTAATTAAAGAAATCTTTTTAAAAATAAATTATTAATTATAATTATTAATAAATATAAAATTAAGAATTAATATATTTTATATTATTATATTTGAACTAGTACCTAAAGATACTAAAATTAAAGGAAATGTTAAATTAGAAGAAGATCTAGAAGAATATAATATTAAAGCTATTTATAATTCTAGAATTATTAATGATTAAATTAAGTATTTTATTAAATAATTTAATTATTCTAAAGAAAATAATATCTGAGAATTATAAAAATATCTTATAAATAATAGGATTTAGAAATTAATTAAAGATTTCTATTATCAGAACCTTAATCAACCAAGGTTAGAAAGGCCTTAATCAATAATAATATTAGGTTAAGACCAAGATTTACCTCAAATTAGTTAAAGGTAGGAAAAATCTCAGAAGTTTTGATAAAGGGAATAGTAATTGTTTATTAAATTACCTCTATATATTTAATATTTTCTAATTCCTCAATATTAATAAACTTCTTCTGAATCATCTTTATACCCTTTTTATTTAATAAATAATATATTTTTTGGAAATGCTGTAGATAAGATAATGATTCTTAAAGATAAAGTTCTTTAGCTTCTTCTTCTAATTCTAAATGACATTTTTCTTTCCTAATCTAAATTATGGAGTTTATAGGAATCTTTTTTCTATTATATAGGATGTTGATAATCTGATATTTATAATATCTATGGATATTGGAAATGCTTTTATAGATTAAATCTTTATTAAAATAATAAAAATATAATATTATTTTAAAACTAGTCTTCTTAATTTTAAGGATTAGGTATTTATGGTAATCAATAAAGGAAAATTTGGGAGAACTATTATGTTTTTTTTTATTAATAGATGACATCTTGATAAAGTAATAAAGGGAAGAATTTATCAGAGAACTTTTAGGATAAAAGGTTTAGGAAGGAAAGGAATAATATTATAATCTAATAACTTATAATTGCATCTTTTTAATTGGATAAGGTATTAGGTATCTAATCATGGAGAAATTATGGTAAGCCAGTCTATTCTATTAGCTAACAAAATATAATGCTTTATTTTATTCTAGAATAGAATAGAGTAAAAGAGATGTTATTCTATTTTATTCCAAAGTAAAAAAGAGTAAAGAAAGTATTACTTTGCCTTATTTTAGAATAGAAAAGAGCAAAACAGGATGGAAAGAAGGATATTAAATTATATAATCATAAGTATTTCTTTTATATCTAATTATTTTTTTTATAATTCTTTAATTATTAATTTAAGATTATTTTTTTAAATATAATAAGAAGATTTTAAGCTTCTTTAATAAATAGAATATACTTAATTACTTAACTTATTATTGATATTGTTATTTTTAAATTAAGAAAACCCTGGATTAGCCAATCCAGCAATAATTATACCTCTCTGAGGCATAGGTTCATCACAAATAAATATAAATATTTTAAATAATAATAAATTAAGTTATTATAAATTATTTAGATTTTTATTTTAAAATTCCTTTTTATTTAATTCTTTTTTGTTTTTTAAGTTAAGGTTTATTAATTTATTTTACATCTAATTTTAATATTTTTTAAATAATAATTTTTAAAAAATATAAAACTTTTTTATTTTATTTTTAAAAATTAATAAAATAAGAAAAGATTTAATTAATAATAATAATAAAATATTTTTTAATTTAATATTAATATTAATTTAAAAAATTATTAATATATAATAAATTTATATGTTAAAAAGATATAATTATTATTAAATTAATTAATTTAAGGTATCTTAATTTAAAAATCATAATATTAACAATAGGTTAAATAATTAAATAAATTTTATTTATTAAAGAAACTTAAAATTCTTTTATTATATTTAAAAAAATAATTTTAAATTAATAATTAAAAAATTATAAAAAAATCATTAAATATGTAAAAGATTTTAATAATTTATATAAATTTTTTTTCTTTTATATTAAATATATTAGATATATTTTTTATTTTAAATATATTATTAATTAATATATTTAAATATTTAAGGTTATATTATTATTAATTATTTTAAATTTTATTCGTCTTTTAAAAGCAGGCATAAGTTCCTAGGTTATGATAATTATTTTCTTTACTTTATTTTTACCTTATTTTTTTTAAAAATGAATAATATCCCGAAAGGTTATACCCTTATGAAAAGGTTTAATATATATTATAAAATTATCTTTTTAAAAATAAAATATATTTAATTATTTAATTTATTATTAATATTATTATTTTTAAATTAATTAATTTAATAATTATTATATTTATTTAAAATATAAATACTATAATATTTATTTATCATTTAAATTAAATATAAACCTTTTATAAACATAATTTAATTTAAAACCATATATTTTTCATATCTTTATTAGGTTTACGCTAGTTCGCGATTTGTTCTTTCCGCGTATCTTTCTTCCAGGACCATGTTGTTCTTGATTGTCAACTCCGACCTACGTCGCCACGCCACCAGTTGTGCTGATGATGTACCCACCAATGGGGATATCCGACGTCGGCATTCTTGAGCTCCTCGATTCTGATCCTCGCCCGTCCTTTGTCGTTTCTCTCGCCTCGACCCAAATTCCTCCGTCCATATATGCGAACCCCGCCCTCCGGCAAGACGTCGTCCTATGTAACCGAATCGTTGACCTATTGCAGTCGAGCCATGGTCCCGTATGGGATTGGATCAATGGTTTATGCGTACCTGGTCCTTCGACCTCGATCGATACCTCCGTCTTTGAGAACACTTGTTGGACAAGGTCCGTAGTACGGAATGAGTGGGTTATCATTAGCAGCAACCGGCAGTTACTCTCCGGAGACTCCCTACGCGCACCATCCTCTCATCGTCGGGTCAATAGTAATACCTTTCTGCATGAGCCTGTCGCGTCTAGAACTTCGACCGATGGCGATCACCATTGGTTACCCCCCGACTTCATGCCCGATCAGGGGTCTTTTGTCCATGTAATCAATAATGTCGATTGGGCGGCCACACCTCTTGGCCAATTACATCATTGGCCAGCCCTTCTCCAACAAACCTTCAACCAGGTTCTCGCTGACTCGAGACCCATTGTTATATATTGGGGCGAGCAGTTGACAACTCTTTACAACGAAGCCTTCAGTAAGCTGTGTGGTTCGAAGCACCCTGCTCTATTAGGGAAATCAGTGGAAAATGCCTGGCCCGATTTCTGTGAGAAGATTAAATTGGCGATGTCAACTGCCAACTCGAAGCACCGCGCGAGTGATGAGGAGGAATGGCGTTTCTTCGTTGAAAAGGCTGATGGGAGCCCTGAAGAGAAGTATCTAAAGTGGTCCATGATCCCCATAACAGAGAGGAACAGGTGCCTTGGCTTTATCCAACCCATCCAGGATACTACTTCCATGCGCCTTTGGGAGAGGCGCACCAAGATGCTCATCGATCTAGGTGACATGTTAGTGACCGCGCGTGATGTCAGGTCGTATTGGGCTTTGCTTATTCAAGAACTTGACGCGTGTCAACCGACGTACGATATCCCACTCGCAATTCTATACTCGGTCGAGGAAGACCTTCAAACTTCGGCGGCCGGAAAAGCTTGTCGTCTTGAGGGTTGCTTGGGTGTCCCTGATGGCCACCTAATCGCTCCATCAGAGCTGAGACTCCACGGGAATGACCAAGGTTTGTCCTCGTCCTTCAGGGAAGCGCTCGAGTCCCAAAATCCCCTGCTCCTCCAAATTAAAGATGGGACACTGCCCGAATCGCTGCTCGATGGTCTCGACTGGCGCGGCTTCAAGGATCCTTGTCGAGAAGCTGTTATCTGTCCCATACGCCCAACGAAGGATGAGAACGTACTAGGATTGCTATTGTTGGGCCTTAATCCACGTCGGCCTTATGATAACGACTACAGACAGTACATCTCCTTACTTGGACAGAAACTGACTACGACCTTGGCCTCAACCGTTCTTCTCGAAGAAGAAGCAAGAAGGGGCCGCAACATTGCTGAGCAGGCCGCTTATGATCAGGCGATGTTGAAAGAAAAACTCGCAATGCAGACAAGAGAAGCCACAGAATCCGTACAAAAGTTCCAGCAGATTGCTGAATTCATCCCAGTCGGCATGTGTTTTGGTAATCATCGCGGAAATGTCACATTTGCAAACGATGCCTGGCACCGCATTACGGGCGCCCCCCATACACAGGATACAATTGACAACCTTAATAAGGTAAACCCTCTTACCTCGGAGGGATTTCTATCCTGCGTCATCGAAGAGGATAAGCCGAATGTACGGCGTGCCTACGAGGAGCTCGAGAGGGTGCTTACTGTTACTATTGAGTTCCGGGTTCGACGGCCACCGGAGGATACCTATCACCTTCAGTATCCAATTGGGAGTTCTCCTAGTTTCGAGAAAGCTGGGCTAGACTTAGATGCGGATGATGGAGGTGTGCGACACGTGTTGGCCTCCCTGAAGGCTGAGCGGGGACCAGATGGTGGCATCAACCAAGTTCTGGCATGCTTAACGGACGTGACTCTGCATAAAAAGGCTGCCGAGGAGGCAATCCGGAAAGCCCAGCAAGCGGAGAACCTCAAACGGTACGTCGAGTAGCTTGTGGCCCTTATTTCCTTTCAGGAATCTAACGGGGATATTCATGGTGAGCCCGGTGAATCGGGCAAGAAACGCAGACTAACTTGAAGCATTGCAGGATGGCGGAGCTTGCGACGGTGGGTATGTACGATATGACTCTGGACGGCCGTTTACTCGGCGCCAACAACGTGTTCTACGAAATGTGTGGCTTAGAGAGGGCGGATCTCTCCCAGGTTGCGGTCAAGCCTTTCGAGTTCTGCGTTGTCGACGAGGATCTACCGGTTCTAAAGAAGACGTTGTCTACACTGGTCAAAGAAGGCAAATCCCAAACTGCGGAACTCCGACTGAAAACTCAGTGGACCGAAACGGATACTACCGGAGAGCAAATCGTTGCGCCCCGCTGGGTTCTTGCTACCTTCATGCCTGTAAATAATTCCGAAGGGACCATCCAGACCTTCACAGGTTGCCTCAGCGATGTCTCGCTACAAAAGTGGCAGTTCGAAAAGGAACGACAACGGAAAGATGAGGCTATCGAATCCAAGCGCCAGCAAGAAAATTTTATCGATATGACTTCTCACGAAATGCGAAATCCTCTAAGTGCTATTATCCAATGCGCCGATGCGGTTATTGGATGCCTCACTAAAGCGCAAGAATTGGTGGATGGGCAGTTCGCGGGACCTAGCAGCAACGGCCTTTCAAGTTCCCCAACTGCTGATACTGCGAGGACGTTCTACCAGGAAGCTGTCCAGCTTTGTAAAGACAGCATAGACAACGCGGAGACGATTATAGCATGTGCTCAGCACCAAAAGCGTATTGTTGACGACATCTTGACAATGTCTAAATTGGATTCTAGTCTCCTATCTATCACCCCGATTACGGTCAATCCTATTCATATCGCACAAGAGGCGTTTAAGATGTTCGAAGTGGAAGCTCGCAGAGTTGATATCGATCTAACCATGGTGGTCGATCGATCTTACACTGAACTGAATATCGAGTTCCTCGATTTGGATCCCTCGCGGCTGAAACAAGTCCTTATCAACCTCTTAACCAACGCCTTGAAGTTCACAAAGAATGGGCCTACAAGGAATGTGTCAATTACCATGAGCGCTTCGAAAACTCGCCCCGAAGATCATATTTCTCCTGTTCAGTTTATCCCACGATCTACTGACCTAGTGTGGCAAGGCGATAGACCATCTCTGCCGGTACCTGAAGAGAATAGGATCTACCTCATGTTTGAAGTAAAAGACACGGGCCAAGGCCTCACCGAGGAGGAAAAGTCATCTCTTTTCCAACGCTTTGTTCAAGCTAATTCCAAAACCCATGTGAAATACGGGGGATCGGGTCTCGGGCTGTTCATCAGCCGCAGGTTGACAGAAATGCAGAATGGCGCCATTGGAGTAGCGTCCAGCCCCGGCCAGGGCTCGACTTTTGCATTCTACATCGAGGCGGGGGTGCCGAGCGAGGAGGCGTTTCAGGAGGCTCGTGCGGCTGCCGAGGCCGTCGGCCATATCCTGAAAACACCGAGCAAGGCCAGCAGAGGCTCTTTTACCATGGTGAAGCCCACTAATAAGATACTCGGGCCGCATATTGAAGGGGTACTCCTAGTCGAAGATAATCTGATCAACCAGCAGATCACGCGCCGTGATCTGCTTACCAGTGGCTGCGCCGTCGAGGTAGCCAATCATGGATTGGAAGCACTAGAAAAGCTTCAGCATACCAATCGCGCCGGTGGGCAATTCCCACTCAGTTTAATTCTGATGGATATTGAGATGCCAGTACAGGATGGCCTCACTTGTACGCGCAAGATTAGGGAGTTGGAACAGTCTGGCCATTTCAAGGGGCCGCGAATACCAATTATCGCGGTCAGCGCTAACGCGCGCATGGAGCAGATCATGGAAGCCAAGTCTGCGGGCTGTGACGACGTACTAGTGAAGCCATTTAGGATTCCCGAGTTGATCGAGAAGATGATGACTGTCACAAAATTACTCGAGAGAGTTGGGTGACAGCAAACAAGACATAGTACGTTGATGTTGCTTCCATGTCCCTTTCCTCAAACATACCTCCCTTTCTTCGTTCTTCCCGGAGTTACGAATGTTTCTTCCTTCCCTTATACTGTTTTGTGTTGATTTGTTTGCATTTGCCATTGTACGGGTAGCGTTAGCATGATACCACAGGAGTAATAGCGATTTTTGAAAAGGGCATAGGTTCGGAGTTATTTTTAGAGCTACTTTGTCCAAGGGCATATAGTATTTGCGGCTACTAGTTATCCTGTACTATAGATAATTGCTGCTCATCGTATATTGTTCGATTTATTCCAAACAACCCTGATTTCCAGCCCGGAACTGTTGTGACGGCTCGTGGACAGTGCAGCGGTAGGCAATGGTGGCCCTGAGTGACGAGCTCTTCATTCCATAGTAGAGAATAATGTACACCAGGCGCCACATTAGCATGATTAAGTCGTTGTCCTCACACTTGTGAAATAACCCACGTCAAACCACCATAGAAGAGCTATTATATATATACCCAAGTAACGCAGCCACCACCCATCCATTATATGCTGTATATACGTGTGTACTGTGCAATATATTGACTCTTCGTGTGCATTTAACGTAGCTAGTCGTCGCGTTATGCAGGATAACACAATCATTCACATCAAATTTAACACTTTTACCACCCTTTCAAATTGTATCGACGTCGGAATCTAGGCAGGATTAAACGTAGAGAAGATAATTAGTAAAGTAGAGAAGCATAAAACCATTGCCCATGTATAGCTATAGGGCCCGACTTTGCCTTCCCAGATGTGAAGCTCATTCTTCACACTGCGCCGCGATACGGTGATGCAACATGGTTCCAATGGCATGACTAAAAGAAAAAGATTACATGAGCTCATTATCTGGAAACAGTTCAAGCTGCAACAGCCCAAACTACGCTGTCATAAGACAAGATCCGTACCCACACATTAAGAGTTTACATTATCATGGGTGGTTGACTAACCTTAGCTCCGTGTCGCTCTGCCCATCAATCCCCAGGACTTCCTTGGTCTGCTGGACAGTGGACATCGCGGGTGGGCGTCGCTGGTAGGTGAATGCGCTGGCGATGAGACCAGCAGCCGCGATGCCAATCATGACGTTGACATCATATGTGAATGCCGACGCATACCTGAGACGCCTAAAGGTTAGCCATGGCGGGGCATAAAGGACGATATTCGAGGAATATTTACTTACACCGATCTAACAAGGGATTTGATATCCTCTGGAAGCCAGGGAGCAATTGTAGGACTATGGTGCAGAGCTGCCAGGTCGGCAGGATCCATTTTGCTTCCCAGTTCGGTGGTCACCTTTCTGTTAAATATTATGCTGCAAACTGCTATCCCGATAGCACCACCGAATACCCGAGCTTGTGCGATTGTGCCTTGAGCCACAGCTAAGTCTTGGCTATACGATTGCACCGAAGCCATGATTGTCCCCGCACCAAGAGACAGTCCGAACCCGAGGCCGAGAAGTGCCTGGAACCCATATTGCGCTTTAGTCTCGGCAGTGGCCTCTCGAAGCATAGACATAAGGCCAATGCCTAGGAGTTGAAAGGCATGAGCTATCATCATTGTCCATGATGTGTTGTTTCGTTTGCGTGAGATAGCTCCGGCTGAGAAAGCCCCGAAAGAAGTTGCTCCTAACATTGGTAACAGGTGGATTCCTGCGTAAAGAGCGGTTTCGCCGTTGACTATTTGGAAGCGCTCGGGCAAAATGATTAAAATCGATAGGTAGACATATCCTGTGCAAAACGTACATCTATGATCCAAGAGTCAGCTCCATTTTCACGGACGAGGTCGCGGAGCCCGCTTACATCACACAGCTGGTATATACCCGTCGGAGGAAGAGTCTCAAAGGTAGGATCGGTTCTATGTGCGTGGCACGTTTAAACCCCAGATAGATCTCCCAGGTAAAGAATATTATCCAGCTTAAAGAGGCAATAGACAGTGATACGACAACGACAGGATTATCCCAGGCGTACGTGTACGCACCGGCCTCCTGGAGGGCAAATACCAACAATGTACATGCAGATATGACTGAAACATTCCCTACGAAATCAATCTTTCGAATCGAAGCCCAGCCTCTCTGGCGAGTCACAGTTTCAGGCGGCGATGCCAAGAGTATAGCAAGGACGACGATAAAACCAGCCGGGACACTGTCGCACATTTCAGTAAGAATTACAGTTTTCGAGGTTGATATATACTCACTTGATCCAAAATATTATGGGCCATTTGGTGGTAGACGAGATGACAGCACCTAGAATTGGCCCAAGGACATATGAAACGGCAAGTGTAACGCCAACTAGACCACCCATCAGGCTTGGCCTACTCTTGGGTCCTGCTTCGAAAAGTACGATTTGGCTTAAGCTATATAGACCAGCACCGCCCATGCCCTGGAACACTCGGCAGACAATTCTATCTTCGATGTCAACGAACATCCGGGGACATACGAGGCTTACGGTTAGGTCCCGGGGGGGGTTTAGAATCATGCCACGGCGAAATATAACTTACAACTGGGCCATGGTCGTGGCACAGGCGCATCCGATCGAAAAACCAACGAAGAGTACCCATGAGCAGCATACCATGTCGCGTCTGCCGTAGATATCGCTTAATTTGGCAAAACCTATAGCGAATCCAAAGTAGGCCAAAAGGTAAGCGAGAACGACCCATGGGGCATCGAGAAAATCTTGAAGGCTGATAGATATGGTAACGAGTGAAGTCGAGACGATGGACGCGTCAATAGCCGAGAAAAGAAGGCCAACTAGTTGGCTGCCAAATGTGTTAGCTTTTCTCATGAGGGACAAACCTGTCTTATGAGCAGTAACTTCTTACGTTGTGATTAATGTCGTCTGGCGCCAGCCGTGAACAGGATTTCGGTATGGCATTGTTATGATGGAGAGGGAACCGGTTTATAGTACCGAATCTGGACTGGGTAAATTGAGCTTTGGGCTAAGAGGGCGGATGATGGAATCTTGAAAATCTGGGTTTATGTTGTACCCTAAGGTAGAAAGGGGGGGGGGATAGTGTAGGAGTTGGAGATGGCACCTCTCTTGACACGGCTTTACCTCCCCTCTCCTTTTGTCGTGGTGTCGTTGCGTTGTATTTGAAGTACTTAGGTAGTAGAGGTAATAACGTACATACAATATGTATGCAGATGATAGGGTTGGCGTCGAAGATGGTAGGCGAAGCAGACGGACGGCGGATTCAAGGTTTTCTGCGAGGGGGGAAGGAAGGCGGAATGTGGAAAGCAGAGAGCATTTATCCAATTATTTCGTGGAGGGCGTAAGGGGCCCAGTAGCAAGTACTATGAACCTTTAGTAGTGAAAAGCTTATAATGTATGTATTTAAAATAGGTATAGAAGGCACACATGTACCTAGGTAGCTGTGAAAATACGTGACTACTTTACCTACATGTAGGTAGATAGCTTCATATAACTTCGGCCTCTCCATAGATCTCTAAAGGACATGCATGTGTCAATACGGTCCAATATATACCTACATACACATATGAGAGTGCATGCTGCACGCCTGATTTAAGCCAGCAGCTAGCCCCTCTCCACACGGGTAACGACTTGTCCTTTTTTACCCTTCATAATCCTCCACTTATATCAGCACGCTCGTCCATTTGCTACATCACTGTGTGACTTGGTGTCCCAAGGAGACTGAGATCGAGAGACAAGATACAACATCGGTAAGACTCAAGTAAGGTGTGACATTAATAAACCAATAGCATTGTCCCAGATCGGCACGACGACGCACTGTCGCATCGTTGGATGGAGCTCAACCGAACTAGCTTAACGTGTAGCTACTACATAGGCGAGTAGATACTTATGGGACTTCACAACTGTCAATATTACTATAGCTCAATGCCTTCTGGGGAAGATGGTGGATGACGAATAGTGGATAGCGGGTGATGGGTAATAAACTGGTATTGTGCAACTGTGGGACAGAAAAAAAGGGGGGGTACGGCTGCAACATATACCGTACCCCAGCATCTCCCCTTTAAAATTATAATGTTACCACTTATCTACTAAGAAACCCGGGGTATCCTCGGATGCTACCCGTCAGCTCCATGGCTATTAACCATCTTACCCATGGGTCCATGAATGAGACATTATAATCAGCGTCATAAACTCATCATCTCAAGTTTGCTTCTTGTGTCAGGTGTATTTCCTTCCACGTAGTACTTAGCATGTTTGACTCTACTATTTAGGACCATATACTAATACACTTCATCCTACATGCGTAGGAACGTGGGAGGCCCAGGTTATCTAACTGACTACCTAGTGTTGGCAGATGAGATTGTAGGGCTTCTTGTTGACCGAATGTACGAAAGGGGACAGAGTATCTTGCCTTGTGGTTATGGTTAATAAAAAGATATTGGGAAACGAAAAGATACAAACATCCCTCGGTGTGGACCGGTTATCTACCTAGGTACCTAGGTAGGTAGGTAGGTCGTCCATCTATTGACAATATATGTCAAGTCCCGCTTGTGCAACTGCTCCACATTTGTGCGTACCGGCGCGTCTAGCCACCAGAAACATTGAAACGGAGGTCCCACGGGAGGGGAAGGGGGTGCTATGGATATTCCTGTCCTGCTTGCGTTAACATTTCAATGATAAAGACAAGGATGGCTGCCTTTTCTGCTTGGACGGATGTACGAAGACCGAATAGTCTTGAAGGCGCTTAAAGAGGCTTACAAGAGTGTAGTATTATCCATAAAAACCGCTCTATCATGGAAACTTCTAGTAGCCTTTAGAGCATCTGAGTCTAGATAAATGCCCTTGTTCTCTCACGTACAGATAGGGAATATAACAACAGAAGTGCTATTTTCGGGGGGGGATTAATTAGAATCTACCTATCTGGGTAGGTATAGAGCCTGGGAATAAGAGGTATACTAATGCCATACTCAGGCACCTTGGACTACTACTGGGTAGCCAATTATATTGGATCTATACCCGAGTTTACGATGGTTCAAAATAGGCGACTAGGTCAATTACTAAATCAAGCAAGTTGCTCAAATGAACTCGGGCTCTTTTGGCAACCTGAAAGGATACACTACCATTTTAAATGTTCCCCAGGGCTTTGTTCTGATTCTGCTTCAGGGGTTGGCAATATTTTATGGGTAGGTGATTTATAAAGCTTCCACCAAAACGTATACTCCCATATGTAGCAACCGCATACCTCGGCTCGGTGGGTAAGGCTCTAAACCACGCGGGATTATTGGCTGGTACATCTTTGAAAGAAGATAAAGGATGTCAAGTATAGCGTTAGAGTTACCTATGTGTACACATAATGATAATTTGAGGCTCAGGGTACAATCACATTATATATAGATATATTTGAGCTGACCGAGGCCCCGCAGTACACATGCGTGGAGATCTGGGCACACTTGCCTTGGTAAACCCAATGGAATATCTCACAATTTGCTGTATCTCTGCCGCCTAGTTCAAGTGCGGCTTTGTTTGCCTGTTTGCCGCATGTCAACATTAGGTGCCTCGGCCTTACGGAGATTCATACGTATAGGTAAGCAACTAAATGTCCATGGCTCCAGGGCTGTTTCATATCTGTGTTGGGAGTTCATATCGCGTAGTATAGCCTAGAGGCATGTTGTTTATTGTTTACGAAGATTCGGTGTATATTCCATCAGACTGGCGTTCGAATTGTCGAGGCGTTCCCTAGACATGCCTGGAATTTATGTCTATGTGATGAACTCTTACTATCCTAATCGTTATTCCAGTGGCTTTCCTACTACGCACATAGGTAGCCTTGTGGGGTTGCTTTCCGAATTAGGAATGCTTCTACATATTCGAGTGGCTCATAGTGCATGTGGCCCAAGGCTTGGTCCTATCCTAAACTAACTACCTAGGTACTTAACCACGAAAATGGTAGCTTCGGGATCTGGATTGAGAGCCCCCGGTTACTACGGGGGCCCCTGTATTATGAGAGGCAGATATGGAGCATAAAGCACCGATGTCATGAATTCGGGATTAGCCCAAGACCAACAGCAAACACAAATCGGAGCGGCCTTCACGGTTTTCCAAGGGTGGAATACCTCCAAAATGGAAAAAGTAAAATTTACACTCGCACCTAGACGTTCCATTGCGATTATTTAAGCTGTAATCCATCGCACAATGATTCCCCTAAGCCATGGACTCCTTATACACAAATAAACAACGAGGCTTCGATGAAAAGGGGTTGGTAAAAACACACTGACCTTACACAGCTGGGACAAAGAATCTTGCGTGTAGTGTAAGGTAGGTAAAGGGACAACGCAGATCCGTGCCGGGGCCATTATCTAACATCATCCATGGATGCTTCATCATTCCCCGGATCACCACTAAGGTAGTGGATATTATACAGGAATAAGGGTTAGCTTGGTATCTTGAAGCTATGGATACCCTGGGTACCTAGGTAGGTAATGGTACTTTAAAGATAAGGGTACTACGATTGCGATGTAAGTCATCTTGGTAACCTTCTCTCCTCTCTTAAGCTACCTTGGCAGAATGATTATATAGAGAGGAAGAAGCGTGGCCTACAATCGCTTAGCCCTGTCATCACCTGACGTTTAATTCGCCTTTTGGGGCAGTTGGTAATTTGTGGCTTCTGATGAAAGTTAATCGGTTGTCGCTGTTGCTTGCTAGTTTTATCTCATGGCGAGAGGCAATAACCTTAGGAAGCACCTACCTGTGTAGGCAGATAAGCAGGTGGTTAACTTACTGTACGACCACTTATTTTGAGCAAGTTTTTAGCGCGTACCTAGGTATGCTTTACTTGAAGAAGGAAAAGGAGAAAACTGAGGGAAGGAGCTCTGCGTACTTAGCTGGGCAAGAGATATATACCCTGGTAACGCGCGCAGTTGCCTTACTTGCCTCCCCAGGCAACATCGCAACTCTAAAGTTCGGATTGAAAATGTTCGAAAATTCCCTACCGTGGCAACAACGCGCGACCTGAGTCACTTCCGTCACCGACCCGGCCAAATCAGACCCTCTTTTTACTGTCTACTTAATTCAGTAAACGCTCTTGGCCCAAACCGACAAAATATCACTGCCTTCTCTACATCCTTTCAGAGGCCGAACCTATCGACGTCTATCTTTATCGCCTCTTTATCCTTTTGTTCGTCCTCTTGCGAAGATATTTCAATAATAATACCTCGATATCTTCTCCTTTTCGTATAAAATCCGTTATATTCACACGGGCCAGTGCCCATCTCCGTCGACACGTGCTGTGGCACTTCCCCTTGTTGACTACCTAGGTACCATTCCTCTGTTGGTCGGGGACCTGGGTGCCTATCATGGATAACCCAATCCCCGATGCAGTGGAACCCATTGCTGTCGTCGGGATGGGCTGTCGGTTCCCCGGCAGCGGCACCTCGCCTTCAGAACTATGGCGAATGCTCTGTCGTGGCGAGAGCGCCTGGTCTGAGATTCCTCAGAGTCGCATGAATGTTTCGAGCTATTTCCACCCGAGCGGAAATCGCCAGGGCACCGTATGTATCTTTCTTAAATCCTATTCTTGAGTGATAATTGACGATTTGGACTAGGTCCCCTTCCAGGCCGCTCATTTTCTGAATGAAGATATCGCTGCATTTGACAGCTCGGTGAGTTCTGATTGACGTTATCCAAAGAAGCGCGTTGCTAATAACCTGCGCAGTTCTTCTCTATCCCGGCTGACGAAGCCAGAGCTATAGATCCGCAGCAGCGTATTCTCCTCGAGGTTGCAGTGGAAGCTCTCGACAGCGGTAAGACCTTGCCCACCATTCACTCGGTACGATGGCGAACTGACCTGTGTGCTTAGCTGGCATTGACCGCGAAGCTATCAAAAAGAGCGATACGGGTGTTTGGATTGGCTCCTTCGTAAAGGGTATGCAAGATTTGTCTCAGTTCATTTCACCGGCTAACAAGTTGAAGACTATGAGCAGATTGTCTTGCGAGACCCTGATGACTCGCCCAAGTATGGAGCGACAGGGAATGGGATTGCAATCTTGTCGAATCGTATCTCGTTCTTCTTGGACATTAGTGGCCCAAGTATGACAATCGACACTGGATGCAGCGCCAGTCTGGTTTGCGTGCACAATGCTTGCCAAAGCCTACGTAACCGCGAAATTGATATGGTAGGTTAACGTGACTATTGAATGTCTACGGGTATCCTCTGCGTGTGATGAAGGTTTGAATACTAAGTGGACCAGGGCCTTGCTGGCGGTGTAGGATTAATCCTGACGCCCAACACTATGATGCCAATGACCGCTCTCAACTTCTTGAGTCCAGATGGCAAATGTTACACGTTTGATGCGCGTGCTAATGGCTATGGCCGTGGCGAAGGGATCGGCGTTGTGGTCCTGAAACGTCTCCAAGATGCTATTCGAGATAACGATTGTATTCGTGCAGTGATTCGTGGCTCAAGCGTGAACCAAGACGGCCGTACGCCTGGTAGGTATCTCATTCAGAATGTTAGCGAGGATATCTCTAATTTTGTTTTAAGGTATTACTCTACCTAGTGCGGAGGCTCAGCTTCGCAATATCCGGTCCGTGTACAAGCGCGCTGGCCTCCCTGTGAGCGACACCGCCTACGTTGAATGCCACGGCACCGGAACACAGGCAGGTGACTGGAGAGAGTTGAAGGCAGTTTCGGATGCATTCTGCGCAGAAAATGTCCCCGATCACCCGATTTACGTTGGATCAATTAAAACCAACATTGGCCACCTTGAAGGGTGTGCTGGAATCGCTGGACTAATCAAGGGAGTTCTGACCATCGAAAATGGTATGATTCCGAAGCACCTTAACTTCGAACCGCCTGGCAATCCTGCTATTGATTTTGATAGTTGGAAGATTAAGGTGAGGACATCGTGCATATGACGACTGTTGAATTCTCTGTTAACGATACTTTTTGATAGATCCCAATCGCAAATACCCCTTGGCCGGTTGAGGGACTCAGGCGCGCGAGTGTCAACTGCTTCGGTTTTGGCGGAACGTAAGTACCCTTGAAACCACGGTTTACAATCCACCCTGTCCTGGAATTTCTGATTTAGTACTATGGGCCTACTTGTGTTTCATAGAAATATTACTCATCCATTTCCCTGAGCGTTGATATCTGAAATAACTCGGGTGATGTACTGACTTATGCATTTCTATAGCAATGCCCACGTTATTATGGACGATGCCGCTTCTTATTTGGCTCGGAGAGGACTTCCGGCATATCACAATACCACAATCCTGGAGAATGCTCCAGACTCTTCGGCGCTACAGTCGTCTAAGGATATGCCTCTCTTTAACAGTGCGCTGCATCGGCTTACAGAGGCAGACAAGAAGATAAAAAGTGGATCGCGGACTCATCTGTTCGTCTTCTCTGCACATGAGCAGAAGGTGTTGTCTAGGATGCTCAAGGGTTACGCGTCCTATATTGGGGAAAAAGTCGACCATATGCCTCTGAATTTTATGGAGGATCTTGCGTACACGCTCGGTTGCCGTCGCACAAAACTGCAATGGAGGACCTCAATCGTTGCACGGTCTCCCGAGGAGCTAGTTATGAAGCTGGGCGATATGCAGCCTAGAGATTTCACTAGAGCATCCAAAGATGAAACTATCAAAGTGGCACTCATATTTGGTGGCCAAGGAGCACAGTGGTTTGCTATGGGAAGGGAGCTGTTGGGTTTCGGGATATTCTTCCAATCGATCGCTGACGCCACTTCATATCTCAAAAACGATATGAAGTGTTCTTTTGATATTCTCGAAGAACTCATCAGGGATGAGGAGTCCTCTCGAGTTAATCGACCTGATATATCCCAACCAGCAACCACAGCGATACAGGTAGCACTCGTTGACCTACTCACTTCATATTTTGGGGTCAGTCCAAGCTCTGTCTGCGGCCATTCATCTGGCGAAATTGCTGCTGCATACGCGCTGGGGGCGCTCTCGCGAGAAGATGCCTGGGAGTTGGCCTTTCACAGGGGGCGATGCGCTGAAGCCTTGCAGCATTCAAAAGATGAAAATATCATGGAGGGTAGCATGCTTGCTGTTGGCCTCTCGGCTTCCGAGGTGCAGGCTTATATGCATGTTGATGACAACCGGAGAGTTGTAGTGGCATGTATCAACAGCCCGAATTCGGTGACGCTGTCTGGTGATAAGGATATAATCCTTCAAGTTCAGGCAAATCTCCAAGCCGCCGGTATTTTCAACCGAATACTCCTCGTAGGGGTCGCATATCACTCACACCATATGAAGTACTGCGAGGATAGCTACCTTGGGTCCATTGCGCATATTAAGCCGGAGCGCCCAGGTCGCAGGGTAGTCCGATATCCTCACAGCCAATATGGAATGGCTAGAACCAATGGACTCCATCAAGGAGCAGAACTAAAAGATTCGTCTTCTGAAAGTCTGCCACCTACTATGTACTCGTCTGTGACAGGGCACGCCATTAGTTGGGAGCAGCTCCACCCGGAGTATTGGGTGAGAAATATGGTCTCCCCGGTTCGCTTTTCAGACGCCATGCATCAAATGGTGAGCGCAGAAGGTGATGGGAAGCCGAACATAATTATTGAATGCAGTCCACATTCTTCACTCCAGGGTCCGATCAGACAGATTCTTGACGCCGAGGAGAAGCTTACACAGCAGCCATCTTACTCATCCGCGCTTCACAGGGGTAAAGATGCTGCTGTATCCGTGCTCGAAATGGCTGGAAAGCTCTGGAGTCTTGGCTGTGATGTAGCCATGCCCTGGGTAGTTATGAGGGATATACGACCATCGTTACCTAGACTGCTCATAGATCTCCCCAAGTACCCTTGGAACCACGACAATACATATTGGTACGAGTCTCATCTATCACGAGCTAATCGTTTCCAAGTTCATGGGAGATATGACCTGATTGGCCGGCCGACGATGGATTCGATTCCTTCCCATCCTCGATGGCGTGGCTTCTTCCGCATCTCGGAGAACCCCTGGATTCAAGATCATCAAGTACAAAAGACGATTATCTATCCCGCCGGCGGTATGATAACCATGGTGCTTGAAGCAGCTAAGCAGGTGGCCTCAGAAAATGTATCCGGCATTGAGATCACGCAGTTTAGCATACAGAAAGCCATGATTATTCCTGGGACTCTACATGGGTTAGAGTATGTCCTAAATCTGAATAAGCGCGCCGATCAAACTGCCGTAACTTCTGCCTGGAGTGCTGGATCCTCGCTTGCGCCCGTTACGCCTGCGACTTTCGAGTTTTCTATATGCTCGAAACAGCTGGACGGACCGTGGGAGGAACATGGCAAGGGGTTTGTCACGATCCACTACCGCCAACCCGCCGGAGGAGCAAGAGTTGAGCACCAGAACCTTCGAGATAGACTTCTCCAAACTGATCGTTATTACCAAGCATACCTTGACGCTAAGAATAATTGCGACGAGTTAGTCGCCCCAAGGCAATTATACGAGACCCTCGATGTCATTGGAATGAACTATGGCCCGCTATTTCGGAATATCAGTTCTCTTTTCAGGAGGGAGAACTTCTGCGTTAGCACTATTCGTATCCCAGACACTAAGTCCGTCATGCCTGCGAACTTCGAGTATCCTCACATAATTCACCCGGCGACTCTCGATGCCATTTTCCAGACGGCTTTCGCCATTGACAGCGAGCCCATGGTCCCTTCCTTAGTCGGCAGTTTGTATATATCGGCTGAATCCCATGCCCTCTCGGAGATTGGCAAGGATCTCGTTGTCCATACTCAGGCTGTCCGCCAGGGGCTACGTGGTGCATCTGCGTCACTCACTGTATCAGACAGTTCATGGTCGGACGAATTCGCGCCAAGGAGCCCTCCACTCATCATAATTAAAGACCTGAATTTCACAGCGTTGATCCCCAACCCCGCGAGTATTGAAAATGTCTTTCTTTCGAACCATCGCAATCTTTGTTCTGAGATTGCATGGGAGACACTAGATCCCTTATTAGACTCAGAAAGAATAAACGACCTTGTTGAAGATGACAAATGGCTTACTGAGTATAAGAACAGTATCCTTGTCCTGGTTCCTGAGATTACCGGACACGGAATTGAGGAGCTCTGCACACGACTTGCGTTGGAATTGAACTGTGATTTACGAACATTAACCAGCATCAAAGAGGGTGAAGCCTTGCCAGAATTCTGCATCTCTCTCGTGGAGGCTGATGGCCACTCGTTGATTTGGAGTTGGGAAGAACGGGACTTCCTCGCATTTCACAGAGTCGTTACTGCTACAAAAGGGATACTTTGGGTCACTCGTGCATCACAATTAGAGGCCGAGAACCCTCAATCCTGCCTCGTTCAGGCCTTGGGCCGAACCATACAATCGGAATACCCTAGGAAAAAACTAGTCTCGTTTGATATCGAAGCTAGCATGAATATCTTCCACGGGTCGGTATCTTCATCGTTGTCTCGGACGATCATCAATTTGTTCAAGAGATCCTTCATTAAGCCACAGTTAACAAGGCCAATGGAGACAGAATATATCGAGCGAAAGGGGCAGATCATGGTGCCGAGGCTAGTTCCGGTGAGCTCCCTCAATTCGATGATCGAGCGTGGCGCTGCACCGGCTGCACCGGCCCTGCAACTCATGCCTGCCCCGCACGTAAGACCCATGAAGCTTGAGATTGGAGAAATAGGTGACGTGGGAAGCTTATACTGGTGTGACGACCCCGATGCCCACCTTCCCGTCGGTTTCGACGAAGTAAGGGTCAGAGTCATATCAACTATGCTCAGTGACCTGGATAATGATATATTGCGGGGGCGGGCGCGTAATCGGCCTCTGGGAACTGACGTGCGAGGTGTGGTTGAAGAAGTCGGTAGTGATGTTAAATCCGTCGCGCCCGGCGACCACGTCTTAGGAATTGCCCGTGGATCTTTGCGAGATTACATCAAGTGTCATCATCGACTCGTGCATAAAATACCAGACGACGAATCCCAGCCTGGCTGTCCCTATTTGCCAACATGCTTTTCTGTTGCTAGATACGCGCTTGGTAAACTCAAGACTGGGGATACTGTCCTGATCCATGCTGGTGCGGGACTGTTAGGCCAAGCTGCGATCCAGGTCGCCAAGGCTGCTGCGGCGGTGATATTTGCTACTGCAGAAACTAATTATCAGCGTGGCATACTCAACCATTTTTGCGAACTTCCAGAGGATCACATCCTCGAGGCGAAAGCGGACGCCCTAGTGGACGTTATATTGCACCTAACGGATAATGAGGGTGTGGATTTCGTCTATGATCCAGTCGCACGCAGTCGAGATTCGAATCTCGTATGTATCAAAGAAGGTAAGCGGCTTTAGATTGGGAGTAGTGAATATGGCTATAAGCTGATGTATCGTTAAGGGGGGCAGGTTTTCGGTTTTGCCCATAAGCCTGATAGAAAGGACCTGGCGATAAGTCAACCGGAGGTCAACGGTAAAACGTTCAGCTGCACTGTGCTGAACATACCACATCTTGTGGAGAACGAACCGCATCGGCTTGGTGAAGCATTAGAATTTGCTTGCCGGAAACTCTTATCTGGACACTTTCAGATCTGGGATCCCCATCCTCAACGCGCATACGACTACTCCAGCCTGACGGATGCGTTCATGATTTTGGACTCGGACGAAAATGGCGCCCAGATATGTTGCCGGCGAGCTACATCGAAGCCCGTTCCAATTCTGGTTCGGTCGCCTCGTCCTACGAGCGATTATCTACACGGAGATGCCACTTATATCCTCTCTGGTGGCCTCGGTGGCCTCGGTGTCGAGATTGCTAAGCTGCTAGCAATTAATGGAGTAAAATATGTTGCTTTCTTGTCACGGTCTGGCGCGACAGGTGATTTGGCCAAGTCTTGCCTCGACTTCCTTCGTAATAGAGGGGTTAAGGCCCAAGCTTACAAAGTGGACATTTGTGATAGCGAAGCTCTCAAGGAGACATATGACAAGATCCAGCAGTCTATGCCCCCTGTGAAAGGAATCTTTCAATGCGCTGCTGTCCTACGCGACTCGGTCTTTGACAATATGACGTATGAAGACTGGCAGACAGCTACGAGACCCAAGACGCTTGGCTCCTGGAACATTTATCAAATCTTCGGTAATGGCTTGGATTTCTTCGTCTTCCTATCCAGTTCAGCAGGCGTCATTGGGAACCGTGGCCAAGCCAACTACGCCGCGGGCAATGCATTCCAGGACTCGTTGGCCAGACACATAAATACGAGAAGCGATGGCAAGATGCATTCCGTGTCTATTGATCTGGGTCCGGTCCTCGAAGCGGGTATGCTTGCTGACGACCCCCGAACATTGGACATACTCAAGGCCAGTGGCTTCTTCGGAATAAGGCTTCAGGACTTCAAGCGTATAGTTGAGTGCGCAATTAGGGGCCGCATGGAAGATGGCAAGGAAATGCCCGCGCAGGTGGTCACGGGGGTAGGAACTGGCGGCTTGACGAGACAAAATAAACCGGCAGACCCATATTGGACGCGAACAGCTCTGTTCACTCATCTCAACCAGGTAGACATGCCGGTAGGTTCGGATCCAGATTCGGTGGAGGCAGACTTGCAAGAGACGATGCGTAGACGGCTGGCGCAGGCGGTGGACGTGGAGCAGGCGAAAGAAATCGTTAGCAAAGGGCTAAGAGTGATGCTCTCAAAGAGCATGAACATGGATTCGTCGGACGTGGATGAATCAAAGCCGCCTAGTACGTATGGTGTGGACTCGCTGGTGGCGGTGGGGGTACGCAACTGGGTTTCTAGGGAGTGCGAGGCGGATGTGAGCATCTTCGAGGTGCTCAGTGAGACGAGCATCAGAGAGCTCAGCGCTATGATAGTGGAGAGAAGAGGAGAGGCGTAGTGGTTCATATTGGCGGATTTTCATGATACCATCCATCGCACAGGAAATGTTTCGTACTAAGGCCGCTTGCTGATGCGATATTTAGAGCATAAGGAAGGAGAATGATCTGTGCACTGAAGCTACTATTGTAGAATGCGAGATATTACGTTGCTTTAAATAAAATTGATAAAAACCATTGTTTTATTTGTATCGAATTGTTAAAACTGTTTTAGAGATGATAAATGGAGTTTTTCGGGGTTCAGTTCCTTCATTTGAGTGGTTGTGGGTTTGGTACAGAATGGCGGCCAGTTTTGCCTTGGGCGTGCCGTACCAACAACTTCCCCCTTCCCTTTCCCTTTCCCTTTTTCCTTTTCCTTTCTCTTTGTTCTTTTCTTTTTCTTTCGTATACTTCTCTTTAAGTTACTTGCATATGTACCTAGGTATGTATTTAATCTAAGACATTTGATAGTAGTAGTAGAGTACAACAGCAAGCAATTATAAGACAAGATGAGATATCTAACTTAATAGGGGAATAGGAGGGGTACTGATAATGATGATGATGATGATGACGATGACGACGACGACAGTTAGCACGATGATGATTGATAATGATGATGGGAAGTGGCTTGCTGGGGGAGGTTGGCTTATAGATTTGATAGGATGTAAGCACCAATACATATATGATATATGTAGGGTTTGAGGAGATGACGAAGTGGGCTTCTGACGCTAATACGTAATCGGACTAGGATACGCCAAGACACGTAATCTCCCCTTAGTTTGCAGCACCTACCTGTTTTGGGATATTGTGATACGTGCCTAGGCCTATTTCTATTGAATACCTAGGTACGTATTGTATGTATACATGGGATATTGAATTATGAATTGTGAAAACGTACATATTATCATCTATCATCTATCATCCCGGAATTGTGCCCCTTCCCAACTTGGCAACCCCTGACGCGCAAGTCCTTGACATTTAATCAATTTAATCAATATTGATGCTATTGATGCTATTTGATGCTATACTGCCACCACAGCCGAATAACATGCAACCGTGTATATCTCAATTGGCCCAGACAAAATATTGTAATTGGTGCTGGTGCTGATACTTTCTTCAAAGCTGAAGATTTGTATTCTTCCTGAGTCCTTGGCCCAGCGTTTGTTGGATGTTGGTGAGCGAAGGTTGACAAGAAGAGTCGCGCGCGCGAGCGAGAGAGGTAACATGGCAACATGCACCCTTGATACCCTGGCGCGGCTTTATCCGTATGAGGCTGTCGTCTATCATCTATTATGGTATAGTACCTATAGGTATGTACATCCCGCTTGATGGATGGGTGATGATAACCCCTGGAAATCTTTCAAATACATACCTATAGGTATATACGCGTATGTATAGTCATGTATAGTCATGTAGGTACTGGAGGTACGCAACATATACCTGTACCGGCGTATCGGACATCCAAATCCCCCCCTCCTCTTTGACCTATCTGATCGAGCCTCTATTTGCTCATCTGTTGCAGCCAATCGACCATATCTTGCACTTGTGGCGACGAGTTATAAAATTAGTCGGATTTAGTTCCTGGGCGAACGTCTAGGACCGCGCCTAAGGACTAAGGGCCAAGGACCCAAGGCAAGCAATTTTCCCCGGCCTTGCCTACCTAGTCCGCCCGTCCGCCCGTCCGCCTACCTGCCTGCCTACCTGGGATAATACTTGAACCCGTCTCCCCAGCTCTGGGTATTCACGATCCTCTCTTGTTACTCGAACCACCGCGCTTCCTCTTGCCTCGAGTAACCTCGTCGCTGCCCCTCCCTCCGTGATGTGGCTCCTTTCAACCATCGCTACCGCGTCTATCGCTCTCGGTGTCGGCGCCAACGCCGCGACCACCCAGAAAGTCATTCCCGTTCCTTTCAGCAAACCGACGTCGAGGCTCCCAGCGCTTCGCGGCCGCGCCGGCACGTATTCACAAGAGTTAAACAACAACCTGACTGGAGGGGGATATTATGCCCAAGTCACTTTAGGGACGCCGCCTCAGACGGTCGACCTCGTGGTCGATACGGGGAGCAGCGATGTCTGGGTGCTTGCATCAAGTGCGAACCTCTGCCAGTCTAAATCGATGCAATCGTACTACGGATATTGCTTGTCAACTTATGATCCGTCCAAGAGCTCGACATATTCCGTCGTGTCGCAAGATAGCTTCAGCATCCGTTATGTGGATGGCTCGGGCGCCCAGGGCGATTATATTCGGGATAACTTTAGTATCGGAGGCGCTGATATTGAGGCTTTACAGATGGGCCTTGCCGAAAATTCCACCATCAATTCTGGTCTTCTGGGTATAGGTTTTGCCGCCAATGTTGCCGCGCGCACTCCCTATCCCAACATTATGAGTTTGTTCCAGAGCCAAGATTTAATCGCCGTTCAAGCTTATAGCTTGTACCTGGTACGTATTCGTCTACATTCCAGCCTCCTAACTGGGCCGGGCTGCTTCTGTCTTAGTTACCCTGAGCCCTGTGAGAAATAAGTATGTGCTGACACCTTCCCCTTTGCCATCATAGGATGATCTATATGCCGAGACCGGAACTATACTGTTCGGTGGTTTAGACACGGAAAAGTTCATCGGCGAGCTCAAAATCGTCCCAATACAACCCGATCGCTATGGCAATTATTCGTCTTTCACCGTCTCTCTTTCGTCCGTGGCCACAACCGACGACAATGGCACGGTGACCAACTACACTCAGACTGCCGTCCCTGTTATCCTCGATTCGGGCACGACGTTGACCTACCTCCCGTCTAGCACGGCGAACCGCATCTTCCGTGCTTTTGACGCGGTAGACGATACTTCTGGAACTGGGCTGGTCTTTGTCAGCTGTGACTACTTGAGCAACGATAAGAACCTTACATTTGACTTCCGTTTTGGTGGTAGCAATGGCCCTATCGTGCGGGTTCCTATCGATGAGATGGTTCTAGATAACGTGCAGGGCTATATAGAGCTAGGCCTAGACGTACCGTCGCTACCTTTCGATAATGTTTGTAGCTTCGGTCTACAACCAAATTCGGACTACTACCTTCTAGGAGATACATTTCTCCGTTCTGCCTACGTGGTTTACGACCTCACAAACAAGCAGATTGGATTAGCCCAGGCCAACCTGAATAGCACCGAGAGCAACATCGTCGAGGTCACCGAGTCCGGCATCCCCAAAGCCAGTGGTGTCGCCTCTCAGATTCCAGCGCAGCAGACGACTACGAGCGCCGGGAACGCCGGGACCGCCACCTCCACAAGCTCGCCAACGGGTCAGAGCGGCAGCAATGTTGGTACCAGGGCAGTACCAGAACCTGGTTGGAAAGCTCTGATCATAACCGCTGTGGCGGGTATGGGTGGGTTATTAGTCGGCGCTGGTCTTGTTATCTCATAGATCTTCCAGGTATGCCGACCCAAAACCTAAACATATTCTCTCATTTTTTTTCGTCACCATATTTCTACTAGAGAGCTATTTTCCTCGATATTGGAGGTATATAGAGGGACCTGGTATCTAAATACCCTAGGACGATACGGCACAATTTATACATTGGCTTGGTGGGTTCGGGATAAAAATTCAACCAGCACAGATTCCTGGGCGTAGCTGTTGGATACATTCTTTGTGTAAATACTGTAGTTTGGAGCCGTCATGGCAATATGGCATGTATATAGGATTAACGAAGTATTGTCTTAGATATAAAATACTACCTACCTAGTTATCCAAGGTATACGCCACTGGCAATCTAGGCCTCTTTTTTCTTCCGTTCACGGCACTGACCTATTCATAGGGGCTATTTAATTCGACCATGATAAACTTGGATATACACTATTAATTAACCCAGCCCCAGTTAAGCATAATAATCCTTAATGCGGATGAGAAATTCATGTGCCCTATCTAAAACCTATCCACCATACATCGGTATTGATATCATACACATCCAAGGGCCCCGAGACTGAGCCCTCTTTATGGAAACGTGGGAGGATGAAACCTTACTAGTCCATCCGTTCGTATCGTTCCCTAGCTTTGTCCTTTGCCTTCGAAACAAAGTCGGAGTAATCATTCTTCGTGGCCCGAGCAGCCTCTTCAGCGGCGTCACCAATCTTACCACCTTCTGCCCCGAGACCAACCCCGGGAGTATATGCCATCGTTTCAATGATGTCGGTCCTCCCACCGCTTTCAGCCCCGAGGCCTTCACCGGTACTCCACCCCATTTTGGCCAATAAACCAGCGCCCTTTGATATTGCGGGTTTCGTTGGCGCCACTTCTGTGGCCGGCTCGGGATTCTTGGCTGGTTGAGACTGTTTTCTGGGTAGGTGAGGCTTCGGTTTGCTGGGCTGGTTGTGCGCTATTCGACGTTCCTTGGCTCGATCCCGGTAGTTCGAGATAGGTTCCTTGCCAAGGGCCCTTAGGTCCTTGGTTGCTTTCACGATGAGAGTTCCATCTTTAAGATTGGCTTTGTGCATATCGCTAAGCTGCTCGTGTCGCCGGAGCGAGGGCTCGTTTTTAAACTTCCGTCTACACAAAAGGCAGCACACCCGATCAAGGTCAGCGTACGATGCTGTGTGGGCTGGCGTTGGTTTCGGTACCGGAGTGTCTGTGTTCGTCGAACCTATGGCGTTAGATCCAGTCAAGGGTGCCTTCTTATCGGCAATACTCCTGCCATTGCTTGATTCCTTCGGCCCATGAAGTTCAGCATGCTTATTCGCCCACATCTGCAGTTGGGGGGCCATTGCAATAACCTTCTTCCCACTAGGCGCCGCAAGGTCCTTTTCCGCCTTGCGTTTTTTGGAATCCCTCGCTGTAGGCTGGTCGATATCATTTTTTAGCTGTTCTTCATTGGATGGCTTATCTTCATATAGGCTTTCGTTGAAAACCGTGAGTTCGCTAGCGTAGACCGACGGGTTCCAGTAGACCAGCCTTAGAGATTGATTATGAGTCGCTGAGAATGTAAACCTACTATCCTCGTCTTGGACAGGATGTGGACAAGGTATGAAAACGCCAGAGTGAATAAACGCCAAAGCAGCAGGTTTTGCGGCGATGGTAAACTGTGGTGAGGCGTTATATTTTGCCATAGCAGCTCGAGCATCGTCCAAAGTCGAGAATTCAGCAAAGCCATAGTTGCAACTGATATCCGACAACTTGTCACGAATCATGAAGACGCGCACCAACGAGCTAGGTTTGGCTCCGAGTCCAGTAGTGTTACCAATCGGAGCTGTACTCTTAAGTTTGTTTGGGGCGCTGGTGGACTGTTTTGGCTCGTCTTCTTTAGTTACGTAGAGTTTCTTGATCTCGGCAGCTAGGACGGACTCGGTGACAGAAGATGCCAGATCGCGGATCACGAGAAATTGGGACGGTGTTTGTTGTGGACATTCGTCGCTTTTACCGTCTAATCTTATATCCGCAGTATTCTCGGCTAATGCTGATCAGTTAATAATCCTCTTGCAGGTGACGATCTAGAGATATATATATAATCACCACTTACAGGATCTCGGTGCTTTGCACTGCTTACAAGTTGCTCGGCGAGAAAAGTTCTCGAAATGACACTAACAACTCAAGTTAGATAAGCCAAATCGAGGCCTAAGCATAGATATCCATCACTCACCATGGCACACTTCCAATCATCTGGGTTCGCCACGTAGCGGCGTTCCCGACTATATTCTATAGGTATACGGACAAACGAGCTATTCCCGACGGCGAGGTCGAGGGCGGGGTAGTGTTTCTCGAGGAAATCGACGGCATCATCCTCGGATCGGAACTCAGCAAAAGCATACCATCGGCGAGTACCTAATTTATGGTCAGTGATGGATTGTTGCGGGGGACACGATGATAGCAATGATGCTATGATGATGCTACGGCAACTTACCACCCCTGTCATCCGATTTGATACGGACTTCGACGAGGCCAACAGCTCCCATGTCCCGCATAATCGCATCGATCTATTGATATGTTAAGCCGGTTGTCGGCATGGAGATGGGATATAAATGAGGTAGAAGATGGATACCTCTTGTGTGCTCATCCTATCAGGTATATCATCTAGCTTCAAAGTATGGTAAGGCCGTCCAAGTCTTGACCGGCGACTAGAATCGTGGTAATACCCATCATCGGCTGAGTCGAATGGCGAGGAGACACCTGAGTTGGCGCGGCGTGGACTTCGGTTATAACGTCCTCGAGGATCGTCGTGATCCGCGTAGTGTCGAGCTCGAGCACGGCCAGGAGAGCGAGCGGTACGATCATACGGAGGTGAGTAGTCGGATTCGCGATCATGGGGATCGCCAGCAGCTTTTATGGTGCGATCGGAGTGGGCGTGGTGGTATTCAGGGGAAGGATCCCGTCGGTAGGGTGAGATGTGTCTTCGGGAACGGTAAGGATCCTCTCCTCGAGAGGTCCTTGGAGGTGTCCTTCTAGGGGACCTAGAGGATTCTTTTCCTCGCAAGGAAGTTAGCTCAAGCTCAACATTGATCTCGACGAGCGATCCTCCAGGCTATATCATTTTTACCATGCCGCGAACGATAGTGGTGGTCCCTTGGAGCGGGTGATCTACGTCTATAGTAGTCGCGCTCATCGCGAGGTCTATGGTCGTAATCGTCGTACATAATGATGCCGTTTATAGCACCATCAAATTTGGGTAATACCCGCGAGAAGACTCGTATAACCCGAGGATTAGTATTACCTGTAGGTAATTTCCATTCAGCTGGGGACTAAGGGGGGTAAAAAAGACAAAAAGGAAGAGGAAAAAGGCCGAAGAATGTAAAATGTAGATAACTAGATAAAGGTACCTAGGTACATATCTAGAAGTTACCATTCGTCATTCGTCGCGCGACTAGATGCAATAATAATGAAAGGCTACATAAATATCTTAATTATGTGCATAATTAGGTATGCATGTGGTGGGTCTATTGTTCGATTAAGTGGGGTACTAGGCATTCTGGCATTCAGACTTATAGGCCTTGAGCAACTTCTTATTCCTACTACTCTGCCACTGCCTCTAATCGATAAATTTCTTATCATTAGGTATATACAGTATAACCACAAACCACGTTCGCAGACTCTAAAACCACCTTTTTCATTTTCCGATAGTCATACCGACGTCGAAGAGATGAACCCTGAAACAGCTGAGACAATAGAGACAATAGAGACAGCCAATGTCGAGGAGGATGACTGCTACGTTGGGCTGACCCGGAACTGTCTCAACCCCAACGACGCGATAGACAGAGTCCGTAGTCCCCATGCCGGCGCGATAGTCATGTTTGCAGGTTAGTTAATCAAATATCATGTCATATTATATCATATATCACATCCCGTCTGAATATCAACCCGGCAACTCCACGGTTCGGTATCCTTACTCATATCCTAATCTTCCCTTCCCGTAGGCACGACCCGGGATAACTTTGGGGGTAAACCTGTAAAAGAGCTACAATACTCGGCTTATAGCCCTCTAGCATTGCGGACTATGCTGTCCATCTGCAAAAACGTCCGCGCCGAGCATGGTCTTATAGCAATAGCTATGGTCCACCGTCTCGGCATCGTGCCTATAGGAGAAGAGAGCATCCTGATAGCTGTGTCCGCGCCGCACAGGCAAGCCGCCTGGCGAGCCGGCGAACAGGCTCTTGAGGATTGCAAAGAACGTGTCGAAGTTTGGAAAAGAGAGGAGTTTGAGGGTGAAGACGGCGTTTGGAAGGCTAATAGAGACGGCGCAGCAGGTCATAAAATCTTGCATGCAAATAAAACACCAAGCTCTTAATAAGCCCTTAAGGCCAGCATACCCCGTCTATCTACAAGGATGTCCGCTTCGATCATACATCAGCGAGGTCGATCACGCGCATGACACAAGTATCCATCAGCCCAGTCCTCACAGACCAGTGCTCGTTTACTAATAATCGAACCAGCAGGATTCAATGCGCACAAGAACCCGACTCACCCATTGCGATACAGGCCAACGCAGTATGATGATATTTATTAACATCAAGTTATGATTTTAAAACATTGGATAGTTTGAGGCCAAATAATGTCGCTGCATGTACCATGCCACGATTGTCGGACTTCAAGATAAACATGTCTTGGTAGGTACATACACACGTGCCTACGAATGGATTGCCCCGTCCACATACCCGGCTAAATCGGCTATTCTTCAGATGAGGCCCAGTGTGCAAATGATACTACAATGAAAAATAAGCCCGGCCACACGAGCCTGGCTGCCTGGATGATGTATTTCCAGAAACGGCAACGGAATGGGAAACATCTCATATCTGGACTGGGTCGGTCCGAATTCGCCAAGCCATGGAAAATGGGTCGGGACCAATAATTGGCCAATGCGGCTTGCACTGTGTCCGCGCTTGGCCACCAAAGTACTAGCTTGGTACTCTGATATCTGACGATTTATGTAAGGTTGCTGTTTTTCTTCTTCCTTTTCATTTTTTTTTTCCCTTTTTCTTTTTACTTGCCTCTTACAGTATATGCTTATCTCCTTCTAGCCATGGTAGTATTCTGATTGGCTCGCCCTTTACATTACCTATGTATTTTGTACACGCAATATGGAGTTCGGTGTATGTACATATGTACATAAGAAGCAGGAATCCGGCAGCTAGGTAACAGCACATACAAGCGCATCGCATCAATAGCTGAGGAGCACGGCGATTTGCCACGCTATCTATTTACTCTACCTAATTATTGTTACCTAGGTATGCTACACAACATGAAAAGCGCGGTAACAAGGAAGAGAGATTGCTGAGCAAACTGGATTTGGGCTCTGCAAATGGTAATGCATAGGAATCGTAGCAGTACCATTTGAAAATAGCCTCGCATTTTTCAGCTCCCTTTCCTCTTTTTTTTTCTGGGGTTAGCCTTGGCATCCCCGCGAGCTACGATCTGACCACTTGATGTGACGATAAGTCTTAAACTCTTGCATACTTATGTACATACTATTCCCGGGTTTCCACACCGTCGGGTACCTAGGTAGAGTTTCTAAAGTTTCCAAATGTCAAGGAAATCAGTTGCTCGGTATGGAAGTTCGCGCGGCTAACTACGTATTAGCAGCTTCATTCAACATGAACCAATTTCCCCTCCGGACCCAGACCCTAGGCCTTAACAACAGCCAGGCTCTCAGGTCCAATAAGAGGGAACAACATATTAGATCAGGAGAGAGGCATGAGGCATTGAAGATAAGAACCCTGAACGCACAGTCTCCAAATCAGCAATCTACTCGCTCTAATTGGGCAGGAATCCCACCCCTTGTTTGCTTCCTTGGTTAATCGTTGGCTATCATGAAGTTCGATGTGGCAGACTGATGATAGCACTTTTCGTATTCATTCCTTCTTCCCTTCCCGACGTATTTCCCAACGAAGTTAGGTATCCCTAACCTGCGGTTCGGTTTCAAACAGCACTGATACTGGAAAAAACGGCCGAATCCAGTTACTTCTCACTAAGATAGACAGGTTGATCTTGTGGTCCCCTGTTTTGCACACCTGCCCCACCCGGAATAATTAATATATTCGGTGGCTAATAAGTATATCGCTTGTGGTGAGGTTTGCTACGTCGCCGTTATCCGCCCAGTTGGTGGCCCAATTTAGGCAGGTCGACTTTTCCTAGGGTCTCTACAGATTGTCCAATCTTGAAGAAAAGAAGAAAGACAAGTGTCGGGTTTCCTCGTGCTCCCCTAGGCCAGATGCCACACCTAATGCTCCCATCCCTGGCTCATACCCCCAAATGGTAAATACAATCAACTCTCTTATCGGTTCCACTTCGAGTTTCATTGTATCTGAACGTAATCTGAGATGGAGCAGAGTTCTTTATTCATCCAGATACGGCGGTATAAGAATAACGTACTACCCCAATGGGCTATCTTAGGGTTCAGCTCTGACGCCCACCCCCCCTTCTCGTCTTTTTTTTTGGCGCTTTTCTTGTAGTAAAATAGATATGAATACCATTTTCTAGTAGTATTTGTTCTCCCCCCTCTCTCCCGGACCATTATCATGGGTTTCAGCTTTCGCAAACGTGCCGCGGTAGAGGAGGTTGCTCCGGCGAGCATCTCCTCTACCGAAGCAGCAGAGGCCACCGGCGCCGAAGCTTTGAACACACTCAAACAGTTCGAAGAACAACACAAGCTCGACCCTAACCTACCCGTTGAAGAGCTGAATACTGTCGACGCGGTCCTTTCCACGGGCAATGCGGAGAAGGGTGTCGAAGTCGAGACGGCGTTGGTAGAAGAAAACAGCCCTTACCCCGAGGTAGGTTACTATTCGCGAAGTATACTATCTATATAGATATCTAAACGTGTGAAAAGGTGTGCGCTGCAGTTAGGAACTACGATGTCGACCTACCGGCTAACACGATCCGCGCCTGGGTAATCGGCTTGATCTTGTGTACTGTGGGATCGGCCGTCAACATGCTCTTCTCTCTAAAGAACCCTACTATTCAAATCACGACCTACGTGATCCAGTTGGTTTCATATCCGATCGGACTGGGATGGGATTTGGTCTTCCCCGATCGTCAGTTTTCTATCTTCGGGGTCAAGTTCAATTTCAAACCCGGCAAGTTCAACTTCAAGGAGCATGTTATTATTGTGGTCATGTCGAATGTGAGTTTGCCTCATATGTGCCGAAGTCTACTTTCTTAATCCATTACGCTAAAGCAGAGTATAGGCAGCTTATGGAGGTGGATTCTTATATGCCACAGATGTGTTGATTGCTCAACAAGTATTCTGTGAGTTTCCCTGCCAAACTACGGGTGTTATCAATTCGATTAACAAATGGTCAAAGACAAGCAGAATTTTGGTTGGGGATTTCAGCTCCTTTTCGGCATAACTACGTTATGTACGGGTTACGGTCTAGCTGGTATCGGTAGACGTTTTTTGGTTTGGCCAGCCGCCATGATATGGCCTTCCGATCTTGTGAATGCTTCGTTATTCTATGCTCTGCATGATCATTCGCCATCCGACCCCACCAAGGCAAACGGCTGGGCTATTAGCAGGTACCGGTGGTTCTTATACGTCATGGGAGGGGCGTTCGTCTGGTATTGGTTCCCTGGTTGGATCTTTCAGGGCCTGTCCTATTTCACCTTCATCTGCTGGGCTGCCCCTAAAAGCGTCGTCGTCAACAAACTCTTTGGGGGCTATTCCTATGGCCTCCTACCGACAACCTTAGACTGGACCGTGATTTCTGGCTACGCTCTATCTCCGCTCATCCCGCCCTTCCATGCCGTCGCCAATACCGTGGCAGGTGTCATAATCTTCTTCATCTTCGTCTCGATGGGCCTACATTTCTCTGGCACGTGGTACGCCGACTACTTCGTCGTCCAGTCGTCCAGCGCTTTCGATAATACGGGTGCTGTCTACGACGTATCGAGGATACTAAACGAGGACTTGGTCTTTGACGAGCAGAAATATCACGAATATTCTCCTTTATACCTCTCTACCCAGTTTGCTATAGCTTATGGACTCTCTTTCGCTGCCGTGGCCGCCGTCGTTGTCCACGTCGCTTTATACCACGGGCAGCAGATCGTCACGCAATTCAAGCTTGCTCGTAGGCAAACCGACGATATCCACATGAAGCTCATGAAAAAGTACAAGGACGCAGACGATTGGTGGTACCTTGCACTCTTCATCATCATGGTTGGCTTGTCCTTCGCTGTCTGCTGTGCTTGGCCGACTGGCTTCCCAGCTTGGGCTTATGTTGTCTGTATACTGATACCACTAGTATGGACGATACCGATAGGGATTGTTCAAGCCATTACGAATATTCAACTTGGTCTTAATACGCTTACCGAATTCATTATCTCATATTTATATCCATCACGTAAGGCTTTATTTTTCACCTATAACGCAAACAACTTGAAACTTATTTCGTTGATACAGACCCCCTTGCTATGATGATGTTCAAAAACTACGGCTACATTTGCATGTCACAAGCGCTCTACTTTTCGCAGGATCTCGTACGTAATCTTCGGTCATTCTTTAACCCCTTTCAACTAGTTTCGGGAGTGAAATCCGCCTATGTTGGTTAGGTGTATAAGTTTTCATTCCCGCGACACAGTTCCCAGAACCTGAAGGTTATCTAACGTAACGAATACTGACACCTAATGTTGTAGAAGTTAGGACACTACATGAAAGTCCCGCCGAGAACCATGTTTTGGTCACAACTTGTCGCATCAGTATGGTCTGCTATCGTCCAGATTGTTGTTATGAACTGGGCTTTGGGCCACATCCCTGATGTGTGTAGGTATGTCTATATCTCAAGTCCCGAACCTCCAAATTTATTCTGTGGAAAGCCCCTAATTACTGATTCCCGTCATAGTGACGATCAGCCTGATAACTATACATGTCCAAATGGCAGGGTTTTCTATACCGCGTCAGTCATATGGGGCGCGATCGGTGCCAAGCGGAGTGAGTATATCATAAGAGCTATACCCCCTTAATGCGACGAATCTTCCCATGCAAATGTATTTCCTAACGGGCGTGTCTTATAGTGTTCAGTAGCGACGCTCTTTATTCGTCGTTACAGTGGTTCTGGCTCGTTGGTGCTGTCGCCCCGGTCATCACCTGGTTCTTAGCCCGTCGTGCTCCTAAATCGATGTTCCCGTTCTTCCGTTCCATCAACATGCCCCTCTTCTTTGGCGGCTCGGGCATGATCCCGCCTGCTACTTCGTATACCTATCTCTGTTGGGGGGCGGTAGGCCTGACCTTCAACTACTTCATCAAACGAAGGTGGAATGGATGGTGGCTGCAGTACAACTACATCACCTCGGCGGCCCTTGACTGCGGATTGGCAATCTCGACGATTATAATATTCTTCACCCTCTACCTCACCTCCGCCCAATTGCCAAAGTGGTATGGGAATTACGATGTCTTCGATACGTTAGACCAAACTGGGATGGCTATTAAAAGCTTTGTTGCCGAAGGAGAGACATTTGGGCCTACGACTTGGCCATGATTCGTGCAGATTCCATGCATTGTACTAGTATGTTACTATGAGAGGAGCGCCCAGAAAGCCCATTGTGGCCTTATTTTAGGTATTGTGGATGTCATGTATGAAGTGTAGGGGCGTGGGATGGGTGAGAAAAGCAGGATTGCTATATGAGAAGATCGAAGATAACGCGGCATGACACCTATGATTGGGCCATATCGTAACGAGTTGCAAAAAAGAAATCAGCGTGTATACTGTCGTAACATGCTACCATCCGTCTCCATTCAGACGTTCCGTCCTAGACGCACATGGCATAACCACGAAGATAACGTGTATGCCTAAGTATGTATAGATTTTTACCCTATGTCCTCAGCATTCCATCAACACCCACGACACTACCGTTCATATACCTTGCCTCGTTACTCATGAGAAACGCTACGACCTTGAGGGATTTTTATTAGCTTGTGCATCGTTACAAACACCCGGACATTCTAATCAACGGAATATTACGCGACGGACAACACTCAAGGGGTATGGCTTGAGATGGACACAAGGAGGCGATCGACCCACGGGGAGATTCGAAGCGTGACAACACATAACGTAGAGGATTTCACTTACCCCAGCAATATCTTTCGGGGTACCCATCCTGCCCAATGCGTTCCCCTGTTCCATGGCAGTTCTTGCTGCAGCTGTCCCCTTGGCGATCCCCGCATTGGTTGGCGTATCAACGTAGCCCGGGCACACGATGTTCACTCTTATACCTTTGGGTCCCAGCTCAAGAGCCATACACTTGCTAAACCCGATTACACCGAATTTAGTAGCGCAGTAGATCGCTGTTCCCATGGTAGGGTTCCACCCGGAAATACTGCTAACGTTAACGTAGCTACCTCCCGGCGCCGTCATGTGCGGCATAGTAGCCTTGGTTATGTTATATGTGCCCTTCAGATTTACTCCGACTAGCTTATCAAAATACGCCTCGCTAGTCTCCGTCAAAGGCATGGACGTTGGGTTGATGCCGGCACAATTAAACACATGGTCAATATGTCCATGCTTGGCTACGACCTCTGCCACGCACTGTTCTGCGTCGGCTGCTTTAGACACATCTAGAATAAGGCCCGTATGACGCCCTGCATCGTTTCTGCCGCAGAGTTGAAGAGTATCGGCGATACCAGCTTCGTTGATATCCGTGATGACGAGTATGGCCCCTAGACTATGAAGTTTGATCGCCGTGCCTCGTCTATGAGTGAAATGAGTATAGAGTAAGTCAACAAGCTAAAAGGGGTTGTGATCGTGCTTTCATATTGACTAACTAGGGATAGAATTTGCTTCACTTACCCAATACCGCTTGCTGCGCCGGTGAGAAAGACCACTTTACCAGCAAGATCCGAAGGCATTCTCAATATATTTCATATGCTAAGGCTGAACTACATCTATCCCTACGTATTTCTTGCTTGCTTTTTCAGGGTCTATTACGCTGTGGCGGACGGCGAACCCCCACTTATGAGCTCCCCGCCCCCGAGCTCGGACGTACACAATCTACGAAATCCCATTTTCTATATACTCGATGCGGATAGGTACCTAGGTAGGTACTTAATATCTCATCTGTTGTAGAACACCATACGCCTAGTGCTAAGAGTGGGATATGGGAAGTACCCAGAGTGAAGTAAGCCACCTACGTATGTGTCCAATACATAGTGAGATTAAGGGGAAGGACAGCGGCACTAGGAAGTCCACTATCTATCACCGAAGACCTTTCATAGAGTAAAAACATCTGTTACGATATACGCATAGTTCCCTCCGTTTCTTCCCCCCTTCCCCCCCCCCCCCCCCCCTCCCTCTCTTTTTTTCGTTTTTGTATTTGCCGCGGAGAAAAACAATTTTGTGAAACCCACTACCTAAGGCAATGATTTATTGTCGCCGACCCTGGAATCTTCTGAACTCCATACATAACGAAAATACAGCAGATAAAAAGGAATTCAATATGCCAGGGTATCTTAGACGCGCCATAAACCATGCCGAATGCAAACGCCGAACCACTATACATTTGCCTTATCCCACTTTCTTCATTCGTAGAACCTCTCGTCCCATTCATACTCCAGGTATTTTACTGGAGTCGGCCACCAGGACACTTTTGGAGCAACGAGTTAGTAGAAACTTCTCGGGGCGACGCCGACTCCAGAGGAAAAAGAAAGACGCCACTTACTTAAAGGTCCTTCGATTCTTGAGACATGTTGTTCTACCGGCATCGCTTTAGGTTCTTCACTTTTGACGATCTTCTCTTCGGCCCACTGGTGCTCCATTAACTCCGGTGGCTCAGGCCACCATGACATCAATGGTCCAGAGATGTCCGACACATGATTGACTTTCGGTGCTGCTGCTTGATCATGTTTACGCTGGTACCCGAGGCCCGGGCTTAGCTTGGATACCGGGTCCGATCGCACGATAGGCGGCGATGGTTCTTCTGCTTGTCTGCCGAGGAAGACGGGAAATTCGAAACCATCTTCAAATCCCAGAGGACTGCCCCGGGAATAGGTGCTCGATAGCGATGGTAAGTACACACCTTCATCGAAGTCGGACTCGCAGTCGCTTAGGATTGGAGTTTCGTTGGTCTCTGACACAGGGGTCTGCGTGCCTGTCGGCAGCGACTCTAACGGCGTAGAGTACCCATCACGATAGACATGATTGATGAAAACCTTACCACCATGGTGGTTGTGGTGCAAGTGGTTGACGTAGAGGAGGTGTGAAAGATCGTCTTCATTATAAATAGCGACCTGAGGGTTTGTATTGCTGTCAGAGACAGGGATGGGTTCCAAATGAGGGGCCTGAATTTGGGTGTTCATTCGTTCCATCTGAAAGATATCACCCTGCATTATCTTTGTATTTGTGTGTGTTTGATATAAAAAAATCTTGATTGAATTTGGTGATATTGTATCTTAATAGTAGGTATCTAGCTAGCTAACTTCTCACTCACCACCAGATTCAAGTGCATCTTATATACAGGAATAAAACCCTGTGTACTATGCTGAATCAAGTAAGAAAGAAAGAGAGAGAAAAAAAACCCCCCATTCCTGCTGAGCTGGTATGGTAGGGCCATGCTCGAACTATTAGACCCGAACTATTCTCGTCTCGTCTGACTAAATTGACGATTTCGATATTCTGTCTTACGCCTCCCAAGACGAAAAAGAAAATAAGAGGGAGAAAAAAGCGGGCTATTAGTGGCATGTCATTGAATCACCAACCCATTGACAATCGTATGATTATTATGAGGCGGTCGAGCCCAGTTAGCGCTTGAAAATATTACGGGACGGAGCTGGAATCAGTAATCCGGATTCACCCGAAAGAGATCTAGTCTTCTAATTCGCGACGAATTAGTCAAGTCTAGAGTGTCCACATGTTCAGTGGCCATGTTTGTGAGACTTCATCGGAATTATTCATTGCGTAGTTGCCATTAGAATTATCGCCGTGTGCCGCTCTATTTTCATGGGCGGATTCCAATGTAATACCTCATACACGTTTCGAACGCTTCATCATCCCCTATTATTTCATTAGTCTGACTTATGTCTAGATGCCTACTACCTGCTAGTTATGTACAAGTCAACTTGCTCAAATGAAAGCTTACCCGGATGTGATCGACGACTTCTTCCTTAACGATATTGAGATCCCTATCCGTATCCACTCTGATTATCGGCACGCCCGACTGTTCAAGGGCATCAAGCATTGGGCCGCTCTCAGCATTGTTGCGCTGGACTCTCTCCTGTATTGATTTCGGATCCTTGTCTTCGGGTCGCCCTGATGTTCCTGCCCGTCCAAGTAGGCGTTCACATGAAACTTCAGGCGAACAGAATAGATACAGAGCGCAATCTGGCCGTGGCATCTGAGCCATCCACTCCGCAACGTGCTGTTCGTCGCGTGGAAAGCCATCAATCAGCCAAACCATTTGACCATATTGCTTCACTCCTGTTTCGATCGTGTCCCGGACCAGTTTAACAGCATCGCGGGCTGGGAGGAGTGGTCGGTCAGTTGTCTCGCGACGTGGAAAACTGCTAACCCAAGATCCTGGGATCTTGTCCTGGTACCGTATCAGGCCGCCAAAAGAGAGATGGGTCAGGCCGGGAAACGCAGCTTTGATAAATTCCGAGTGAGTGCCCTTACCCACCCCAGGTACCCCGATGATGAAAATAATGAGAGGCTGAAGCGAGGTACCTATAAATGCTTTGCACTTAGCATTTAGCCAGACATTATGATTAATTAGAATTACCTGTTCCTTTTTCACCAAGCTGGCTAAAGAGAGGAGAAGCTAAGATAGTTCGGAAGTTGAGCTTTGGAAGACGGCGTAGGATTAACAAAGGGAAAAGTTTTATGAAACTCATCGTCGCTTACAGTTCGTAATAAACGGGTGAGATAATAACGGTTCGATTATTTTGGAATTACAAGGGGTTGTTGTTGGTGGGTTATCGTGCTAATGACATGGGATGAAATCCCTCCGTGAGCCTCTTATACTTCTATATTTCTCACTTAAGGCTGGTCTAACTTATAGGCGGAATATCTAGGTGCTTCTTAGGTCGGGAATCCTCTATGAGACAATACTAAGACCTCAAAGGTTGGCTCCCGACCTCGCTTGAACATACCATCGCGACCCATTAGGCATGACCCGTCGTATTTCCTCAAAGGTCCTTGCTTTTTATTATTATAGAAAGCCGAGTCTATGAAGGAAGCTCGTTCATAGGGTGTTTCGATTCTTGGTCTGTTGCTGTGGAAGAGGTGTAGATGGGGCTACTGCCTGCATCGTATACATATGCTTGTGTAGTGGTTGTTTACGAGCTTTCCGCGCGGTGCTTCGTTGCTATCTCTACGATGTTCATATTCGCAACGAAAACGTTCGCGGAAAGGTAACATAAACTTTCTAACACGCGCGAAGCACACACCCAGCTATTCGCCGCTACGAACCTTTCCCGAACTTTTCCTACTACCTACATCGTTGAATCTTTGCTATTACCTTCTGCCTCAAAAATTGGACCAAATCGAGCATGTCGGAGTGCCCCGAGCTTCCTTGGCAGCGCTCAGAATCCGATGAACGTTCCTGCATCTCTAGGAATTGGGCGAGAAGTTGTACCGTGCGCGTTGGATTGAACAGAGCGGGATTTATCAAGAGTATATACGGTTCGTCTGTAGATACGCTTATTGATAACTTCTAGGCTCGTCCTCGAAAAATTCATGGTTCGGCCGGAATCCGTTAGAAACTGATGGGTTTGTTTTAAATTTTGAGCCAAGTTATTCAAGTAGGTGGCTAGAATAACTTTTATGAATATAATACTATTGTTTCGTGTGCCCCCTACCTCCATCTGAACCAATTTTTCGCTCGAAGAAAGCATCACTCGCTTGCCCCCTCTTCCCGGGACACCCAGGGTTTGATGTGACCCGTCTTCATACGTCAAAGTAATGCCAGCCACCTCGTTAGTCATTTGCTTAAATATAACTTCGATAGCTATAGCTGGGTTTGGCCGGCCGCCATCGTGAGTTTCCGTCATAAACACTCTTTGCGGGACGGTCCACGAATATTGAACACTAGCAGAGTCCGCGAGCAAAGGCACCCTAAGCTTATTTCTCTTCATCGTATAGAAGACCCGCACATGATCCCACTGTCAATCCTAGGGCATTAGCTTCCACGATTTGCGAAGAATAGGAAGGGAAAAGCGACCTAGCTTAGGTGGATTCGATTGCGATGAGCTCTATGTATCGAGCTCATGGAATCTAAGCGTATCGAGTATGTATGGCGTTGGACCTTAAAACGAAAGGGAGTAGGGGAAATATATATTCCTGAGAACTGAAAGTGCTCACCTCGTGATTATAGCCCCAGAGGATCCCGCCCTTCGTTGCTATGTTAGTAGGTAAACATCGGATATTTATAAAGGGTAGCTTATATAGCGTAACCAACTAATTTTTCGTATGGATTTTCTCGATATTCCAGTCGTATTTTCCCGAAAATATCAGGGTCAAGGAACTCTTTGACAATTCCGCGGCTGGTGCTTAACTTGAACTTTTTGATGGATCCATATTTCACCCGCGTATCTCGGTTTGTGTAATCGTGCCACGTTACCAGCTCCGTTACTCTATCTTCTGGCGATATATCCAAGGTATCGAGTTCCTTTATCCACTGTCCCACGATAACAGGTCTGGTTGAATCGTAGTAATCGAGCCAGAGACCTGAGATATGATCCTGAAGGGCGGCATGCGTTCCATCGTTAACCGAAACGCGGATTCTGCATACATTTGAAAGATCTGCAGTCGTGAAAGCAACCCCCCGAGACTATGCGAACATATCCTGGGCTGAACTTAGGACATTTAGGTCGATGGGAATGCGATGCTCAGTTTTCGGTGGTTCGAAAACAACGTCGACTTGAGAGTTCTCGTTTATAGTCTGAGAATGGGCGGATAAGTCTCTGAAATGCCCGAGAGGAGACTAACACAGGTATTAGTTTACTATATGTCCTGGTGATGATTTTCGGTGTCTCATCTAACCTGGATTTTGGCATAGAACGAGGTAAACTGCATTCCGCGCTTGGCTTGTCGGACTCGAACTGTCTCCTGGTCTACTCCTCTAGAATCTTTACCATAGAGTCGGAATTGTTTCCTTCTTCCCAAGTTTGTGATGATCTAAAACGGGACAAGCTTGTTAGTAGGTCTACCACTGCGTTTTACGCAAAGTATCGCTATGTATCTCTATATCGAGCGTATAAGCAGGGGTTGCAAAATAAGTCGCCCTTACCGTAATTTCTTGGACTGTATCCATTTCTTTGGACCAAGAAGTGATTATTTCAGTCATGGCTTCCCCACCTGGACCATCGATTGGGAAGCACTGGCAAATGGCTGGCGTGGAGGCCATATCACCGAGCCCATTCCTGAAGCTTCTGCGACCATAGAAGCGCTCACTTCTATCACTGTACACAAATGAGATCCCTAGAAACATTGACGGAAAGCCTCCCACGAATATGCCAACGCTAACTAATGACCGTAGTAACTGTCCATCAGGTCCGCCAAAATCCATGTTAAGGCATAGGTTGAAGTATTGCGTAGGTGAAGGCTGGGGAAATTGCTACGCCGGACGGATTTGGGGTATTTCTGGATTTCATAATTCGCGAGGGCCTGAGCTTTGGGGCCACCTTGGACCCACGAAACTATCAGTAGACCCAAGCAGTTCTTGTGTCTGTCGTTCAGCAAGTGAAATGGATATTATCTTGCAAACCTATTGTAGTTGTTAACAACGCAATTCAATGCGGCTGCGATACCCCCTTCATCTTACATCAATACCGATATGAAAACCAACACACCGCATGCCGTAACTTGGGACAAGTCGAGAGATGCCACTTGCTGGATCTGAGAGGTTCATATCTCCTACCGAAAAGGAGTATGACTTTTCTTGGTCTTGGATATAAAAACGCAACCCAATTACACCTTTTGCACTCATGGCAACTTCAAGGCGCTCGATGGAGCTACGAGGCTCTATGGTGATCTCGCGTTCTTTGTGTGGGTTGGTAAACCCAGCCTTTAGCGACATGGCATCGCTTTCATCACCAGTGAAGAGAAACTGAAAACCACTGATGTACGTCTTACCATCTAAAAAACACGGACGAAATCCGTATTTTCTTGTATGCGGCGTTCAGAGATTGTGGCCAAGAGATACTTTGCCATCCAATGAGTCGACAGCTCAAAAGCAGCGGTTGGCCCATAGAAGAGTGGCCTGAACCAAAAGCCGCTTCAGCAGATACAGCTTCCAGGGGTGGAGGTTGCGAATGAGATTGTAGGGACGAGTTGGGTGTCCATTGTTCATTTTCTAATATTACATATAGAGCGTCGGAAATGTGTCGCAATATATTCCAGACGCGACTTCGGTTTCTAAGGCCACAAAACAACTCGGATTTCAGAGCTGCTTTCTGTGTACGAATCCAAGTTTAGCAAAATGTTCTTACACAGATGACAGGGGGGCGGAAGGGCAAGAGGATTAGCCCAAGCAACAGGAAATCACAGCGACCCAAGGGGCCCAAGGAGAAATGAGAAAATATGGCCCTCGATATGAAATTATCCCGTACATACAGCTTTAAAATATAGCGAGCGCCAATCTGCCGGCTCTATCGGTCTCGGGTTGGAAGGGCCAGTAAAGACAAACCCCATTTCTGCATCCGGATCAAATCGGGTAGACCAGAATCGCTGGTCGAACAAGTTCGGCGGGGAGAGATCTGCTATATATCGAGAGGCGAGCCGTACATTGCAGACGTCTCTACTTGGTAGACACGCGAGTATGATCATGATAAGTTCGCTTGGGAGAAGACGAAAGCGGTCCAGCTCGTCGTAGTTTCTATAGTGCATATCGGAATGGGCGAGGTAAGCATAAGATGATACTTCGTCCTCGAGGCTTTCCTCATCGGGATCAAACTTCTCAGCCAAGTCGCCGGTGATGAAAAAGCAGTCGGATGCATTTACATGAGTGAAATAAGCGAAATGGCCAGCATTTGCCTCTAACCTACGTGGATGAAATCGAGTGGCAAGGTTGGATTCGCGGCCAGAGACTAGAACACCATTAGTAGCATTCACGGGGGTATAATATAGCAGAGCGAACAGATGGTGAGCCAAACTGTTGACGGGGAAATTGTGACTAGGATCGATCCGATCTCTCAGGAGCTCCCAACAGGCGTTGTGGACGACGTAACACTAGTATTCCGGGGTAGCAGCAGCGGCAGTGACACCAGCAATATTGGTAGTGGTACCATGGGGTGGATACCCCGTTTTATGTATGGTGAAATGGTCATCTAGTTGCTGCTGAAGCTCGTGGTCGTGATAATGAGCTTCGTATTGAATAGGAGCAATGACATCTTCGCCCTGATCGAGCCATCCGACACCTGTTATGGAAGGTTGATGGAGGTCCTGGCTGGTTCGTACTGGAAATGAGACGGAGTGTTTAGTAGAGTGCTGAGTGCGAGTAGCTGGAGTTGACGCCGACTGCGTTTGGCCAAGAACACATACTGGTTCAAACTTCCTGTAACCAACTGAGACGATAATCGAGATTAACTGAATCAAACTCCACGCTTATCCATGGGTCAATCAAAACATCGCAGATGGGACAAAACGAGGCAAACATGGTTGATGACCTAAATGGTGATATAGGTATGTATCTTATGTAGGTGGGTGGGTGCTATGATTGTTGGAAGTATTTATTTCGTACCTAAAGAATGCCCGGATACCTAGATACATAATATAAGGAGCTGAAATTAGTGCCTAGGTATGTACATATATGTAGGTACAGATATATAATGCGTAGCCCAATTAGGTGATATACCTAGGTTACATACAGGTGCTATGTGGGTACCTATTACATTGTATATATGGGCTTATATCCTTCGACAAACCTCGAAAGTATCACGATACCCATAAACATAAAAGGATATGGTATAATATAAGTGAAACAATCTGTAAGAACTTGAAGAACGTTATAAACCCGTTAGTAACAAAATACAAATATGCCCGCCCTCGACCACCAACCCGATGCCCATGAAAACCCTCTTGTCATTCATTATCTTAGAGCGGAACCCCCTTGTTCACACCTTCTACCTCATGGAGAATAGCACCGCTAACATGTACTAATGGATACAACGCCCTATGGCTCGACTGAGCTTAGAAAATACCGTTAACTATCTTTCCGCCGAGTGTAGCACCCGCGCCAAAGATGGCAGCATTGCCCAATTTCTTGCCAAACTTCTTGCCGCCCTCTTCAAATTTGCTCGGGGCTGCGCTCTGCCCGCTCTGCCCGCTACCCTCTTGCGCCACGGCCATGGGAGGAACGTGCGCGTTGTAAGGATTCTGCGTCTGCGGCGGCGGCGGCGGGTATCCTCCATTGCCCCCTGGCGCCGGGCCGGGCGTGGCATATACCGGCTGTGCCAGAGCGTAAAACCCCGCCTTCTCGCTGTTGTCTATCTCGACGTAGTTCTTGGGGAAGATGCCTTCGGCGTTCGTTCGCTTGTTGCGTCCCATCCACCAATCATCATTCATGTACTCGTACACGGCGATCTTATCGTCTCGTTCGAAGGACAAGTCTCGGTCATCGGCTGCTTGGTATTTGTAGAGCGCCCTTGCATGGGCGATGATCGGCTTCGTTGGCGGCGGAGGCGGAGGACCTGTGCGCGCAGGGAGGGAAGGTGGACCAGTCGTACTGTAAGCCGGCGGTGCGGGATTGGGTGCTGGGTTTTGGTTGATTGCCAAATTTGCCATCGAGTTTACAGGCGGTGACTGGGGTGGTGGCGGCGAGGCGATTGCGGATGTCCGCGTTGCAGGTGTCGGCGCGCCGGAGAGGGAGGTCTCCGCGGGAAGCATTCGATGAATCGAGTCGAATACATTGTCGGTCAGGACGCCTTTCTCGAGGAGATGTTCAAGCTCCTAATCCCGGAAAGGCAGGTTAGCAATCACAGAATTAACCCATCTACTGTACATAGAAGCGCTGCAAAAGAGAACATTGGCGTAGCCGGCATACATTCTTGATAAGCCGAAGCGACTTGTTTGTCGCGATGATTTCTTGACGCTCTAAGGTGACCATTTTGTTGAGGACCTACGTCCAACTACCGCGTATTGAATCGAAAGTGCGGTCGATTTTAATTTGTCGAATGATTAAATAGATGTATGGGGAGGCCTTTTCAACTACAACCTTGAGGGTATATATGATTAGGGTGGACGATACGGGAGGCGAATGTTATTGGGGGGGCAACTGTCGGGACGTTATATCAATAAGAGATGGGAGATTGTTGATGGAATGATGGAACTACTTGAGGTGGGCTGCTTCGTTTTAGGGATGATTGATTGACTGATTCGTGATTTTAGTGGAGTACTAGGTACATTTTAGTGGAATAAAGTGCCTTTCAGTTGAATAAACGGTGGCTGTGCTATTACCTCCAGGGATACATTATTTGGAGGTACTTAGATACATATATAGGTACATACCATGAATGGATTATGTACATGTAGGTATAATGATTTGCACGTGTATGCCCCTGAGTGTGGTGTACCCTACATAATATATTTAATGTATGTGCAACTTACATAATTATAGGTATGTACACATGTAGACATCGGGAAGTAAGAACATATCTGTAAGTAGATATATATATATGTATGGTACACGTAGGCATGCAAATAGCTTCCAACGCCATCTTAATCTACATACATAAATTGCAAATCTATTTAGATAAAAGGACTGTTCTTCACCACATACTTGTCAACGTACTCGTCGACCGCCGTAGCCTCTAGCTTTTTACCGTCCATACCCAACTCCACCAATTCCTTAACTTGCGACTCAGAGAAGTGTGGTTCCAAGTGTCGCTTGTACTTGGCCAATATATGTGGTTTGGCCTCGTCTCTCCTTAGACGATGTCCCAACGGGGCTTCCACAACTACTTCGTCTAGGACGGTACCGTCGTTTAATTCCACCGTCAGCGCATTGGAGATGGTTCGCAATTCCGGGTCATGGTAATCCTTGGTGAATTGCGGGTCCTCGACACACTTAATCTTCTTGCGGAGGGACTCAACTAAGGGCGACGTCGCCGCCTCGCCGCCGTCTGTATAGTCAGTCGCTTCAAGACGTCCAAACACAAGCATCACCGAGCACATGTACTGGATACAGTGGTCGCGGTCCGCAAAGTTGTCCATAGGCTTAAATTGCTTATCAATGATTCGAATGCACGCCTCATGCGTTCTGCACGTAATGCCCTTAATATCAGCTGCCGACTTGCCCAATTCTTTCAGCTTGTTGTGAATCTTCTGGGAAGCCTCCACGGCTGTCTGCGAATGGAATTCGGCTGGATACGAGACTTTAAAAAGAACATTCTCCATCACGTAGCTGCCGTAGGGACGCTGGAATTCAAATTTGTTGCCCTTGAATAAAACATCATAGAAACCCCACACAGGCGCAGACAAAACGGTGGGAATACCAGGTTCGCCTTTCATAACCTTCAAGGCGAGGTTCACAGCTCTCTGGCAGGCGTCGCCGGCGGCCCATGACTTTCGGGACATGGTGTTTGGGGAGTGCCGATACGTCCGTAGACTTTGGCCGTCCACCCAGGCCTGAGTAACAGCATCGGCAATCTGTTTCTCGCTCAACCCAAGCATATGAGACACGACTGCTGCGCTGGCAACCTTAACCAATACAACGTGGTCTAGTCCAACCTTGTTGTAGGAATTAAGTAGCGCCAGACAGCCCTGGATCTCGTGTGCTTTAATCATACCCTCGAGAACATCCTTGATGTTAAAGGTCTTGCCTCCGGCGAGGTTACCCCCCGCCTTATTGGTGCGATTGACCCAGTCAGCGACGGCCAGGATAGCTCCCAAGTTGTCGGACGGGTGGCCCCATTCGGCAGCTAACCAACAGTCGTTGTAATCGAGCCATCGGATCATAGCACCGATATTGAAGGCACCGTTTACGGGGTCGAGGATAAAGTCGGTACCGGGCACCTTGGTGCCATTAGGAACGATAGTACCCGGGACAACGGGACCGAGCAGCTTAGCACACTCCTTGAAACGGAGACCCTCGAGTCCGCATCCTAAGGTATCGAGGAAAACCCATCGCGCAGTGTCAAACTGTAGTGGGAGGCCGTGCAGTTAGCGGGGCACTTGTCAGGAATTCTTCCAACTGGGGTTCCAGGATATAAACATAAGGGAAGCCTACAGCTAATTCGGACCGGATCGGTTTGGTGACATAACTAGCGATATCCCTAATCTCAGTGTCGTATTCTCTTGCTTCTTGAGGCATTGCAGGAGCAGACTGGCGCGTGGCGGTGGTAGAGAAGGAGGAGGAAAGGGAGTGGACGGTGTAGGCGGGGCGTGATAGTAACGTAGAAGCTCCGAGTTTCGCAGACGCTGCCCGTGAAGAAAGGCTTAGAGGAGCGGTTTTTTGCAAGGTGGTTCCTGGATGTAAGCGCAGTGATCGGGAGGCAGATCGAAGACCACGATGAACAGAAGACATCTTTTTCTCGATCGCAGGCTGTCTATAAGAGGACGGTGGGGTCTATGGCGGGGGAAGGTCAAAAGCTATCGAATAAAAACATGGGGTATATATATATCTACATACCTAGGTAGCTAAGATAGAGAAGTTGTTAAGAACATTTGAAATTGGAGAGCTATCGACTTAGGTAATAAAGAAGGATAGCCTAGCATTTAGTAGTTTAGTAGGTACATATTGTTGCAGGTTCAATTAGTGATTTGCATGTATTTCCTCGGTACGGTAGACTGGAGCAAAGAATTGTCCCGGCTACATGCGGCCAATGGTGGGGCAATGAACGCTAAGCTCTTACCGAAACTTGAGTACCTAGGTATCTGGGGGGTGGGTGCTTACTCAGACGGGAATACGTATTCCCTCACAACCTCAGTATTGTGAGTATTAAACTACCAGGTCCGGTATGGATGTGAACTCCTTCGAATTGGATCCTCGGTAAGGGGATAAGCGTGTTGCTCCTTAGGTACCCATTCCTAAGCAGGTACCAAAAGTTTACGAAGCAATAATGAGATTTAAAAAAAATAGAATGGGGTTGTCGATGAATACTTCCAATCTTCAAAATAAGGTACCTAGGTATGTACAACAATCCACCGTTATCGGCGCACAGTGCTAAGTATTTAAACCTGTACTCCTAAAAAATACAACATCCTTCACCCCCAGCTTTTTCTAGCGCTGGAGGTAAGTACCTATGTACCTAAGTTACCGAAGTCTAGCAGGGTTAAGTCACAAGTCCCAACCCAATAAATTCCATGATTTCCCTTAAGTTTACCACTATATTATTTATTATCACACTTAAACTAGCATAACACACTCTAGGGGTAACGTTCAACCTGTTCGATATAGTGATAGCTACCAAGCAGCACCACCCCTAACATAACCATGATCAACAAGCTCCCTAAAGTTCCTTTCTAAGCACTGCAGCTTATACATGTCTAGATGCTTCCCGCTGCCAAGTAACTCGACGATATGATTGAAGTCAAACTCCTCAGATATCCGGGAGCACTTCTCCAGTATCCTCCTCAAGATAGCAGTCCTACATCTCGGATCCCTGGCCGCGGTGTCTAAGTTGAGTGCTAATAACGATTGTCTCGTCACATCCACGCCCACATCTATGTCTAACCTTCTCCTTCTCTTTTTCCTTCGGAGCGTATTCGCATACTCGCTCCTGAGTTCCCTCTGTACCCATGGCGCATCCTCGAAGCGGTTTTCTTCGGGCACCTCGTATTCACCCCCTTTCCTCCAGAGCTCAATAGCCGGCCGCCAGCGCCACACGAACGGGTTGAAGTCCCTAGTGAGCCAGCGGGGAAGTGCCTCGTTGCCGATGGATTTTGGCGCGATACGCGTACCATCCCATCCAAGTATAGCCTCAATGTGCCCTTCTTCGGAGACGATGATGTTACGCAAGCTAAAGTCTGGGTGTGTTAGCACAAATCCCTTTTCCTTCTTTTTGTTTGCTCTTTTCTTCTCTTCGCTGGGAGGCCTCGTCTTCGAGGGCTCACGGACGAAACTTATAAGAAGCCGGAGTAGCTTGTCGACTCCTATGTTTGCTTCGTCATCACTAGGATACAAATCTAAGAGTGCCTCGTACATCTCTGCCGCGTCATGAAAGGGGCCTACTCCGGCGTATAATGGTGCCTTCTCGCAATCCTCGTCGCCAAACCATCGCTGCACCATAGCTTGGACGTCAAGTTCCCTTACAGTTCCTACACCAATGATTACACCATCCTCGTCAAATATGGGCGCCCCACCAGTCTCAAATTCGTACCTCCCAAGCTGTAACATAATTCGTGCTAGGCCCCGAAGAATCTTGGCCCTCGTCTCCCTAATTTTGCTCTCGTCGCCATCTTCCCCGAACCAGACGCGGTCCAGTGTTCGGCCCTCCATGTATTCCATGATGAGATACGGCGCGTGTATTTCGTTATACGGGGACGGGTCGGCATCGATAATCGCAGGCACAGGAACAGTAGTATTCATCCGTAGCACTCAAAAAGACAAATGTTAGCAATTACTTCTAGATGTAAGGGGCCTTGGACAGTATTAGGCATGTCTCGGAAGCAGCACATCCATTCACTAGCTTGAGGAAGGATTCCTGGCGTCTGGAACCGAAAAAAAAAGGGGGGGGGGGCAAAGGAATAGTTCTAAGTGTCACATACTGTATAGCACAAGAGCCTCGGTCCGTAGTGTCTCAGCGCACAGCCTATCCCATATGTCTGGCGTGCCGTTGATTGGTATCTTGATAATCCACTTGATGGCCTTGCGGGTTTGTGGATGGTAGAACTCGATCATATAGAAGACATGTGCTGAGCCGAAGAACTGACCTCTGACGAGAGGTAGCTGCAACGGTGATGGCTTGCGTTTCTTGTCCTCTGCGAGATGGCGCTGCATGATGCTGAGAGATAAGGCGGCGATGGCTTCCGTGTCAACGTGAGACAGTATACCAGCGAAGTCGCGGTGTTGCCTCTGGCCTCCCCTTCTTTGCTCCATGGTGATCTCCTGGTGCAAATCCACCGGCGCGGCATCGAGAAGTGCATCCCTAAGCGAAGGTAAGATCTTCTCCGGTGTATCCTTAGTATCCCCAATGTCCTTTTGCACATTATTGAACCTGATATCCCATCGCGCTGGTCTCGCTAGTTTAGCCAAGCCTGCCCATATTTTGTTAGTATCTAGACGACCAACGTAATCGACATGCAATTGGAGCCGATTGATCTGCGACGAAAGTCCTAGTACAAGGCCTAGATTGGCATGGAGATCTCGGGATAGTTCTGTCCGTCTATCGGCACGAGACTTCTCCACGAAATGTTGTGTTGTGGGCTCAGACATGTTAGCTTCAAGAGAGAGTTGGCATGAATGATAACGGTATACAATGCCATTGACCAGTTACTCAAAGACTAAGTGTATATAAAGGCTTTTAGAATGTTCGAAGTTTGTATGGCGTCTATCTAGGCAATTATGTAACAAAGACTTGCCTCATGACGAGTGACGTCGACTTCCGTATCCGGATATCAGCCAATGCCAATATTCCGAGTTCATGATTGACATAATTCTAGCAATTTCTCATGTCTAGGACAAATGGGGATGGCTCTCAGTACCTTCATTTCCTCCCTACTTCTAGCGTAACGAATATGTGTTAAAGCCAAAAAAAAGGTAAAAAAACAAAACGCCATTCTCACGCATAAGGGTATAATCGCCGCCTACAATCAATAACCTCAGGATAACCACTTTTACCCAACCAATACTAGAGCCTCCCTCCCTTGTAAATCAACGCTATGACCCTGATAGAAGGAGGAGGATATAAAGGGCCAAAAAGGATGATGAATTCTATAAACCACCCCCAAGAAAACACCAATGCTAAAGTATCTCGCAAAATCGTTGTCGGGCGACTACGGTTCTAGCCAGATCATGAATAACGAATGCCAATACGCAAACGTTCAACCACTTCTGGGCTGCGCCCAACCCATCCGCGACCAACCCTTCAGCCAACCAATCGACCATTCTGAGATTTGTAGCAGGGCCGCGCCCTATCGCGACCGATACCACCATGTACCAAGACCGATCAAGAACACCGTGACCAGTACCATGATGCCCTGCTTTGACTGCGAGATCAGCATTGACCACCCAATAGTGGACTCCCATTTTTTGACATGGGATCTGTGTTCCCAGGACTGAAAATCGATAGGAAATGGCAATTGAATGCGTGGGTCCACGGGCTCGTGCCAGTCGGCGCTCAACTCCCTCTCGTACGCAGACTCAGTCGGTAGAAGGCTGTCAGGCTCAAGCATAGGAACCTCTAATCGTAAAAATACTGCTCTATGGTCACTCGATCTGACAGCAGGAATCGCGTCATAGGCCGTGACTCTCATCTTTGTGCCGCCGGCGGATTCTCGAGCCCACCAAGGTATATCGAGAAACAAGACGCGATCACACCATCCGGGCCACCGGTGTAAAGCCCACGACCATTCCACATCATCCATATCGTTCTCTTCGCTCTCGTCGTCTCCGATACGGCCAAGTTGCGCCTGTGGCTTTGCTTTGGGCGATAGCACAAGCTTGTAGGTTGGTGGGAAGTTGATGGATGCCTCGCTCAGCCCGTGCAATGTACGTCCGGCATTTTTCTCCGCGGTGAGTTGATCGCGGGCGAGGAAGCGAGCAAAATGATTCGGACTCTCGGGGTCGACATCGGGGAACGTAGAGTCCGAGGCCGGCGAGATTTTAGACAGGCGATAATTAAGATCGCCGCAAACAAAGAGATGAGAACTTGGCTTATATATAGAAATTTCGTGCAGCGCTTTTTCGTTCGAGTCTTGCTCAAGGAGAGCTACTTCGGCTTCTGAATCTTCATTCGCTGGGAGTGTCGATGTCTGCATTGAGGAGCGTTCGGTAAATTTTTTAGGGTCCTCGAATACGAGGCCTGAGACTATACTCTCCCAATTCTTGTTTCTCTTATCAAGATTCCACTCCATAGCAGCGAGGTGAGCACTGACAAAAGTCAATTCAGTTGATGTCGACAAGGTGCCATCTGCGTTTTCCTTCCTGTACAACATTCGGAGGCCCGCAGCACCCTTATTGGCCATATCCCCGGCGCCGAACCCGACTTCGGCGACTTGAAGGTTGTGAACGGCAGCGGATTCGCGGGCGAAGAGCATAATGCCTGTCATACCAACATTGCGCGTGGTCACCAGCTTGTACGGGCGGCCCTTTGGGCGGTGTTGACGTTCTTCTTCTGCGGCAAACTTGGCGGCCGCAAGATTGATGGCCGATTCGTACCGTTGGAAATATGGGTTAAGGATATAAGACCCTATGAAAGCTTGGGCTAACGGGGCCATCTCCTGAAGCGAGCTGAATTTGGTAAGTAGGCAACTTCGGACATTATTAGGGAATTATGGTATTTACATGACGACTAGTTCGGGCAGTGTTGAGGCATTCTGTCCAAACGCATTGTATATGTGTCTAGCAAAGACGGGAATATTAATTTGGCGCTTTGCGGCGTTGAACGTGAGTATAAAGACGTCCAGCGTCGGAACTGGCTCCATGTCTGTGAGCTTAGACCAAAGGTTTAGGTATCTCTTGAGCGGTAGTATAGGAGTAGCAGTAAAAAAGATTCCTATAATAAGGAATAGACAAATTTAGAGGTTTTTCCTTTTTCTTTTCGTTTTTTCTCTCCCTTTTCTTTTCAATTCTAAATTGTTGTTACAGTCGCGGTTGTGATCTTACTTGTAGTCTTCGTCGTAGTCGTAGTTGTCGAGTTCTGTGATTGTGTATGGTATGCGATAGCTTGTCGGTAGCTAAAAGAAGATTCAATGTTCAAAGTTAATGAAACGGGTACAATAGAGAATGGAAACCTTCGACTCGGGAATCAAGCTTCCTTCGTAGTTCCCACTTTCCACTTCCTACCTTGGTAATCAAAGACTACCTAGCTATGCCTAGGTAGGTACCTAATGTCTGATTAGTGGGGCACTTTGCCGTCAAAAGGGAAAGAGAGCAAGGGAGTACCCAGGATAGTGAACTGTATTTGAGGTATCCCTTCCTTGCACAATAGGTATTATGTCATCGATATGAACTCGCGGGTATTATCCGATGTTCAGGGTCCTCCTAAATATGGTAGCAGGGATGGGTTTGGCTAGTCCCGCAATGAATTTTAGAACACCCAACATAGAAAGTTGCCATTTGCGAGGTTCTGGCCGCCTCTTATATTTGTTTTCCTGTTTCGACTACCTAGGTACTAGGAACTTGTCGTGACAAGACACCTGAACAACGTCTCATCCTATCTTTTAGGGCGCCCTCCGCGTCAGCTGGCCCAGAGCCTTGTACTTGGCTCGCCCATGTGACTGCAACTTCCCAGTACCTAGGTAGGCACAGCCTCTCTACACCGACTACCGACGTGGGTATGCTAATAGGGCGTAGTGCGTCTCACCGTGCCTTGGGAATACTATGCTCATCTCATAGCCACTCTCAAATGTATCTAGTCATGAAGCTACGAGTCACCCAAATTCGAGACGATTGGTGACATACCGTTGTTTCACCTATTCCCACAAGCGAAGTATGATAATGCAAATGGAATTCATTCTGTGTAACTACCTAGCGTGTATTGGTTGCCTACTGCCATCGCCGCGGAGAACCTCCTCTTCGTCCTAGCTTCCACAAGCCAGCTCTACCGATACTACCATTAATCGATGACCTAAGAGACATGTTTCGTATCGTACGCGCCGAGCCATCGTGCAAATGTCGTGCTTAGAGGTCTTGGTGAGTAAGTTAAGATGTTCGTACCCGTAGATGCCGCTGCCGCCAAACTAGTAAAAAGCATGCCACTCGCCGTTTTCATTCCAAGAGTGACCACCAGGGGATATCAGACCACCGTTCGATCGCAACATTAGAAAATCCACCATTGCCTAGGGCAACAATGATGTCGTGTTAGGACGATCTGCCAGTCGATAGTTGTACCCTGTAAGCAAGGTGACTTTCCGGCCAAGTCACGACCTATGTGATCACCCCGTGAAAATGAGCCAGAAGGCATTGTTGAGCTAGTCCATTCCTGGCGGCTTCTGAAGACGACCCCTCCGCTTCATTATAACATCCCCGGGAGGAGGTTGGCGTGAACAGTCCAATATCCGAACGAGAACATGAAAAGAAAGAAACTGTCAAACAAGCAAAAAGAAATACGAAGGATTTGGTTATACCGAAAGGCTGATGTATCGCATCGAAGGAGCATCAACGACCCAGGACGAACCTGGCATTAATTCCAGGCGCGTTGGTGCTCAATCTCAAGTTCGGCGTTCCCTCAAGTCGACGTGTTGAATTAAAGTGCGAGAGCTGAGGTGAACATGCCTTGATAGACTAAAATCCCGTAAGCGACACCCCGAGCAGATCAGGATGCCGGAAGTGCCGTTCAAACAGACCTAGATTACTCAACAAGAACGTCGAATGCGTCTGGCAGACACAAATCTACGCCTTCTAGAGCTACCCAGGCCGTCCGAGCCAGTGAATTTAGTCGTAAACCGAGAGTCATCGAAGAACGGAAACAATAGCAATCCATACGATATGAAAGGGATCGTGCGCGGTCCTCTGTCCAACGATACTTGGCGTAGATCCACTGACGGATATTTCAGAGCCAATACAAAGGGAGTGAACGAGGCTACCACGGTTTCGAGTTGCTTTCCATTGCGCGGGTCGCACGAATCGTTGCGCCCGTCGCAGCACAACAGATGGTACCAACGTGAAAATACCAATCAATCATTTCGGTCGGTAAGAACCAGATGCATATCCGGAGCCAGCACCCTGGCCCTTGGAAGCTGATCGCAGCCTGTTACCGCAAACTGAAGTGTCAGCAATCATGTCAGCAATTTCCTCCGGCCAGCGCTGTAAATCACACTAAACTCGAAGGAAATATGATTCCTTACTAGGAATTCTTGGGCTGGGCTGGGCTGGCGAGACACTCACATCCTGTCGCTTCCTCCAACGGCACGGCTGGTTTCTGGAGTGTCAACGCCGGGAGCACCGCGCTCGATTACCTTGCGACGAGAGCTAGGGATTGCGTTAGGCTTGACGGCGCCGGACTGCGCAGTCTGGCCGGCGGTCGCAGCAGTAGTACGTCGTGCCTTGTCATCCTCGTTGTCGTTTTGACCGGCGGCCTGAGCAATAGCCTGGGCATTCTTCTGGTATTTGTAGACTGTCCAATCGAATACGTAATCGTACTGGAACCCCTCACGAACGAAAAGATCACGGAATATCTTTCGGAGGTAACTGTAATCGGGTTTGTCGTCAAATCGCAGGGATCGCGTGTAGTTCAAGTAAATAGCAAACTCATTAGGGAAGCCCCGGCAGAGAACCTCAGTTGGCGTAGTCATCTTCTTCTCCATGATGCGGTCATACTTCTGCTTCTTAGTGGCGGCCTTAAGACCTTGCCAAGGAAGGGAACCCCGGCAGAAGTAGAGCATAACATAGCCCAGGGACTCCATGTCATCACGACGAGATTGCTCTGCCATCTTGTTAGTAATCCTTTGCTATCACGTGATGGGGCTACGCAGACTCACCAACGCCAAGATGCGTGTTGATAGAAGCATATCGGGCAGTACCAGTCAAGTTCTTGTTCTCACGGTACGGAATGTGGAAGTGAGTCTTGGGGTCTCGGTATTTTTTCGCTAAACCAAAGTCAATGACGTTAACCTGGTTGCCTCGCTTTCCGATGCCCATCAAGAAGTTGTCCGGCTTGATATCACGGTGGATGAAGGACTTGGCATGGATGTACTCGATACGGGAGATCAGCTGGTCGGCCAGAAGAAGTACCGTCTTCAGGGAGAACTTTCTGTTGCAAAAGTTGAAAAGATCTTCCAGACTGGGGCCTAGAAGATCAAGCACCATGGCGTTGTAATCACATTCGGTTCCGAACCAACGGACGAACGGGATACCGACGCCACCAGCGAGCGACTTATAAACTCGAGCCTCATATTCAAGTTGGGGGTGCTTCGCTTTCACAGATTCCAGCTTGATGGCAATCTCTTCACCGGAGATAATATTGGTGCCTAGGTAGATATCACCGAACGAGCCGGATCCGATTTTTCGACCGATGCGGTACTTATTACCGACGCGAAGATCCTAAATTAAGTCAGTACGCCATAGTTCAGCTACCAATAATGCCCGCCAAAACAAAACTATAAGGTGCTGTCCCATCGACACACACCGACATTCAGTCCCCACCACGCCAAACAACAGAGGCAATCCACCTTGCGCTCCACCATCCAGTATGATGACGAGAGTTGAAAAGGCAACGTACCATAGTGGTCATGCTGACTGCTGAGGGTGAGCTACCGTGCTCGACGAATGTAGTAAAATACAGGCTTCGGTTTCCTGTTCGGATCGGTTGGATTGATTCAGGTCGGCCTGTTCCAATCCAAGTTAGCAAGAATAGATCAAAGGCGGTGGGCAACGACAGGTATCATTGTAGGATACACCAAAAGCAAGAGAATAAACCAAGGCTGCCTTCGGACAAACAAAAGAGTGGCCAGGTTTGCGTAGGGATAAGTGTAGTAAGATGATTACGAATAGAATAATACAACTAAGGGGAGATTGAATGGCGACCAGGGAAACAATAAAGCAAGGGAAAGCTTTGTCTGTCAACCTCAGGCAAGTGGCAGAGAATTTGAGGCTGGTGGTAGACAGGAATAACCAGATAGGGCGGAGGGATGCCGAACGAGAACAGAAAAGAGAAGTAATCTTACCCGACTGTTTAGAGTGACTATACCCAGTAGCCTTTACTGGAGTCTAAGGGGGAAATGGTTGAAAATAGAATGAGAACGGGGAGGAAAGAAAGTAGAAAAAAAACAAAAGTATGTAAAAAAAGACGTGGCCGTCGAATATTGAATTATTCGCCGGTGGATTAACACGTCTCAGTTCGAGTCGACGGTGGGTGGAAGTATGGAAGTGTGGAAGGATTACGTTTGACGAGTGAAGAATGGAAAGTTAGCGGTTAGGTAGGGGGGGAGGGAGGAAAGAGAGGAGGAAGAGACGGCGGTGGACCGGATTTTGGGCAAGTGGAGTAGGTTATGGATGGGCTGGAATGGGGTTGGGCGCGCCTCATCAAAAGCTGGGCAGGACCAACCATAGGTGGATTGATTGATTGATTGGGGTTCTTTTTTTTTTTTCTTTTTTTTTTTTTTTGCCTTTAAATGCTCACCCTCGTTAGTGGGTGCGGGCGTGCATCTTGCCTATTTGTAAGGTTGCTTAGGGCGAACGCATTGAGGCAACTGTGGCTGACAGAAATACAGCAGTATGGACCTACCTAGGTTATGTATGTAGGTAAGTTTAACGGCCGTTGCTTTTATAACTGTCGCATACCTTATGTACATACCTAGGTAGGCACATTGATTCAATGTACCTCTATTAGATACCTGCATCGAATTAGAAATATCTATATTCTACCAAAAGGTACGCATAATTGATATCTACCTACTTAGGTATACACTTACATGAATATGTATATATGTATGTACATAACATTCGTACGAAGGCAGATAGTAGCGGAAGTGGCGGACAGACACTGTAGGTGCTTACCTAGGTAGGTACCTAATTAAGGTCTTCAATGTGGTCAAGGAACACTCATGCGTCCCCTACTACATAGGTAGGTACCTACCTAGGTACATGTACCATAAGCTAGGTACTTAGGTACGTTAATAGCCCTTTTTTAGTGGCCATCAGCGGCCTTCAGCGACCGGTCGCCAGTTTCAGAACTTCAGAACCGGCAATTATCTTCCCACCTTAATCAATTCTTCTTGCAACGATTGCTACGAACGACGTAATAATCACCAGATAATCAAGCATAGAAAAGCGTAAAGGACAAGAAAGGCCGATTTAGGAATCGTATGTTTTGGGAGTCCGAGGTAATAAGTGTATTTTTTTATCGCCTTTTACAAAGTCCTAGGTACAGGTATTAAACCCATTGATCCCCTATTTAGGTAGGTACCTAGGTAACTATCCCTTGCGTACATGTAGGTACTGTATGTACCTAAGTATGCTACATAAGGTAGTAGGTCTTACTTTTCCAGGGGCTAAGATACAAAAATCCAAGCGCTTAAAGCATTAATTATATGTAACCGTTAATCATAACTGTCAGGCTACCTACACGGTATGCAATTTCGGTACCTAGGTAACAAGACATATTCCCCTATATTCCCTATTCTAATCCAATTACAAAAGGGAGCACGAATCAGACATTAATTACATATGTACTGGCGAGTCGGAGGACGACAAAGAGACACGCCGTACCCAGACAGCTACTTATATGTCATATCTCCAGCCTACCTACATATGTAAGTCTGTATGTAGGTACCTAGGCAGGCATATATATATATACCTAGGTATATATATGTACGTCCATACGAAACACGAGGCTCGCGCACCAGTAATACAATTTCCATGCAAACCACGCAAACAGGAAGAAAGCTCCCTCAAATTCGCAAGCGGCATTTTAAAATGCCAAATTCCGTACCTCCTCCAAGTTCGGCTAAGTCTTGGGAAGTATCAATTATACAATGACACACGCATTGAACGACTTAATAAGTATATATGGATTTGTTGGTTATGCTACCTGGTTGAAATTCGTATACAAGCCTGCTAAGAGCACATTCGCAGGTACCGAGCTCAGTATCTACAAGCCTAAATAGGCCTAGGTGTACAGGTATAATACAGATATGAATAGCAAGTACAAGCGTGTAAAAGGGCCTCAATTTCCATCGCGAGGTCATACCTTATGCGGGAAAAAAAAAAAATAAGGAAAAAAAAAAATCTTTAAACGCCTACTAGTATGACACGCCATACAGATCGGCAGAGATCTTCCCCCCTTCTGTTGGCAAGCAGTGATTCGTGAACCACTATGTGTTTTCAGGTCTCGGCGTTATTGTCAGCATATTCACTACCAATAATACCTACATATTTCTAGGATATCAAATAAGAAGAAAAATGGAAGAAAGAAATAAGGAAATAAATATATATGATTACCAAATTACACATATAAAAAGTAGGGAGTCATAACATATTCCTATTACTTTCTCTGACACAGCAATAGGTGGTCTAACAAGACGACCTGACATCACAAGTGCCACGCACAGACATATCCATGAAGAAGATAGTATTTCTTATCTTGTCACGGACAATTGCTCTGGTTTCCCATAATGGCCTTTCCTTTCCTTTCTTTCCTCCTTGTCTCCTTGTTCAGTGTTACTACAGTACAGTAGTATTACTTGCAGCAGCACGTCAGCGTTTGGTCATCTGTAAATATGTAAGGCGCCCAAACGAGTACTGGGAGGGGCTCATATCTTTACCGAAATTCATTCGTCCCTCTGCATATGAACGTCGCCTATCCATTTGTGCCCGCTTCCATTTCGTAACTTAAGGCCGCAAGATCCTCCAACATATCAGACGATTGAATCTTGAGACAACCATTTTTATACCCGAGTTACGCAAGTTAATAAGCTGTTAAATGATGACCCAGAAACGTATTTTATCATGAGAGGTAAGCTATAGATACACATATAGAAGATACAGCAGTACATCAACGATTATGCAAAAGTACAAAAATAGAAAAACGGATCAGGTTTATTAGCGACGTATTGTTATTATATAATCAAGATTTTCCTTGTTTGTACTATCAAGACACGCCAGGAAAGGCTGCCTACCTAGGTATATAGAAACAAGTGCATTGTTAAGTACCTACATAAATTAGGTACCTAAGTATGTGACTACATCGTCAACTCAGTGTTACTAAGAAGAAGGATATACAGCCTAGTCGAGACGAGTTTCTATACGTTATGCCATTTCTTGTACAATTGCTAAGTGATGGTCTCGCCTACCTAGGTAGCTACCTACTAGGTATTTATCCAAATCTCCATAGGTACTGTTCGATTACTCAGCTACTTGAGGCAGTAGTTCTAGGTCAGTCGAGGCTCTGCCGATCACAGCAGTCTAGACTGCCCAAATCATACTGTCACCGTAAATCGGGAGGTCGGGACCCAGAATAAAATACTGACGACTGCACTGAACTTGTTCATGTGCTCCCGAGAGAGCATGAATCAAGTTTTGGGTTTACTCTGCTTCATACAAGGCTACGGTGCACGTATATTGCATAATAACTTGGAAAATACTTCAAAGTTATATCCAGGAGTTCAGTTTCTTACCAGATCATGAATGGAGCAGCGTCATTCTCATAGGTCCCCACCATTGATGATGATTTAACTGTATGTGATGCACATAATTCAGAGTAACCAAGTGGATATATTGACTTCTTAAGTTTGCCACAATTTGCACCAAAATAACAGAAGGTCCAATAGCTACCAGAGTCCCCCGACTCCCAAAGTGCAGCAGGTTGATTGCTTACCACCGAAGGGAACAGGGCCCCAATTGCCAAGTAACAAATGAAGGATTTAGAATAATACAGCTTAGCTTTGGCAGAATTAGCAGCTGTTGAGCTGATAGCCGTAGAGAATAAAAGAAAAGAAAAAAGGGCGAGAGAGAGAGACTGGGCTTTTAGGATATCCCTTTGATCCAATTTCTACTTTCTAGAAATTTCGCTATGAGTAGAAGGCCGGAAACACCATTCTAGCTAGCCGGTATTGTCACAATATTCGGGCCCAGGCAATACACTTGTACATGGAAGCTGTGTCTGAATAATAGCCGTAATCGGTGTATTGTATTGTCTAGGCTGCGTCGATATAATATTTTCTTTGTCGTCCATCATCCGGGAGCAGGGACTGGAACACTCAATGATGGAATGTTAGGGGAACACGAACACAAAGAAGAACATGCCACCTTTCTAATCATCATGATCAAACGTGGCTCAAAGCCCACGAGAATCGAAACTCGCGGCCCGATACCGTCGCTCACATCACAAGTCTCAGAGTTCGACCCTAAGTCTCACATCAGTAGAGTAAACCGAATCAAACACAGGGGAATATTTCGAAGAAAATTTTAGAGCTACGACCTCAGGTAGCTGAAAGTCTCACACGAACTACGAAATTCAAACAAATCGAGGCGTTAAAGGGCCTGAACTTTTAATCGTTTGTCGCGTCTACCTCGCCGTATCAAAGCGAAGCCCAAATACAATAAGAACGACCACTTGAACTTAATAACCATCCAAGCTATCAACTATAGATACCATGATTTTAGGCAACGGAGTTGAGGAATGCGAATTGGCGACACGCAAAATTCTGCGACGAGGGTTCCTGATTGATTCATTGCCTAGGCACTCAAGTATCGTGCTCGGAAAAGAACAAGAAACTAGTGTGGTCCTAACCATATCTACTGGAGATCATCCGGTATATAGTGTTGCGCACACTGAGCCTGGAATCAAGGAAGGCCTCTACAACATGGCAAAGGAGGGCCTGCGGGGGAGAATGGTTCTGTATGGGCTAGACTTTCAATTCAAGGAAAAGGATAGGCCGTGATCTTATATTTCCAGGGTGGGATTCGCTATTATGCCTTAAGAGTCATCCTTGTATGGCCAGTTTGAGGGAGGAACAGGATGGAATAAGGGTTGGGGGGGATTCCGTAACGCGAAGCCAGCGTTGAATACAATGTTATGAATCATATTCTCGGCCTTGACATGTTGCAAATTGAAACCTTGCGTGTGACGGGGTTGGAAGTTTTGTCGCCATTCGAATATATTTGACTTGAGGACGCACCTTTGAAGCGTTCGTTACAATGCCCGTCAAATACTTACGGGCTGGGAAGGTTATTAGTGAGGTTGACGGAAATTTTAAACGGAGCGGGTCCTCTATTTCTATAAGGGGGACATCTGATGTGCGCAGATGACGAGCTAGACGCACGTACGGGCGTCATCGTTATTGTCCCTGTCACTCTTGCCGAGCAGTGATGAGGCTCATATAAACCCCCCAGCCCACACCAGCGAGACTCCCAACAAGGTTGCGGCCTTGTATGCTCTTGATGAATGCGAAATTGATCAAGCTCACAATTGGCCACACCTTCCAGCCAGCGACAAGAATGGAGTAGAACTCGGCACGGCTACGCGCTACCACATCTGACCAGTTAACCTTACCGTAGCCAATGGGGCTCAGGGGGAACGCGTATTGAGTACTGCTGTCTGAGCCGCTAAAAGATGCGCCTGGAGGCTCGACCATAGCCGACTGGATCGAATGCATAAAAATGCTGAATAAAAGGGTATTGACAGCGGCGCCAATGGTTTGGTCTAACATCATTTTGATGGCTGTGTTGGTGATATTTAACCTGGGTTCTACTAGTTTCCCTTTCTTGGCTTCTCGCTCAAGCGCCTTCTCATCATTCGCGGCAGCCGATGTAGGGGTTGTGTGATATGCTGGAAATGTAGATTCTAGGAACTCTTGCCTAGGAATTGGTTGGCGTTAGCATAAATAGGGAGTTTGTAGAATATATAGGGGCGGACGAATGGGAGTAAAGACTCTACCCTCACGTTCGAACGTCTCAAACATACCACAAGAAATTGGGCGGTACATTGACAAGTGAGTATACGACAAACTGGAAGACGGGGACCCAGTCTATGACAAGACGTGCCTGTAAAATTTATGAGTATAGTGTATGGTTATAGAATATTTCTACTATGTACGATGCGAGACTACGTAGTATTTATCTTGTATCTGTGTATATATATATATATATAAAGGCTCTTACCTCATTCTGATATGCAGTCAGACTCTGCGCTAGAAGATTGGATGTAGCTGCGAGAACCGCGGACTGTATGGTAGCGGTGATGATTGGGGGCAAAGCCATACTGGCAGTGGTGGGGGTTGGGCAATAGAGATGACAGAAGATGGAATTTTGCGTATGTTAAGCAGTAATTAGGGAAGAAAATGAAGACGAGGTCAAGGATACTAGGTATATATGCACACGTATTGGATATTGTGTTGCTTTTTTCTTCCAGTTTACGTTGGGTTGCATGTCCGATATTTGTATTATTGGTCAGTCTCAAGAGTCCAGGGTACCGAATTAGCAAAGACCACATTTACCAAAATATCCATCTTCCTGCTAGGCAGAAGCACCCAATAAAGCACCCGACTGATTATATGCAAAACCCACCTTGCCTTGGATTCGCAGTGAGCTACTACTGCACACACAAAAGCAAAGCGACATCGAGGATTTTTGAATGATGGACTTTATTATAGTTTCTTTTGCTTCTTCGCATTAGATTGTCGCATATATCTCTTCTAGGTACCCACTTAGAGATTCCATGGTTGGGGGGGGGGTGGCATTATTCGGTTGGAGCGAGTCTACTAATTCCGAGACTTTCCCTCTTTCCGAGGGTAAATCTGAATAGAATGGAAGCTTAGAATCGCTCTGCCTACCTAATTGAGGAGCGAAATAGCTTGGATGGGCCCGAGAAGTAATTGACTCAGCCTGGCTGACATGCCTAACCCCTACTAAGAATCCACATGAATAAAAGTTGTATGAGGTAAGAATACGCGAATAAGAATTGTGTCCGCTGGTTTCGTTTTGTCCTGGTGTCGGTTTGCATTGGGCCCCGGGCCTCCCCTCCGGTACTTTCTGGTAGGAGAACGTATCTTAATGATCGCATCTAGATGGTAGTTAAAATATTAGTATCGCGCATCTGCATGCTCTATGGATCTATATATACTTACCAGAAATAGGGAATTGGCAAGGAATGTGTATAAGAAGACGCCCCATCCAATCCAGCCGCCTGTTCCTTTGCCTCCGTTCACCAACTCGGCGACAGCGACCGTTACGATGATACCAACGAACTTATACCCCGAATAGGCCACCAAGTCGAGGAGCTGGGATTCGTTTGATATGCTTAGGAAATAACAGCCCAGCTTCAAAAGTAGAATTTCGAGTATCACAACGACTCCTGCTGTCGAGGCCGTATATCCTAGTAATTCTGGTTGGAACTGACCCCGTAGACCGGCTATCAAGGTTGACAGTAGGATGTACGTAACGAGTGCCATGACTGGAATGTACATATCGGGGCTGTTAATGTCGTCGCGAGGGGGGAGATACCATCCCTCCTGTCCGTTGGGTCCTACGGTCTGCCGCCGCGACCATGGCTTGTGTCGCCACGGGAACAGGACTAGGAAGAGTTTGTTGATGACATATTTGTTGGATACGTTGAAATAATGTTTAAGGGCTGAGAAGTTCACCCATCGATTCATCTGTCGGTACATGTAAGCTCCGCTTTCCAGACCGATGGCATTTGCGACTAGACCAAACGCACATTCTGTTCGACGTGTTTGAAGGCATTCTGACCAACCTGTCCTACGAACTGTGCCGCCATAGGATCATTCATAAAGTTGCCATATGCGCCGAATACATTGGCGCCGCTCGCAGGAGTGCTCTGTTGGTATGGATTACCGTAGCCGCCTTGCTGCGGTTGCGACGACGTTGGTGGTGGAGGGGATCGCAGTTGGGGGACAGTCGAGACATGTTGTGGTACGGGATGATGAAGCGGTGGAGAATGACCGTAATTTGGATGTTGTTGCATCTTGGGCCAAAAGTATAGGCCGAGCAGTTCGTCGCTGTGTTTATACCGTAGGAATATGCGTATAGATGTGTGTAGTTATAAAGTGGCTGGGGGGAAAAAGCGAGCTTGAAGCTTTCGTCGACGTCTCGGTTTCTGGAAATGTGTTTTTTATTTTATTTCGACGGCCTAGGAATGAATGAATGGGGCTCCAGCTTGTTCGACGGAGTGATACTACTAATCTATGTACCTACATGTACGTACCTTCAAAGGTACATACATATGTATATATACGGGACTACGTACATATGGCTTCCCCCTGCTTCCGAGATTCTACCATTTAAATGAAACTGCATCTGACGTTACTTCGAGGTACATATGTAAGTTGATGTACCCACCTCAGCAATGACGTATCGGAGCCGCGATAAATTTTAAATCCGAGCTTGCCTGGTCTCCGCAATCGGGAGTTGATTGGCTCAACAGATTAAATGTACATCTGTGCAATGCGAAATGGGGCTTAGGGATACATCGATCGATATCTAAAGTGTCCACACCGTAGCGGTATATGTGGTATGTACCTAAATACCTAGATACCTAGATACCTAGATACCTAGATACCTAGTTACCTAGTTACCTAGTTACCTAGTTATCTAGGTACATACGGAACTTTGTATTCCTTGTCACCCCATTATGTATGCATCGAGAACTTCCAATAAGGAGATGATGCTTCATTTTTAATATTTTGATAATTTAATAAATAGACCAACTTCAAATACTCTATTCTCCTTTACATACTTCCCAACGTCGCCTCACCTTTTGCATCTCGCAGAAGCAAGATGTTGGATACATTTGAGATTCTAACCACCTCTGGTGTGGTGCTCTGGTCACGAACATATGCGCCCATCAATCCGTCAGTCATTAACAACTTCATCGCCGATGTATTTATCGAAGAAAAAGGCACCGCCCCCGGCGCAAAAGACACGCAGTCCTCAGCAAGCAACCCACCTTACAAAGCCGATCAGCACACTTTGAAATGGACATTTGTGAAAGAGTTAGGTGTCATCTTTGTTGTACGAAGCATTCCCAGCCCAAGTATAGATTGATAATGTCTAACTTGCTCGTCGCAGGCCGTCTACCGATCCTTACTGCACCTCACTTGGATTGATAAGCTAGTCGATAACCTGAAAACTATCTTTATCGACTTATACGCCGACCAGCTCAAAAAGCCAAACACCACCATCGTAGAATGCCGCAAATTTGACGAGTATTTCAACCAGCAGTATCGAGAACTTGAGGCGAGCAGCACCGCCAACGGCTCACGACCTACAGATGCTTCCTCTCTCTTAAGGGGAGATGGCGTATCAAGAAGCCTCGAGGATGAGCCACCGCTTCCGCCGGGCCTTAAGCATAGGGGTATAACCCAAAACACTTCCCAAGAACCGCCCTCGACGGCCGAATCCACCCCAATCGCGACTCCAAATAACTCAAGGCCTTCCACCCCTAGCGGTAATCACTTGGTTGTGGGAAAAGGAGGGCCAATGTCAAAAATGTCACGGAGGGCCAAAAAGTTGCGGAACAGCTCTGCCCCTGTATCTTCTGGCGACGAGGCGCCGTCAAGGAAAGGTAAAAAGGCGCCCAAGAGAGGCCGTAAATGGGACGCAGATGGCTTTGCCGACGAGGAGGACGATAGTCTGCAGCTAGATTACTCGGTGGGCCAGACTACGTTAACCAGCGATAGCGAAGTCGAAGTTACTGCGAAGTCGACGGCGGTAGATGGAGTAGACTCTTCTTCATGGGGAACCACAACTGCCAAAGGCCAGTTTGTGTTGAAAGACCTGGACGATGAGGTGCACTCGATCTTAAAGTCGGCTGAGGCGAGGAAGAGCGCTTCGAAGGCCGAGGCGAAAGGTGGCCTCGTAGGATCCGGTTTAAACACAATTAGCGGTCTCTTCCGTAGTGTTGTGGGTGGCAAGACGTTAACGAAGGAAGATCTCGATACAGCTATGAAAGGCATGGAAGATCATCTTCTACGGAAGAACGTCGCCCGCGAAGCAGCTATACGTCTCTGCGAAGGCGTTGAAAAGGAGCTTGTTGGAATGAAGACGGGAAGTTTCGAGAGCATCGACGCGCGCATTGCTAAGGCCATGGAGGCCTCTCTTACCAAGATGCTCACACCTACGTCATCGTTAGATCTCCTACGCGAGATTGATTCTGTTGTCAAACCATCCGTGACATCCATGCGGAAGCCGAGGCCTTATGTCATCTCTATTGTCGGAGTTAATGGGGTTGGCAAGTCGACGAACCTATCCAAGATCTGCTACTTTCTATTGCAGAACAAGTATAAAGTACTGATAGCCGCGGGAGACACCTTTAGGTCGGGAGCGGTAGAACAGCTGAAGGTCCATGTACGGAACTTGAAGGAGCTAACTGAGCGAGAAGGCGGGCAGGTGGAGATCTTTGAAAAGGGGTACGGGGGTGATGCAGCAACCGTGGCCAAGGACGCCGTGAGAGAAGCTGCAAATGATGGCTTCGATGTTGTTCTCATTGATACGGCAGGACGGCGCCACAACGACCAGCGATTGATGTCGTCTCTTGAGAAATTTGCCAAGTTTGCCCAGCCGGATAAGATTCTCATGGTTGGCGAGGTAAGATATATCAATAGTTCACTATTAGCTAGACATTTGGCTAACCTCAGTAAAATAGGCACTCGTAGGGACAGATTCAGTCGCCCAAGCCAGGAATTTCAACTCGTCCTTCGGCCCAGGCAGGACATTGGATGGGTTCATTATTTCCAAATGCGACACAGTTGGTGATATGGTGGGAACTCTGGTCAGCATCGTGCATGCTACAAATGTGCCAGTCCTATTTGTTGGTGTTGGCCAACACTATTCAGATATCAGAAATTTCTCTGTCAGATGGGCAGTTGAAAAGTTGTTGAGCAATAGTTGATTCACCCCTAGACTAATAATAAGGCCTTGGCCTGGTATCTGCCTAGGTAGCCATTCTGGCGAATGGCCTGTCAGAGGAGTCATCATCTATAATCTTAGTGAGCACCAAAAAATATTCTCAGCACTGGTGAATATCAGGGACTTGATCGTCCATTCATCAATGAGCAGATACAACACAGAGCACCTAGGTAGTCTTTGGTGGATGATCTTCGTCGGGTGGAATCCACATTCTCCCCTCCGGCGAATAAACCACGAAGCTTTTCTGGCCCGTCCCCTCTGGTATAGCAACTTGTCTGCCTGAATCGGTCATATTCCAATAATCCCCGGTCCCCGTGCTAAAGTCGAAAGCCTTGCCATGGCGATCTATAGCTCCAACGCCGACGAATGTGACATTGTTGAATACCGGTACGTCTGCCCTATCGTTTGCGATTGTCCATTCTTGAAAGAATTGACCGGTGCCTTTTCCGAGGCAAATCTGATACTGTGGGTCATCGGGTGAGTCTGCCGTCACATTCGTCTCGTACTCCTGGCCAGTGCGGATGTTCTTCATGTGCCTTTCAGAAGAAGTTAGATACTTATTAGATCGCAAAGTTTCATAGCACCAGCAGGAAAAGGGATGCTATTAACTTACACATGGCCGGTGGTGCGAGTGTATACATCAATTGTTGTAAGAATCTGGTCACCGGGGTTGATGGTCATGTTCTCGTTTGGAATTGTATGAGCTCCCGCCGGAAACCACTCAACCCAAGCGTTTGCTTCCGTCACTCCTTTTTCATCCATCTATGTCGACGAATTAGCCCGCCTTTTCACAAGAAAAAAAAGTATCCTCTACACGAAGCGGGAAATCCCCGAAAGCATCTTACTTACATCAATTGCTGTCCCTGCCTGAAGGAATGGGAACCAGCCAGGCTCATCGCAATTGCCCCCGAGTATACCCACCCATTGCGCCAGAGAGTGTCGATTGTTAGGATCGCTGAGGTTCAAACCAGACGGCACTTTCAGCCACGGCACGTTCCATTCCGCAAATACAGTACGTACGGCTGGCAACTTAGCCACCGTTCCCGTATCATTGACCTGTTCGACGTTTATGACTGCACCTCCGAGATAGGTACAGACGTATTTGTCGACGCCGAGACCAAAAGGTCTTGCCTCTCCGGACGAGGCCCCGGAGAAGGCAGCGAATACCCAGATGCATAAGAGAATAAGGCTTGAGGAGTCCATAGCTAGAGGTTTGACACTTGGTTTTTCCTAAAAGCTTGCGGAATATTGTCGAAGAAGAGGAAGGAGAATGAAGTTTGAAGTCTGGAGAGAACCGCGAGATATACAGGCTAAGAGCAAACACCAAGAGAAGGGAGGAGCGAGATGCAATAAGTAGAATATCTCATGACCAAATTCCCTTGCAAGCGTAATAAAACTCTTCATCCAATTATCCAGGCATCTACCTTGGTTTGCTACCCAGGTCAACAGTTACCTAGGCAAGTAGCGTCCATGCCGCCTGACTTTCTAGCACTCATTGCTACGGTCAACTACATCTACTAGGTATCGTGAGCAGCGCAGGTACTTGCTTTCACTCTCCCTTCTTATCCATGAACCTGGTTTCCAGGCGGTGTTTGAGGCAGGCCTAATACGTTTAGGAGGTAGGTGAATGCTAGGAGAGAACGGCTGTATAAAACGCTACTTGAACATGAGCTGGCATATGATCACTACGCAAGTCGACATTAAAGAAATCCAACATGCTATTATTTTACCTTATTTCTTAGAGAATACACGGGACGGGCCTACTAATAGAGGATTCATACGTGACGATGCTCTGCTCAACATGCGATGAAAAAGTAGGTATGCTTGGTTTGTTCTCTACTATTTCCCTATAAGGACATATTATTCTATCCTCGCCAAAAATCCATGGTCCAATCATCCTACAGCAGGATAAGGGAGATGCTATTTAGCCAAGTTAACCTTCTACTTCCTCATTTTTATTGGCCACCTACTTGTTTTTTTCGAGCACCTAGGTATATATAATAGCGACTAGACAATTTGATAATGTAAGAGGAATATCTAAAGTTTGGTAAATGTTGCCTGGTTTCACCAAGTTCTGCATAGTCATAACATATTATATATATGCCTAGGGATATACGTGGTAGCCTTTCTAATATTGTATTTATTATATATTTCAAATATAAGGTTCGGATTTAGTACCTAGCCTTATAATAATCAGAATCATATTTATTGTCATTTATATGTGTGTTGTTTACATAAATATGTTTCAGGTCTTATTATGTATAATATATATATATATATAATTGACTTCCAGGTATATAAATAGATATCTTATAACTATATACTTAAGTATAATATAATTGTAAATCAATATTAACATTTATTTTTATACAATAATTAGATTTAGAAGGAGGGGATATTCTCATGATTTCCTACTTTTTCGTGACTTATGATATGATGCATCGGTCAGAACTAACGAAAAATGACCTTAAAGTTTATTCATACCTAGGTACTAAGTACTAAGCACTATAAGCGTTCATCGGCAACCCCCACATACCTACCTACTTAGGTAGGTACCAAACTTGTATGATGTAAAATGTCTTCCGACTGTTTGTTACCTTTCAATGTTATTTACTTGTAAGTACTTATATAATCATAAAAGATATACCATACGATACATTAATCGAATGGCCATAAGCGTAATTAAGAACACAAGCACCCACCTAGATACCTATAATAGCCTTGAAAGTCTACCTTAGGTACCATAATCAGTGGGGGCTTAAGCAGAGTGTTGCTAAAGTCAAAGCATCAAAAGGGAATACCTTTTCATAGTACACTAATTTTAATTTTTAAAGTTTTAGTCTTAACCAAATGTAGCATCAGGATTGACAGATCTGCCAGGTTTAGGTTTCAATCGATCATAGATCGTGCGAATTATAGGCCATGTACTTCTCCGTTCCCGATACCACCAAAGACCAGTAATGCCATTATGGACCCTTGACCCTCTGCGTTTTTGACAACCCGTCACTTTTCACATTCATGCTTTAAAAACCGTCGATCGAATCTCGGTCTTAGCCTGACTCCCCCCTCTCGTTTGCGCGTTTACATTTCACCACCCTTTTTAGGAAAATGGTCGAGGGGTTATATGACTAGGTATTCAGTACATATGCAGCTTCAGTATTAGGTATGTAGCCAGATACTTACACTTATGTATAGTACTGTTGAGTCCACCACATGCAGGCGAAGGTCATACATCATTCTACGATATGCAGAGAGTTATACAACGGTTTTTTTTTTTTTTTTTTTTTTTTTTTTTCTTTTCTTGAAAGTCTAAGAAGTCTAATTTCTTCTCGTCTACATTTAATCATATCTTGGCCATCACCTCTTATCTACATACCTACGTAGGTGATCTAGGAGGTAATCTGTCATATTGGCGTCTTTGCATCATCAATGAAAAGCATAACTGTATAACACATATACCCCCTTGATGTTGTATCCATTTCGAATAGGATCCCGGCTCTGACATTATCATCAACGACATCGGATTCACGCCGCTGCACCACAGAGAAAAAGAGAGGAGTGGGGGAGCGAGTCATCTTCATCAAATCCAACAAGTCCACCAAAGTCAACCTATATACGGCTACATCACTCCTCGCCCAGCAAAAACAAAAACAATAACAATCCATCTAAATATGCACGTAGTTCAATATAAGCAGTGACCGCGGCTGCGCGAACCCGATCATCTGACTATTGCTTGCTACCCTGGCTGCCTAGCTAATAGCCCTACTTTCTTTTTTCTTTCCTTCACTCTCCGCCCTCTGCCCTCTGCCCTCTCTTTCGCTGGGGATTATTTCTTAGCCAATCCACATCTTCTGTTTCCCCTCTAAACCCTAGCGACCTTATCTCTGGCCCAATCGCAGCGTCACGTCACTTTTTTTTTTTTTTTTATAACTAGCTAGCAGAGCTGACGGTTGGCTGCGGGAGTCGAATAAATCAAATAAATCAAGCCTTGTCCTAGCGAGCCTGTCCTCCCTCCAACATCTGATCACTTCTCCCCTCTACCCTGACCGCATGTCCGGTTAGCCTACCTCATCTACCAAGCTACTTAACTGCAGCCACAACGTCCGCGCCTGGCGACCACTGCTACATTATTCCAACGCTTCCCGAGCAGTGCCGCTGCACTCCCTGTTTCCTGTGGATACTGCGATATTACCGCCGCCACCTATAAAGGCGACAAGTCTTTCGTTGGCCCGAACCCGGCGTTTGTTGTTAGGTGACCAGCTCATTGGAACTTACGTTATATTACATTGCATCATTCGGTGACTGCACTGCGATACGCATACCCATCAAGAATTCTTATCACGATATCACAACCTAGTTACCTACCAATCTGCGGCCGAGATCACGTATCCCTATACCTAGTCGAACATCCTAGCCAGCTTGTTGTGGTATTCCCCACAATCTGCCCACTTAGGCGTCGCCGTCTGGCCGCATTCCAAGGGTCAGTAGTCAGCGTTGCCGGGGGTCGTGCTAGGATACCGTCACAAAGTCCGATCCTGCCCCCCCCCCCCGCTGTCGTCTATTGATATCCCCATCTTCTAGTGTATCGACCCGCCGATAGTCAAACGATGAATTCAGTCAATTGACTGAATTCCGCACCTTGGGCTTCCGTTCGAATGATTTCCTCTAGTATACTCGTTGCCCCTAATGGCCACATCTGTCCAGAAACCTTCGTCTCTGGACTTAACCTGTGGTCCGGACGACACTCCCCCCGAACTTAGAGACATCGATTATACAACCCAAGTCTTGCTGTTCTCTCCCGAGAATACCGAGTCCTATTTCCGCGACCTGATTGCGAAGGCGACAAAGCTGGGTATTGTCGTTTCCCGACCTTCGAGTGTGGTCTCGATAGATGATAAACGGAATACGTCGGGCGCTGAATCGAGCATCACTATGGATACAAGCCACGCGCGCACCACATCGACGGGGTCGGGTGGTTCCGCAAGCACCAAGCTTACAATCCACTCTTTGAACAACAGACCTCCCGAACCCTTGGCACGAATCGGTGCAAGGAAACGGCCGAGAGCTCTTACATTTGCTCAATACGAGAATTATCTCGCCCAAGTCGAACCAGACCTCAATCAACCGAGGTTCATGTCGCCTTCATCTGCGGAAACCGAAGCTGCCCCGAGTATATTTAGTATTAGTACGAATAGAAGCTATCTCAGTATTAGGAGGGGACTCTCTAAACTACGGCATAGGCGGAAAATCCCACCTTGTCCTGGAAATGTGGTCATGTTTGTATAGCCTCTCTGCCGGTTGTGATGATATGTACTGACAACTTCTGGCTCCTTTTTAGCTCGTGTAGTGCATGCAGAGAAGATATCCAGCCAGGTCAAACTCTCCAGAAGCTCCCGTGCGGACATAGCTACTGTCCGAGATGCTTGAAGATCATGATTAACCAGGCCACTACGGACGAATCGAAAATGCCGCCGCGTTGCTGCACCCAACCCATACCGGCCTCAATCATTAAATCTGTACTGGCACGCGATGAGCAACATAAGTTCCTCAAGGCTGTCGCACAGTTTAGCACGCCTTGGGAGTCACGAGTATTCTGCTGCAACCCGGGTTGCGGAGAATTCATTCCGCCCCGGTCCCGGATCGATCCCAAGTACCCATTCCAAGTTGCCTGCCATAAGTGCAAGACTAGAGTTTGCGTCATGTGCAAGAGAGATGCTCACCCAGTAGACCAAGATTGCCCTGATGATTGGGAACTCAAGGCCGTTTTGAAGATGGGCGAGAAGTCGGGTTGGAGAAGGTGTTATAAATGCCGAACCCTCGTTGAGCTCACGCAGGGATGTACACATATGACTTGCCGTTGTCGAGCCCAGTTTTGCTATATTTGTGGCGCTGTGTGGGATCCAATGGTAGGTTGTCCGAATTTCTGCAATGGCGAAGCCGAAATGGAGCGTCGACGTCAAGAGGAAGAGAACCGGGTAGCAGCACTCGCAGCCGCCGAGGCAGAGAAGATGGAGGCGGCTGCGAGAGAAACGGCCGAAAGACACGAGGCGGAAGAACGTACTAAGAATTGCCAAGAATTCAAATCCCTGCGGGAAAAGCAGGAAAGAGAGATGGAGCGGTTCCAAACCTTTGAAAGAAAATCTAAATGGCTCATGTGGACGAGACATGCGCATCAGAAGCTCGCTCTCGTGGAGAAGCAGGCATCATCGATTGAGAGAATGAAGGAACGACACGCGAAGACGTCAGCTAACCTCGAAGACCGCCAGGTGGCTGCGGAGATGGAATTACGCTCAAGCCTGGAACAGAGCGAAAAGAACGTGAGGATTCGCCTTAAGCACATGGAAGCGTATTGCGATGGTCTCGGCAAGAATCCGGATGCGAGTGTGCCTTCTCGAATAGTAACGGAACGAGACCTGCGAGAACTTGGACAGCAATACAATGTGGCAAAGAATATGAGACAGCTTCATCAAGCCAAGATCAACGTGATGCGCGATCGGCAAGCCAAAGCTCTTGAAGAGCTTCTTGAAAGACAAGAGCTAGAGATGAACAAACTGGTCGAAAAGAATAGGAAAGAAATGGAGAACCTTGAGTCCGACTTTGCAGATGAAGAGGATGCTTTAACGACGACTTTCGCCGAGCGCAAATCAGCACTCGAAAGAAAATGGAAACTCGAAATGGAAGTGAAACGTAGAGAATTAGAGGACCAGAAAGGATTAAAGTTCGCAATTGTGTACCCTCTTCAATGGCCCCGTGAGGAGGATACGCTTGAGGACGGTCTCTCATCCGTGGACGAATGAATTACGCTGACAAGATCAACGGTTATCTTTGACGGAGCTATTCGATTTGAATTTTTTTTTTTTTTTTTTTGTTATCGCTATACATGGTGTGGCATTTTTGGCCTGTCAATATTTTTCTTGTCCTCTCTTCTCGGATCACCTTACATGCATACACAGCTATCATTTCTACCCGGTTTCCCTTTGTGAGCATTTAGGGGCTTGGGTGTTAGGACCCCCAAGGAATGGGGGTGTTTATAGGCATGCGATCTCGATGGTTTCAACACGGGTTTGCATGAAGCAGGGGCGTTATACTCGGCATTAATTCGTTACGTTAGGAAATACCCGGTGATCCCTGGTAGGAGTGGATATTTGGTTGAGAATGAACTAATGGGTATCCAAATGACGAAGAATTTCTGATAAGCGTATTGGGATTATGCTACGGGTTCATTGAGATACCAGTACTTGACATATCAATGTACCTATCATAATTCAGTTTTACTTCACTTATCAAATGCGTAAGACAACAATCGCGCCCTAGTAATGAAGTTGGCAAACACTTCCGCATACCCATGAGTAACTACATATAACGAGTAGAAGAAATCTCAAGATCTCGTCTACCATATGACGAATTGATGCTAGCTAATCATGTATGCATACTCGGAGTAATACACTAGTGATTTTTGGGACAGGCAGAATGAACGCCCCGTCGAATGTTAAATACGAGTTAATTAATTTGAGAAAAATATGATAGGACTGCTAGGATGCCGGGGACGTATATATTGTTGCAATAATTGTGATATACGACAAACTATGCACAAGTTTCTGAAAGTATATCTGTGAATTGAGTTAGCTCGTGGACACCCAATTGTATTATTCTTGATAGCAAGAGTAGAACAAGACGTTCAGAATATGTAAGAATTAAATGTCACCTTTCCACTCGATATAGCAGCTCCGGCGAGAGCGCCATCGAAATGAAATCAATCGCAAATTACCTCATCATAACAACAAAGTAGGTTATAATAGAGAACTGAAATGAGGAAAGATGATTCCTTACCTGAAGAGTTGGTACTGTAGATGTGATGATTAATTTCTGCTGCTTCGCGTTGGAAAAAAAGAAAAAGAAATAGGAAGGAAGTAAAGGTGAAAATATTGAAATGAGGTACAATACGGAAAGAAAGTTCTGCAAGTAGGAATCCACTTTTCTAAAGTGGATTAGTGGGTTCGGATGTGCGGGTTGCTAGAAATTCCGGCTTAACCCTAACCGCCCACACAAGATTCTCCCAAACTTCCCACCTTATCCAAAGTGCGCGCTGACTCCAGAAAAAGCTCAAGCCCAGGACAATTCAAGGTAGGAGGATTTGACTCAACACCACGACATCATCAAATAGTAAGTCTTCTTCCTCGCAATTCAATTCATTTTCCACTCACCTAAAACTCGCCACTTATTCCCTTCCAATTCACTCTCCATCTCCTCTATCATTCCTTTTCTAGTATCCATCTCTAACGCCAAGCCTATTCAGCATACCTTCACAATGGGTGACGCATCCATCGAATCCCCCGAATGGCGCAAGGTCGAGGTCGGCCGCATCGTCCTCATCCAGGGAAACAACCCTTTCGCCGGCAGACTCGCCGCTATCGTTGAGATCATCGACCATAAGCGTGTACGTGTAACCCGAAATCGGCAAGAGAAAAATAATTGAAGATTGTTCGCGAAATGTTATATATATATATATTGACGCGGGATTTCATATCTAGGCTTTGGTTGATGGACCTTCTGCAGACCCTAAGTTGGTCGTTCCCCGACAAGCCATCTCTTTCTCCGACGTGCTTCTGTCCGACCTAAAGATCGAGAAGCTACCGCGCGCCGTCCGAACAGGAACCCTGAAGACAGCATGGGAAAAGTCAGAGATTGACGCCAAGTGGAAGGAGAGCAAGTGGGCCAAGCGAAAGGACCAGACAGAACGAAGAAGGGCACTTACCGACTTCGACCGATTCAAGGTCCTACGACTTAAGAAGCAACGACGATTCGAGGAACGAAAGGCTCTGGCCAACGTCAAGGCATCTGCGTAAGCAGGGAAACGGGGGAGGATGGTTGATTCTAGTAAAACGGTCTCTCTCAGCTAGGGCGGAAGCAGGAGTAGTCTACGGATCTGGTCTGCATGGAATGACACATTGGCATGGGGTTGCTGGTTTCTTCTGCTTCGTCTGGCAAGACCTGTATGTCACCCATAAAATCTCGATAGGTGACCGGCGTCAATGATAACGGAAATTTGCAACTAAAAACAAAAACCGAACTCGATTAATTAATTTGGTTTGCTTAATCATAACCCACACGCGCGGGGATTGTGTTTTGGTAGAGTGAAGCGAGTATTCGTTATTTATTATCTCTATCATGTGTAGATTCCACGAAGTATGCAAGACTTCCGAATTCCCGAGATTAAAGAATCTAGGTAGGTAGTTATATTCCTCGCAAACGCTGATGAATTCCTTCGTAGAAAGTGGAAAAATAAAACATGAAGTACTAATACATATGTACCTATGTATGTAAGTAATTGTGAAGATATACATATGTATGTTTATGCCATAATATTGATGGCTCAATATGTACTCAACTGTCCATGTACATATGTAATGGTATATATATAAATTTGTACCCAGGTACATAGGTAACGTAAAGGAGGGGGATTACTAATGATCTCCATTCGGATTAGCGGCGGGGCACTCGCAAAAGAAGAAAAGGAAAGGAAAAAAAGCTAGCAAAACCCTAGGCCGAACAATTGACACCAAAAAGTTCAACCAGCTGTAACTTTTCTCTTCACAACCGAACCACCCACGCACCCACCCCCCAGTTACAACCAATCACCCCGCTACCTAACTTCGCCGACACACTTCTAGCTGTGCACCTTTGGTAAGTCATTGATATTTCCTTGTCTATTTGTATCAACCTTATATCTATTCTATTCTTCTCTTTTTTCCCCCGCTTTATTGAGGCAAGGAAGAACTCGTACGGTAAATCTACTCAACAAGCTCTTCTGAGTTATTCGTCGTCTTAGGCCGCTACTCGCATGCGCACATTCGCAATAGAAAATAACTAATTTATAGTTTTATCAGTCTCTCCGCATCCACCTCTACCTTCAACATGGCCAACCCTAGAGTCGAAGAGCTTCCCGATGACGAGCCCAAGAAGGTCTCCGTTGAGGAGCATGATGACGATGACAGCTCCGACTCCGAGATCGAGGTTGGCGAGGGTGGTGCTGGAGGTTCCACTGCTGTTGTCCATTCCCGCAACGAAAAGAAGGCACGAAAGGCCATTGAGAAGCTTCACCTTACCCGCGTCACCGGTATCACTCGAGTAACACTCCGACGACCTAAGAACGTAAGTAATCCGAAAAAAGAAAAAGAAAAAAAATAAGGAGTGAGGAACATAAAATTTATCTTGGTGGGGGAATTGGAAATTGTTATCATTTCGATTGCGCCCAGTGATATATTGCTTTCTATTAGCTAACTCCCAAGCCCTTGATTCACTCACCAAGAGCTAACGTACTATTCGTAGATCTTGTTTGTTATCAACAATCCTGAAGTGTACAAGTCGCCGAACAGCAACACCTACATGTAAGAATTAACGACCCTAGCAGATTTAGCAGATCTCGGGTATAGCTGATAGTTTTACTGCAGTGTGTTTGGAGAGGCTAAGATTGAGGACCTCAACTCAGCAGCTCAGCAAGCTGCCGCCCAATCCCTTGCCGCTCCCGGTGGTGATCACGACCATGCTGGCCACGACCACAGCCACGGAGAGCCTAGCAAGGCGGTAGAGGGTGCAGATGACAAGAAGGATGACGATGACGACGACGAAGAGGTCGACGCTGATGGCCTCGAAGATAAGGATATTGAGCTTGTTATGACCCAAGCCAACGTTAAACGAAACAAGGCCATCAAGGCTTTGAAAGAGAACGACAACGACATAGTCAATTCGATTATGGCGCTGAGTGTTTGATGATTTGACCTGGGATTGATGAGAGTTCCGTTAGGGAGATGAGGTCTGGGCTATGGGTGGTTCGGCTAGATGCATTGCGACTACGGAAAAGTTTGCATTGAGGGAAACAAGGGAAGTCGGTCGGCTGTGAATTAACAAGCTACGATACCTTACAATGGATTCCTGCAACGCTGTGAATACCACTATTTTGAATTTCGACCCGTAATTGGGTGTGTTTTGTTTTTTTATCCCGGTGACTAGAGTATCTTGTGAGATATGAATATGAATATGAATATGAGTTGTGCGTAGTGTATAGTAGGGGAGATGCTATAACATCGATTAAGGTTTATGGAAAAGAATACACTGTTGAACTTGGGAATGGGATGCCTACCTCTTCAAGCTAATAACGGTATATTATACGAGGTGGGAATATATGATACCATTACACGTATTGCCATATATACATATGTATAATGTACCCAGGTACCTATAAGTCATACAATCACGTGACTAGCTGGTCACGGGACTTGGTCTAAACCATGGTTGTAACCTAAGTGGATTGCTCCTGCAAAAGACCGGAGTTGTTCGGCTGGGAAAGAGAGAGTTGCTAGCAACAACCTCCAGGGCTACAATTGAATTGGCATCACAATCCAATCTCCACTCTTCTTCCAACCTTTCCTTCATCATACCTATCGCAAAAATGGCCACAGTAAGTGCACCACATCCCATTAATCGATGCTGAGGCGAACAACTTGGGCTCTCACTTTGTCAATTGAGCTATTAGTGATGCACATTCTACAAGATACCATCCAGGAATAGAACTAGACAATGAGCTAATTTCTAATTTTCTCTTTCTCCTTCTAGCGAAGCGCAGCCCTCAAGCTCGACTGGACCAAGGTCACTTCCTCTCTAGGCCTGCGCGGCCAGACCGTCGCCAGCCTTCAAGCCTTCAAGCAGCGAAACGAGAATGCCCGCCGAAAGGTCCAAGCTCTATCCGAACTCCCCACCACAGTCGACTTCGCGCATTACCGATCCGTCTTGAAGAACCAGGCCGTTGTCGATGAGATCGAGAAGCGCTTCAGTGCTTTCCAACCCGCCAAGTATGACGTCGCCCGCCAGCTCAAGGCTATCGAGGCCTTCGAGGTTGAGGCCGTTAAGAACGCCGAGGACGCCAAGAAGAAGGTCGACCTCGAGCTGAAGGACCTCGAGGCTACCCTGAAGAACATTGAGACCGCCAGACCATTCGAGGAGCTCACTGTGGTATGTTGACGCGTCTATGTGATAGTTCTTGATGCGATGGTTATTGTGACTATCGCTGGAGAAGAGAATGTATCAGAAAAGCGAGGGATTGATGCTAATTCACATGTGTATTCGCATAGGACGAAGTTGCCTCGGCGGAACCTTCTATCGACGAGAAGACGTCCAAACTGGTTTCCAAGGGACGATGGTCCGTTCCAGGATACAAGGTATGGAACAACCTCTACATTGCGTACTGTCACTTGGTGTACATATCTAACCTCATTTTAGGAGAAATTCGGCGACCTTTCCGTACTATAGACAGCGCGCGAGTAGTAACCACAATTACTTCCACTGCTACTACTCTCTTTCCCTTGTGTACTCTAGCATTGTAGATAGAAAGCCGGGAAGAGGCGAAAGAAGTGAAATTAAAGGCATTTTTAATCCAGTCCATCTAATTAAGTCGAACGGACGTATGTGATCTATGTTTACACTTTTACACCAACCTGACACCCTGTCACGAGGGACCTGAGGAAGATCGATTTACCTCGTAGAAACAACTATTTAAGATTACGGTCATCTTACATTGAAGTTTGACCCACGTGCATCGAATTCAATGCTGAAATGGTAGACTCAGTTTGAATAGAGTCTGGTCGTTATGGGCTAATCATATTCGAGAAATTCTTCAGTGGCCGTCACTTACTGGGTATTAGTACCTAGGTATTTACAGGCACTTACTCTTCTAGCAGGGGCGGACAAACTGCTGAGAAAATTGGTAGTTATGAATGAATACCTACCTGGGTACATATGTAGGTAATCTATCGACGGAAGAAGAGAAATGGGGTCTTTTCCCACACAACATGTGAAATCGATGCATGTCAAATGAGACCAGACCAGACCAGATGAAAACCCAGAGCCCAGAAGCTCCAGTTTGTAACATTGTTCTATATATTTTCTTTATTGCTGTTGGAATATTAAAGAAGATGTGACAAGTAGGTACAATTATAATGTACATAAATAGCCCTGGGGATCAGGTACGCTATCCTATTAAGTTTAGCACCTAGGTAGAGCCCTGGAGGGTGCATAGTGCGGGTACTAAGATATCTAAAATAGTGCCAATTGTCTTACGTAAAAAAAGAGATCAGCAGCCTTCGTTTCGCAGTAAAGTTCAAGTAAGTTCAATGCTCCTAGGTAGGTAGGTACCTGTAGCCCGCCTAGACTGCTAGAGCGCCTTGCACGCGTTCAGCCCTTCCGCCTTGTTACTGCCAACTCTGCTGCTTGTACTTTACCTTCCCTTTGATTCTATGATACAATTCTGCAATCCAATCTCTACATCCTTCAACCTACAACCTACCATTTCACGTTTGGTATTCCATTTAACAATATTACCTTTAAAATACCAACCAATTCTACATAACATATTTGCGATACAACGTCGCCGACTCTTTGGAAATATTCAAATCACTACACTGCATACCTAGCCTTTCTCCCACGCCTCGACGCAATTACATCTAACCCCCACCAGTTGAACTTGAAAGAATAGACATCGCAAGAATTCCAAGAATTTCCACCCAATATGACGTCCCTTGCGGCGGGGATAGTCGATCCTACCAAAGCCGGCAAATATCCAGTCGTGCTTAGCGATGCTCTACTCGGCAAAGATCCAAAGGATATCTTTACTGGCGTGAGATGTAAGTCGTCCCCATCGTCCCCATCGCCCCCAGCTAATCATATATACCATACCCGGTTTACTAAGAAATAACAAACTGTAGATAATCACAAGCCTTCCTTGTCAAACCCCACGGCGCCCGCTCAAGCACGAATAAAACAGGCGTCTACATCTTCCAAGAAAACCCCATCTACGTACGATCTATCATTTCAAGACGACGGTGGTCGCTATCAATACAAAGGTACACGCGGCGTCGAAGACAGTCAGTATGTGCTGATCTTCGACGCCACACGCGAGGTCTTTGTTCTGCACAAAGTGGACTCGATGTTCAACATGAATCTAGTGCAGACACCCACCAACGACAACGCCCAGAGCCTGCGGCAAGAGTATCCCCAGCTCGACAGCCATAGCATCAGCAGCAGCGCCAGGGCTGCCGGCCCTGCGACCGGCGGTAAGAAGTCTGCCAAGGTCGCCGGTGAGGAGAAGAAAACGACCGCTAAACCGCGAAAACCCGCCTCGAAAGCCAAAGAAGATAAGCCAGCCTTGGTCATGCCCGAGAAGAAACCGCCGCCGAAACCCACAGCCACAGCCACCAAGAAGCCGGGAAAGGCGTCCGCAGACGAGGACGAAGATAGTTCTGACGACGATCTGGGCCTTACAATCGAAAACCCGGGAGGCGGGTCTTCGGGTCCTGCACGGGATTTCTCTCCCGGCTTTTTAGAGATTCGTCGATTCTCCGATATCATGCATGAGGACGAGGATGCCGACGGCGAGGAAGACGACGATGATAATTTTGAGCATTTTAAACTCCCCAGCCCTATAAACCGACAGATGCAGGAGACAAGTGTGAATCAACAGCCAACACGAGCCGACGAAGACGAGGAGGAGGAAGACGACGAGATGGAAGATGTCCAACAGGAGCAGCCAGTTGAAATCGAGGAGCCTGTTCTGGACGACGAGTCGGAGCTTGAAGCTGCCTTGATGGCCGAACTAGCAGAGGCTGACCAAGCGGAAAGCGACGTTAGTGAAGAAGAGTAGTTTTTCATTAAGAATGATTATGATTCGTCGTTATGGGCAAATTTGGTGATATTATCTATCCAGGTAATTAGGGATGACATCGCTGAATTCACGAACGGGATATCGGGTTAATGTGGCGTCTGGTGTATCGGATACCACTTGTGCAATTCTTGATTTACGAAATAGGAGTGAGGTATACATCTCTGGCGAAAATCTTCTAGGGAAAGGGGGGACCTGGGAAAATTTCTTCTATTATGGAAGATGTTCTTCGATGGGGATGGTTGAAGCGAATATAGTAGTACATACCTAGGTAGTTACTCAACGTCAACGTTAGATGTCTACAAATGACTGCGATTTTTTTTTTTTTTTTGTTTAATTAAGTCCAGATAGAGCATATCTAACGTAGCTACCTAGGTAGCGAATTATATTACATCTAATGAAGACTGCCCCAGATATTTAAGTACCTAAGTACCAAAAGATAGGCAGCGAATTCCACAATTACAAAAAGCAGGGGGCACATGTACACAATGGCATATAACAAGAACACCGGGAGCCATATCTTACAGCTGGACCTTTTTCTGTTCTCGTCTAGCATAAGAGTTTACTTTTATACAAAATCCCTATATCGCCCTTTCTCCATCATCTCTCCTTTTCTACGATGCGCCCGAGAAGACCAAATCCTCGTTCCCAACAACGGGATTTAGGACATTTACATTTGTTCCGGCGAGGACACCATCGCCGCCCTGGACGACAGCCGAGAACGAATCGGCCATGAGTTGAACACCGGATACGAAGTCCTTCTCGTCGAACTCGCAGTGACCGCCGTTGGGCGAGTTGTCCACCGTCTGTAGTGCGCCGACCGCATCGGCGGCTAGTCCTTGCCCCGTCACGATTTGTTCGTACGCCTGGATCGCGGCGGGAATGGCGGGCTGTAGTAGCGAGAGCTCCTGCTGCGTACTTTGGAAATGGACGCGCGTGGCGGCGAGCGCTGCCGCGTTGTCCGCTGAGACATCGACTTGGGGTTCGAGACCGCCGCAGTTGAGTAGGACTTGCGACTCCTGGCCCGCGGCGCCCGCGAATTGGGCCATGTGTGCCGGCATGAAAAAGCCGGAGAGCAGAAGCGAACCGCCGGACACACCGGTGAAACTGACCTTGTTGGCGTCGAAAGCTACCATGCTGGGTAGCACGTTGGCGATGAGGTCGGCGACGGCTTGCGAGTGTGCGACACCGTCGGTTCGGTCGAGACCGGAACCGCCACCCCAGAAGAGGTTTGGATCTGGGGCGAGAACGGCAACGCCGGCTAGGCCGTCTTGTACAGCTTGGTTGGGGAAGTCAAAGAAGGACTGCCCGCCGTCGCCGTGCAAGAGCACGTTCAAACCTAAGTTACCAGCCGCTCCGGCAGCTTGTGTAGCGCCTGCCACGCCTGAGTCCGTTGTGAATTGATCCGCGGGCGCGGAGACTTTGAAGCGTAGAGGGAGGCCACTATGATGTGATTGTTAGTTTTGATAAAATATAATTCTGCGCAAGTACACGACATGTTTATTTATGGGAAAACGGATAAGCATACTTCACTGTAGCATTGGTGTCCAATATAGTACTTCCATCTGTCGCGGTTGAGACGCCTTGTGGTATCTGTTGTGCCTGAGCAAAAGCGGTTGTAGCTTGTTGTTGGCCCTTGCTAATCTGACCTCCCTTCTTCCTACCGGTCCTCCCTCTGCTCTGAGGAGCCGCTTCCACAGCGGAGAGCAGGCCGAGGGCTAAGAACAAGGACAACGAACGGACGGTCAACATCCTGATTACTTGAAGGTAAAAAGTACTACGGACAGAAATATTATCGAGAAGAGAAAGTAGAAGAGAAAGGGGAATGAAGCGGGCAGATCCGGGCCCGGGTGAAGAAGAGAAGTGTAAGTAAAAATGATACCCGTCAAGAGCTGAAGGAAAGAGAAATGAAAATAAGGAAGGAAACAGAATAGAAAAGGCTCATTAACGCTTCGAGAAGTTCAAGAGAATTAACATTCAGCCCAATTCATTATGTCGCTTCCTCCTAGGATCGCGAAGATCAAACAAGCTATCATGGTCTATATGAGGATCGTATGTGAATTGCCAAGCCAAACCACTTACCGTACAGTAGAATAGAAGCATCGATTCGCGATGCCAAGCAAATATGGAAAAACGCCAAGAAGGGGTAGTAGTACGACGAAACCGATATCTTTTACGGCGTCATTTGCGATGAAGCATCAGCGTCGATAATAGGTATTGCTAGCGAAGCGGGCTACCCTACTTAGGATGCTGGCTATTGAATTTAAGACCGTCTTTGTGAGAGAATTGGCAATCTTGAGACCGAATTGGCGGATATTTGGGCTTCTCCGTGTTTCGCAGCAAGGATCACGACCGTTTGGAGCCGCCATCGACCCTTGTTCAAACCCCACAATCGCTAGGACGTATCGTCACATCTCTGGGCGCGTACTCTTGACTGAAGCTTAGCTGTTGCTTGGCGTTGACAATTGTCTACTTATTTGTGAAAACACAAAAGTTTAGTCGGGATACTTAAGAAAGAGAAACTCATACGATTTGGTCCACGAACGATACGAACGAACTCGAATTTATCGGATTTGAAATTGATAGTTGGCATTGCCAACAAGCTCAGAAATGATTTGTATTGTAGATTGCTTGGGAACTTCTATCCAACCCATTTGACCATTGGATATCATAGCTAGATTCGCGGGAATGAAGCTTGTATCGCAAATGAAGAAGTCCATGTCTCTTTTTTTGTAGAGAAATCCCTAGCGCCATTGCTTTATTACAATAACCAGCCCAAAGAAGGTCCCGACTTCGCTTGCTCCTGTATGCCCAAAATGCTATTATCAAGTATATAACCTCGTATAAGTGCGAAAAGAGTGTACCGAATATAAAAATGAAAAGGGTGCTGGTATATGATAACGAAGGTTTGCATTTGCAAGTCGAAAACCTCGAACGCATCCTATTCGGTGCGACGATGATGCCCACAGGTTCATGAGCGTACCCCGTAAACCGAGGAGACCTGATGGACGGCTTATAAATAGAGTTGTATGGAGGTACACGACGTGGATCACCGTGGCGATTCTACCGTAAATAACCCGCAAGAGAGGGCATCGCACAGGCACTTCTTTCCCATCAACTCACGAATCAACGTGAAGCGACAATAGCTTAATCCCAGTCTCGATGATGGTATTATGATATCGCTTATAGCACTGCGCGCTCCATATATCTAGATAGATAATAGGTGTAGAGGCGATGCTACAACGAGCCGGTATCTATGAACCTGACGTATCCGTCGACACCTACCCAACCGATTCGTCCATTCCCTCCAAGTCGTTCGGGGTGGCGCCATGTTTCTTGACCATATGTCGCCTCCAATTATCTTTCCTTGGGAACGCTTTACCACCCTTGAAGTAAGGGCATGTTGGCTCTATACAATGGTAGGCCTTCGACTTGACGTGCTTGTCGTTGATGTGACGGTCGAGATGTGTCTTCGTACCAAACCTCTTGTCACAACCTTGGTAGGGACACTCGTGTTTGCGATCGTGATACCGCTTATGGTGGTTGAGTTTGTGAATCTGGTCGAAATATCGTCCACATTCTTCGCATATATAACCGGACGATTGTGGAGACAGTTTTGAGACCTCCGGCGACGAGCTCGACTCCGGTTCTGTTTTGACATGCTCATGAGGTATTGGGTATGGAGACGGCGAGACGGTAATACGGGTATCCGGTGTCCTCCCCATAGAAGGATCTGTAGAACTTTGTCCCGGCGTTGTAGTGTAATCGTACGAGTCGCCGGACAGGCGAGGTTCATCCTCGTCACTAGGTATGTCGAGAAAACTATCGGCATCAAAGTCGTCTTGGTGGGCTTGAGTGAGGTCGTCAAGGCGTTCTTGCGACGGCTCATCCGTAATGATGGCCGGCGGCGACGTGGGGAACGTGGGGGGAGACAATGAGTTCTCCATTTGGTAGTGCGTATAAGCAGCTTTCTCAACGGGGTTGGATGGTTGCATGATGGACATAGGCGACACGAAGGATTCTGGCTGAAGAGGAGGAGAGTGAGAGCCCTGGAGGACAGAAGGTCTATGTACATCATCAAGAGTCTCATCCAGCTCCATAGGCTCCGGGATGGCCGGGCTCATAAGTCGTTCTTGGACCCGAGTCTCGGATTGTGGCTGAGCTGAGTGAGGTAACCCGTGAGTGGAGTCCGGACCAACTAAGACAGCTGAAGGCAGCTCGGGGTCTTTCTCCGTGGTTTCTCGTATTATTGTTGAACTGGTTCGGAGAGGAAATTCGTCATACCGCGAATCACCTCGCTTTTGTCTCTTGTGTTGCTGCTGATCCTTTTCCAGCCGGTTCCCAGTACCTAATGTAGTCGCATCTTCGGACATTTCGCCAGGTTCTTCAAAATAGCGATCTGCGGTGTGTTTTTCTTGCGTAGTAATTTCTCCCTTGCTTTCAAAGCCCGATACTGGCTTGATACTCGCAGGACTCTCAACTGGCGAGGCAGGGAAATACTGTTGTGAAGTCGAATACTGAGGACTGCTAGCACCTTGAGCCGAAGAGTGTGTAGACCGCTTCCTCTTAATGCTGCTCCAAATTCGACTAGTCAGGGAGCCACTCCTTCTTCGGTGTTCTCGTGAATCTCTAAGCTGGGCTTCATAAAGCTCGGTCATCTGCCTAGATGGAGGTATCGGTGCTTGTTCAGGATCCGAATCCATCGAGATCCTGGTATCATAATAACTAGAATTGGCGGCTTCATGTGCTGGGGAAGCATTGTCCGAAGGCTGATTTGCTCCAGGTTCGTTGGTAGTCGAAAAGGCTGTCGGCTGAGGAGGTAAAGAGAAGTCAATGCCTGGGGGTAGAGGTGGCTGTCCAAAGTTCTGATGGGCATAATAGATATCATGATCTCTTATCAAGTCATCCTCGTAACCAGAAGTCTGCGGCTGGAATTCCGAGCCGTCACTAAAGCCAGGGACGTTCCTATCGATGTCATCCTTCGTGGAAGGGGGGCGACTTGTGTGCGAAACAGGGGCATGCCTAGGCAGGAAGCCTGGGAGAGGGAAAAAGGTCCTACGTTGGGCAGCGGTAGCCTTCTCAGTTGGTACTATCTCTGCTTCTTTGGCCTCCCTGGACTTCCGTTTGAATCGGAAGTAAAGGAAGCCTAAAACTATGAGTAATAGGCTGCCTCCGATAACACAGCCGATGACAGTTCCCGCAATTCCACCGGGGGAGAGCTCAGCTCCCCGCGCCTCCAGGCCGGGCTTGGTGAATTCAATAGGCGCCATGCTGGATTTGGCGTGAGCCGAAGCTCACAGCGAGGTTGAATGAATAGGCTCGTAGGAGCTCAAAATAGTACGTTGTCGAAACAGTCTCACTAGGTCGTGTGAGAAAGTTATGCGTGATGAGTGAGGTGAAATGGATTATTTCCACCGAAGATTGAGAGATTCCAGTGTCTTGGTGGCGAGTGGACAGTACATGTGAGACCCAAACGTTAAGCGACGATTAGAATAGTTAATGTGGCCTATAATGGTCGGAATAAGAAGGTCGAATGACAGATGGATGGTATGTCTCTCTTCGCAAGGTCGGTTGGCTGGTTAGTCGCTCATTCATTCACTCAATCAATCAATCACTGGGATGATGAGAGGTTCGGCCAATGTAGGCGGCCCGATGGCAGCCTGACAGGTGCTGCGCAATGCAGGTAGCGATTATGCCGAGGACGTATTCAGGAAGAGTTCGTAGATCGTTAAGCCCATGTTGATTAATTGATTGATTGATTGTTTGTTTGTTTGTTTTTCTTCTCAGATGGATTATGGGCTTACGAAAGAATTGACGTTGGAAAAACAAGGATTTGCTGATTAGCTGATTTAATCAGATTGATTCAGCCTCATCAGAAATGTTGGAGGCGCAACCCTTAACAAACACCCCCCTTCCCCCCCTCCACCCTTGACCCTTAACCTTTACGACCCTTGGAAGGCGGGAACTGGGACCCGGGAAGCGCCCTAAAGATGCAGGAGAGCTGCATTGTGATCCCGTGCGTTGCCAGTCTTGTCCAATAACTTAGGTGGTAACCCCCCTGCCAATTGGAGTCCTCAGTTGACGTTTCCCTCTTTATTGCTCTAGGGTTTCAACTTATCTGTTATCATCAAATCTCCGACCTCCTCTAAATCCCCCTATACTCCTAGTAAAATCTCCAATTATATAATAGTACACTAACAAAGTGACATGTCTGCCAATACCTACCTCGGTATCTACCTAAGTACCTACAGTACCGTACCTACCGTACCTATATAGGGTACTATGCTGCGCCACAAGCTATGGCCTAAAGTAGGATAGGGGGTTAATCGATAGTGGAAACCAACCGAAATAACGTGCGAATCCCATTTTTTTCCTTCTTCCTTCTCCAAACTACAGTAACCCATACCCCATACCAAGGCATATACACAGCCCGAATAACAAATCGGAGACCTCTCGGTGAACGCGATGAATTACGTCTAATATGTCGAACAGAATCATCAACGCGATACTCACATTGAATAACCACCGGAAATACCGTCTGTATCAGCCTCAATATCATAATGCATTGTAACCTCAGACGTCACCATGGTGTGCTAATGCAATGCTTTCTTTCGTTATGCTTCTCAATCCGATAGATCACGTCACCGCAAGATATTGTAGGCAATTTGTAATTGAACTCGACCATACCGTCACAAATACTTGATATCTTACTCTTTTTATTTTACTATTCGACCCTAATCTCCGAGACGACACAAGATGCCACCGTCTTGAGAGGATGGTTAGCAAGGCCAAAAGAATTTCGACCCACTCGCACAGTATACTGGGGATAACAGCAGTAACAACCATCCTAACACACATCATAGCACGGCCGACTTCCGAGTGACTATAACGTGTATTAATTACATACTTACAAGCTAAATGTAGGTGAAAGCCTCACTAACTCGCTTAAGTCTCGGAGCACTTTTGAGGCTTTTGAGAGAGCCTACGGCCGATACTTCCAATTGTCCCGTCTCACCAAGGGTCAACCATGTTAGAAACATTCGGGAAATTTTCTTGTTCGTCAGTTGAGACAATATGATTCACTTTCCCTCAAGCCAGGCCCTTTACTTTGTCCAGTAGGCCAAGGAATATCTAGAAAGTTCTAACTTGACATCCTAACTTTCCGATGAGGCATCTAATGGTGTTGTTATCCGCGACGAAAATGAGATCGCTTTCGATTCCCGGTGCCCCAAATTCGATCTCCATCAAGTTGCGCATATCTCATTCCAGCCACCAATAACCAGGATCTCCCCAATATTATAACGAGCATATCTATTTTTTTTATTAGTAAGCACCTTCAAGCCAGATAACGCAGAGGTAGCAACCTAGAAGCCACCCAAACTTGAACTTACGTTTCCCACCGTACACCAGGATCTAAAGTCCACGGCATTCCTTCCTAGGGCATCATGGATATCTAGTGTATTGAGAAATTTGCTTCTTCCGGACCAGATACCCAGTCAAGAATGCGGGTCCTGCCGTTATAAGATCTGAGCTTAAATACACAGAAGTCGAGATCTTGACCGCATTACCTCAGTACTTGTGACAATCCTACTCGAGGCCTTCCAACCCTTGTTCCTCTCATCAATATCCCGGATACGACCTATCGACAGACTTCAGCCTAATGATCTAAAAGCTGCGCGCGAACGAAAACTGACAGTGCGTGATTGGGCAGTATTTGCTAATGGTGTATATTATCGTCTAATGCTAAACGTTTACGCAGTCCATCCATTTACAAGTGACACATCCCTCTTAGATGTATGATATAGTTCACGACATGAATCGTTAACAGGTCCCCTGGCGGAAAATGGGTTTAAATTCCCGTTGTTTCTCGTGTTGTGTTACGGATCCGTTGCATTGCCGCGGTGTGCATACAGTTTTCCTAATAGCTAAACTAGGCTTTATGTGGCTCGATTGCAAAACCCGACACTGGACTCGAGATCGTAAACCAACGTGCATATAACTCATGCATAAAGCTACAGGTTGCATACGGTCGACTGGGGCAAGAGCTAGCTGTATCTGTACTGTCCCCCAATCCTACATCGTATCAACATACGCGAATAGCCAGTTTTCGAAGAGGTGAATAGACTAAACACTGAGTTGGGTTATCCTAGGGTGCAAATTCATGGATGGATTGGCATTTTAGAGATGGGCTGCGTGATAGACCTCGTAGCAAGTATAGTAGACATGGGACCGAGAAGTTGGATTAAAATGTTCATTTAAACCTTGGTATAATGAAATATTGAGTATACATCGAGATTATCGATTCAATATCAGGTATCTAGCGGGATCTATGCTACGTGTATGCACCTAGTGAGGCTATTCTTCGGACTAATACAACCTGGGAGAGGTTGTGGGTGCGAAGTCATAGGAGACAAAATTACCGGTATAGAACCAGAAATATTTAGTAGGCAATAATCGAACTGCCATGTCATCACGCATCTATCCGCCATGCTTTTACAAACCACATTGTCGGTTATTGGAACTAATCTTCTCCTGGGGGTTATCGAAATGCCACATGGCATTCGAAATATCCATGGACGAATGTTTATGGCGGAAGACATAGCACATATCGAGTCATCGCCCGTCATGAGATTGTATAAGCTGCTTGAAACCGGATCTGAGTGAACGATGATCATCAAAAGTACCTAAGTAGTACCTAGAAGATGTACCTGAATATGCAGAGCTTGTGAAACTTCAAATAACGGGCATCATGTTGCCGTAGAATTTTAGTAGCACAAATACCTTGCTCATTGCCTAAAAATGCTTATTTAAAATGATTCCCATATACACAACATCCTGTCGATGCACGCCTTCGGCTATTAATGACCAAGCGGAACCATACGATTTAAGTGATAGGAGTTATTTACATCGATCGAGGTCCTACAGCTGAGAAGAGTGGGTAGACGAGGGGGGAGGAAAGTACTAATCTACTACAAGATATAATGCTCACAACATATAAGCATACGCGGAAAATGTATAGAAAAGTAATTCGATGTTTTTATGAAGCAATAAGCAGGTCCTAATATGGGTTTGATATAAATTAATTGTACAAAGTTATTGAAGATGATTGGAGAATTTGCTTTAAGAAATGAGGGAATAGAAAAGAGATGATGTCAATTACTAGTTACATCCGGCATGCTAGATTAGTATATGCGTGCCAGGTATGCAAGGAGGGCAGTCTGTCATATATCATTTTTTTTTCTCTCTATGGTTCTCTGAGGTAGATATCCGATGACAGCTGTGCTTCTCCGAGGGCCAGAACAAGTCCTAATTTCCGTGGACTGCCGGATATGCCTATAGCAAAGAAGAGGTCTAGAAATTTTTTTTTTCCTCATACAGATACGACGGTAACATTTGCATCACCATTCTGAGGTTGATGTAACTATCGTGTAGGTTTCATTCTCCACGTGTAATTGATGGTAAGTCGAACTAATATGTACAACCCGCGGGCACGGGCTTTACTTTGAACATAGCAGAAATATGTAGATCTTCATGCGGCTAACAATGTAGTCGATTACACTAAAATATCTATAGGGTTCAATTAACATGTCAAACTGCTTTAGTCTCTTACTTGGGGGATTGGATGCATTTAGAGAATGACGTGTGAGATGAAGGAACTCGAAATCGAGTACTACTCCGTTTACCTACATAAGGTAGGATGTAAATACTTGGGTGTTTATAAGTTGCAATTGCATTTACGTGTATGCTGTGCTTTGATGTTAGTTAGATGGGTACATCACACGTACAAAGGAGATACTGGAGGTACATGTATATGTATATCTTCAATACATGTAGACATGAGGGTAGTAACTTCGGTATGTATAGGCACCTAAACTCTAAGGGTAACTTAGGTAAGTTTAGGTAGGGTCTAGGGGGCTGGAGAGAGAGTTGGGAGGTCGCTCTTCCCGAACGGCAAAGTATCAGCCAGACCTATCTAGACCAACCAATGCGAACCAGGGATAGGGGATCCGCAAATGCACATAAGGCTTCTTAGTGGTTCCCAATGGCCCCTAGTGGTCCCGGAAGATTCCCCCTGGCTTCTTGGTCTCCAAAAAAATCTTATTTTACGGGTTCCCGATCTCTACCCCCCGGACCCAAATCTGAGCATCATGGCAACCAGCGCGTGCACTCTTTCCAATTCCGATGCCTCGACACACCACAATCCCTCATATTCCCCCCCCCCATAGCATTTCTAAATGGCCAGATCGTCAGACACATACCTGGCCGGCACCATGACTCCTCATGCAAGAGACAAATTTTATCTCCTTCCTCGGAAGCTTCTCCGGGTTCCAGCTGAGTCTGAATTGGACATTTACGCCCCTGTTTGCCATGCTGGTCCCATAAGAGGTAGAGAGATAAAGAGACAGAGAATACCAGGTCCAGGGTGAAATATCCGGATCCCAAAAGAATTCGTTCCTGGTCATCGCCATATACCTTTATATTACGAGTGGACCTGATCTCTCGTTCTAGTCTTGATCTTGGCCGGATGTGTCTCTCTTTGGGGGGAATCTTACTACTTTACATCGTCTGCCTCACTCTTTGTGTCTACTTGCGGCTCTTTGCCACGTACTACTTCCATGCGGATCATAGTCACTACTTGAATGCTTTCTTACTCATAAAACGCCCGATTCGGTTGAACTACATTTTAGTATCGTGGGGTTAATATCGCTGCTCCTTAAGGCAGAATTATCGGCGTCTTCCCCATTAGACTGATGAGCCCCGTTCCGTACATTAGCGTGGCCGCGGAACCTAACAACCAAACACCTTGATCTGGGACCGCTTTTGCCCTTTTTAGACAAGCCGGTTTGCCTCTAGTTAAGACTCCAAGAACCGGTACCCTGGTTTGTCCTAGTTGAGGATAAGTGGGCTAGCCTTGCTCTATTGTTCGTACATCGGCCGGCAAGACGAACCACGAGGCATCTGATTCACCTTCAGCCTCCTTGGCCCAGATTCTGATCTGTAGGGTCTAGACTTCCCTCCCTTCATCATTCACTCGCTCCCCTATACGATATAACCATGCTATATCACTAGCGTCGATCTCAGCCTTCATTTACATATATACTCTTGCCAAACTGAGGGTCACTAGCCTAAGCAAACTATCAAAGACGTCAACCCTCTTTCTATGAGCTGTATTTCATCTGGCCTCTGCCGACTCCACCCAGCCTACGTCCTTTTCTCAAGGTGAAGTACTTCATCACCCTGACTCGTCAATCTTTGTGTCGGTCACTCCCGTCTCATCCAACTCATACGGCACATACCGGGGTTATAGCTCTAGAGCTCAATTCGAATCAACTACTTGGCACATTCTCCACCTTGTTCCCGATCAAGTCACCATGTCGAAGAGTAACGTTCTCATCTATATCATACGCCACGACTTGCGAGTCTCTGATAACCCTATTCTACACCACCTTGCTTCTAAGTCCGACCATGGGTTCACACATGTCCTTCCCCTTCTCGTATTACTCCCGCACAACATCGAGGTTTCAGGATTCTTAAAGGAGGGGAGCCGGTCTCCTTTTCCTGAAGCTAAAAGCGAAATCGGACGCTATTGGAGATGTGGGCCGCATCGAGCTAAGTTTATCGCCCAATCGATTTGGAACATGAAAGAAAACCTCGAAGGCCTAGGAAGCAACCTGACGATTAGAATTGGTAAATATGATCAAGTACTAAAAATATTAGTTGAGGGTTTACGGCAGAATGAACTCGATGTTGGTGGAGTATGGACAATAGGAGAAGAAGGTTACGAGGAGAAATTAGATGAAAAGCTTATCTCAAAGACTTGCTCGGGTCTAGGTATAGATTTTCAAACATGGGTTGACGAAAAGTACTTCATTGATGAGTGAGTTATAGCCATGGCCTGGAAGGAACTTTACTGACTGATCTTTGCCTTCAGCCGGGATCTTAAGCTTGAATCACCCCAAGACCTTCCGGACGTATTCACTACATACAGGAAGATGATGGAACCCCTTCGTGAAAAGCCTAGAGCAACTCTACCTAGCCCGTCAAAAGATACGTTACCGAAACCAATTGAAGAATCCAAAACTCCTAGTCAAGAAGTGCCCTTCGGAGTTCCGTCGTCGTTTGAGGATTTCGAGGAGGCTCTATTGCGCCCTATCAATGGAGTCCTGTCTGGAGCCCCACCGTTCCCCGAAGGAGCGAAGTCGGCACACCCCTTCCGCGGTGGGGAAGACAACGCTCATAACAGATTAATCTATTTAATCAAGTCAGGAAATGCCTACTCATATAAGAGCTCACGAAATGGGCTACTAGGCAGTGATTTTAGCACCAAACTCTCCGCCTACCTTGCGCAAGGATGCATTACCGCTCGGCAAGTTCACAGTCGACTAGTTGCGTATGAGGATGGGATAGACGAATCACTAGCCGAGTCGCAAGGTTATGGCGATGGCGAAAATGAAGGGACGAAGGCAATACGATTTGAGTTATTATGGCGTGACTACATGAGGCTGTGTACTAGAAAGTTCAAAGCGAAACTCTTCCTACGGTCCGGGTTCCGCAATGACGATTCCGATAAATGGAAATCGGCCAAGCAAGAGGATATTGCGGATAGCCAACAACAGCCAGCGGAGGAGATATCGAAGACAGTGCAAAGGATATTTGACGGTACTACTGGGATGGGACTAATCGATGCTTCCCAACGAGAATTGTTGCATACCGGGTATACATCGAACCGTGCCCGACAGAATGTCGCGAGTTTCCTTGCCAAACATCTCAGCATCGATTGGCGATACGGGGCTGAATGGTATGAAATGTTGTTGGTTGACTATGATGTTTCATCAAATTGGGCGAATTGGCAGTATGTAGCTGGAGTCGGAAATGACCCACGTGGTGAAGCGCGTATATTCAACCCGGTCAAGCAAGCTTTCGACTATGATAAAAATGGTGAATACGTACGGGCTTGGGTACCGGAGGTGCGGAGGATTGAGAAGTTAGAACATGTCTTCCAAGCTTGGACGACCCCCAAAGAAGATTGGGATCGACTTGGTCTGACAGGACTCCCAATGGCCGAGGACCCGGTAAAGAAAATTGATTTTTCTGTCGAAGGCAAACCCAAGAATCCCAGGAGACCGTTCATCCGGCGACGCGGCCCTGGGCGCGGGGGAAGTAGCCGGACGCATCAATCACTTCCGGACGCACAACTACAGGATACCACTAATACTCCTCCCACCAACAGACCCAACGAGAATGAAAAGCCGGTTGACGGGCCGCGAAATACGTATAACCAACAAAATATACCTGAAAACCCTCGTGGCAATTTCCGCGGCGGTTACCGCGGTGGGCGTGGATATGGCGGAGGCTATCGGAATCGGGGTTATCGTGGTTCAAGAGGATATCGTGGAGGTCGTGGAGGTCGTGGAGGTCGAGGCTCGTCGTCTAACTACGGCCAACCGGTTCCAATACAACAGATGGCTCCAGCCGAGCAAGCGCAATAGGATTCGTTGTATCGTGCGCCGAGCTATCTATACTCCGGTCCACCGATTATGTTGTACTCTCCTGTCGAATATTTCCCCCAACCATCCTACTTAGAGGTACGGCGTACAAACAGCAATTCACAAAACGCAAGTTTCGAATATTTCCAAAACGCGGCGTTGACCATACGATCGCGTTCCTTATGAAATAGGCGGGTAGGTGTTATAAGAAAATGGTTTTCCATGGATTAAAACTGTTAGATTCAATCATCTAACAACGACACATAGCTTTCCTTAATTTCGATGTTGTAACCAGAAAAAAAAAAAAAAAAAAAGTCGCCAATAAGGCTTAGCGTTTGCTAGCACTATAGATTAGTTAGTCTCTTAGCGAATGTTATTTTGATTGCTCTATTATTTGATATCATCTTCTACGACCTGATTGTGATAAACGCCTACCCATGCTACGTGAAGCTTCAATACATTCCGGGTGGAGATTCTTCGAGTAGATATCTTTACAGGGTTGTTTGTGTGAATAGGTATGTATATCTGCTCAAAGGTGACGCCCCTTAATATGTCCTACTTAGAACTTTTCGACAAGCGGCTTGAGTTTGACATCTCTAGGTACTACAAACAACGCTTTGGCCTCAACGCAAACTCGCCCCTTGAGAGTTTCTAATGTGCCGTCTACCCACATCTTACGATCGCTCTTAGCCGGATCCTCGCCCTCCCTCACCGCAGGCTTAGCGCGCACGACATAGAAACCAGCTGTCATGGTAGGGAAGCGATACGCGAGCTCGAGACGGGCAGTGACTCCCGTGCGCGCAGGGAATTTCAAGATGGCGCATCGTCCTAGACTCTCATCCAATATCGTGGCTAGTGCGCCGCCGTGTACAATACCTGGCCAGCCCGCTAACCCCGGTCCGAAATACACGACGCTTACGACCTCGCCTGTTGCTGCGTTCCGAAATATACGCTGAAAGGCGAGACCACGTGCCCCGGCGAGAGGACCGGAGGTTATGCGCGATTTTATTAGGTTGAGGGGCTGCGAGGCGGTGGGTTGTAGCCCGGAGTAGGCGTCCCAGCTTGTCCAGGCGGGATCGGAGGATAGCGTGCGCACGATTGGGAGGGAGGCGCCCTGTTCGTGGATTTTGGCTGTTAGGTATAGGTCTTCGGGCGAGTCGGGGAGGGGTAAGGAGGGCGGTTGGAGGGTTAGGCGGAGGGCGGTGCCGAGGAGTAGGCCTATGGCTAGGAAGAAGGCGGCTTGTTTAATAGCGCGACGACGTCGGCGGCGTAGTTCTATTTTGTCGGAGTCATTAGTGGTAGGGTTGGTGTTAGGAGGTTCGACGGGAGGAATTGACGTCGTTCCGGTAGCGGCGGCGGGAATGATTGGATCTGGTGTTTTGGAGGGGCCGACGAAGAGCGGTCGTGATATTGTGAAAGGTCTGGAGTTGCGCAATGGGAGAGAGTATTGCGATGAGGGTGTTGGGGTGATTCTTCGTATCGTGGGACTGGTTTGGGAGAGTCTCGGGCGGGTCACAACAGCATGCCGTAGACATAGCCGTGCGGCTCGAGGACCACCAATCAACATTATATGTTTCCCTCCCAGTTCCCAATGACACAGGAATTGTTGAATTGGGGTTATGATTCAAATTGAGGCTCTTTGGATGGTAAGTGAGACAGATCTTGGTTGAATGTAACCATAATTAATCCAAACAATTAATTCAAGCGATTAATTCAAACCGAGGCACAAAAGATTGATTGAGTGGGTGAGTGAGGGAGAAGGTCTTGCTTCTAGTTACATATTTGAGTTAAGACTTACGGGGTATCGATGTATTGCATTGGCGTGGTAAACGGGGTCAGCTTGATAAGCCTGGTAAGGTCCACTAAGATCTTGCATGAAATTAGCGCCATCTTGAACCATCCACCCCTCCCCTTGGCATTCTTCCCCATTCTTCCCATTCTCACCATTTTTAGTATCTTTTCTTCTTGTTATTATTATTCCTTCGTCGGAATTCCATGTACAACACTCCATCATTTCACCGTTACAAAGCAATATAAACAATACAAGTATATCATATAAAGGTCTATGATCTCATACATCTATATAAGTTGTGCTAGCTATATAGATTACCATGGCAAGTATCTTCCTTGTTACTGCAAGCCACGATGGTGATATAAGTTCGGAACTCCGAGATCGACATGGAAGGCCACATGTTCATCTTTGATCGCAGATAAACCGACATTACGATACCCAGCCAGCCAGCCAGCCTGCTGCCTGCTTCATTAGTTCGCCAACCTTCGTCCCTCGTTGCTCCCATCTAGTAAACCTTATAATTGCGTGGTATGTTGGTATGTTATGTCAGTTGATGATAATCTAAGTTGTGTATGCCTGCCAGTAGAAACTTACCGCGTGAGGTCTACCGTCCACTATGGCCTTTGACTATGCTCTTGTGTAAGCTCTATAAAATATCCCCAGAGATCCTTCGGTTTATTAAGTACCCTATATACTATGGAGGTGCGTTGAGGCTAACTCACCGTCTAGACATGTCAAGTATACTATACCACCAGCTATTCTCCTCACATTCGTTCTAAAGCCACTCCTTACAAAACTTGACCTATATAAGTCATTTACGTTGATACTCGTCGCTTTCTTCTCGACACTGCCTTGGGATTCGTATCTAATACGTCATGGCGTCTGGACATATCCCCCTGACGCTATTGCCGGTCCCCGTCTCCTCGGTGTGCCCGCCGAAGAGTTATTTTTCTTCGTAATCCAGACTTACATCACGTCGATGCTTTATATCTTGCTCAACAAACCCATCCTTCACGCTCAGTTCCTTACGAACCAACATAACCTCTCGCCAACGCTGAGATGGATAAGAACTATAGGGCAGGCTTTCTTGATTGGATGTTTCGCCGCCAGCGTGTCTCTCGTAAGAAAAGGGGGCGAAGGGACATATCTTGGCCTTATTCTCATTTGGGCTTGTCCGTTTGCTCTTCTTACATGGTCATTCTCGGGTTACTTCCTGATCAGGCTTCCCCTGTTCTGTGTTGCAACCCCGATAATCGTTCCGACGGTGTATCTATGGGTTGTGGACGAGTTCGCCCTTGGTCGTGGAACATGGGCCATCGAGCCGGGGACCAAGCTTGGCTGGTGCGTATGGGGTAGTCTCGAGATCGAGGAGGCCTTGTTCTTCCTTGCGACCAATACATTGATTGTCTTTGGTATGGTTGCAATAGACAGGGGGCTAACAGTTCTTTACACCTTTCCCAATTCGTTTCCAGTCGTACCAAAACTCCCTTCACCAAGTCTCCTCGTAAAAGCTGCTTTCCTCGACCCAAAGCGATATGATATGGCACGAGTGAAGGGTATCAGAGAATCTGTAAACATACTAAAGCGAAAAAGCCGGAGCTTCTACTTGGCCAGTTCAGTCTTTCCCGGATCTCTTCGTATTGATCTAGTACTCTTGTGAGTAACCTAAAGGCTCTCTTGCATTTATCGACTAACACACTCGAGATATTCTTTTTGCAGAGTCGCAGATGATCTAATAGACAATTCGCACACGGAAAGCGAGGCATTGGCATGGATTAAGAAGTTAGCCAGTTACCTCGACCTCGTCTACAGCCCAGATAGCCAATACCCACCGTCTACGTCTACCATCCGCGACTTTGTAAGAGAAAACTTTCCAGATACGGCGAGATCAGCGTTACAACTATTACCAGCTAAACTTCTCCCAAGCGGTCCGCTCTACGAATTACTAGAGGGGTTCAAAATGGACCTTTCATACATTGACCCCAAGGCACGAGATAATCGATTTCCAATTAAGGATGAGGCGGCCCTTAAGCTATATGCCCACCGCGTAGCGGCGACCGTGGGGGAACTATGCTTGAGGCTTGTTTTTTGCCATAGCGCAACTAAACTCTCAAGCGATACAGAATCCGTTCTTGTGGTCGCTGCCCACACAATGGGACATGCGCTTCAGTACGTCAACATTGCCCGTGACATTCAAGTAGACGCGGAAATGGGCCGTGTTTATCTACCAACTAATTGGCTCAAGAAAGAGGGGCTCATGCCTCAAGACGTTATCAATAATCCAAATCAGCCCAAAGTGGAAGGACTGAGGCAAAGACTACTCGATCGGGCATTCGGGGAATACGAGCTGTCACGAAGCGCTATGTCCACACTTCCTAAGGAAGTTCGTGGCCCGCTAATTGTAGCTATTGAGAGTTACATGGAAATAGGAAGAGTGCTGAGAGAGAGGGTCGGTAACACCCGGCGTATGCGTAAGGGACGAGCAACAGTTCCTCGATTGAGGCGGATTTGGGTTGCATGGAAATATCTCTTGGCTGAATGAAAACGTCTCTTCTCCATCATCGTTGGTTCAAGGCCCTTGGTGGGTTCGATAAGCGGTGCTCTCTTAGTGTAGTTATTCTTGGTGGTAAAGAGCATGGCGATGTTGTATCAGGTAGCTGGTTTCTGCATAGACGTGTCTTAAGACTCCATGATCATATTAATTTATTGTACGCCAATGAAGAATTACACAATTCATAAATATTAATGAATCACAGTGTATAATTCTAAGACATTTCAATCTTCATACCTAGGTACCTAGGTAGTGAAAGTATCGCACTAAGTTCTTTGACTTTCGCTCGCTTGAGACAATACATCCACCATCAGCCAACAATTATATACCTAGGTACATGTATAACTCAACTCTAGCTTATCTATGCAAATGCTATATTCAGGGGATACATCGCGTAACTCATAAACCCGAACTCCGAAATTGCAATGATGAATCATGGTATTGAATCCGGAATTGATAAATAAGTTCTACTCAGTGCTTTTTTTACATTAGCGCAGAAAACATAATGAAGTTCTAGATATGATGAATCAGTACCACATGTCTAGATTATTATGCCATCCGTTCTTGTTAGGAAGGACACGATGCTGTTGTATCTTTACTCTTCGGAAGATAGTCACTTTTTCTATTTGAGGTCCTTGACACGGCCAATTGCACCAAATCACGAAATTAAAGACAATTATCAGTTTATTTATGACATGATGTATACCATCGTATAAGTAAGTTCTCGCTAGATAATCTAGGTTTCCCATATGTATGCATCAAACTTAATTATCCAAGACTAAGACCATCTCATCTAGATTATCAGCCGATTATGCTGCCGCCAGAAGTTAATCGGAAACTATCATCCCAGCAATTAAATCATGCATGGTCAATCTTCAGACGTAGCTTCTTGCTTCACCTTCTCGATTCGCTCCCGCGTCTGCAGCCAACCGCGTAGGTACTTAGCCTACGTACCTAGGTAGCTTTCCTCCATAATTTAATTGCCCATTACTTCTCACTGCGCTGTGTATGTGAGTGAGGTAAAGAATGTCTAAGTCCGACCAGAAGAAAGCAATCATCGTCGGTAAGGGCATCCTAATACCTCACACAAACAAATTCTAATATCATATTAGGAGCCGGTGCTGGCGGCATCGCTACAGCAGCACGCTTAGCGAAATGTGGATTCTCCGTCACTGTACTCGAGAAGAATTCGTTCACAGGAGGTCGGTGTAGCTTGATACATCATGAAGGCTATCGCTTCGACCAAGGCCCCTCTTTACTCCTGCTGCCCAAGCTGTTTAAAGAAACCTTTCATGACCTAGATACCTCACTTGAAGATGAGGATATTCAGCTATTGCGTTGCCCTACCAATTATGCAGTGTGGTTCGCCGACGGTGAACGCTTCGAACTCTCAACTGACCTTACTAGTATGAAAGCCCAAGTTGAGCGTTGGGAAGGCAAAGATGGGTTTCGCAGTTATCTCGCTTGGCTGCGTGAGGCACATCAACATTACGAGTTAAGTGTCTCAGAGGTTCTACATAGGAACTTTATTAGTATTTGGCAATTGGCCGCTCCGCGCTTCATTCTCGCAGGCCTCAAGATGCACCCTTTAAACACCATATGGGGTCGCGCGAGTAAATATTTCCGGACCGAACGACTGAGGCGTGTATTCACGTTTGCGACTATGTATATGGGCATGTCACCTTTCGATGCGCCGGCTACATACTCCCTGCTACAGTACACCGAACTCACGGAGGGGATATGGTATCCACGAGGCGGATTTCATGCCGTGCTCGCCGCTCTGGTGAAGGTTGGCGAGAGGTTAGGCGTCGAGTACCGACTAAATGCGCCCGTCGAAAATGTTATTACACACCCCGATGGAAAGTTTGCAAGAGGAGTACGGCTAGAATCGGGGGAGGCGTTGGAAGCAGACGTTGTGATTATTAACGCGGACCTCGTGTACGCCTATTCCAACTTAATCCCCCAAACACCCAGCATACAAGACTACAGCAAGTCATTAAGACAAAAGGATGGCTCTTGTAGTTCGATATCATTTTACTGGAGTCTGAACCGGAAAGTGCCCGAGCTTCAGACGCATAATATCTTCCTTTCGGACGAGTATCGCGAATCGTTTGACGCTATCTTCGACAGAAAATCACTACCAGAGGAACCCAGCTTTTACATCAACGTGCCTAGTCGAATTGATCCAACCGCTGCCCCTGACGGCTGCGACTCGATTATTGCGCTCGTACCTACTGGTCACCTATCACAGTCGAGAGGGGTTTTGGAATCAGATATTGGACTACCAAGGGACCAAGATTGGCCAGCACTCATAGAACGAGCGCGCCAATGCGTATTGTCTACGATCGAAGCACGTACGGGATGCGAGCCACTAGAGAAGCATATAACTCATGAGATCGTCAATAACCCACAGACGTGGGAAGATAAGTTCAACCTAGATAAGGGGTCGATTCTCGGTTTAAGTCACAGCTTCTTCAACGTGCTCGCGTTCCGCCCCGGCACACGGGCGCGAGGCGGCCTTGCAAACGTTCACTTTGTTGGCGCTAGTACCCATCCGGGTACCGGGGTGCCAATAGTACTTGCCGGAGCCCGGCTCACGGCCTCGCAAGTTCTTAATGACTTCGGGATGCGGGTGCCTTGGCAGGAGAAACCACCCGTAGTAGCGGACCAAGGGATACCACAGACGGAGATGACTGGGAAACTGGATAGGATACAGAACCCATCATCTCTGGGTGCTATCATGTGGCTACTACTAGGCGTGTGGGTGATATATGTACTTCGCCATTGGTATCCAGGTATATTTTAGTTGGAAATTATATGTGTCTGATATCTTAATAGGTAGACAAGGACTACTATTTAGACTAATATTTAGCTAGACCGATTTGACGACGTAGTGAGGTAGGCGACGGAGAAGTATTCGCATTTACTATGTAATTGTAATCAATAAATATTTCAACAAGGACAATAATACTTTAAAAACGACATGTATAGGGGATGCTGCCCCTTTCTGGGCTTGGTCTCCTCCAAAGAGAGACATACATGTCTTAAACAATCACTGGCAAGCAGTCTCATTTCAAATCGCGAATTCTCTAAACTCGAAAAGTCTTCTTAATTATCTTACCGCAAGTATCACCAAGTAAAAGTAATACAATCTCACTCGCACAACATACGCGAAACGCGAGAAGGAATACCTTCCATACCTATCGTTCGCAGGATAACCGATGCTTCGAGTATGATGTGGCGATCACTTGCCGAAACCAAACGGACGTCGAACGTGGTGCCTCATCCGGCAGAAGATCAACCCAGAGAGATTCGTATCCGATTGGAGATTCGTGCTTCGCTTCCATTGGCTGTTATTTTTCTCTTTTTATTTGCTATGCTTTGAGAGAGAAAAAAAAAAGCTGTCCGGCACCGGTTGGGTTGGGTTGGGTCAGCCCCTCCTTCTTATGACGAACCCTAGAAAAGCAACTTCATCTACCCGCCTAGGGCAAGATAGATATTTACATATATCTACTTCCGTCCTATGCCAGCTCGTAATATTCTCCTCACCTGCGGGAAATTTCCCGTATTTCAAATGAACACATTGGCTACGCTATCATGGTAATGTGAAAATGTTATCAAATTACCTATTACGTATATAGAGGTTCCTGAATATCGTCTCGTTCTTCTCCAGCCGACCCTCATAAATATTTTCGCTTCAGCATAGCTCAATCCTCATCACATTGCGCGATTCCAATTATCCAACGCTTCAAAAGTAACTGGTAGGTAGCCAACTTGCTCTCGAAAAAAAAGAAAAAAAAAGAAGAAAAAGGCTTACTCCCTCCTCCGGCTCCTACTCCTCTCTCGGTTATGGCTCCTATCCTTGCTCTTGTGGTCCTTCACCACAAGCAACCCCTCGCTTCTCCCCTTCTCCTTCTCCCGCTCTCTTTCTTTTTCTTTCCTTCTTTCCTTTTCCTCTCGCCTTCTGTGCCTCTCTTCCCGCTCACGCTCCTTGTCGCTCTCACGGTCCATCTCGCGTTCTCTTTCGCGAATTCTCTCCTCCCTCTCTTGGTCGGAGCGTCTGATCTCTTTTGTAGCTTCGACTTTCTCAAAGCTCTTGACGTCGTCAGGCATGCGAGTGACCACTAGTTGCTCGCAGAACATGCCCCATTCGCCACTCGTCCCCTCTTTCACTGCTTCCGCGAGATCTACTCCGTAGCGCTCACGGTAGGCCCGCTTGACGGCGGCCATGTGGTGACGGTCCCAGTGGAAGCGGACGAGACGGGAAATGAGGAGTTCTCGGCGCAAGTGGTCTTTCCTAGATGCGGTGAGAGCATGGTGTAGCAAGAGTGCATCACGAACGGGCTTGTTGATGATGCCATTGAGGATATGAGCCAAGACCTCGCCCTATTAATTTGGTTAGCTGTCTATTTCGTTCCTATACTAGGGTATGGAGGTTTAGTACTTACCACAAGGTTTCCACTCTTCTTGAGCGCGTCCCGAGCGAAGTTGGTTCCGACCACTTTCTCATATAGTCGAAGTACTTCTTTGAGATGCTTGTCACTTCTCGTAATAACGATCTGAAGCATAGCAGTCTCACCTCCCTTTTCGCTCTTGACGGCCTTGTATAGCGCCTCGACATCATCCTGCACGAGCTCGCGATCAATCGGAACCAAACGACCGTACTCGTCCACGTCCTCCATTCGATGCCCTTCGAGCACCATAAGCACCGCGCGTTTGAATTTGTCCTCCTTAAGCTCCGTCTTCATGCACAGCGTTATGGAGTCTTTGTACTTTTTGTCGTTGAAGGCGTCTTTGATTTGCGCGATTTCGGAGTTGGTGCGGCCCATCAAACTCTCGATCAGCAACTCACGACGGGTCTTATCGCCGTGGTACCAGAAGTTGGCCCAGTACGCCTCCGATTCCCACTTACCGAGCGCGACGGTGTAACACGCCTTCATGAGAGTGGGGTCTTCGTCCTTTAGACGGGCACGGATGTGCTTGGCTACGTTCACACCCTTCCGCTCGGCGCCGGTCTTGACGAGCCGCTTATACTCGACGCGCAACTCCATGATTTGGTCATGAGTCATTCCAGGTAAAATTTCAATTAGAGGCTCAGTGTCAGGAGGCAAGTGCTCTCCTTTGAGAGCCTTAGCCAGGCGCGCCGCATCATCGACAGGGTCGTGGAAGCGGGCGCGACGTCGCTTCTTCTCGCCGTTACTTTCGCCGTCGGAAAGGCTAGGTGAAAGCGGCTCGATGTAGTCCGAGGTTCTAGGGCTATCCGAAGCGAGGAGTAACGGCGATGGCATCGGTGACATGGATTGGTAGGTACCGTGGTAAGATTCTAAGAGCGGAGATGGCGGTGCACTGGATAGAGAAAGCGAGGCTGAGTGATGTCCTGTGCTGACGGTCAGCGAAGACATCCGCCCGGTAGGCGGCAGAGGAGAGCGATCTCTGCGACCAGTCGAGTTAGGGTCGATAGTGAGAACCTTTGCGCCCGAAGACCTGGGATCTCGTCCGTACGAATCACGTTGGCGGCGTCCATCAGGCCGGTCTGGGAGTGGTGGCGCATAGGATGCATCCACACGTGGGTATCTCAATATATCGCCTGGACCATCGTCTGCCCACTGACCAGGCATAGAATAGTTGGCCCTGCCGGCATGCGTCGGAGACTGGACGCTCGAGTATTGACTCGTCGCCAAAGGAGAAACAACACTACCATAAGCCAGGTCTTCGTCCAACTTGTCCTTTTTCTGTTCTTTCTTTCTTTCTTTATCGTTGTCCGACTCGCGGAATTTGTTCGCATATTTCGCAGGGAGAATAGCATCGGCACCTCGTCGCAGCGCGTCTTGTGCGACTTCTACCATATCCTTGTCGCTCTTCGATATCCGTTCGGCGCTGTGCCTTGGATACCGTGGATCATCCGAGGCGAAAGAGTCATGGCTAGCACGATAATAGGAAGACTCGTCCGTAGGCGAACCCTGGCGATACGATACACGAGAACCATTGTTGCGATCATAGGTAGAGCGGCGGCTTGCGGGGTCGTTGTAGCTGAAGCCAGCAGGCGGTGAGGGCATTCGCACAGCGTCTAAAATAGAAGGAGATTCTCCGCGGCCACGATGTCGATCACGACCTTCGCTAGTACGTGCCGGGGATGGTGATCGACCGCGCCGAGAGGTGTCGCCGACGTGTAGAGACATTTCAAAGTTTTAGAGATTAATGGGGGATCGGTTGGTGTACGCGTGCGACTCGATTAAGCGGAGTTGCCCCCCAATATTGGGTCTGTCGGTGCTGGGTAGCGAGTTTGACCGCCGGAAATAAGTGGCAGGGTGGTTGAAATGGGCGAAAATGAGGGAATGATAGGTACCGACTGCGGGGTATCTATCACCGACTATCGTTATGGAATAGTTACACTATAGTGAATATAGCTAAGCTTAGTCTTGACTCAAGAAGTAAACAAATAAATAAAAATTAATAAATAGCAATATTATTAAGTTTTAGTGATAGGTCTAAGAGGTAAGTAAATAAATAAGTAAGGATCCTGTCCGAAGAGTTGATTTTTGTTTTGATTTAATTTTGGGTTGGTATTAGATTAGGAGGAGTAGAGGATGAGGAGGGAAAAGGTTTCAGGAACAGGGACAAGCTGAGACAAGAACCTATTCTTTAATGTGACTAGCAAGAGAGAAAAATAATAATAATCTTAAAAGTAAAAATAAAATTGAAAAGGTACCTCTTTTTGTGTGCTGTGCAAAATATGTGCAGGTATGTGTGAATATTAAAGTTACCTACTATGTAGCTACCTTCCTACATACCTTCCCACCTTCCCACCTTCCTGCCTTCCTAGTAAACAGGCGACATACCAAGTCGTGCCTGGCCTCGAACGGCATTTCCTCACTCTTCAGTCTCTTTAGTGCATAGTACTCGGCGCGTACACATGCAGACTAATACTAGCCACATGATACTTTTTCGGTACCTAACTCAAAGCAGATAGGAAAGAGAAACATTTATCCCCGTGAATGGCTTCTTAGTGTTTCTCAACCCGGCTGCCCTGGGCCACTTCTTGGAGGGGTTCCTGTAGTTTGAACTTAGCGGTTCTCAAGTCCTCCAATACGGACAGTACGGGTAGAAGTGCAGCCCTAGCTAGCCCGGATTAGCGCCTCCTCCAACGGTTAGCTGCTTCGTCTACTTGTCAACTAATAAGACGGCGGGTTTATTCCCAATATTGATTACTAGGTACAACATTATACATAATCTGTGCATTGGGGGCCAAAATTCTCGAGATGCAAAGTCCAATCACCGGCAGGTGGTGGCCAACAGAGATGCATGGTCTTAGTAAAGCGGTCTACATTTGTAGCACGTAGGTGTGTACCTAGGTAAATAGGTCTGCAAGTATTTACTTATATGTATTCCCATTAAAACCTGACCGAAGTTGCTATACCTATGGATATATCGTATAGGAATATGTAGGTAGGTATAAATGACTATCATGCGACTCACGTCCTAGCTCCATGTTGATGCGTCGCTGTTGCATCGCTGCAGCTTCATATGTACCATTATCCATGGATCTAGGCATGAATGTGTATGTACGCACGTTCTTCGCCCTTGTACAATTCAACTATGAATGTACAACAAAGCAGCAGGTTTGTTTTTTCCTCTACTGGGTCTTTACGGAGTTGGGCGATGCTCTCTCGTTCAATCAAGGGTATCGAAGTGGCGGTTCGTCTCAGCTCTTCATTTACCTGCCCAATGAGGTGTAATCTTCGTTTGAAAGTAATGTGTCGCGTGGCATTTTTGAATCATTTTTCTGACCTCAGCTTCTGCCTGTTAGGAAGGCAAGAAAGGCCGTATGTGTCATACCTATAGTCTAGTGTTACAGAGGAAGCGTCACGGAGGCAAAAGAAGAATAAAAAGAATTATTCACCTTGAACTGCTTGACGTTAGATGCGTTAGCTGTGTGCCGTGGATCATCGCAAATTGGATCCTCGTTGTGTTAATGCATTAGGGCAATAGGTGTTCCCTCCAATAAAAAATTCTCCCTTTCTAATGGTTGGGGGTTCTCGTCCCTACAGCTCCACTGATGGGCTTGTTCGAGATCATGTTATTTCTATAGTCATGGCATATACCGTACAGCGTACAGCATAGACTCCCCCGGGCATGCCAATTGGGCAGCCTCAAGCTTGCGTGCAGGTATCCGCAGGAACCATTCCAACGCCCAATATGGAGCCAGAATCCATAGTATGCGTTTTCTCTTGCAGAAATAGATCCATCGGAGCTATGCATGCGTACAAATCGGTAGGTAAACAGGCAAGATGAATCGGATGTCCACTGGAGTCCACCAGAGTCCACCGGAGTCGACTGGAGATTGCCTGTCGAGTTTACCTATTCAGTAGCCTTACACATGTTATTTGATGGGTCTTGTTAGAATTGATGATTGACAACGTGTATCGGCAGAATTTTCCTTATTACTGTTTGGGTATGTGTCCATGCTCTCGAAGAAACTGGCACTTATTTTGGATTCGGCCACGACATGCAGATTTAGCACGGGCACTTCGTAAACGGAAAATAGCAAGGGAAATTGAAAAATTTTGTGCATGTCTTTCGATTCACAGTCTGATAAGGTGCACTGTGTATGCTCTCATCTTAATTGGTGAATTCGTTCTATCTATATCGAGCTTTGATCGACTGGCCGACCGACCGGCTGACTTTACAGCAGGTCTTGCCGGTGTCTACCCAGGTAGGCCTGCTAGGTACCTGGGTAGTTAGGTAGAAAATGTAAGAGTCCCCAAATCCTGGAAAAGGGGTTCTCTCAATCCTCGCCATCGGATTGCGTGGCCAGGTTCGTGGGATGCACTTCCAAGCTACTCAAATCTTAGCTAGCTTGTATTCATTCGTGTTTGGCGTCACTCAATTGACGCGGCATGTCGTAACGATAACACCATTCTCTTTCCTCAGTGAAACACATTTTCATGCCCCAGATCGTCATCCAGGGCATATTCCTAAACGCCAAGACCGAACGCCAAGCCCTCTCGTGGTATCATAACAAAAGAAATAATGCTTCAACCCCTGGTCCTCATATTTCTTGGCTTTTCTCATTGACAGTGCTTTGGCTCGAATCCACGCTCGGAGAAGGTCTGAGGACATACGGTTGGTATACAGCTCGTGAATGGGTGGAAATGGCGATTTCTTCATCTTGTAAGCATATGGCTCCTTTTCTAATAGAACTGGAAGCACAGAAACTACAAACCATGTTAGCTTTGCAATTGAGGAAACCCATAATTAAATTGTTTGGGGGGATAGTCGTACGTAAATCGGATTACACTCCAAAGAACCGTTATGAGAAGAATAGCGGAGAGGGCCAGTGGAATGGCGAGCATCACTGTATCTGCGGCTTTGCGCACACAACGGAAATGCAATACATTGTCCTGAGACATGTAGGGAAGATAGGCCCATGACTCGCGTTCTGCCTTGGTCTCCAACTCCACAATGGTTTCTTGCGGTTCGGTCTCCGCCATGTTCGCGCGAGTCTCCTCCCTCATGATGCTTGACTCGGGGAACGGTAGTAACTTCTTGGGGCGCGTTAACGAGTTCAAGAAGCGGAGAACGTTAGGTGTTTCCCAAGACTTGGCTCCGGCAAGATTGTCCGGCATCTGGATGCGTCGGCCATCGTCTGCGACGAAAACGTTGGGGTGCTTCTCGGTTGAGACTCGCGACGGGGAAAGAAAAGAGAGTAGGAAGAGTTTGGTCTTGGGTGAGGCGGTAGTTGGTTGTGCTTGTTGTCGTGCATGTGCCGATATATCGTGTGCTTGGTTCGGAAGGTTGACGGGCGTGGCGACCGGAGCTGCAGGAGCCAAGACGGCCAAGACGGAGACGCACAGGATAGCTGATAATCCCTTCATGATGGATCGTTTGATTTTCTTAGATTTGGATATGTGATCTACCGTAGGGACGGAAAAAATTGGACGCGAAGTAGGTGTAAACGAGGGATTGACAAGAAATAGAAGGCAATATGTATTCCGGAGAAGATGGAGAGAAAAAAACAAGTCAAACGCCGACCGTGACAATGCTCAAGGGTGACTGATATATCTCCACGTCCGAGCGAATTCTGTAACGGGGCAGCTACTACGGCAGTGATGATGTTGCAGTCGATCGACGGAGTTGTTGTAGGGATCAGTAGTACCAGTAGGTAACTAATGAGGTGGGCGGGTTTGATGTCGAGTAAGAGGAAGGTTTAGTCGGGCCTTGGCGATCGATTCAATTTATCCCTTTTGGAAAGGTAGTCTAGCAAGCCAGGTACGTACGTCAGGAACGGCAGGCTAGAGTAAGAAATCGTGTTCGGGCAACGTTTTAAAAATGGTGGTAGAGTGGTAACGGGTGATGGTGGGGGTGATCCAAATGATGCGAATGATGAAATTGGTCTAATTGATTAAGAAGGCAAGAGAGGAGGAGTATGGAGTCGGCAAGGCAAGAACAAATTCTCGGCAAGTTTGGTCTAACTTAAATTTCGAATTAGGTTTCGATAAACGACGCGACGGGGGGCACTTTGTTCAAATGCACGGAGCAGTAACAAGGTGACTACTCGGAAGGCGGAAGGCGGAAGGCGGAGGGTAAGCTAAATAGAGCAACGAAATAATAGCATCCGATCGTTTGGAATGACTCGACCGTTCTTTTTCTTTTCAAGTGACGCAGTTGTGTGAGCAGTGTCAGATATTCCTATTAGAGCTTTACATATGTATGTAAAACTTGGGGTCGATTGACTAAAAGAGACTAAAAAGAAAGCTGATCGGTTTATTAATATGCGGTTAAAATGGGGGGGAGGGACAAAACAAAAATGCCATCCATACATACTTCGTCTTTTGCTATTATTCTATTATTCCGGAGAGGAGACTTTCTTTTCCCCCCTCTAATACTTCCACTATAATTTTTAATGCCTTCCGATGCACCCACAATTTATGAATTATAAATCGAGAAAAGGAAGGGAAAAAAAGATTATTATAGAATAAATATGTTGTCGTTGTGTGGCAATGAAATCCTGTCGCGAAATTATACTTGTAAATAGTAAACGAGTCGGGATCTTCTCTTTAAGATCAACATTTGGTTATCCTAGGATGATGCTGAAGGAGAGAATATGACGCTAGGAAAAAAAGAGCTGCGCCTCACTAAAACCGTTCAAAACTCGCAACTTCGCATAAACGCAGGATTTATCTTGCATCATAGCAAAAAATAACGAAAGTAGATATTGTAAATCATTTGTTCCCAACTGGCGTACCCCGTTCACTATATAACCTCTCTGTAAAGAAGAGTTGGAGAGGGATTGCCGGTAATTGATCAACGTTAAAGCAAACGTTAGTCGGTCGGCTTCTGCATTCTGCATTCCGCATTCCCTATTCCCCTGCGAGGGAGCAGTGGAGGAGCTTAAGCTGTACATAATGCCCCTGGTGACATGGGATTGAGTTTACACTAAGTCATCCGTCGTCCAATGATCATCAAGCGGTGGCCGAATCTGGTAAACGCATGTAGTACTTGTACTCAAGTATCTACTCAATTGTGGTGCTGAGAGAGGCTGCTTTTCCATTTTTAGCCACGTCTAGATCTTCGGCTTCCCGGCTTTAGGTATTAGGTAAAAGGCTTCTGTCTCTGTGCCTGACTGAATCATCGATAATTTAACAAGCTCTCTCCATCTACCTTCCAACAATGGCTAGGTAGGTAGAACATCTATAGAATACGAACAATTGTTCCTAGATCCATAGATGTTCTTGCATCGTGTTGCATTGCGTTACATTGTTGAAGTTTGGTATAGTATCGAAATGTCTTAATAGTACCTCACGTGTCATAGGGGGAACCAAAGCTGGCAAACAAGGCAAACAATAGATGTAGCTGAACTTGATATACAAATTTCTCAAACTAAGACCCAATCCAACACGTGAATATCTCCTGAGCACAACATATAATTAGTTAACGACAGTGGCCGAGATAGTGTGTAGTAGTAGCGAATAGGAGTGATTCATAGAAGCCATGCCGTTGTCTCACAGCACTAGTAAACAGGTTTTGGTGGATGCCATACAGTTTTGTGTTCGTATAGTTGAAATGAGTGTTACTCCTAGTATCACCGCTATATCAGCGTGCTAATTAATTATTCTTACTTTGGGAACACGCGGGTAGCATTTTGATATATGTATGTTGGTTTAACAAGCTTGATATGTAATTCTAGCTTTGTCCAATTCGGATGTTTCTATTCGTCAATTTGCGTAATGACGGTCCTGCCAAAGTTCCTTCCCGCTGTAAAGTCCAGGGATCGTACCTAGGTTGTGGATCCATTGAGGTAGTTAGCAGGTTAGTGGCTGAGGCTAGCTCCCGAAAAAGGCTCGTGCGTGAATGCTCCACCCACTACCCATTCCGCCATTCTGCCATTTAGCTTCAGCTTGCAAGGGGTCAGGGGCACTTGATTCATTACTATTATTTTTTTTTATAACATCCATCCATCCATGTATAACATTTACAGATAGGCTATTACATGTAGGTGCCTAATCTACATACTCCACGCAAGATGTATTCTATTGTACGGCTGTAAAACAGCCCACTCACTCTCTGGCCTCGGTTGTTTGTTTGTTATCCTATCTTAAACCAACAATCACTAGACGAAGCCATAGATGTCCTCTTCGAATCCCAGCTCGGCGACTACCGCCTTGCCAGGTCCCGCACGAGATCCTCCACCGCCACCACAACCCGGTTTAACGCGCGCTGCGACTCTACCCATCGATTTGGCATCACCGCGGTCTGCTCGTTCTCACTTAGCTCCAGAAGATGCTTTCAATACCGCGCTCCCCACCCGACGGCCAACGGGGTTCGATACTAATGGCCTCGGCGAGGTCCGCGCTGAGTCGCGGCCTCGGAAGATGGGCTCGAAGCTCGGGAGTAGGAGTAGGAGTCGACGTCGGAGACGTAATTGGAAGAAGCTACTTTGGGTAAAACAGTCCTGTACGGCATTGCACTCTGACCTGAAAACGCTACGGCGGTATTAACAACCGACTCTCAGACCCAGATAACTACACCGACCAGGCCACCTTTCTCGAGAACCTTCAGCGTAATCCGAGACTTCAGCCATATGAATTCTGGCCCCTCGTAGCCGACTCGACCGTTATCCTTCAACAAGTATGCTCCGTTATTATATTCGTTGTCAGCTTCGTCGGAATATTCCAAGAGCGCGTTTCCCCTGTTGCTGTGGTGGGCTGGGGCAGTTTTGCGACCTTTGTGGGATGGCTATTATGGGACTGGTGGGTGGGCCAGGAAGATGAGGACGAAGACCTTCAGAGACGCCATAGTAACCGTAGCCGTTCAATAAGAGAGCCGAAGAGAAGGGATCGTTCCAATGTTGCGGGAGGAGGTCCTCCATCTGCTACAAGTTCCATGGCGAATCTATCAGCAACGGAGCGATCCTACCCGCAGGGGAATCTAGTAGCCATACGACAATCACACTCTACTTCCGCTACCTCTCTCCAATCTAGTACTTCGCAGGCTAGCAACATGGATCGAAGGTCTTCCGAATCCCTCGAAGTGCCGAGCCACCGCCCGTCGTCCCCTCTACGTCATGGACGAACTAAACTTCGTCTTAGTACGATTAAATCTGCCGTTCTCATCTATTTCACCCTTCTCGGGTTGTCACCTATTCTAAAATCTCTAACCCGCTCTACCTCGTCCGACAGTATTTGGGCTATGTCTTTTTGGTTACTGGCGATGAATATTTTCTTTCACGATTATTCTACCGGTCCCGTCAAGTTCCCAGCCTCGCTCTCGACGAATGCGGCGTTAATGGCGTCCACGGTGCTGGCCTCTCGCCTTCCTTCTACAGGGCAAGTTTTCAGCCTCACACTATTCAGTATCGAGGTCTTTGGTTTATTTCCCGTTTTCAGACGGTACGCCAGACATAGAAGTTGGAAGTACCACGTCGCGTTGTCCGTATTGCTTGTGACGGGCGCCGGTGGCGGTGTTGGCCTGATTCTCGGTGGGGAAGAGGACGGCGTCTGGCCCTGGAGAAGTGGACTCTTAGGCGTATTAGTAGCAGTCATTATCGCTGTCATCGCCATGGGCGGTTGCAGTTGGTGGCTTATCGGGCTTCAGAAGTACAAAAATGCAATTAACGGACCCTGGGATCAAGCAAGGCCAATCATTATTAGCCGCAGGCTTTGGGATGATGAATAGAAATATAACAAAATTCAAGACTAACAATAACGCGATCTCACCAGTGTTCTATTCTATCTCCTTGAGGTTATGGCGAATTTCACAACTCATATATACCGTTTAAAAGCGCAAGCCGTGGCCCCAGTACTTCGAAGTATCTACCCATCATCTGCTTGAGTACGTAACTTTACTCATTCTTCGAATCTTAGTCTTGGCATTATGCTACAGCCATGGGGATACTGACCTCGGGACCCCTAGGCTACAATTTGCTTACCATAGGAGATCTTGCCTTGATCGATGTTCACATCCGACAATGGGTATGACGAGTGACCACCCAAACACCTATTCTTTAGAACATGCTGTGGCAGGTTACACCACTCGGTTAGCAAGTAATCATCATTCATTCACGGATGGTCCCATATAAACCCCGCCATTATTGCCACCCCCTCCGTTCAAGGTACTAAATATTTGAAAATATCCAGGTGTTTATTAACGTCGGATATATTTCTCATTCTCGCACGCCTACTCATTTTCAACTGAATATTTAAATGGTTTTGTATTAGCCCAGAGGGGCGAGTAAGATCAAATTTAATGCAAGTCGTCGATACCCAACCCTCCTAATAGCCATTAGACCGCACACGATGTCAATGAAATCGAATCTTCGTCCCCTATAATTATTTCCTCCCCACATGACACACATTTCTTATCTTTACGCTATCTTTGTGCTGATGTTGACTCCTTGCCTGCACTTGCTGCCTGCCAAATCTTCTCCCAACGCTGCAACTTTTCCTGGATTGGTGGTTTTCCAGAGGGTTCGCCAAGGGCCATTTTTTCGTATGCCTGATTCTCAATCACGTATCTCATAAGAGCCGTCTGTCCGGGTTGGTTCGACTCGTTGTGGTTTGTCTGGTGGGCCTTTTTAGCCTTCTTGGAAGGACCGCTGGACGATTTGATGCTATGAGTACTGGTGAGATTCCGTATCAAATACATATGTAGCCTCTTGGCTAGTTCATAACTTACCCATGTTTCCCCATGGTGGCTTTTATTCTGTCTCTAGATTGCGGGGGGGGTTGACGATATACTTAAGCTGCCGCTCGCTAGAGGTTCCAATCAACTTTCGTTCAAGTTCGTTGTTGATTCACTGGGTCTCGTGTCCAAGAGACTCCGGGAAGGACCCCCTTTATAGAATCGTTCGACGGTTAGCTGTACAGACATGATTTCCCCTAAAAATTCGGATGTTGATCTCTCGAAGGGCATATTCGCACTACATTCCGCAACAATTCTGAAAGTTGTGTCCCTTCCCACGCCCTCAGGGTATTGCAGCCTAAGGAAGCCCTGATTCCCTTGCAGCAGGGTGGATTACGCGGCGGGGGGCCCAGTTTACCAGGATCATCAAGAGCCGCATCCAGCTGTGTTTTTATTGAATCACGCCTTTACTCTAGAAGAGCCTCCTGGGAAAAACGGCTCCTGTTCTGCCTTAGAAGGGAAAAGGAAGGAAGAGTAGCCGGTCCTGCGCTTCCCGCCGGCATCTCACGCCTATCCAGGTGCTTATCTAGGCGGAAAGATAAGTAGGACATGAGGCATGAATCACAGGATAACATTTCAGCCAAAGGCCTACTTTGGGGCTCAGAAGCTGGTCCGACCAGAGGACTAGTGCACGAAGGGCTCACTACGTGGTAGAGCATTGAAAGGGGGCACAACTTAAGGCAAGCGTAACTCCATGACTCTGCCCTTGTATTTTCAGTTCCACGATAGTAACCAAAACGTACGAATGTGCATCTGTCCTGATAGATCGGTCCTCAAATAGCAATATTAGATTTGGATTATCAAAGCTCGTGGTGGCTCACCTAATTCGTAGAGCCCACGGTAATCATGTAGCTAGACTGCTACATCATATTTCTCTACCGGAATCACGTATATTTTACCGTGTAATGATGCGCTAGAATGTAGCCAAAGTAGGTCAATCGGAATATTGCAGCATGACATCTATAAAGTTGATTGAACGATACTAGGTTATAAATAGTAGCTTACGAGTCTGGCGAGTGCCTCTGGAAGGCGGGATGGAACTGAGAGACATCTTCGACTAATACAGGAAGAGAAACCGACAAATTCCCATCAAAAGCGGCCAAGTGTCCCTTAACACACCCCACCTCTGTATGAAATTCTTTTACCCTCCCGTTCATCAGGTGCTGCGTCATCCCAACTTTCTTGACGCCTTTTGTTAGCATGAGCTTTGCGGACATGGACATCTCGGTTATCTGGTCGAGTGTAAGTATTATCGCAATAGGGGCATTTGGACACCCGGTCCCTGGTGTGTGTCGATGTGTGCTTCTTCAAGTACGACCCCCGGTTTTCTCTCTTCCCCTTAGGCACATAGTCACAACCCGCGTAATGGCATCGAAAGTCTTGTTCTATTGGTTCCGGGCCGGGAGGACGGGCAGGGGTCATTGGTAACGCTGAAGCCGGAGGCGTAGAAATATTGTGATTTATTATGTTTTGGGATCCTATGTCAAAATGATCCAGACCAGAACCCATGTACATTTCAGGATTTGTCGCAGGTAACGTTCGCATGATACCAGTGGCTGGCAACTCCGGTAGGCATGAGGTGCCACCCGCTGGGAGAGGTATGTTCCATTCCAGACTATCCGAATCAGACTTCGTATTATTCCCCGAAATGGTCATTAAAAGTTTTTTCCTGTCCCTGAGACCTTGTTGGTTGCAATAACCTTGGTTCACACCGCAACATGTAGGCGATGCATTATGAGGTTGTGATAGAGGTTGTTGCCAATCAAATGCCGTCCCGTCCAAATGGCTAGCGTCCTGTGCGCTTTCCATAGGACCCTCGGCGTGTTGGTCATGGTTTGCCAGTGGGCTTGCCAGAACGCGGCTCATAGAAGATGCAGACGACACAGTTTTGGAAGTCCCAATAGCCATTTCGTGCGACAGTTCCAACGGCATATCTGTGCCTTGTAGCTCATATAATTCTAGCGGCCCATTTGTGCCTTGTAGCTCACATAATCCCAACGGCCCGTCTGTGCCTTGTAACTCATATAATTCCGACAGCCCGTTCGTGCCTTGTAGCTCACATAATTCCAACGGTTTTTTTGTGTCTTGTAGCTCATATAATGGTGTACCTTGAACTTCTTGCGCTGTCACCGGCGTAGACAATCCCCAGTAGTCTGGGGTACTTGGGGTTTTGGCGTTAATTGAGAATGGTGTAGGATTGACTAGCGAACTGCTTGGAGAATAATAATCAGGCGTTTCAGGCCACCGTGGACTAGATTCTCGGCGGGTACAGCTGAGGTTTTTGATGGTATCTACTGTGTTCCTGACTTTATTTTGGAGCCTCTGGGTTAGCGTTGGCCTGAACCAGCAGCACTTCTTCTTGGAGGTTCTTCTGAAACGTTCAATGCGGTTACAGATTGGGCACTTGATCAAACCCTCATCGAAGCTGCTACAATTCTTGAAATGTAGTAGCATTTTCTTACCATTCTCAAAATCTCTATTGCAATTTGGCATAGGACAGCGGACGCGCGCAGACGGGTCGTAGACTTCGTCGATAAAGTAGTGCTGGAGCATTCTAGCGTACAAGCGGCTCCTGGAGCAATCGTCGACCGCTCCCTGGAACAGCCTGTGCCTTGGTGTTAGTCTAGTGCAATGGTAGATTTGAGGAGGGGGGGTAGGGGCTTACTGGCATTCCTTGGTGCTGTTACTAAGGGGTTGGCCACAGGTATCAGACGGCTGCGTGCAATGCCTCTTCTTCTGATGCCCGAGGCTTTCTCTGATTGGGGCTATTTCGCTAAAACTACTTCCCATGAACTTGGAAGTAGAAAAAGGATTATCAGAAGTCAAAGTGCTACGTGAATCCATATCGAAAAGCGGACCAAAGGTTTGCACCGAGGAAAGGGATCAAAGACTAAATTAGGACCAGCCTAGTTTTGAAAAAAATAGATATCCTGCAGATATATGGGAGTTTGTGGAGTGCCTGTCTCCCCGTTGTCCATTGCCCATACTCCCCCCTCCCCGTCTCTTCGAGGGAATTCGGAGGTCGCACGCGTACCAATATCAGGGGCAGCAGGGTCAAGTTACGCGTCTAGCGGTGAAAACTCTGCACATCGGTAGGTGTGCATGCCTTTCCCTTCACCCTTATGCGCCTTGGCCGTAGTGTTACTGGTCTTCGCTGCTCAGGGAACTATCGTTGATGCATTGTCGGAAGCATCGCGTGGTTCCTTCGTCCCGTTCGGTGGTCTTTGAGCCGGAGCGGCACAGGAGATGTGCATGTTTTGGTCGTACTAGTGGTAGAAAGTGTATAAAAGGCAAACAGAAGGGAGCAGGGAGATCAGGGCAACTGGTTGCCTACCTGTATGCAGTATTGATTTTTGCAGCGCCATTGTCCTAAGGGGGGTCGGGGATCAGGTCTTCAGGGACCTCCAATTTCTCAGAGATTAGGCCAATATTTCGATGAATAACGTGTGTAAAGCTAATTGGTTCTCCTTGACCTAAGTCGAAGCTGGTCCAGGAGAGAAACCTCACTGCAGAATTCACTGCAGTATGATTGCTTGCCTTGTTTCAAGGCGAGGATCTCGTATGGTGTTGATGACAAAGAGGACCCCAGATGCGGATATGGGATATGGTCGGAAAATTTACTGTCGGTGCTAAGAAGTACTAGAAACAGGAGAAATAGGTCCAGCGGTGATCTCGGCAAACGAGCTATAGGAGTAGAGACGACAGACTTGGGGATGACAGTATTAGGAGATGTATACTAGATATATACCTACTTACAGCCCCCAGCTGACTTCGAGAGCACTACCTAGGTAGATATTTTAAGCTACGTCTTTTGGGGGCTAAGGGGGCTAAAAGGGCTGGGGGCTGGTTATGAGTTATTTGCCCGGTATACCTACATACTCCTCAGGCCAGTAATCCTTGAATACTACTAGTAAGAGGGGAAGAATCATCTATACGCCATGATTCCTATATGTGGTAGTGCTTAAGTACCTGACACGGGGTTTTTGTTCCGACCTAGGTAGGTCCTTTCTCCCGGCTTCGGTAACCCGCAATTATTTCTCGTGCATGAATTGACTGCATGGCTACCAAAGCAGAAGGGGTGATGACGCCGTATGGGTGTAACAGGCGCTTCAGGCGGCCAAGGTTGCGGCTTAATACAACGTACACCGAAAAAATGCTACTGAATGCGGCCCGGTCAATAACCCTTTTTCATTACCCCAACCATACGAGGCAATGAGCTTTCCTTGATGACTTACCACCCTCTATGATGGAATATTCTAGCCTTGAGTATATCACATCAGTAAAGGGCCTCGATCTGAAACATGAGAACAAAATGGCGAAGGAGACATTGATATATGTATCTTTCATTGGGACAACAATTAGGCCTTATGATTGGCCTTCTGACTCGCCATAATATAATCGTAAACCATGAATTGCGACATTCGACGTTCACTGATACCTACAAGGTGTAAATCATCCACGAGGCGAAACATCATCCTACCTAGGTATTTTAAATGCTTAACCGTCTACTCAGGTGTCCAACCCAAGTCCCCGAGTCCTATTTATTATTCAACCATCCCTTAGATGTGCCAATTCCTGGTTAGCTTTTAGGGCTATGAGATACTACGCCATAGGTTATACGCAACGAATCGAATGTATTATTACGAGGCGGGTTCTGTCGCCAGCATATTACTGTATGGGAGGCCTGAAAAGCCGTCTCGCTAGAGACAGGGATAACGCCCATACGATATATTTAATAGTTTTCATTATAGTGACTTCCCCGTTGTGCACACAGTAACACCTGCGGGATATCTTCATGGTTGTCAATAATCTAGCCCCAAGGAAAGGTTATATCATCGAAGGTATTAGGCCATTATCACCTTTCTATTTCTCTATAATAAATACATGAGGCCAAGAGTCTACCGATTTGCAGAGAATTAACAGTTGATAATAGTGACCTATAATACCGCCCCCAATTACAATAAGGTATATTAATGCTTTCCCTTGTCATTCATGACCTCGCCGCCAGGCGCAAAGGAGGCATGTAAGGGTGCATTAAGGTAAAGTAGTTCCCATAAATAGTAGGGAGGTATCTTCCTTCTCGCCTTCTCGCATAAGAAGATTTATCCTTGTTTGCGTGTGGTTGGTCCTTGGTACCTTCCATTGTGTACCTAGGTAGCCTTTCATAAACTAAGACTACCGACGGCCTGATTCGTGGCCAGCTAAAAGATGAGCCTTCTGAACGTGGAAATTGAGATTATCTGGAATATTAATATCGAGTGACCCCGTTCGGCTTGAGGCTTTACTCTACTGTTAGGCATTAGATTCACAGGATTGCATGCTCATAGCGCATCGTATGATTGTGACGGACATTGCCCCCCCGCGCGAGTAAAGTCGTTGAAGCCTGTATAGATGGAGCAGGGAAGCGACTAACGGCCGGTAGCTTGGCGATAGTCTGAAGGTATGTCTCGTGGAGGATTTGGTTGGTGGAAGTTATTAAGGGATGTTGGCGACGCTAGGCACCAGAAGATATACCATAAGAGTATTGATAGAGTCGTTTTATCAGTCTCCAATAGCGCCAACTCGCTGCAACACTCGCAGCATCTTATAGTGAATGATACTTGCAATTCTGGGTGATGCTAAATAAAGCTTTCAAAATACTTGATTTACCACAGCTCCAGTTCCGCTCCAAACTCTTCGTATAATATGTAACGCTAGTTCTGCGAGCGTTTTTTGTCGAAAGCTGTTCTGATTTGGGCAAAATATTTGCGGGTAGGGCACTTTAATATAGAAGACTTAATATCATTTCTCTAGGATTTGCGAAGCTATATGTGCAATTCACCATAAGGCAGTAGATCTGTTTAATTGCCTTAGGTTCCTTCTCAAGGAGATAGAATTCCAGCATCTTGTATTGAAGCACCCCTTGCACAAATCGTGTGTCGCGCTTTATGATAGCCTATACTCATGGATTAATTTATTAGGGATATGAGTTTAGAGAGGCCTTACAAGTGAGATTCACTCATCCTGTTCTGCATTAGCGATTTTACCCGGAAAATACCAAAGTAGGTAGCTTTGTTATCTTAAATTTCTTAATATGCAGAGCCAGGCTCCCAGGATTATACGTCGCTAAAATAGGAATATAGACGTGTATTCTTTCCAAGTCATGTATGTGTAAGAGCTCCTCACTAGGACGCTGGTTATAACACATATACGTGGTCTTTGTGTAACATCAGGGTTAACCTATTAAACTAGGATGGAATATCGCCTTTTGTGGTGCAATCGCATGTACTAACGAGAGATGATAGCGTTGTCCCTTATCTCAAGCGGCCAAGATTAGTGAGTTCACCGAAAGTCCATCCTGCATGGATGTCGGATTGACATAGTACGCCAATCATGTGGGACTACAAGTTTCAGTATCTAGACCAGCATAAATTTGACAGAGAAGAAGTACCATATCCCCACGAATAATCAGAAAAAACTTGCTATCAAAGCCGAACGTGTTTAGACAAGGACATTAGAGCCCGAGGGGACCGCGATGGGATATGTCATGTCCGCTACTGACAAGATAATTGTTATGGCTGGCGATCATGTAAGGGATAGCAGTGCTAGTGTTTTGAGCTGAGCCTACCTAGGTATATTGAGCTTTGACAGGTATTCCACCTTGGGTGAAGGCGTCCCGGGACTTTGAGTTCCTATGCTGAACTGTCTTACTAACGTGTCAAAGGAGAACCGTATACGCCCCTTAGGGGCGTCCTGACCTAAGTAGACTGCCATAGCAATAACATCGAAGTCTATGTTTGAAGTCATTAGGGTAAACAACTCTTAGAGAGGATTTCTATAAGAGAACTACGCCGATGTCTATCAATGATAAAATTCGGTACGTTCGTTTTGAGCACTCCGTGTCAAGTAGAACGTATCCATAAGAAATTGAATAAATATGAAGTTAATGCATAGGGGAATACGTGAGGTCCGTTTGCCTAATGTGCCTTGGCTCCGCCTCGGGTTCTGGGACGAGTTGTTCCGCAGCCTTACAGGTGTTAAAAGTGTTAGTTCTGACGCGTTATAGCGAGTAGAGAGAAAGATGTCATATTACGGGAACGGTACATCTATTCGATCCTAAGTACAGCACGGAGTTCGGAAATCCCTAAGGTGTTTGGCTGGTATGGTGCTACTTGTCAATCGAGTCTGTCCCGATTGGCCACTATATGTACTTTCGCGAATTGCTGCGCTACTACTTCTTACAAGAGGTCAATATCTAGCCTAAGTACCTAGGTACTTAAATAACTATATAGTTACCTCAAAGTGTCTCCAAGAGGGACGATAATGTGATTCGGGAGTCAGAAGGACTACAGGCCTGTTATATTACACGAATCAGAACCTGAGCTTCTCAAAAACAAAGATTATATGCATGTCCTATATCTGCGACCTACTTAGGTATCTATGGGTGGCTAGGTATCAACAGTTTTGATGAAGCTTATGCTTTTGGGGGTATGAAAAATAAGCCAAGGAGCTGGTGGCGCTTAAGATCGATCCTAGGTTCTGAGGAGAATCTAGGTGCCCGATAGTGGATTGACAAGCTGTCTTCATGCAAGCCTCTGTCGAGAATGTTTAGACAAGGTGGAGATCCCGAAGCCCCTGACCACCTTCAGGCACTTTCTTCAACAAATCAAACCTCATCAGGGCATTATGTCTTATCGGTCAGCTAATGGAGCACCAAAAAACGCCTCGCGTACATTCTCCTCCTATTACAAAACAGCAGGAAGTCTCCTTATGATCGGCGTTCGGTCATGTCTCTGCCCCCTACCCCCATCTTACCCCTTTTCAACGTCGTGATCAGCTGTCGATCTAGATTGAGTCTGTGTCTCTTGCATTGAACCGGATCAACGGAAGCTCGTTATTCGACCTGTATCTTCAATGGCGTTCTCTTAGCATGCCAATACGAATACTTCTGCAGATGCGTATCTACGTAACCTATCAGCTGACCGTTGCATATTCGCTCCTATGATAGTCACATCCGCCCCTACCTAAGTACTACACCATAGCGACACTCACGCCGAAAATGGGTATAAGGATGATCCTCGCGAGAAAGGACCACAGAAGTTTCCTAAAAATAAACGTAGCCTTGGATCTCTCCAGAGGATTGCGGTAAACTCGCGGCGCCGTAAGTTTAATCAGATTTAGTAGACTTGGGACTGGATACGTAGTTACGTTGTCTACTTGGGTAATACCTTGGGACCTACCTAGACGCGCAAAAACTGTCACTATCACTCGCTTGACCATTGGTTTTTGTAACGTTGATTAAGGCCTCTAGGTGGTAGTGGGCTCGTCCTTGCATAGGAACTCTTGTATAACTAATCGAGATCTTAGAATAGCTTAGCCCATCCCATGAGAACCATCTGTATTGTCTGTATTAAGCTAGGGGCATCGCTACATCTCCTGCATGCTATAGATAGATACATGCTTTTTTCCATTGCTCCTTAGTTACCTAGGTAGGTTCTACGCCACTATAGTTATCATTTAATTATAAGCACTGGTGGTAGGGGGTGCTGCTGCTGTGTAGAAAATGCGTAGCAACCTTCCTCTTCTCAGTAGAATATTGTTTTGACATGCGTAGCAAGTTTGGGTCGTTATATCAGTATGGATTTCCTTGTTGTTTTTGATCAATGTGAGATCCTTGGATGTTGCCGTTTCGTTTCCCATTGCACCCCCCACGATATGAAAAAAATGATTGAAGTATCGAATTATATTTCCTTCATAGACAAATACGATTATGTCATTTTATTCTAGGTATACGTTCAAAGTTCGTTCGAGTACCATAATAGAAGCACCGACTACAGTACAGTATATTTATGTATCATTTCAGGTCTAACGATCTATAAGAAGCTGCCCACAAACTAGGTAGTGAGAATGAATGAGAGTACATTTTCATGCACACACCTTAGGGGACAATACTGGTTTACCAAGGTGTGCGGTATTATACTTGACTCCGCGCAAGTCAGGGGTTCGCGCAAAGCCACTAAATGTTGTTGATATATTATTAAATAGTGGTTGAGTTTCGGTATTTGATTGGCGCATCATTTTGCACCCTGGAGTTGATATCATTGATACTTCTACCATTTTAGGATGATAACAAATCGTAGTTAGAATGTAGTACCGGAAACTTGTGGCTTTAGGATTATGGTAGGGATTTGGAATTATGTGTATTCGAATATTTGAGGTATTCATTTTGTAACAACATTTTAATTTGCGACTGTTGCAATTTGAAAAAAAAAAAAGAAAAGAAAAGAAAAAAAAGTACAATGCGATGGTAATCCTTGCGAGCTGAAAAAGAAGAGGATGCGAGGTATTGGCAACTTGCATATAGGACTGGTGGAATATGCTACTATTTGACCTATAGGTCAACCATTAAATTGACATATGCGATAGAAGATTACCATTCAAACCTATTTCTCCTTCGAGACTCTAGACTCCATCTAGATACTTAGGTAGGTATGGTAAGTGAACTGATGGGTGGGTAGAGGTGGAGAAGACTACCTAGATCTTGAACTCGTCGGAACCCTGCCGAAGCCATAAGCAGCCCAGCCGTTTTGATGGATTGGAGGGAATTATTCCCATAAATCATAAATGAGGCTCATTCTATCTTCGGGAGGAGCCTTTGTGGCGGCTCTAGGGCTCATGCGGTGTGCCAACCGAACTGACCCAGAACCGTGGATACGATACACGGGTGCTCCCCCTGTCTTCGGTAGCAGTGAACTCGCCAAAGGGCTAAAGAATGCGCATTACCGCTCGTTCAGTAGGTATTCTAGATGTGGCGTGCGGGTTCCCCATTTACAAGGCTTCTTCCTCCTGGTCCGTGCGATTGTGATTAGCCATGGCTACAACCCAGGTGACCACCCAAGATACAGACAATATAAGAGAAGAGTAAAGACGGGGTTTTTCTGTGACATGACCAAATTGTTCTTGCCCTCTTTCCGAACGGAGGCAAGATTTGGTATCCGGAAGCAGCTGAAAAGGCTACAAAAGGAGAGGGATGTGACAACCCCGGTAAATTCGTAATTTCGAGGAATACTGTATGGGGCGAATGATCGAAGCCCGACAGCAGCCAGGGGGTGATCGAACCTATCAGCGCCGATACATGTAGCTACAATGGGTCCCTGGCACGCTGCATCTATCACCACAAAAGAACGAAATTTGGTGAGACGGGGCTATCGTGGATTCCGCCTTGATCCGCTCGTAACATTGCCATAGCGGGCTTTTACCAGTCAATTGATTTCATTACTGGTTGTGTCTTGACAATAGATCAGGACTTACAAGTCTTTTCTCGGTTGAAGATCCGAATTTGGAAACCGGCCGGTTCGGGCAAACAATTGCATGGGACTATTTCACGGTAGCACATTTCAAGCTGTCGGGATTGGGCCTGTCCTGATAGTTGCCGTGTTGTGTTCCCGCGTAACGTGCGTCTTGTGACTACGGGCATAACTGCTCCTGTGTGCTAGGTACTTGGTAGTAGACCAGTAGATAGGTTCCTCTATAACCGGAGCCGGAGGAGTAGAAGTTGGCCGGGTCCGGGCGATGCATAATATAAGGCCAAGTATCCCAATGTTGGGATGGGAATTATAGGTGAAGCTACGTTATACACAATGAGAAGTGGGAGAATGTGATTGCGATGATGATGATGATGATGATGATAATGGCGGCACTAATGCGGACAAAATACATGTCTGTAGCTGAGTAACCGGGAAACCCGCGACGATTTTTAACGGGTGAAGATGGACACATGTATAAGAGTATAAATCAGAGCCGAGGTGAGAGTCTAGACTCATCTAACCTTAGGTACCCAGTCCGGAAGTAAACCGCGTAATTATGAACGAAATGGATAACGGACGTCTTGATAAAGCTTCGGGGGCTTTTTACACATTACCAAGGTAGTCCTCACTTGATTTATGATAATATTGTATAGTGCTTGGTTGCGAAAATTGAATAAGTCGAGCGAACATTTGCTGTTGTATATAAATGGAGAGATAATTTTATTTTATTTTGTTTTATTTCGCCCTTTAAATAAAAAAGGGGGTTCATATTCCCGATATCTCCACCGATATATGCCCACAACGTATTAAGTACATATATTATGCACCTATACGTCGTATAAAGAAAACGTATCGATTTCTTCAACCGAATATCCCCCAATAAAATAACAAATTCGCCTCCGAATATTCGGAATATTCGACTGTAGCGCATTTACCTACCTACATAGGTACCTATACGCCTCTTGTTCTTATCATTGTGAACGTTTTATGGTGTCACTGCATGCTACTTGTCGTGTCATTCAGAGACTTCTACTCGCTACCTAGGTATCTGTATTGTTTTGTCCCGTCCCGTCTTGTCCTGGCCTAGATCATATTACAGCTGATCGGCATCCCGAAAGGATACCTTACGATGGCTATTAAGAAGCTCGCAATGCATAACCTAAGTCTTAATAAATATATCAAGTGAGAAGAGGTTACACGCTGTAGACGCTCTTTCATTTTGCCCTATATGCCCCCCCGGGGAACTTGGTTTGGAATCCAACTAAGCGGATCCCGGATTCATTCATCCACCCACTCTTCTCTGCAGGCTATCGTAGGTAACACCAAAGACGCTGGGGATGCTGTCATGCAGTGGATGCCTTTTTGAGTATTCGAAAACAAGTGGTGGAGATGAATGAGATGTAGGCATATCCACTCTCCATCGCCACCTACCTCAATCTTGTTTACGCCACACATCAACAGCGGCGGCGACGGTAGTAGTGGAAGCCACTGTAAAGAAATCTTGTTTCTGGGTTTCGCAGTCTTACGTGTGTGTATGTTAGGTTTTCGATTGGGAAATTCTGGGGGTTCTACCACGTAAGATTGTAAGTGACGAGGGTATGAGAATAGGTTATAGATATACATACTTAAGTACCTATCTATTCCTTAACCATGCCCTCGAAGCTTAGAGCCGAGTAGTTTCGGCGTTAGTATCGGTCCCGACTCGTACCGATTTAGCTGGTAGACAGGGTCATCCCGAAGAATACCAACCAATTAGATACTATATGCTATTTCAGCTTCAACAATTCTCGCGCAGCGATGTCAGATTCTCAACGAATATGATGGTGGTACTCAGTCTCAATAACGAGAAGGCCGTTGATTACTCTCTGGCAAAGAGAATGAGTGCAGGGTTACTAAAAAAAAAAAAAGGAATACACGGCAGGTATTACAATGTCATTCAGATCATGCACACGCACAAACCCCCCGAAATCACGCCCTTAAGGAACACTGACTATTGGGTAACGTCCATACCTGGGAAGCGTATCTACCTAGGTAGGTATGTGTAAGTGTGTCAGATGCCTAAGATACTGCATGGAGTATAGTAACGTGAGCCTTGTCGACCTCGTCGGCTAGTATGGCAAGCTCCGAAAGGGATGGTTAATACGAAGCGGAACTATGAAAATAATGATAATAATTATTTAATAATTCAAGAAATCAAGAAATCAAGGAAGACGATGCAACATAATTCTCGTTAAAAATTCCCAGAACCAGACAAAGCTCTACGAGGTACCTACCGATTCTTCATCCTCCCATCACCCCATCTATCTACCATTACATCCATTGAACATCCTGTAACGTGTTAGGGGGTAGAATCCCAGCTCGGGACGCAGGGTAAGCAAGTAACTGACCCCCTCGAGACACGGGAGGGGGGAAGAAATGAAAGAAAAAGCAAAAGTTGCAAGACCCTCGTAAGTCATGTAAAATATTTCATAGGTTGCGACCAATAAGATTGGAGATGCTTTACCGCAGCACAACAGAATTCCGAAGTGGGTAATATAATATTGTGCAATGAGAAGGTCGCGAAGATGCATCGCTTCAGACCTTTTTAAGACCATCGATATGTATGTACTCGGTTGATACTTGGTACATATGTAATGCTCAATGATACTATACTGTAGTTGCGGGGTTTTCATTCAATTGAAGACCTAGGTAGCTAAGCTAAAGCTAAAGCTAAGCTCTATGCGACCTTTTTTATGTAACCCTGAAGCCGTCAGCAGCAAAATATGGTCGGTGGCGTTGGTTCCCGCGTCGCCCATGCCTTGTAAGCCGGTACATATAATAGGTGCATATTTAGATACCTAGGTACCTAATAGGCAGTCGACAAGGTTCATACGCACATACGCAGCATGTGGGTACCTGGATATGTATCTTTATGTGTATGCCTAGCTAAAAATCACACGCACGGTACAGGCACTAGACTCCAACAACGGGGTGCAACCTCAATGCTGAGAACCTTCAGGGAATGCCCCTGCAGAACCGGCATACGCAAGCATTTTATTAGGACCAAATGATCGAACTAAAGCAGATCCCTCCGATGACAATGACTAGGAAGCGCTCAGGTAATGTATTCAAATAATAATCTTTTTTTTTTTCCCTTTCCATTGTCATTTTAACTTTTTTTATTTTTTGAATCTTATGATCTCGGGTGGTTTGACCCATCCAAGATAGCTTACTACTATTTTTAAAACATTTATTCATCTTATTCTAAACAGACAAAGAATAATTCTACCTTCTTACATATAATCTATGTGTTGCCGATGAGGCTCTTTCGGCACCCCAATCCTACCTTATGCTAGAAATACTGAAATACGTACTTGTTATATTAAGAAGCATATAAGCTTACTTACATGCCCATGCCTATGTATTATCTTCATGAGACCATCTGGGAAGCAGAGAGGAGGTGGCTTGCATTGACACCATCCAAGCCGCGTCCACTTGGAATGCCACGCAGTCTGCAGTGACGCCAAAACGGAGCACGTTGCATGGCCAAGTGGATTTGCTGCCGTCCGATCAAGATGCCGGGGGAGAGCAGAGCCAGATCTACATGGTTTAATCGTATTCTAATCTTTTAATATTCTATTACGTACCTACCTAGGTAGGTAGTATAACTGTAGGTTGGGAGATATCTCTCCCCGTTCGATTCACAGTAGGCACCTAAATAATCAACGAGCGAGTAGTACAAGTCAATAGCATCGAATTGGGATCATACCTACCTAAGTACCTAGGTAGTTATCCCATACACCCATGTGTGATGGATGGATATATGTAGCCCGGAATAACGGGATGACGAGATCAGCTTTATTTCCGCCTCGAAATCCTACAGTAAAGGTAGCATTCTCGAATTCGACGCGACGACAGCCTCAGAACTTTATTCCTGCCCACGCGTACACGAAAATCCATTATCGAACAAGCTGAAGAATAAAAGTCGCCCACCGCGCATGTACCTACATAGATATTGTATTAGACAGCCCCAACTTGGGCAGTATGCCAAGACAATAACCTAGAAGCGAGCTGAAAGATTCGCCAAAAGACCAAGAAAAACGAAATAGAAGAAAGCAAGGTATCCCGCGCTTGAGAGTGATAGCATACATTATAGGATGTAGCTATTACCCATTGCCTACTTACATACCTAGCTTAATATTCATATCGATGATAGTATTGTTGTTTTTATTTGCTTACCTAGGTACTTATTCCTAATAACCCAGGTTATCTATGGAACTCTCGAGAAACTCTTTAGAAAGCCGACGCTCGCAATGCGACATCATGTTTTTTCGCCGATAAAAGTAATGATGAGCAAGAAAAAGAAAGTAAAGGAATACTTTTCTCATAATCCCGATAATAATTCCCCCCTATTTTTGGTTCCCAAGCTGTTCCTAGGTTTGGGTCCCGCAAGGGTTGACGAGATTCAATCAATGATCAACCAACTTCAGACTATGCCCGGTGCGAATAAAGAAAACGCACGCGAGGCCTACCTACGTAAAGTAGGTACATTACCATGCTACCACGCATCTTGATGGGTCCCAGTCGCGGGCACACGCCCGAGCGATCAGATCCCTTGTCAGATGCATTAGTGCCAAAACGAACAGGGGGGAAATCGGGGGGTGTGGCATTCGTGTGGGCGTCCACGGATGGGTTACTATGCCTATCACCACACCTCTTTTTCTTCCCCCCCCCCCCTGCCAATCATTCTGAACCCCAAATTCCCATCCATTCAACTATCCATCTTCGTTCATCCATCCCCCCATCCATAATCTCATCACCGGTGGACCGGGGAAAGCTGAGTTCTTTCAGGTTTGTTAGTGTTCAGCTGCACTCCCCGTAAGCATAATTGTTTCCTATTTGCTCAGTTAAGAAGGTACAAGTTTAAATAAGACAGCCGATGAAGGCCATGCCCCATCTTTTATTTTATTTTATTTTTTCATAATCAATAAAACATCATTCCGTGTCTGTAGGAAAGCTAAGCCGGAGAAGACGAAAGGGGGCCCCACGACCTGACCGGCTTAGGTCTATCCGTTACGTTCGACGTTGCGTTATGTACATATAGCTACATACATAATATACAGTATGTAAACGATCCAATAGATACTAGATCAATAGATAGATCGTAATATAGGTAGTAGTGATGGCCTAGGCGTTTAGGGTAACCCGGGATCTTGGGTGCATGGAGTTTCTTAGGGGGGGCGAAGGGCGGGTAGTTCTGGATATTGTAGTTCAGAGTCGAGCAGGGTTCTAGGCTTTGACTCGCCTATCACGCTTCTTACTCTCTTGCTTACCATTCATCTACTTAGCACTTACACGGCTTAACTTCTTCCCCTGGCCTTGGCCCTGTCTCTTTAATAAACTTAACTCGCTACCGTACCCAGGTAGGTAGGTATTACTGCACTCCGTGCTTGGTAAAGGGATACCTCGGATGATGAAATTTAAGAGACATGGTGCAATCCTTCTTATTCCAATTGTTCACTTCTATCCCGCGTGTCTTTCTCTCACTTCAAAGTCGTCCTGGTTACCTAGCCTATCGTCTCTCCCTCCCTACACGTAACTAATTCCTTACCTCCCGATCTATCCCCACTACTTCCCGATCAGAGCTCAAACCCCTTCCAAAGGGGGCCATGGGCCATGTTCTTTTGTATCAAGAGGTCCTAGTCAAGATCCCAGTGATTTCGGCATTGATATCGTGCATATGCATCTATACTATGCGCCTATGTCAATTTTCAGTAGGGTTATCACTTCTCTCCATCCACGTGCCGCTCTCCTCCCCTACTTTAAATCTAACGGATAACGGACCATAAACCACGAGAGCAACGGTTGGATTTGTCGTACGAATTCTTTAGTGGCTGGATTTACCGTTTAACAACTGAGCTTGATAATTTTTGGGCCGATTACTTTACCAAGATAGTTCGGCAAGAATAAAGTTGCATCTAATTAACTTTATAGACAGGAGAGCTTAAAGTCACAATAAGTTAAAATTAGACAGAAAAGCTTATGTACATATACTGGCTCGATTTACAGTCTTCTAGCCCCTTTACAGCCTTACACTATTAAACTGCATGCATACCTACATTCCTAGGTACATACACTCATAGACGGTACAGCGGTTCAGCCCATCGAAATTACCTACCTAAGTACCCTACCTCCTTCCTCCCTCCTACATCGAGGTACGCATACGTACCTAGGTAGGTATGCGGGTACCTAAGTACTTACCTAGGTATCTACCTACGGTACGTGGGTATGTATGTAGCTGGTTTCTTGGGAGGTTGTTCAACGCGGACTAGCCCTGGTCCTTACCTCTTCTTCTTTCTCAACTTACTACAACCAGATCCCCCCTACTCCAGGAATAAATAAATAAATACCTACCTAATTAATAGAGAGATACAATCAATGTATTTTTTAGTTCTACTAGGATCGAGTGGAAGAGTCTTATTAAGTCAGCCTAAGAAAAAAATAAAATAAAAAATAAAAAAATAAAAGTCGACAAAACCATTCCCTCCAAGCCCCAAGAACGACCTACCACGGCCATCTCTATTCTCCCCAAAGCCCAAAGCAAGGATTTCATTCATTATCCAATCGAGTATATAGTTCGATAGGCGCATCCACGGCAGCTAATTTCTATATGATCGACATCTCCACCTACCTTTTGAGCTTGGTTCTAACTTACCTACCTAGGTATCAAAAGGAACCTCTCATCACACCTCACCTTATCACATACATACATATATACCACATGCCTACCTACATATAAACTTACACACGGATTTACGCGCATAGATTCTCATCTAGAAATAGCCAACGAAGGTATACGACCAACAACCGTTTAGGATAACCAGTTCCCCAGCTATAAATTATAAATATCGGCAGCCTCGCCTTGCCTTGTAAGTTGCGACAGCTGCTCTGGTAGGTACCCAAAGTCGAAGTTGGTCAGCCAGCAGTTTGGGGTGCGAACCAACTAAATAACACCACTGCCAACGAGTATCGGGACGACTATTATTCTTTGCTCTCTCTTTGCTTACCTTCCCGGGAACGAATTTTTGGGTTACGAACTTCACTAAGGACCTACTCTATTTCGCGATTCCTCTTGCGATCGGGTACCGCTGGCCAAAGGTCATATTCGACAACCGACAGTCGTGGGGAAAGAAGAGGCTGTTGACTTCCCACCTGTCAACTGGAAGAGGCGGAAATTTGGACGGCTGGCGTCTTTCCGCATCAATTCCTTAGAATGGAAGCCGCCACTACCAGCTTTGCTTTACGTAGACCAGCGGCTGACACGCTCCCTCCTTTTCAGCTACCGATTCGAGGACTAGATGTCCAGGTCCCTAGTATGGCGGATTTTCCTTATAATCCAGTTCACACTCCACCCTCCCGCACATCCTCTCCCATTGCTCTCGGATACAATTCCAACAAGGCACCATGTACACAGTATGATCAACGAAGACAAAGCTACAACAGTCTGACATCCTCCACAGGAGTGACTGGAAGTCAAAGTATCAGCCCACTCTCGTCGAGCGTCAACAGCGGTAGCTCGCGGACTTCACAACCAGGACAGCAAGCGGTGACCGCATATACTCAGGACTCCTGGTATACTCCACCCGTGTCTGTGGCTTCGCCCTATTCCTCCAGTCCGGTGAACCAGGGACTTATGCAACCCAATTACAACCGCACGAGCTACCCTCCCGTCGGCTCCACATACCCTCGAAGTTCGCAACCTTCGACGACGGCAGAGGGACTGACAGCTACCTCCGCATACGATAGTGGCTCTTCGTCTTTTCCTCTTCCCGTATCAGGGGGCGGCGTTGGCCCTCCTACCATCCTTTCGCCGCCCTCACACCAACATCAACCTCCTTTACGAACCTCGATAATGAGCAGCAGCCATGGGCAAGGATCGCAACCACATACTCCTTCCACAACAGGCCCCTCAGATCCCTACGCGCGGTCTCAGACAAGTTCTAGTTATTACCACCAACCGCCTCCGCCATCGACGCAATCTTCCTTCTCTTCCTTTACATCTACCCACAACTCGCCTCCACTAACATCACCGACAACAGGAGGAGGGCTATCGAGAGGGATCTCGTCGCTGAGTCCGCACCACCACCAGCATTCTCCGATACAGGCGCCGCATTACTCACATCCACCATACCCCTACCGCCCACATCCTCCAGCACTGGCAGGGGCAGTTTTGACGAACATGCAAAACCCAGGAGGCCAGGTTGCTCTTGTAGGCGGTATGAACCATATACCCCCCCAATATCACCATTCCGGATCACTTCTTGGTTCTATGTACCATCCCCATGGGGCAGCGAATTCCCAGCAGGATCGCCCCTTCAAATGCGATGAATGTCCCATATCTTTTAATCGGAATCACGATCTAAAGAGACACAAGCGAATTCACCTTGCAATTAAACCTTTCCCCTGCACTTTTTGCGACAAAAGCTTTTCCAGAAAGGATGCTCTAAAGGTAGGGTTATTTTTTTACTTCAAGTTCCAGGGTTTATACGAATTGCTAACCTCCAGTAGCGGCATAGACTTGTCAAAGGCTGCGGGACAGGGAAAAGTTCACCGAATGGTGGAAATCGAAATACGCCTCCGGAGGACTCAAGACGCGGCTCTGATGGACCTTCAAGCTCTGCACTAGGAATCAAGGAAGAGCCAATGTAAAATTTAAAGCGTAGTTTCATACTACAGCATCCTATTGAGTGAGGCTTTGCTCCGGGAGCACGATCGTCGGGCGAGGGTTACGTTAAGATCAGACCGGTACGGCCAAGAATCGCGAGTATTCATTACGTATTGATATTGCATACACGGCGGAATTATTATATTGTGTTTTATGATGCACGAAAAGGACGGGTTACGGAAAAGACTAGGTTTCGGAGTCTATGGTTACGGGGTTTACAGATGGGCATGATTTATGCTCAACGAGATACCAATGCCCCAGTACGGTTCTATTAGCGTATACGAAAGGAAATTATTCTCGCTGTTGGGAATTTCTCTTATAGAAACGGCCTCATTAAGCGTCGAGTTGGGCACATTGTCAATCGGTCATAACACCTTCGGTTTATCGAGCGATAATAAGGGAGGAGCCCAATAGATTTGATTTTCGGCATTCCTTTTTCTTTCCATTTCTTGACTGTATATTCAGCCGTGTAAATTTATGTTTCGTCGGTTCAGCGGTCAAAGAACAGGATCGCATTGATGGGATTAGAATTGATGGCAACAGGTTACGAATGCTATTGCATCCAGAAAATAGGCGTTAGAATCGATGACGACCCAAGCTGATTTGGCTGAAACGCGGATTATACAAGGGCTACCAAGTGTGTATATTCAGTTTCAAAAGGTTGTGTGATAGTTTAGGGGTTGGCGGGTCACTGCTTTCAAGTGGTTTTTCTTGTATAGGGAGAAGGAGAATAGTACACTTCATATTCCTTGCTAATCTTGATACCCTTACTTTATTTATACGATGTATGTAGCTCGTCCGTTTGCGTATCTAGGTAGGTAGACAACTCAAAGCATATAAACAGTACTCATAAGAGGCGAACGGGTATCACGAGCCAGTTTCTCGGTTTGATATCATACAATCGACTTTCACAGAACCACCACGTGGCAGATTCGACATTATTTGCCGAATCGCGGGTGAGGGGTCCAGCTTGCTTTTACTTAAGCCGCATTAAATGAAGCGTTTATTAATTCCGAGAGGAAAATTCAGTTTTGGCAATATCAATAAACACAGTGAAGAACCCAGGTATCATCTAGGATAATAGTAGGTACTAGCTAAGCTTGTTGCAGGTAAACCAAATGTTAGTAGTTCATCTCCATCAAGCCAACTTGTATACCCCTAGTGGCACTGCTCTCGTGGCTTAGGGGGTCATCTGAGAGATCATAACCCGGATTTGTAGAAGGTGCTCCGTTTAATCAGGTACTTTAGATACATATAACTAGATAGAAGGAATAGCTCACTAGATAACAAGGCTCGGATAGGGGCAAGGTGTACTTAGTTGTACGGCTATGCCGATCCTTTGCTTTTCAGGACTCTCACTACATGGTCCTATTAGATTTCCACCTAATTATCAAGGCCAAACTACTTAATTGCATCTACGCATAGCTCCCATTGCGGGAAAATGGTTAAAGGGGTTGTGATCAAGTGATCTTGGGACAACACATACCTACACGAAGACACGAAAACTAGAAGCTTGACATATCAGGCAATATGGGCCCGGCTCGGGACACCCCGGGCCTAGGTGTTGGAATCTCGATCCCCACCTCGGCCAAGGAATATGTTGCATCTCAGCTACTGTAGGTAGTTTCAACCAAGATAAGCATTCCGTCGTACCGTAGGCACATGCAGACAGAAACACACTAACATCCCGTGTCTCTCAAGCTTCGCCTTCTCGTGACTCTGGCTGGCTCAACAGGCTAGCCTACGAACCCACATGCCCACAAGCCAGTCAGCCATTCCCGCCCTCGCACTGATAAATTGGGGGCAGGGTTGATCTAGACACCCTGAGAGGCTAGGCGTAGACAACCCGCCTCACTGACAGAGACATCCAGACGCATCCAAGTGGCATAAGAAAATACGCACGTAAGAAGTCTCAAGGTTAGGAGGTAATTCTAAACCCTGACTAGCCCACACACCGTCGCCGGCTCGAACTCGCACCCGCACTAAAATCTATATCCGTAGAGGGATCTTTGAAGATATTGATGGTGTATGATGGCCACATGGTGAGGCTGAAGATGCTAGTCCTTGTCTCTTACAAGCAGGAGCTCACCCCCCTACACTTTTCTACCACTTACACACAATGTGCATCATAAAACCGTGTACAGAATACACTATGCACACACCCATAGCATGGATCTTTCCACTATTTAAGATCATTATATAGCATCTGCTATTGTCAACTTTACATAAGTCCACGTCACATCAATATAACTAGCATTCATCTAACATAATAAAGGAATACAGGTATACTATGACGATTGCCATCCCAATGGCTGCGCCGCTCCACTATTCATCACTACTGCAGAAAAACATTACAGAGTCTTCCTCTGCTTGTCTTAGTTATGATTTCTCTACTCAGTTCGCGAGACACAAAAGGAAGTCCGACGCTAAAGGGGGGGGAGAAAAAAGCAACTCCTAATAGATCTAAGAGGTCGATTGTGGGCAAGATTGGGTGGGTAGTTCCGCATTTTAGATCCTATCAAATTAGAGAAACAGGAACTAACCAGCTAGCTACCTAAGCTTCATTTCCTGTGACGCCCAATGGCGCAGCTTGAAGGGGGGAATAGACACGGCAATATTTGTAACTTGTCACTTTTTTTCAACGTATCGCACGTGCATAACACCATCTGCAATAGGATATCTCGGAAATGTGAGCTCGCTCCTCGGTCGTAATGCCTGTATCTCCGCTCCTATATTATCTCTCGGTGTGTTTCTTTTGGTCATGAACTCTTGAATTTGTATCTTTTCTAACAGGATCTACGATTATGTACTACAGTCCTCGACTAATATCCCCACTAACCCGGGCATGTTTTGTAAGCTTATGGAGGGACATTGTGCCTCGTTTTTTCCCGTTTCTCTGCAGATCCGTCTCGCGTCGCGACGAACTGAAAACCGGTACGTCTTTTGGCCAACATCGGCGACCCAGTACCAAGTACCTTTTGCTTTTTCAGACGCCCCCTATTTTTATATGATCGCTCAGGATTTTCTTGCCTGAACTAAGAAAGGATAAACATTAAGAAATATCTATATAATCTACATTAATATGTGATGTATCGATTTTTATTTGCATGAACCATATAACTAAGTACCTAGATATTGAAATACCAAACCCACCCATCGTCGACCTCCAGTACCTCGACCCCGGCTTTGTAAGTTATTTCGGTGACTTGAAGAACAATACACCTGCAAATATGTGACCCCCACGATGATCATGACATGTACCTAAGTACCAAGCATAAATGGAGATGGATATTCTTAGCGCCCGAGACTATCGACGAACCTTACAGGGATTGGGCATGCTCGCTTAATGCCGCCCGCGCGCTAAGTACGGTTAGAGTTAAGCTTGTTCAGGGTCCTGGCAGCTTTGGCTTAAGCCCCTACTATGTAATTAGATGTCTCCTATTCCTCCTATGCAATTACGTACCTACTTTGGTGGGCAAATCCTGGGTTTCTGTAAGATATTACTGCAGAAAACGGCCGATTGCATTTTCCTCTTTCTTTTTTTCCTTGATGAACATTCTTTCCCGCCTTGGAATGGGTAGGTTGGGCAGAGACAAGTGGCTTTCCGCCGGGGCGGCGTGGCATTTCCCATTCAGGGAGCCATCTCCATAAGGACTACGAATCGCGGGGACTCTTCTACATCACATTGTGTAGCGGGGCGGCCTCGAAGCACGCGGTGGCCGACCGGGTCGGATGCTTTTACCATCGGATTCCCTGAGCCAGATTTGGATCGGCTGACAAGCAATATTTCGGGCCCTGTGTTCATGAAGAGGCTCTTGCCTCTCTTGATACGGAGAAATTCCTCACTGGGCAAACCGCGCTTTACGTAAGACGAGAACATCCCCCCCATACTATTAGCTATCGGTTGCAGCCCAACCAGAGTAGACAATTATCCCAAGCTGTCGTTAAATTAGACTCGGGTGTCCCGTTCTCGTCAGGCGACATCCCGGCTCTCGGCTCGCTCGGGTGCGCGACGTGGCCTCTTGCAGTTGCTGTCACTCAGTTCTCAAAGCATGTACATTGCCGTGCGCCGAACAGTATGGGGTTGTAAAGTGGCCAACGCGTACATGGATAGAATTAGATGAAGTGGATCAAGGAATGGTATGCGTGCTTCCGTCTTCCCGTACAGGGGCGAACCAAGCAAGACAGCAAGCTTAGACATCACATCCGGGGAATCTGAACGAAATGCCGATAAGTCAAGTACCCGTCGTAACACATATATCAAGAGAAAGCTACCTTAGCGCCCATGTCCTTGACCTTTACCCTTATTGTCTTGCCTCGAAGCGGGATCTTGCAGTGGGGGATCGTTAGACAGGACTGTGAAATATCAAAGAAAAGATATCACCGAGAGACAATCACATCAGAGACGGCACGGATGGGAAGCACGTCTTATCCGTCCAACCTAATGGCCAGAGATGTGGAAACACAGGACTCGAGGCCGCAGGGGCTACCGGTTGATCGCTGCTTTCCTAGGCCGCCACTCCATCGCAAGTTGAGGGAGGGAGGGGAGAGATTGGTAGCAAGAAGGGCGGACGGGTACTTGCAGTTCGGCAAATTTTCTGCAGACCCTCGCCCGAATCAGTGTCCGTGCGACGTAAATAATCACATCAAGATACCCCCAACCCCATATACCTCTTCCGTCTACGAAAGGTGACGCCGGTGCTGACGTAGTGCCCCCCGCCTATGGTTTTAGATGCCGTGCGCGCATATGGGTACAATTCCCTCTAGAACCCAACATCTTGATGCACATAGGGTGGCTCCGTGTTACCCAATTATGGGGGTGGGGATTGTCATTGCTTCCGAGGGTCGATATTTCTTCCAGGAACCATTGCTTTCAGTATCTGTAGACAATGTACACCGAGGCTCAGCAGTGTAGCGACTAGTATCACAACAGTAAGTTAGGATAACATCCACGCAATCTCAGGGTCCGTCTAAGATTCTCGGTGTTGTTTGCTCGGAGCACGGCTTAAGGGGAAGGATCGTATGATAGACTGATGATTTGTAACGATTACTATGGTCACAACATCTCCTAGTTAGCAAGCTTCTAGCTTCGTATCCTTATTATTAATCCTTCGAATTCCTAAAAGGGAGTCTATCCCCGGCACGTATTGTCGTATTAGCTAATGAGTAAGGGATACAATGTATGACTTAATACAGTACAACCCGAGATCACCGTGACACCAATCAACGTAATTATCGGACATAAGACCTACTCCTTGCATTATATCCATGGTATCAACCCATCGCGATAATGAACTTTGTCTTTGAATTGCAATTCATTTGATTGTTGGCTATTTAGCTTGGCTCGGGATCATAGCTTTCATAGCTATTAACCACTTGAACATAGGTAGGCAACGATATGTAGTCAACAACCTCAGCAGCCTACGGTCCTAAAGCAATTTCACCATAAGTCAACATAGCAACTGTTTTGTACAACCTAACTACAACATAATCTCGACGATAGTAGCCCCTTAGATTCACGAAGATATTGAGCCCCCTCACCCCGATTTCAAGCACAACAAGTGAAAAATCTCGTTGCTACAATTTACCAATCGAATATCATAAGGACAAGCTGACTTCCTTTCTTCGTATTATCATCCGGTCTTAAATGGTGGACTGCGAATTCCCATGATGTACACACCAACTCTTCTCCCATCTATATATTGTTGTTATGTAGCCGTTTACTAGTACCAATCCATTACTAGCAGTGCGCGTGGCCTTCTCTGGGTGATATATTCCAGATCTAAGTTACGAGAAACTAGGTAACGTTTCCCAACTTACTTAATAGTCATATGCGCATTAAGCAGGCAGGCCATCAGACATATAGGGGTCTGTACCCATCGAGTTGATTGTCTTAGTAGGGTAGAGGTATCATGAAACTACTCGTATCAAATCAAATCAACTTATTCCTATCTCGTGATACAGCTAGAATGATAGATTATACACCTAGGCCAACATCTATTATTTAGACCAAAGGGCCACAAATAGGTTCCCGATATTAAATCCTCATATATATAGATATACAACTTGCCGTTAGGCCATATTTCCCTTAACGGAGTGTTTAATATTATTGGTGAGCCAATGCTTGACACAGGCTGTCTATTATCAGGTGCGTAAAGGGGTTTCTTAAGGGTTTCAATTTGCCAGACTGACAGCATCTTAAAGAAGCCTCCTCAGTAAACGGAGTCATCAAATTCTTTCCTATAACGCCAGCATTTTGGTATAGCCGGAAATAGCAAGGGCTAACATTGCTCATAGGGTATTCTATCTTGATATTGTCGGCGCATTTACCCTACTGTTTGACGATCAAATATAGGCGGTCATCAGAGCGCAAAAAGCTTGGGGGTTACCTTCTTAGAAGCAGAGCTTGAGTGTTATGATACGTATTAGCTCGCAACGTTACAATGTTAATTCTAGCCGCGTAACTACCTATATAGGTCGTCAATGAAAGCATGTTTTAAGTCCTTATCCAATTTGTTGAGGTGGAGCCCCTTTGTTGAAATATCCCTTTAATGAGTCAACCCTATGATGCGTAGTAGAGCTAGAAGTAACGGTAAATTATATTCTCCAGATGAGTTATATATGGTAGAAATACGCGAGGGAAGTCTTCTCGAGCAGTAGCATAACACTACATTTAATATAACATATCTCTAACTATGGGTTGACCCACGATGATAGGTGTTATTTCACGACATCTAGGTCATGACGTTTAGGCGAGTTCAATACTCTTAATACGGGTCATGTCTATTTCAAATTTCTCCAGTTTTCATAAATAGAGCCAATTTCTTTGTAAGGTATGGCCACTATTGGATACGGAAGCGCAGACTCTCTACCAGAGTACACAAATATACTATTTTTCTTCCTTTATTTACCACTGAAAGATCCAAACACATAAAATTCAAGCTCCAGCGGAAGCCTCTGCTACTACTGAAAAATATGGATATCTCTCTAGGTGGCTACTTAAATTTGTCTATATGCCGAACGAGGTTAGTAAAATAGGCATGGCGTCGGGCTAGAATAGACTCGAAGTCATGAAGCCATTATATACTACAACAGCTGGAGGCTTAATCGCCAAAACTCATAAAACTCTCGTGGTGTTCTAATGGAATATGCCCAACATAGCCGTTATAAGGTATATATTCTCAAGCAGGATAGGAGGCAATAATGTCGACATACAATAGGACCATTCTCGGTTAACAAAACTATCAGTTCATGAGGCAAAGAGATGAATGTATATCCGCTGTCAATAGGTAATCCAGGGCTGTAATATGAATACCCGATATGAAGTGGCCGTAGCTGGCATCCCTTCAGCTTCGACGATTGATATCATACCAAGAAGCGATCGTGCGTCACTACGAAACACCACTTGCCGACGACCAAGGTTAATGCGCGAATGAGCCCATCTTTGAAAATATGAATGGCGAGAACCTGTTTCGATATAATACCTTATATTATGCTTCAGGGTGTTAGAAAAAGTGTGAAAGCATCGTGAACATACTTGATATTTGCCTCATATCGTTCAGATGAGGTGTATTGTACGTATAGGTACATGTTGAATAAGAGCGCGATGTAACTATGGGGCCAAGATCTAAACCAATCAACATGCGTAGATCAGACTCGCCTCTACTTAATCCGGCTTGGCACCAAAGCGGTTAGACGGGGGAACTACAATGAGGGCATTTGAGCATTAATAGAAACAGTTCATGGGAAAGAGCGAAGTATCTGTTTATCGCATTGTCCTGTAGAATTTTGGACAATGATTGCTAAATTCGATACGTCTTTGTTTAGGAGGTACTTACGTCACTAATGTGGCATCCCACTATTTTAATTGATGGATGGTAGGTGCTAACCGTTCTTAAGAGCCGTAATGCAGGTACCTTTTTGGTAGGCCATGTGTTACGCAGTGAGACTAGTAGTAGCAGGAGTAGCAGGTAATTGGGAAACCTTGTGACGGGTACTTGCTCATCTATCGCTCTATCGTTCTATCCCTCTCGGCCAAAGAAAAGCAACTTAATCCCGCCGCAAACTTTCTTGATAATTCCTGCTTTCTTCCTTTTCTCATCCCATTCATTTACGAATCAAAGGTTGGTTGATCATAGCAGGAACTTTGGTTGCCGCGCATTGGTCGATTCCACAAACAACCAAGCCAGTCTTATCCTCCAGTCCTTACCTTCCCGCTCGACGATCTCTACGAACATCACGCGTGGATTCTAACACTCCATCGCCTAGAACTAGTCGGATTGAAATAATCCCAAGAAAACCCGCCTTTTCAAACCGATCTCGATGTCACAGGACTTATCACGCCCACTTGTCTATGATTGCGCATAATCGTAGCCGAGTGCACCGTTCCACGAAAGAATCGCAAACACTCCTCGGCCAACGTACAAGATCAGCTGTCTAGTACAGAGTCACTGACTTTTCACGCTTTTCAACCCATTTTACCTGCCACCGGACTCCACCTACTTTCATCCAACAAAAACATTACAACTTCTCAACTACACGGTAAAAGGTTAATTCCGACCCATATTCCTACAATATCGCGAAGAAGAGGCCATGAGTATGGACATGGATATGGGAGATATGGGCGACATGCACATGTCGCACGAATCTGAAATGCACATGGTCTTCCAAAACAGTATCACCACATCACTCTATTCAGACTCCTGGACACCTAATTCGCCGGGCGCCTACGCTGGAACCATCATCTTCTTACTCATCCTTGGTATCGCATTTCGACTACTACTAGCAGGCAAGGCACTAGCGGAGGAGCGATGGCTAGATGCTGAGATGAAGCGAAGATACGTTGTCGTCCAAGGAAAGATCCCGGTCGCGGAGCAGGTATCCACGGATAGCCTTGGTAAGAAGATGACACTTACCGAGAATGGTGTCGAGGAGGATGTTGTCGTGGTCCAGAAGAAAAGAAACCATCTCCGTCCTTGGCGAATGTCCGTGGACCCCATCCGTGCGGTACTAGATACGTGCATCGTAGGTGTCAGTTACCTTCTGTAAGTCAATGACAACATCATTACGGCTAGAAATTACTGCAATAGTTAACGGAATAATAGCATGTTGGCAGTCATGACGATGAACGTGGGATATTTTATCGCGGTCCTCGGCGGTACTTTCCTAGGCAGCTTGCTCGTCGGCCGATTCTATAACTCAGAACACTAAAGGCGCACGACGATCGCGGAGGGAGGATTGATTTGCCGATATTCCACTTGCCAAGGCGAGATACATTAAAATTTCAATCTACAAGATGACCGGCACGAGCATGAACCTAGCAGGTTTTTCAAGTTATAGAGATGACTTGCGTTCGATTCGGTTCTAGGCTGTTGATATCAGCCTGTAAGGAAGGACAGGGGGGAGGAGACACCCACATACCATTGTTGTGATTTCGAGCATGGCGTTACGGAAGGCGGTCGAGAAAACTCTTTGGCATTTGCTATTTATTTTACAAGGTATGCGGGTGGGATGACATGAATAAACAACCAAATATTGCATCAACTATACGAGGTTTCCGTCGCGATGCCTCATCGCCGAGAGACAAGAACATTAAGTGTTGAGTATTATGTTTAAGAGCGAAGTTTGCATAGTCATAAGTACCAGTACTTCAATTGGAGTTATCCGTAGTATCGTGCAGAAACCTTCTCAAATCAGCTCATCCGGTAGGCGATACCCCCTCCTTGTCCACCCCACGCATCCTCCCCGAGACGGTCCGATACGCTTAACCCATTTCAGGATCCTTGTCCGGTCGAGTCAGTTCCGCATCCGAAGATCTGGGTCGGAGATTCGGTCGAGAACTTCTGGGGGGTTCCGCTTCACGTGCATCGACTAGAAGGCACGTTACTTACGTTTCATCGTCGTCGTCATATTTGTTGTTTTTACTTTTCTACTTGTAATTTAGTGACGTCGACATCAGGACGATATCATTATAAACATTTACGTCTTGCGCCACCATTAAGAGTTGGGTAAGTAGGGGAATAACTCTAAGATATGATTTTCTAAGCTTCAGTACTAATAAATATTTATTCGAGTTGTTGGGAATAAAATATTAGGAAGCGGGATGCGCATCATCTGCAGGGACCAATTGTGGCGGCCTGGAAATGCACGATGCAATCATGTGGAACAGCATAGGTGATTTCCTAAGTTGGTTATCATTGCGAATGATCATAGCCCCCTTTTATTTCCGTGTTTACAGAGGGGTGCTCCCCTCTAACGCTTATATATATGGGCTTATTCCCTGCATCGTAATTTCTACCATGTTATATATCTCTAAGGAAATGTATGAACTTAGCAGTAGATCGACTCGTTTTGCCTGTCCCCTCTAGCCTAAAGCATTATGGCCCTGCTAGCAAAAGTAGGGCGAAAAGCCAATCTGTCACCTTCTTTTTGTGGTGAAATAGGAGAGTAGCAGCTTGAATCGAGCATACAAGTGTCAAATATTCGGACTACTTACAATACGACAAGCCTCACGCGAAGGATGAAAAGAAGCCGGGGTGGCCAGGGGCTCAGAGCCGCCCCCTATAATACCCTCGAGGATTAGCATGATGATTCTAATATATAGAGAAGACACCGGTTCAACCCATAGGTGAATAAGATCTCACCTGCTAAACTGCCAGGCTTGGTGACGGAGATACCAGAAGACGATATGACTTACACACGCCATACTACGGCAAATACTGAAGCTGCTAAAGAATATTTAGCATCCGAGCATTGATTCGCAACCCTCTCTTACCCTAGGTAGGTAATCCACCGTCATCACGTTTAATCTCCCTATATAACTCGAGCGTTTTCCACTGACAGGCAGAAGCCAAACGCCTCCCCGCAATCACGGAATACCAATCGGTCCCTTCCGGGCATAACTGGCAGTCTGGTAAGGGTAACATGTCTAGAAATGCACGAGAAACGAGCCACAAACTTGAATACCTAGGTAGCTCGGAATGCCTCTTAGGAATAGACCAAAGCTGTGCTTGCCTAGACAATGCGTCTTTCTTCCTCCTTACCTACACTTATACGATCTATCTCATTGACTAGCGATCACTAAGCAGATACAGGAACACAGGAGCAAATGATCTCGAAATAACGTAATTCAACAATCATTGTTGATCACTAGAAGTTCATTCTAAATTGTCTAGACCATTGGTGCGGGTGTAAATCGAGCACTGCACTATATCTACTCTGGCAAGCACATGCAGAACAACCTTAAGTGCGTATGTATATGTATAAGCTACCTCGCCATACACGTGTACAAGCCATAGACACAAGTACAAAAGGGGTATGGAATTAGACCCAATTGCTTCCGAGGTTAATATCCCTGGAGCGGGATATGCACGGTCAGTACGGTTGTACGCGGTGTTGTGGTAGCTCTTTAGCCAAGTCTGTATTTCAAAAACGCGTACTGATAGCTATGCCCTACCTTCTGAACTTCTATAACCGCGTACAACATCATACGGCTTTCTTGCCAAGCGAGCACGTCGACTAAACGAATTGGAACGGGGACACTTATGGGAACTGTAGGGAACGAGATTGCAGTATGGAAGCAGCTCTCAACTGAAGAATCAATTGCCAGGTGCTAAGATCTTTTGAGGATACGGTAGGATGACTCCTATCGAAGGGGGGGGGGGGTGGTTTGATGCCTATCATACAAATGCGCCTCTACGTCAGTGTAAAACGTCTCACCATTCGCCCAACCTATCGCAGCCTAATGCCTCGAGGGAATGACTTTAGATGGAGAGAAACGATTGGATTGAAGGTCGAAAGGCACGTGCCCAAAATCATACGGGTATAGTAGGAGAGCCAGAACAGCCTTGATCAATCGCTCCAGATGAAAAGGGCGAATTGATAATCGCATCTGACGCACAAAATGCCCCCCTGCCCTAAGAGCTGCTTGATCACGTAGTCGAGTTCAATCCATTGGTTTCATTCATGTATTCGTCACCCATGACTCGTAAAATCATTGTTACCGTCTCCTTTGTCAAACTTGGGAATAATTCGATCCGGCGTTCGAGAATTAGTCGTGGCAACGTAGACTTGGAAGATGAGGTGTCCATCTAGATTCTTTCGACCACTTGCAGCTTTCCTGACCATCCTTGGGGGTCATCGACACCCCCTTTCCCGTCGTGCTTAGGAATAAATAGGGGCAAAGCTCAATGAGTGTTTTCTAGTCGCGTGGGTGGCTACCAGGGTCAATGTAAAATTAACTGCCATGAGATCATCTTTCCAGTAACAAAAAGACCAGTGTCGAAGGTATGTGCTGACTGTTGTATGAAGAGGTTTGATATAGATTTCCGAATGGCCAGTGAGGAACCGCGAAGGTAGTCTTCTCAGTCGCGAGTGAAATTGCCATTTGGATGCCTAAATATCGATCGAGATGGAAAATCAAATTCCTTGCCTGGCGAAGCGAGGCCTCGGATTCGTTCTGGAGAATATGAGACGGGGGGAATCGGGGGCAATTAATGGGTACTGAAAGTCGAGTCCGGCCACCAAATCGCCGGGTCACCAATTTGACCAGCGATGCGCTATAACATGGAAGACGGACGGAAAAAAAAGTGGAAGGAATATGGTCGCATTGTACGGAGTAAAGGAAAAAAAAGGAACAGAAGTCACGATGACCCAACAACGCCGGACCACCGAAGCCTTGCAATTATAGCTGGTTCAGAATGCCTCGAATGAAAAGAGAACCTCATGAATGCATTAAATTCGGGGTATCAGACGCAAGGCAATGTCGTCGCCGACATGGCGGCATTCATGATTGGTGAGAGGTGTGCTGGGGCATGCCGGACTGCGGAGGTAGTCCAAATTGCCCGCGTTGCTGATGCTGCATATAGCTTTGGTAGGCCATGGCCGATTGAGGATCCATGCCGCCTACGGCAGGGACGTAACTGGGAGGCATGTGAGAGGGCATTCCCGGCCGGCTCGTTTGAGGAGGGAGGTGGGAATTGGTCGGCTCTTCGGGTGACTCGACCTGATTGGAATCGTCGACACCATTCTCGTTGCCTTGAGTAGGTTCGGGCGCGTTTAGGCAAGCCTAGTCATGAAGGGTTAGTCTTCTGTCAGACGCGTGATGGAAACTTTAGTCGCGAGACAACACACGAACCTGAATGAGATTCTTGCCCTCGGCCTTGGTAACCAGAGGCTGTAACTTGGGAGTGGTAAATGTATACACAAGTCCAGTTTCCGACACGACCAACAGCAGTACTTGCGTGCCAGTCAGAACGGATAATTCGTAAGCCTAAATAGTAGAACAGAACGTCAGTATCGATTCATCATAGACGGAAGCCCCAATTTCAAAATAAAGCAACGCGTTTTACGCGACCGTTAATAATCTAAAAGCGACAGAACGGGTTTCGTGGCGGAAATCGGGAGGCGTCGGCGTACCTTCTTCATTATACCAGCTTTGCGCTTGGAGAAGGTGATATGGCGACGCGACTTATCACTAATAAATTTGATCTCAATCTTGCGTCGCTCGCGACCACCCTTCTCGTCATCATCGTCGTCGTCATCTGCGATGCTAGCGCGTTGGCGCTTGATGCCTCGATTCTCTGCAGCGCCGGCGTTGCCATTGCCGACGTGAGAATCGTCGAGCTCGGTGGGTGAGGTTTGGTCGTGTTGGTCTGTGATGTCGGCCATTTTTTTCGAGGTACGACGATTGTATCACGAACGAAAAAGGCAAAAATGGTGGAGATACTGTTTTGGTCGTGGTGCCGACGACCTATACTTGATCTGGAGTTTGAGCGGAGAGGCTCTGGGTTGTAGTAGGCTGTAAATTCTGTCGCAGAAACCTGGTTGGGGCGCCTGCTGTATCGAGTCTGGTGCGGCGGCCACTGGGGCGGAATAAAGTGGGAGGCGAGGGCCGAAGAATTTGTGAGAGTTGGACTGTGTGTAGATTTGGGGAGAGAACTGTATGGATTGGGATTGGGATGGAATTCCAGATGTGGGAATTATTATTATTATTAATTTTTATTTTCCCTTTTTTTATTTATTTTTCTTCTCACTTTTATTCTTATTCTTTTTATTTTCTTTCCTTTCGTCAAGAAAAAAAAAATAACAATAAAATAATAAAAGGAAGAGAAATTGAGTGAAAAGGGAAAATAAGGTTTGGCGACAACCAACCGAATCAATAGCAATAATAATTAGGGGGGGAATAATAATAAAATCCACGGGTACTGCTGGCTGCTGCTTGCTTTGTTTGGCCTCGGGTTGGCGTCTAGGCTTGTCTTCTCTCGGTGCACCGGTCGGGTGGTAGCTTAGAGAGATTCGTCACTAAGTAGATCGGTCAACTTTTGGTGTGTTTGCCTTTGCCTGGTAGGGTAGGTGGGAAAAATGTCAGTCAATTGCCCAAAACAATTTACTAGCATGTACATAAAATAATAATAATAATAGTACTGAAAAATAAAATAAAATACAAATCGTATGTACATACAAGACCCGTTACAAATAATAATAACAATAAAAAACGATAAACTCAATTAAAGCAAGATAAAATCAGATAAAATAAAAAAGGGCACGAACCTTGAATAGAATAAAATAAAACCGTTGTTGTCGTTATGGTCGTCAAGTCCTTACTTGGTTTGGATTGATTGCTTTGCTTTGGCTTGCTTGCTTGCTTCAAATGCAAATAAGGTCAAGGGGATTCTCAAAAGGGAGTCTCGGCGATTGTCAGACGGTACGTTTTGGGAGCATAGACTTCCCCTGTGAGAAAAGATCAAAACGTTGTCAGTATCAAACTCGGTCTGATTGATTGATCAGGAAAGGTGAATGCGGGATGGTTGAAAAGAGGATAGCGAGGTGGTAGCACACGGGCTTTTGCGCGGTCACGGCCACACTGTTTTTAAAAAGAAAAATGGAAGGCAGAGACACAGCGGGTCTGCGCCAGGACCAGGAAGCCTGCGGGGGCGTGGGTGCAAGGTGCAGGTGCAGGTGCAGCACCATTAGGCAAGTGGACACATACAATACCTGGGTACACACTAAAGTGGCGGGTCATGACTTCCCACTTTTTTTTTCTCCCCCTTCGCTTTTTTCAATGTTCTTATGGTTCTTATGAATTGCTGCAGTACAAGGAGCAGGAGCCGTTGGTACTCCCCTCCTTCCCCTGCTCCCACCCCCAGCTCCGTTGCTAACAGGCCCTGCTAGCTCTATCTAATCGTGGAGGTAGTCTACCAATCAGGCCAATCACATCCCTGGCTTGCGAACGAAACTAGCTACCTCTCTGCTTTAGTGCAGAGCTAGTACTAGTAATCCCACTTTCAACGGACCTCGCTAGCAACAGCAACAGCAACCTTCGGTGGGCTATGTCCACCAGGTACCTAGTAGCAAGTACCTAAGCCCTTAGCACCGACTCGAGATACTCCTCGATGTCTGATCCTTTTACTTATTTGCAGGCTTCAGCTCCTGATGTTCTCGGTACCTGGTATGCGAGAACATCAATTGAAAGAAGCGCCAAGGTCCGCAGCTACATTTACTTACCTAGGTAGATATACATGCACATGCGCACATACATACAAAGTTACCTAATTCATAATATAGAATACATACATATCCATTTAGTGCAACCTGGTACCAGGTGCTAGGCAATCAGATTACAGCCGTCGAGTACATTGCATAACACGTCCACGGGTATGATTGGATGAAAGGTGGAGACCGAGCAATTCGTAAGTTTGGGAAGAAGTATTTTACTGAGGTAAAGGATGATATGCTCGACCAATGATAACCTCTAAAAAGTGACATGGCTTACCGAAGGGGGGAACGCATGCAGACAGGCTAGCAGATAGCTCCTAAAATAACGGTGCAGAAATTTCCGCAAAACGTTCGGGTCCACTAGGTACCAGCTATTGAATTTGTATGGGGGGTGGATAGCGCTTTTTGCACAACTACTTCGCTACTCCAGGGTTGTACGTACCTAAAATGCTCCCGTGCGGTTTTTTGTAGTTCGTACCTAGGTACCTAACTCACTTCGCAAAATGCGCGGCTTATTCTAGCGATGCCCCACACCGATCATAGCTGCCACCTGCCTACTGCCATCTGCCAGAGCCGAGCTGGGGGGGGAGCCCTGCAGCACCAAATTAGGTACTTTCCCAATTCGGCACTGTGCTCGATGTCTTATTCGACCTTGAGAAAACTTGAGAAAATGCCTCCTCCATCCATTCTCCATTCTTATTATTTTCTTCATAGAATTCTCCAATAGCTTTAGTCGATACTATTCAAGAACAATGCCACCGATGATTATATAATTCCACTTCATTGTAGCTTTGTAAGATTCTTAGCACTTAATATTTATATGATATTGGTTTGCCCGCAATGGTTCTGGATACTATTGTTGAGATAAAGGTGCATGGGTTATTACGAATAGTTGATTGTATCATGCTGCCGAACAAAAGGAACCGCCGCTAATTCTCGGACTGTCAGCAGTACGGAATCGGACCGGAGTGCATATGGTATAGAAAACTTCCCAGAATCCAATACATGCTATTAAGTAGGGACAACTTGTTACAAATCAAGAGGTGTAAGACAATTCAAACATGCTACAGAAGAATTGTATGAAGATGCTTACATGTATTCTGATTCTTACATACAGCACCAACTTGTTACATTGATATATGTGTAACTCTAAACAGCAGTGCTATGGTAAGCTGCCAAGGGATATTCCTGAAAGAAATTGCATCTACGATCATCATATCAGAGAGTAGCGAACGATATATTTTGCCTGCTTGACAGCAACTCCGAGGTTTCTTTTGCATTAAGGGATGGTAGAAAGGCGATGTGTAGCACAGTATAGTCGGCAACCTGGAATTCCTTTGTCTTCTCGGCACCTTCTCCTATGAAAATGATGGTTCATATCAGAAGCTTATTAGGTATTCGGTATCATTAAACACATTCCTCGGGATGACGTAGACATCGTTCGAAGCGAAATAGACATTGCGGGGTATCAGAATCGATATAACCACGCAATACGTCAGGTAGGATGTCGATGAGGTAGATGCAAGATAGTTTAATATTTCAATTCTTGGAAACCAGCAAGTTTAATGGTCACGAGGGATTATAGAGCATAGTTCAAGGTTCGTGACGGGAGTTAATCATCACCAATAACGGAATCTATTCAGGTTAGAATGCTTGGATTATCATAACTAGAATCTTGTCTAATATATTCCCAATGCTAACAATGTTGAACTGGTTGAGTCGTTAGAACAATGAATGTTGATCTACCTCCCCTCCCCTAAAGCGTGTGAATTTGGAAAATTCGGCATCAAATTGCTAAGCATTGTCTTAAATAATTGTAGATTTATGGTAATGAAGCTCGATCTCGGGGGCATCGCACATTACGGAGTTATGTATTGAGTAATGAACTGACAATATTAAACGCTGTTTGCCTTGAAGGTAGGTATAAGAGACTTCGGTGTCTGTGTACCATCCCTTTCTCATTTGCTGAGCTAAGTATCGTCGGGTCGAGCCGCTATCAGAGAACACAAGATGCAACTGTTATTTGAGACGGCCAGGTACTTACATCATAGTAGACTCTCCGGTTGTTCTTGTACAACCGACAATATGCATTATTATCGATAATAATAGCAAGCATTGGGGATCAAGTCGTACATTGCTAGTCGCTGTAGATCTTCTTTCATTTGCATGAGGCGTTTTGATCATTGGAATGGTGGCCACGGTCCGTTGGAGTTCGTGCCGTTGGTGTCTCAAGATTTAGTTATCTGTTCAAGACAATTTGCTGCATATTGGAAGCTAGTAATCGCCGATCGCTGGTTACTCATTAACATGTCACTTATTAGCACGGCCCGGTTATGATCTCTCCTTTAGTAAGCGAATCTACATGAAATACCGAAATCGAGCGTCCCCCCCTTTAAGTCACGTTCTCGGGATTTGGAAAAGAACATATAAGTGAAAAATAAGCTTTTAAAGATGTCCTGCGATAGGTAAGTCAATTCCCGGATGTGGTGGCAGAATATGCAAAGGCGACAGAAACATTATGAGGGTTCAGTCCAACTCGTCGGTTCTCAACAGTGCGAGTTCGCTCACTAGCAGTAGCGAGGTACATATCTCTTAGGGAGGTACAGGACCTGACTCGAATAGATGTTGCACTGCATCACCATAGCCTGCCGGCGTTCCATTGACGCTAGACACGCCATGTGCAGGTCATCCCAATATCCTCGATACCCCTGGAGGAAGCCGGGTGCTAATATTCCATGTATATATATGTGAGTATATATTGTCTATGTGGGTGTCAATCCGTTGACGAGAGCCGGACCCCCCAATAGTTTGCACGAGTTTGTTGTCTTATTACCTGCGTCAGCGGCACAGCAATCGGTGGGAGAAGGGAAAACGCGGTGATTCCCACTACCTAGGTACTGTACCATTGCTGCATTACATGTACAATACGTACAGTAAAGATAGCCTTACAATTAAATCTAAGTGGCGAAGATAGTCAGCAAGCTGGAGCCCGCTGACCCATTCAAGGGAACCCTGACAGCAACTTGACAAGCAGCCCTGGAGCATTGACAAGCTCTTAGTGCTTACGGGGGTGAAAAAGCAGCACCACAAGTAGTCGTAGCACGTGTAGTTTACCTCTAGAAGCTAAGGAGAGAAAATACCTAGGTAATGAGCCTTGAATTGCTTTTTTTTTCCTTGCTATACTTTGATCGCGATTTAAATTGTAACCGGAGATACGTTACGCCTCAAATTTGATAAGTGTCGGTACAAAGTTGGGTATTTCTAGTATCCGAAAGCAAACGAAACCCCCTAAGTGCCCTATAATTATAACCGTAGGATTCAAACATAGACATTCATCATCACTAATAAAAGAAAGCGTGGAATGGGTGCATGTCTCGGTACGCTCAGTAGTATTAAACGATCCATCAAAAAGGAGAGCTTAAGAATAGAACATCTTATGAAGGTACAAGCGATATTGTACCTGTTCGCCATTGCCACCTGGCAGGAATCTCCCCCCCCATCTATATGGGGCTCGCACAGTGCGTAGTCTCACGCGTTTGTTCTTATGGGACGGTCCTTTCGTCGAAGCAATGCGGGCACACTCCTCCATGCATGAGGGGGTGAGCAGGGATGGTTGAAATCACCTTTGCCTCCGTTCCAATGAGACGAAGGCCTTTCGACCATTTTGGAGTTGACCATATCGGGAATCAATCCAGTACGCTGGTAGTGGGTGGTCTCGACGTTTTCATCTTTATTACGGTAGCAACACGTTTAGGTATGTTGACTTAGACAGAGGGTCATAATATTTTGGGCAAGACTTATCTTTAGTATCAAATGACATCCTTCAAAATGCCCCGAGGCTGAGACCGGGCAAAATGTCATATTAGAGATGCCCTCTAGGGAGGATCACCATTAAGACCGAAGCAAAAGACCGACTTCGCGCTGATTGGTCTGTCCCCCACAGTGTACCAGCAAGAGTTTCGGCACCCTCCCTCCCTACCTTAGTACATACTGAGGTAATGCTCACAAGATACCTATAGAAAGACTTTCAAGGATGAAATTCTCATTTATCCATCCTGAGGTAAAAACCTAGCTCCCCTCTTAGGTAGCAGTCCATCGAAGACCTCGGCGGCGCGATATACAGGCTAGTTCACTCCTCATGTGTATCGAGAAGGCTATCTCGCAAAAGGTACGCCGAGAACGCGACCAACCTTGCTAGCCTCTAACATAATTGCACCATCTGCCCCGTATGGAGCTATACCACTAGGGCCGTAACGCTGAGGTGGGAAAAGCGGGGGGTTGATGGTACCGTCTTATTAAATCGCTCTACCCATCGAATCGGCGAGGACGATGAAGAGCAGCAGACCCTGAAGCGCGAAGGAGGGAAACGATACACAGGAGCATGGAAGCTTCGGAGGAAAATGTATTACTTGTGGGATACGGACCAGTCAGGGTCGGGCGTTTAATTCGGGTTTATCGAGACAAGAGATTCGGAAGTACAATACATAGCCAATTACTGGGACACTTACACACTTGTTGATAATACTTACATGATATACCTACAGAAAAATATGCATAAACTAGAATAGATCAATGCCTTCTAGTTCTATCAATCCACACACGTACATAGCGTATTTCTAACTCCAGTACACACACATCAGATGAAAGGAGGAACTGAGATGAGATGTCGTTAGTTTAGACAATCGCTGATTGCTGCCGATCAAGAAGGGGAAAAGCGCCAATCTCTTCTCCCACGAGGCATATCCAGATTGCAAAAAGGCGGCCCGCGGGCTGACGGGTAAGAAATGCTCTATACCTCTTTCTGTGCTGCTCGGCACGATCTATCATTTTTTTCTTCTGCCCACGTTTAGTCCACGGTGCTTGGGTGCTTAGAAAATTACCAAGGCTACGTACCAGGGACCCAAGCAAATCATCGTTCCACTTAAGTCACTCCATATTCTCGAGAGGTTGGGGACCCAAACTTCCTTGCACGCAGCATGGCTTCGTAGGATTGACGAGAAATTGGAGAAGAGTGATCTGCATATCCCACCCTTGCTTGCTTAAATTCCTACGTTGTAGGGAACGCGACTTTACAGTATCAGCTGTTCACATTGTATCGTGATACTGGCTGATTGCAACTCTGGACTCTCACTTGAAAAGGTGTCCTAAAAAGGAAAGTAGCCATATTTCAATAGCGTTCCAATAAAAAGCGGGCCGCAACGCGACAAGATAACTAGCATCAAGCGATAATTCTATTGTATGTATTGAGGTGAGTGTTGGCCGAAATGATCATGATTAGTAGTGTAGTATTGAGTGAGGGTCTCCCGGGTTAATATTGTTAGGAACTTTTGAAATTCATAGCTGGCTAAGCTTGGCGGTGACTTGAAGAAGCCTCAAGTTACCTCCTATTGGGTTTAGTTATCGCATTGCTTTGAGTTTGGACATAACTATTAAGAGACAGTATCATGTTCGGAGAGTACAGTAACCAAATCTAAGCTAAAAGAGGGTCGAGGCAAACTCGCTTTGGTTATGGCCATAGCTCCAGTGCCCTGATCGATGAGTGCTATGGTAACCCAAGAAGCACTACCCCTCTACGCCACCAAGGCAACTCATTGGTAGACCTTAAGACCACCTGTCTCGTTTACATAGTCGAGGCATTGAGCCACGGCGCCGGGAGAAGTCGAAACCGCAGATGCTAGGTAGCTTTTCTCGGACGGCGCCGTTGCGGGAGTCGCGGCAATAATATGACACAACGCTACCTGAGTGACATCAGAATATCGCCATGATGCCACGGCATGGCTGTAATTACCCGCGCGGCCTTGTTACTCGATCAGAGACACAGCGCGGAGTAGAGGCGAGTTCGACGTCTTAATCGGCTGCATACTTCAAAAAGGTTTCACGCCTAATGCAGTACTCGCCATACGAGGTACCGAGTTCTCGGGATGGGGTTGCATTAGGGCCATCTTCCGAGCGCCATCTATTACTTCCGCTGATCGCTGATGGCAGTTTCTCTTCTACCTCCCCTCCGGCATGCCAGTTGCCGTCGCAACCGTTTGGGTGACCAATCTCCGCTCCGCTCGTCTTTTTCCCCTCCTGCGCTTGCGATCCCGTGCTGGCAGCACGCGCACAATTCTTGACTGACGGTAATAATGCAAGAAGTAAATCGAGAATCCGGCGGCTTACTTTCCGAGCGGCACTGGTCAGACCAAGACACGAATGGTACAACAACTAACGCTTCTACTTTCGAGTCGATGTATTATACTCCAGGCTGGATCCAATCTGTGTAGGAGTTCGGCGTCTCTCGCGAGTCGCAGCTTCGTGTGACCATCTACCATTTCCGTCAATCTCACAGGTAATTCCCGTACTTCACACGAGAGAGGTGGGAATAGCAGCTAGAAAGGAGGTCATAAGGGGGTATTTGAATCGAGGAGGATTACAATGCGTTTCCTCTGACGCGAGAAACTAATTAAACCGAATGTGATTACGTTTGTCACCCACTTGAGATCGTCCGGCAAACAGCGTAACTATCTCTCTAGAAGCCCCCCGAACACGTTGTCTAGATGCTTCTATTTTAACCTATTGAATCGTGACTGGTTTGTGCGTGACGATCCCTTAAAATCTAAATCGAAAATTTTGTGGGTTACATGGGGATGATGTGTCGCAGGGTGTGCAGCATAGCCGCATCGACTTGAGACGCATAGATCACTTAAGGACCTTCGAATTCATGACATTTTACCAATATTCAAATATACCCAGCCAACGGCTACGTAAGCCGTAAGATTCAAGTGGGAGGCCGGCGAAATATGGCCACTGAATCTTTCGACGGCTCACCTAAAGGCCAATATTACCTAGGTACTTTCACGTTGAGGCTCTTCTAAATATTTCGCCAAAGAGCATGTACACTTAATCAACTTGAAGAGATCTGATCATAGATATTGGGTAGTATTTAGCTACCCTATATCAACCTCTATAATCACCATGGGTGTTGTTAGAGCCTCAGACCGATATCATTCGATTCTCTTTCTTGGTCGGTTTGGCGTTGACAAATTCTCTCTTCTGATTGGACGAGAGTCGATTTCATCCTCTTACACGATGTACGTAATTCGACGCAGTGCTCAGTTTCTGGTACGTGCCCTATTCTGCTACGCGCCCACACCCATGCTCGCCTCCTACCCCTTTCAAGACCTGAAACACCAAGCGTGCGAGGACGGGCACCGTCTCGTTGCTTCAAGCCTCCCAGCTTCATCTGTTTCTGCTCTAGACTCATGGTAGGTGGAGTCTCAGATTCGTAGCGTTTTCATTGCGTTTCCGCTGGTTCGGTCAGGCCATTCTTCATTTTCGCCCTATCTCATTCGTAATTCTATTCTTCGTGTTCTGCGCTTGGCTTCGCACTTTTCTCCCATTTCGGCATCGTCCGACTAAAGCGATAGTTTCTCTTCTAAGTAGTCTTTTGATAGCCTGGCGCTTGCGTCTATTCTTCCAATTCTCCTTGTGCTATGCATATTATTCACTCTTAGAACTTTTTTCTTAATTCGTACTTTCGTTTCTCCTTTTACTTTATTCAATTCTTTCGACTTCAGGTCGAGGCGTAGGTGCTGTCGCGCTGCCCAAAGTCGATTGAACTTTCGACATTCCGTTCTTTTGCTAGTCTTCGCCGCCCACGACAGCCTTTACTTTACGAAAGACGCCGGCCGTCGATAACTATTTAAACAACGATTTAACGTACCGGAGGAGTAGAAGGAGAAGAAGAAAAAACAACCTACCGATTAAGAGGCAGGAAGATTTGCCGTGTGCTTTACGATCAGCAATCTCGAGAATAATCGCCGACTTAATATATCAAAATGGTGAACAAAGTGCTTGGGGCTTTCATAGCCACAGATGGGCTATTCGTCTCGATGGGTGCTATTATGCTGGGTTTCTCTATCATCGTCCAACAAACGTGTTTCGATCCGCCGAACGATGGAAACGAAGCGGCTCGCGATCTTCTATACCAACGATTCCCCTTCACAGGTGAGTTACCTACATCCAAACGAACGAGGTGAGGGGACAAGAGTTAGTAAGGTGACTAACATGTTACCAGCGGGAATTGTCAACGCCGTTTTCATATTCGCTACCTTCTTAGCTACGATTCCAGCGCTAGCGACGAATAACAGGAGCTGGTTAAAACTAGCCGGATACATGGTTGTGGTGGATGCCATCTTCACCATGGCTATCGGTGTGGACTTATGGATTATCACTTTAACGATGAAGAACGAATTCTTGCAAATTTGGACTTCGCAACCGCCTCATGTCCAAGACTTAATGCAGACGGCCGTGAGTATTCATACTGTTATCTCTATACCCAGATGAATCTAACCCCATGATAGTTCAGCTGCTGTGGCTACTTCAATAGCAGCTCCCCTGCTTTCGTCACCGATTCGACCTGTCCCAGTCCCGCCGCTGCCGCCCTCATGCGAGGTTGTTCCGCGCCTTTGACGTCGTTCGGAAACACATTTGTAGACAACATCTTTACGGCCGTGTTTGGTATGGTTGGCATCGACGCCGTCTTGATTATGGCTATTGCCTGTGTGCTTAAGGACCGAAAGGAGCGCGAACGATACCGTCACATCGATGAAAAGACTGGTGCTCGAAGCACCTTCTAGATCAGCAGGACGGTCCCTATCTTCCGCTACGCCGTGTCCCGCGCCATGGATTGGTTAATGTGTATACTACACCACGGTCACATAGCAATTTAATCTATCAAAGATGGAGATGCGGTCAACTGATTCGTTGACATACATCCACGAGATCATGCCGAATAGGAAAAAAACTTCAGATTCTAGTAATCCATCCTAAACTTGGATTTAACCGAAAAAAAAAAAACAACCCAAATCAACACCTATGACGATCTGCTGGATTAATTAGGCACTCCCTCACTGTGATGTAGGATGACTGTTAATGTGGTGTTGTACACGAGGATTCCTTCGTTTTTATTTGATTTTAAGCGTTTTCTGCATTTTTATATATATGTTCATGATAGAGTTGTTATATTTGGGTCAAGAAAACACAATATCCATTCTTCTTACCTAGGCGTATGTACAATTCTGGTGAATGTGGTATTCCTGCGCCGATAGGTAGAGTGCGCATCGTAGAACGCCGGAAATGAAACAGATTATTTCGCCACAACTAGGTTAGCAAGAACGTAAAATTGTAGTTGCCGTAGATAATACCATTCACCTCAAGGCGTGACGAGGGATTGGACACTTTTACGGCTGTCCCATTGAAAATTATGACTGGAGAAAGGATGTATTGTCCACTCTTCTATATAAATATTGACAGTGAAATACGACGACGCTCCTGAGGAACCTTCACAGCCACTGGCACTGTGACATTTTCCATTCGTGCCCTCCACTGAGTCGAATGATGGAGTAGCTTGGCGTGAAGAAATCTTAGACGGCCGCCAAATAAAACTTGGATCCAACGTCGACACAATGGGCACCCTTCACTCGTGAACCGATATGGCAATCTGGCTCTTCCTCATAAGCGAGAACACCCATGATAATTGGCATGATCGAAATGGGTCTCGGGAGAGGCGCAGTAATACAAACCGTCTCCCGTAGCGGTCCGCATGATCGGAACAAGACTCTGGTATTGTGTCGCCATCCTCCACAGGAAAAGAGCAGAATCCACCCAAAACCAGGAACACTTCGTCCAACCTTTTCTCAAACCTATCCACGCGACGTCGTCACATCGGGACAACAAGAAGCATCTCCAAGAGATAGCAGAAAAATAGTCTCCATTGAAGAAGGGGGCCGGCAGCGCAACAACAACGGACGTCATCACGGTAAGCGAGTCTGGGGGGAAAGTCGATCAACAGCAAGATCTACTACCGAGAACCGGAGGGTTCGAATCGGGAAACCATGTGGACGGAATTCCGCGCACGCGGACTCGAGCTTTCGACATAAATGGAATCGCGTCGTCGTCGGCAGCAACAGCACGCAACACAGCTGCAAGAGACTGTCTTCATCGCTTGTCTCGATCGGAGGAGTCGTTGTACAACCAAGGACAGAGTATCGTCAAGCGCGGACCGGCGAGGTAAAGGGGTCGAGGCGTTAGGGTATCCCATGCGAGTGAGCAGAGGACGCCGAGAGTACGATTAAATATTCGACGGTATCGAGCCCGTTCACATCAAGTAATCGGAATATGCGGCAAGCGATCTACCTCGAGACAATGACTTGTCGATCAAGGGGCGCATCGCTACAAATATGGTTGGCCAATGACCGCGACCGACGGGATGCGATTCACACTCTGGCATGAAAAGAGGAGACATTAATGAAAAATATCTACAACCCAATCCATCCCACCAGGGGGGGAAACCTCGCCTAGCGGGAGGCAGCAACTTGCCCGATCTCACCGAGAGATAGGGGGTGAAGCCGCGTGCCCGGGGAAACACATGAGGAAGAAGAAAACGAGAGGAAAGTTATTGAATTGGGTCCCTTCGAGTTTATGTATTGTCTTAGTGTATTGTAGCGCAATTTTACATTAAACTAAGGCAGCAAGGGGGGCATCGGGGCATCGTGTACTACAGGATCAAGCCTGTTTTCTATCACTTTTAACTCCATCCTATAGGTTACCTAGGTTAGGTAGACATATGTTAACGATGAGGCTTGTGCGCCGCGTCCACGTACTTGGTACCTTTTATGAACGCGCTGGAATCGGTATACCCCCTTGTCAAGTTTGCATTATCATTGGGTGTTGTGATGATGATGGTGATAGGGTAGTTGGATTCGGGTGCGCCAACACGAGGGAAATCCATTCGTATCCAGCTGATGAAATATCGGGAATCTTCTCGCTCATTGGGCAAAACTAGGAAAAGAAATGCAAGCAAGGGGTTCAAGGTCACATTAGCCGCATCTCACCTATCGTACGTCATCCCGCGCATCGAGTCGCCGAGCCATTCCATTCTAAGTAGAATTAAACAGGTTTTCGGCATCATACAAAGATACCCGCGATTCGAGTACCTCAAGCCTCATTAATGACACCTAGCCCCGCTCGCTGTGGCGCTTTATTTTCCTATTTAGGAAGGATACTAAGACGAAAAGAATAAAGCCACACATCTATGACAGCATCATCTTTTCCTATCTATCTACTTTTCTAAATCTTGAGTTAAGCCCTACCGGAGCTTTTACACCGGTCCAATTCATCAGACGCCCAATTACAGCATGGTCGAATTAGGAAATCTGATTCTACCTAGAAATGCAGATTCGAGGGATTGCCTTTCTAACTTTTAGATCACGATGACGGAAATAAATCGAGTGGGGCCCTCCCTGCGACGCCGTTGTGACGTCAATTCCTTTTGATTCATAACCATCCACGGGGGGCAACTGAGCTATCAGAGACAGATCTTCCATGCACGTAATCATTATCTGGGATTGGCAGAAAACCAACTAGTATTTTCGTGTCTATATGTCGTAGGTAGGTCAGTTATCGTGCCGTGACCCGAGAAATTGTCCATGTTACTTTAAGGTATAATATCGCTGATATTGTACTGGCGGGTTATAAGTCGCCGTAAGAGGGCGCGCTTCGAACAATGATCTCATTGGGCCCTGCTTGTAACTCTATGACCTAACTATTCTGTATTTTCTTCTCGGGTTTCGAAATGCAGATTTCCTTGGCTGAAAGGTCTAAGTCATAGCTTGCCATCCTCTATCAATATCCATACAACATGCATGACTCAGCCTGTATAAAAGCACCGTCGCTTCCGCTGTGACTAGATTAACACTAAAACTTCAGAACAATATCTCTAATATCCAACCAAAAGCAGGTACAAACTCTAACCAGCTACTACTATCACAACTATCCAACATCCACAAACAAACAGTATACCTTAACAACACACCTATCAACCTACCTCAACCACCAAAATGGGTGCTGTAGTATCTTGCGTAAGTCCAAATCCCCTTCTCCTACCTCACCATGCAAGCGAATAGTTGAAACTAACCAACCTCAAACAATAGATCGAGTCCATCTTCCGAACCATCGGGAACGTCATCATGGCCATCGTGACTGGCATAGGCAGCATCCTGCAAGCCATCATCAGCGGCATCGTCACATTCTTCGGCATCATTGTATCCTTCCTAACTTGCGGATACTGCGGCCGACATCGCTCAACGCGTACGACGGGTACGACGACGGGAACACGGCGCGGTTGGGGTCGGCGCCGCCATGGAGTCACCACGAGTCGTATCTAGGTGATCTAGTCTCTGACTCGTCGGTGGGATGAGAGGAGGAAGAAGAGAGGAGATATGGGACAAACGATGATACTTGGTTAGCCGATGTGATTAGTTGGAGCGTTGGTTTGGTTGCGTTGAAGATGATGCCGGGCTTTCGAGAGTCATCACGAAACGAACATTACGATACCCCCTTTTTCGAAGTATTTATTTTAATACTTCACACATCTGTTTTCCCGGACATGATACGTATGATATGGAACGATGGAATGGCTATGGTACCTTTGCAGATAGAGGAATAATACCTTTCAATTATTCCACACCACCGTGTTATACCTGATATTTCCAATGTTATTGTGATTGTAATCCCTTCCGCTCACATGCATATTTAATCATCTATATCTATTAGATTTCGATTAAAAAATCCATGTACCTGCCTGGTTGCTTCTTTTCCGATAAGAGGCTCTAATTCCTCCTGGCTCATATTCGCTACCTCTCGAATATTTTCCGTCGCTAGTGTCAGATTCTTCAAGTTCTTTGGCGTAATACCTGGCACAACTCCCAACATTTCGTGGGGTTCCTGATTAAATACTTGGTCCTCGGCCTTCATATCCTTGTCTAGGCCTGCTCGAACCGCGACAACGGGATCCGGCTCCTCTTGCTGTGTTTTTAGCCCTTCGAAAATCTCAGCTGTCTGGTAAGGGCTACTGCTCCAAATAATTCTTAGCTTTGGGAATGCGAGCGTGAGAAGTACAATTTTAGACTGTAGATCCGAAGGCACCTCATTGGGATTGACCGACTTGAGGTTGCCCGATAGGTCTGCGAATGGTTCAAGTGTGAATGACTTGTTCTGATCGAATTCGATTAGCAGCACTGGGTTCTTGTAGTGCTGGAACATCGTTTCGGCTTGGGTGTAAAGTCTGCCATCCTTAAATGAGCTGATCAGATCGCTAATAGATTTACGCTCGATACAAATATTGGGTGATAGAACGTAGTCCCCAACTGTTAACATGCACGGTATGACGATCATGTTGCGTCCGTGAAGGAGAGATGGGAGTGATGAACGGAATTCTCGAACATCAACTACAACCCTTGGAGGTTGTGCCGTAGCCGCCAACCGGCCGCCACCGGCTATTCGAGTGTTAACTGTCCTCAAGAAGGCTTCTTGGGGGTCTTCAACCCCATGGGAATCGACCGTCATAACGACGGACATACTAGCGCGCTCTTTTATGAGCTTAGTGAACGCGTCTTTCTCTCGTCGGACGGTAGCAAGATATCGTTGCTCCTCCACCGACCCACCATAAAACATAAAATATACACGGACATTTCTATCGTTATGCGAAGACCGATAGACTTCTATTCGGCGTATAAATGCGGCGTCTGGCTCGTACATGATGATATAACGAGGTTTAACCTCCTCGAGAACATGTTCGTCTTGATCGCCCTCGTAGGCATGTACCACAACTAAATCCTGCATTTCATAGAGCTCATAGTAATCATCCATATCTTCTAGAGGATCAGCTATGATGTCCACTTTCTGATTTGCTTCCTCTTCTGTGATTTGCATTTCGTCCATGAGCTCGGCAACTTCGTTAGGTTTCTCAAAATATTGCGCCACGCTTCCGTTGGCTGTCCTTCCGGGTGCTGTACCGACGGTGCCGCCTCCGCGTACTCGCCGTCTTTTATTTGCTGGCGCCTTTCCTTTGTAGCCGCCTTGAGCTAGTCGCGGATCGACTGCCCCTTCAAGGGCTTTCTGGTTTTCGGCGAGAAGGGCGTTACTAACTTGCGCAAATTCCCTTTTCCAATTGAGATAATTCCGGAGTCTCCTTCTCATCATGAATGAACCAGAGGGTTTATGCTCTTCCTTACCCTGCTTCGCGTCACTATCGACCTTTGGTTCAACGTGCATTGTTTGCAGGTAATCTCGAAGTTGGCGGGTCGTCGCAGTATCAGAACACATGATGAGGATAGTTCCATTAGAATCATCTCTCATCGGGGGTTCGAAATAAAGATCCCTGTCAATCTCTTCTAGAATTTCCGCAAGAAGAGCCCACTTGGGTTGTTCTTCTAGCACTGGACGGAGTGACTCTATTGAAGATTTCGCAGTAGCCTTGGCGTTGCTGGCGTATACCCTCCGCTTGGCGGTATCAAATATTGTATGGGCGGCGTCGAGGAATAGCCATGGAGACTGAGATTGCCTCGTAGATCCCGGTTGTGGAGAATGAGCAGCATGAATGGTATCTAGATGCTGCAAGAAAGACACGCAATCTAGGGCGAGTACTGAATGTAGAAGACTGCGGAGAACTGTCAAATCGCTGACAATTTGTTTGGTTTTCCAGCTGACTCTGTGCCAATTTGGATCTAATTGTCGCCGAACCATCACATCGAAATTCTTCAATAACGCGCTGTCAAGATTCCAATCGTCCATCTCTAACCCCGTATTAGCCTTTTTCAATTCGTGGATGCTGACCTCAACGCATTCCATGATGGCCGTCTGAATTTCTCTCATAGCATCTGTCATAGGGACTTCTAACTCTATAACCTCTGCTTTCTTCTTGCCCTCGAGCGAGCTGGCAACCGTCATATGGAATCGAGGCCACAAAGAAGCTTTTCGGAGGAATAAGTTCCTCATCATTGTAGCTAGTGGAGAAAAACCAATAGTGAAGGGATCCGGATTATCGGAGAATGCTTTGAGAAACCCAGTTTTATTCTTCTGGCGGTATACTCGGAGAATGAAAGCCTCAAGAGAAGTCGCTATTACTTTGTCCGCGTGCAAAACAATTAAACCGGTGATAGTCTCTGGGTTCAGAAGGCTTGTCAATAGATCGACAACCAGAATCCGGGAAGTAATGCTGTATATTCCGCCTTTTGTATACATCTTCTCCCTAGCTCCGACACTGGTGAAGTCCGTGTTTACTACTGTCAGACCCCTCGCCTTGGGAGCCATGCTGATAGCAGCGGACTCGGCAAGAGCTTCTCCAATCCAAGCATTTTCCCTCTCTTCAGCGCCTACCACTATTACCAAATTATTTCCGGCGGCATCGTAGCTATGTAGTAAGTTGGTGATAAGACGCATGAGGCCGAGGCCCTTGGCAATAACGACGAGTTCATCTTCGGCACGGAGTTCTTGGAAGAGGTGTTGTTGGTATTCCTGGTGAGTTGAAGTTAGTAAGTTATAAACCTTTACTACAAAGTCAAGAAGTAGTCATACAAGAGGTAGTGATAGCTTCACCGGTTGGGGAGCATTGTTTGTAGACATGCGGGGCACGTCTTTCGGTAGAGGGAGAGACGCGACGAGAGGGCTTCATGGGTTATCGTGCATATTCGTTTAGGGAAGCATCGTATTCGTTCCAGGGATGAACGTTGTGCGTAGGTACTGGTACTGTACAATCAATCAATCTCATGTAAGGTGGTGGATTAGGTAAATACGTAGTACATAATTGTGTACGCGTTGTTGGTGAATGAGTGAAAGAATTGGGAGGAAGATCGAATAGGCATCAACTAATTCGAAGCTAAATATGACTTAAGGCATGCGACACATTACAATCGCGCCTGCAGATCCGGGGTTCCAAGGTTCTAAAGTTCTTAAGGTTCCAGGCAAAATCAAATCGCCCACTTGCCGCCACTGCGACGCCGGGTCATGGGCAATAGCGGATCACCGATTTAAGGTACTGTACCTAGTAGTAGTTCTAGAAGGTCTAGTCTTTTAGATACGTCATCACTTATTGGAAAACGTGACACCACTTAGAATCTGGGAATGCTGAATGTATTTCTTAATTTGTATATAAAAGCGGCATTGAAGGTCTTATCAAAAAGATAGCCTTCTCCCTTCTTCGACCTTATAACTAAAAAAGTACTTTGAGATACATCATACCATCAAAATAAGCAAAACTCCAGAATTATCAACATCAAACCGCCCAAAATGCCCGAGACCTTCCCCTCTGCTCAGGTATGACCTATCTATATATTAAGTACTCCCTTGCAGACAATGAATACGTTTAGCTGATTTATTTGTCACTTATAGACCGGCTCCATTGATGCCAACTCCCAGCCAAAGTCTGCGAGCGAGGCAGCTCAGCCTCAAGGAGCAAAGCAGTTCGCATTCGCAGCTCATCAGGCACACCCGGGTCCCGCCGTTCCTCAAAGCATGCCAGAGCAAGAAGGCACCAAAGAAGAACGACAGGCCAAGGCCAAGGAGTTAAACAAATAGATTTGTTGAAGATGCGCGCCGAGTGTTGGATTATGGCTTAGTACAGTCTTACTACATACAAGCAGGATGGGATAATCCTGCAACGAAATCAAAGTTTTGAGACTCACTGGATAGATGCACCTCGAAATGTAATGATAGGCATGATGATAATAAATAAGGAATATGTTATCTGATACTTCAAATAACTTGACTGCCTGACAATAGGTAGCGAATTAATGAATTGAAGTTGCCTAAGAATGAAACAAGCCATCAAGTCTCAGCGGCAACATACGGATGCATGTACATCAATCGATTCTTGTATGATGTGTGTGTAGGATGACGTACGTACCGTTGTGGCGTAGCCTTAGTACCTAGTATTCATCGCTACATGGTACCGACATTATACTATATGTACGTGTATGTGGGCAATTTAGGCATGACATACTACATCAGGGTCTTTGATGTTACATTTGTTTAAGTGAAATAGGAATGAATTAGGAATATTCTCGGCTTATTGCAGGATACCGACTCACCGAGTATTTCAAAAATTGGGTTGACCGCTTTCCCGAGGAAGGTGATTGTTTAATGAAATTGAGATGAGCATTATGGACAACCCGAATGTTCTTTTTGGGGGGGCGGGGCGTCCCGAATACTTTCAAATCCTAGGTACCGTGGGCAGTTATCCAGGTATAGTGGGGTTTGTCCAAGTTTAGAATAGAACATTGAACCTTAAACCCACATGTACATTGTCCTATGTAAATTACGAATGAAATACATTGAAGCTTAAAGATGGCGGTGCAAAGTGTGGTTAGAAAAGAGTATCCATTTGATTCCATTGGTTGGAGGGTCTGGGGGGTTTTCTCTTGTCAGCGATGATGTCGGGCGGGTTTTTCGCAGCGTATCAAGAAGGATACATCCTTCATAACTTACGAAACAAGTCTCCGAAATTACTACAACAAACAGTAGCTTTGGTGTAAAAGAGAACAACGTATGAATGTTCCTTACCAAACAGAGGAAAAAAAAGATTATACGAAACGAATAAATCTTTTTTTCCCTACTACTCATTCTCTAAATTTTTCTCTTCCCAGGCTGCAATATTGTAACCGATATTTCTCTTCCTATAATAGGATCAGCTGGATCTGCCTCTTGAATTTTTGGCTGCCTCTTAGTCAACCTCTTTTCGACCTCCCAACCAACCAACTAGCCAACCAGCCGCCCGCTAATTTCGACATAACCGCCAATCGACCGCAACTCTACAATCTATTCGGCTGCAATACTGCGAACAACCGCGTACGCTACAACCGCACATTCGTTCGGCGTAGACATACATTTTCGAATCAATACGACAGAATAGTACCGATAAATCACGATCGTATTCTTTAATTCAATGGTCACCTAGTAGTATCTACGTGTAGGCAATTTAGGTGCATCAGGCTGGAGATAGCGACCGACTCCCTATACTTCCCTCCCTCTCCGTACCTCCCCTTAATACATCACACGACCTCATTCGAACCGTCACCATGCCGTCCATTCTCAGCGAAGAGGACAAGGAAACCGTTAGACGAGTGGTGCCCAAACAAACGAACAAAATCCATGCTGTAGCTGTTGCGAAATTATACGTCGCATATCCAAACCCTGCGAAATGGACCTACACCGGCTTGCAAGGAGCTATCGTGCTCTCCAACGATCTAGTAGGAAACACATATTGGTTGAAATTAGTTGATGTATCTGTAAGTTGACCTGCTCGGCTAGCATGCTAACGTATGCGTATGTTTTTGTATAACAAGTTCTAACAATATGTAGCCTGCTGGTCGAGCTGTTATATGGGACCAGGAAATATTCGAAAACTGGTCTTACAACCAGGACCGAACCTTCTTCCATACCTTCGAGCTCGAGGACTGCTTAGCGGGCTTATCCTTCGTCGACGAAAAGGAAGCTAAACAATTTAAGAAGAAGATGGACGAGCGAGAGAAAAATGCTTCTAAGGCCACAAGAAATACACCCTTTGGCGGAGCTACGCAACAGCCTGTTAAGACTGGATTCTTTGGGAGCATTTTTGGAGGACATAGACATTCCTCAGCTCCTACACCACCCGAATCACCTCGAAACGGCCTCCCACATTCCCACTCGCACGAGAGAACACCTTCAGGAAACGGCAATGGTTTCCACAAACCACCATCCAGGTTTGCCAAGCTAGAGGCATATGATCCAAACTGGCGAGAAAACTTCGGAAATTTCCTTTCGGAACAAGGGCTCACAGACGAGTTCATAAGAGAGAACCAGGACTTCATCGTCGAATTTTTGAAAGAACAAGGCGGCGCGATACCTAGTAACGGAAGTACAGCTACTGCGCCAACTCCGGCACCGCCGCCGCCGCCGCCGCCTCCGTCTAATACCTCAGTGACTAACGGACTTAGTAGCCACAGTCATAGTCATGGGCGAGCACCTCCCCCCCCTCCTCCTCCACCCGTTGGAGGGATGCGCTCAACATCGGAAAGCGTGTCAACATCAGGCTCCCGACGTGGTGCTCCTCCACCTCCGCCCGCGCCTCGCAGATCTGGCAAAACAGAACTTGTACATAGAGAGCCAACACCGCCGCAAGAACCGGTTCCGCCACGACCACGATTCAACGCTCCACCACCACTACCCGACGCTGGCAGATATGCTAATGCCGAATCCGCACCTCGAGCTCCGCCCGGACCGGCGCCTCCTCCGAGACCACCGAAGACCCCTATGGAAGAGCAACAGGAAGAGAAACCTGCTGGGCATAAATTCGGCGTACCTCCCGCTTTTACTGGTCAAAGGCTAAATAACGCACCTCCGCCAACACCGGCTAGAGGCCCGGTACCTCCTCCGCCGCCAAGGGAACAGCCTCAGGCAATACCTCCGGCTCCTCCAGCTCCGCCAGCACCCCCGGGTCTGCCACCCAAACTGCCTGGTACGAGTGCACCGCCGCCGCCTCCCGCAGCTTCTCGACCTATTCCAGCACCTCCCCCAAGGGGTATGCCCCCGCCACCACTACCTGCGTCGAGCGCACCGACAGCACCGACCATACCGGCGCCACCCCCGTTACCTCAATCTTCTGCGCCGCCGCCGCCTCCACCTCTACCTGGTACTGGAGCTGGCGCACCTCCACCCCCTCCACCACCACCGCCACCTCCTGGCGGTGCAGGAATCCCGCCTCCGCCTCCCCCACCTCCTCCACCTGGTGCCGGAATACCAGCACCGCCGCCCCCTCCGCCTCCCAACCGCGACTCGGGTTATTCTTCCGGGGTACCAGCCCCAGCTGCGCCATCTGGAGATCCCGGACGTTCCGCGATGTTGGACGGTATCCGGGGAGCTGGAGGAATTGGGTCCCTCAAGAAGGTGGATAGGAGTCAAATTAGAGATAGGAGCGCGGCCACAGTTGGTGGAGGATCGGATACGGGACCGCATGGTAGTGGATTGCCGCCCGCAGGAGTTGCCCCTGGAGGAGCTGGTGGTAACATGGCTGATGCGCTTGCTGCTGCTCTGCGGAGACGGAAGGAGAGAGTTCGTGATAGCGGTAAGTTTTTAATCACCCTAACACTCATATTGATGATTTCAATACTAACATCTCGGAAGATGATGAGAAGAGTGATGACGAGTGGTAGAACCGCATCCACAAAATTCATTCAATAAGATGAGGGCCAAGTTGGGCCGATATTAGGATACGTTTAAGCATGAGTACCTACTCAATATGGACTCTCAAATGGGGTTCTATTGGAAGAGAAGAACGCTACGAGACACCGCGGGACAATTCACGACAAACTCAACGGATTATGAATGTATTCGATTCGGAACGAAACTCCCACAGGCAATTGCCTCGATTTTTCTTCACAACGATCGCATCCGCCTACCTACCTACCTAATTATTAGTCTGCTATACTCCAAAAAGACGGGCTCCCACAAGATATATACATATATCTACGTTATGTAATACTCTATTAAGTGCGCAAATCGGTTAGCGGGTAATTATGCTCCTATTAGCTATACCCATGCCACCAGAACCGACTATTGCGCCTATATGATCGAAGGGCCAGATCCGTCGCATTACCGAGAAAGAGAAAGGGAGGTGAATGAATACTATGTGGGGCAGAGATTAAGTGTAGGACCTGTCATCATCACCATCGTCCGGTGTGCCGATGTCCCGGGGAGCCGGAAACGAACAAAACGACAGAATGAAGGATTTATATATAGAATATGGCTTGCTCGAGCAACACATCGGACGGACAGATGGGGGTCTGGCTATTAGGAACCTAAATAGCATGATCGCTAGGGTCACTTGAGTTGGGAAACCTAGGCTTGGAGTAGTTTTGGAATAGAAGAGTTAGAATTGGTAAATTCAATCAATTATAAATTTTCAAGAGTACGTGTTGTGAATCATTCGTGGAAGCATTATTAATTCGAAATTCACGCGTGAAAATATTGCTGAGAAAAGAGGCATGTTTGTATTGAAAACCAGTAGCAACATGATTACCACCTATAAGATAGTTGCCATGCCCATGAAAGCATCATTACGAATTATCATGCCGTTGTTCCCCAGGAGTATTTTTCTCCCATATCCCTTCGTCTTGAGCATCATGCTAAAAACCAACGAGACCCGGGCTAACTGCGAAAAAGAAAAAAAGAAAAAAGGAAGTAGAAATGAATCAGATCGTCTAAGTTGTCGATGCTGCTAAACAGCAATGGGTTACGGCGTCTCTCCCACCGTATACCCTGCCGCTTGCTTGCCGAAAACGCACCGCCCAGCTGTCGTGGAACCCAGACCTCAAAAGAGATAATGTTCAAGATATGGGTTTGAGAGAGAAGACAGGCATTTTACCCTGGTCCTAGGGCCACCACAAGGAAAGATTGATGTACGGAGTGATGAAACGAAAAGACCAGGTGAGCGATGTTTTTCCCAATTGTCCCCCGAAAGATAGAGGGAAGATGTTGGGGTAGATCAAATGTCGTCGATGTCGACTTCCTTGCCACCGGCACCACCAGCCTCGTCAGACTCGGAGTCGCGGTCTTCGTCGAATTCGAAGCCACATTCTCCCTCGTCGCCAGGGCCGTATGTGTCGGTCTCGTTGATCTTGGCGCTTTCGGGCAGCTCGCCGTAAGCCTTGAGGGAGCGAGCCTCGTCGGCTGAGTACTTCAGGATGACATCACCCTTTTCGTCTTGATAATCTCGAAGACTGAGTAGAATAATGTCGCCGTTGTTGATCCACACCTTCTTGCGCAGCTTGCCACGGATGTGGGCTAGACGTTTTGCGCCGTCGAAGCACTGTGCCTCGAGGCGACCGTTGCCGAGCATCTTGACTACCTGGGCATATTCTATTGGATATATTTATCAGCTTATTTGTTGTGCGATTTCTTCTTTTCTATGTATACAGGGATGTATTCGGTTCGATTCGAACGAATTTTGGCGACGAAGGGGGAGATTGTGGGGGGCTTGAGGACGTACCTTGTCCTTCTTCCTTGAAGGTCAACTCGCGCTTTTCGTTGTCGTTCTCGTTCTTTCCACGACGACGATTCTTACCTCCCTATTTACCACGATGTTAGTCACTGCTTAGAATGATAGATGCGACAACGTAAAACATAATCGGCTCGTGAGATGGACCCAATCCATAGATGCCCCTCAAGGGCGCGGTATACATCTTACGCCACGAGAACATTCTGATGATACCCATTAAATCCCCCCAAAATCCGGGTTACATGAAATCATCGCATTGCCCCAGAGCCGGAGTCCATACACTGATTATACACGAAGGGGGAAAGGCTGAGTGAAAAAAAAAAAAAAAAAAGGAAAATAGGACCTGTGGAGGGGTAAATTTCGAAACACCGCGCACATACCTTTCCCTTATTCTTAGGCATATTGATAGAAAACTAGATTCTTTTCTAGCGATAAAATGGTTTCCGGGATTCGGTTTATTTAGAAATCGGCGATTATAGCCGTAAAAAGGGGGTTGATAAGTGTTTTGTAGTTTGTTGACTTATTGTCGTTGTTGTTGTTTAGGAGAGGAAAATTGGTAGTGACGAGGGGCACTTAAATACCATGACAGAAAATCGTCAGATCAGCGAGTGAGTAATGGCGGGGGGCGGCTTTGGGCTCTGGCTTTGTGGCTGTCTGTCCCACTTAGCGTTCTTTTTCGGAGATGGTGGGGCTAGCTGCTTCAATGTTTCTATTGAAAAGTATCGTACGGCAGTTTTGATTGGCCGCTGTACAGCAAAATAAGCGTATCTCAGCTTAAGTACCCACTAGGATTAAGCTACTCTGATTCTTGATGAAATCATTTCTTAGGCCAAAGTACCTCAAGACTAGGGAGTACTTTTAGAGTCATCCTTCAATATTCCATGGTATCAATCGGTTTCACTCGAAATTTTCACAAGGTTTAATAAACGAAACGACATAAAGTTCAGGGACCAAACTAAAATAATCAAATAGTTTATGTATATTTTCTACTCAATTTCTCACATACAACCAACAGCACTTTGTCCTCGTTTCTACACCAATCAAAACTATGAGTTATTTGATAGCTCATCATCAATCCAACGGTGTCCAGTCGAGGTAATATCATGTCAAGCTTAATCCTCGGCCGGCACCTAGGATTGCTACGATTTAAGTACCATATCCCTCCTACATATATCCTTCGGCGGTGCATAAGTACGCAGTACGCGTCACGGAATGGAGGGGCCGTTGGATTCATTGGAGGTCTAAACGAATATCAGATACATCCAGGCCCTCATATCGATGCTTTTTGTAAAAAACACAATATCCTACTGCCTTTTTCTACGACCCCCCTGAAAGGATGGAAGCAAGGAGAAAATATATGCAAGCTGCGCGTTCACGCATCGGAGTATCATTGTATGGATGGCTTCTCAATGAAGTATCTCGACAAGGAAGAGCACCCGTTCACCAAATCCGTCTTGAACATGTACCTTAACAAGGCTAAAGAACCTCTTTGGTTTAAAGCAGTGTCTTTTCCCAACGCCTCACCTTTTCCATGCAGAGCTGCGGCCATGAGGATCAAACATGCATTCTATGATGCATTAGCTGATCGTGGATACGATAAGCAGGGCCGGAAAATCCAGTCGGATGATTTTAATGTCATCGCATATTTATATGGCACGGTGAGAATTACTTGCGCGGACCCGAAGGCTGCTTGCAACATCAAGTTTGCTGAGCTCGTAGAGCAGGTGAAGCCGATAGTATCCACGGTTGTACAAGGACTCGGAAGAGACGAGAAGGGTTCGCTTATCGTCCAAAAGCCACGAACAGCAAAGAAATTTAGCAACAAGAACCCTAAGAACCCACAGTCGAGGCCACCAAGGAACCCATCAGGGAAGTCACCAAGCCGTCAGGAGAACAGAATAAGGCCTCCAGCTAGAAAATTTACTCGATGAATTATATCCATATGTTTTGAACTCATATTCCATCGTATGGCGATGTAAGTAAAACCAATCTAGGTGCACAGACCCACCATCGGATAGAGTCCTATGTTTTTGCTGGTTCTTATATAACGCAACATAAAAGAATGAATAGTAGGCAGTCTAATTCATATTTTGATAGTGACAACTAGATATGAGGTCATATAGACTCGTATCCATGTCAAATCTACATATATGTAGGTATTAGGAAGTAACCTTGGAAGTATGATACTGTAAATTTGCGGGGCATTAAATGTGATAACACGTCCAGTGGGAATAATTTCCTGAGACGCGAAATCGCCGCCCCAAATTTAGTTAAATTAGTGGAGGTACATAGGTACATACTTCATAATTGTACAGATTTAACTTCACTACAACTTTCTCGTCGCCGACCAAAAATAAACAACAATTCCCTAGAACTTATACGTACACATATACTGCTCAATTCGTTTCGGCAAGCGGGCGTCTCTCTATTTACAATGCTAGTTTCTCTCACCGTCGGCAAGGTCGACGCCGGCGTTACTGTTCTATTGACCCCTGATAAACGATTGGTATGTCTTCGAAAAGTTGCTCCAAGCTTGATATCTATCTGCCCAACTGTCGCAACCTCTCCCACAACTTCTCTCCACGACGAACAGTAGTCGCTTAGCATGAATCTCATACCAATACATCTAACAAGCGAATATAGATCGAATTTCCTTCTATTCTTCTACCCCCAAACATCGTCTCGGGTTCTATAGTCGATATCACCGTCGCGCGGAATAACGAGTCCGAAGCAAAAGCAGAAGCCCGCTTCTCAGCCCTCCAAGATCAGATTTTCTCCTCCTTCGGTGCTTCTCAACCTAGCACTCCCGTCCTCCGTTGCCGAAATGCCACTCAAACCTCCGTAGTCCTCGAGTGGGACCCTATCGAGCTTGCTACTGCCAACCTTATCTCCCTATCCCTTTATCGCAATGGCCAAAAGGCCGGTAACATCCCTCGACCTTTACAAATGCATAGTACCAAGATCAGTGGTCTCGCCGTCGACAACGAGTACACGTTCCACTTAGTTCTGCGCACCACCGCTGGCACCTTTGCTAGCAAACAGGTCGTTGTCCGCACTCACAAGATGACTGATTTAAGTGGTGTTACTATTACAACCGGTATTCTGCCTCCGGCCATGCGCGATGAGCTAACCAGTGCTGTCGAGCGCATCGGCGCTAAGATCGTCGATAGCGTACGTATCGACACCACGCATTTCGTCACTACTGAGGGTCGCGGCGTACCCTGGGAGAAGGCCGTCGAGATGAATATTCCTGTCGTCCGACCAGAATGGGTAGAAGCCTGTGAAAAGAACGGTCGCATTCTAGGTGTTACCAAATTTTATCTAGATGCTCTACGACCTGGTGCGCCAGGCAGCGAAGAAACGTCAAGGAATGTAGCATCTCCTAATTCAGCAACGCCACAGGCGCAAAAGGATCTTCCACAGGCACCAGCCCAACCCCAAGAGAATAAGGAAGCAGAGGCAAAGAAGGAAGAGAGTAAAGAGGAAAGCAGTGAAGAGGAAGACGATGACGAAGAGAAAGCAGGCGATGAGGAAAAAGCAAAGGCCACAGATGAACAGAAAGTAAGGCTCGACGATAGAGATGCCCAAAAAGTCGTTTTGAGGCCCGCCGAGCAACCAGAAAAGACCAGTAGCGAGGAAGAGGGTAATTCAGACGAGAAGGCACCCGAGCCTTCTCCCGGTGATGGGGCGTCTTTCCAGGATGTAGCGCTATAGACATAGTCAGGCTAGGAGGATCCATTAGCATGGTGTTTTTTCAGGGGTGCCCAAAAGAAACAAAAATACCCGGCCCGGTGATGAAATTGGTTGTTCTCCGTCTTGAGCTATGATTGATATACCTGTGTACAGTAGGAAGAAGGCCGGCGCTTCGCCGTCTCGATGTTATGTCCGTTCTAATAGATTTGGTAATTTACGATTAACTTAATGAGGATTTTATCGATTTGGCTCTTGGGAATATGAGAGGTTTTATCAAATATGAAGGCAACGGCTAATAGGATCTGCAGTATCTCAAGTCCGCAATCCAACGCTATTCAAAATACAACGTTCTCTTCGCTCAACGCAAGCCAACACCTCAGACCAACACGAACCAAATTCAAGGCAGCACTTCCTCACCTTTCCAATCCCAAAATTTCCCTCTATGCTCCGCAACCTTCCTACTCCGCACCACGTCCACCATTCTCCTTGCTGCGTACTCAGGAGTAAACAACCGATCCTCGCGTACCCGATCCCAATAGTCTTTACTCAACCCCGTACGAACTGTACCCGGATGATATGCGATAGATATAGCGCTATCCCTACAACGCATTTGTAAGTGCAGATCAAATGTCTTCGTCAAACTCGTCACTGCTGCTTTCGACGCCCGATACGTGTACCACCCGCCGAGCCTATTATCGGAGGTAGAGCCTACCCGCGCGGAGGTCGTGAGCCATGTTGCGTGAGCTGGCTCTTCGTTCCCGGAGTTAGTGAAGAGAGGTTCTAATGAAATATCGGTATTCCTTCGTGGTAGGAATTCTCCGAACCATTTCATTAACAGTAGCGGGCCAAGTACGTTGATACGCAAGGTTTCCAGGGCGTCATGATAGTTAACATCCCGCGGGCTCTTCTCGGGATGTAATAGGACGCCGGGTAATGTGAGGGCGAAGTGTAAGTGGTGTGTGAACTGTGGGAATAGCGAAGATGCCTCAGCTGCCGCGGACTCGAGAGTGGGTTCTTGTGTCACATCTAAGCGGGTGATATGGAGTCTACTAGATGCCGAGTCCAGTCTATCCCCATCACTCCCATTTGAGTCTAAGATCGACTTACGAACACCCGAGAGATCGGACCGTGCCGTCGCGAGTATCGGTGCAGTGGTTGTCCGCAGTAGGTGCCGTGTCAAAGCATGGCCAATACCACGGCTTGCCGGGGAAACTAGGATCCAGGGCTTGGACATTGACTGGTTCCAATATTGATTTAATGTTCCCCGCTTATGGCGTCCCTTGGTGTCTCGCTCGAGGCTTGAGATCGTTGATGCGGGGAAGCTATCGAAGGGATGATACCGGTTGCTTCTGACACATGAACTAGATGCGCTATCATATAAGCAGTATCTTACTATACTAATGACTAATTCAAGTAGTAGATTAGAGGAACTAGACTGGCAAATGAGTATAATTGATGTTGAGGTAGAACTAGAAAATGATTGTTGGAAATTTCAGAATGATCGTTGACTTTGATGATTCATCATTTCCAGCTTGGCCAAGCCCGCATAGAAATGTTTCAGGCCTATAGACATAGCGGTATCTTAGGCGTAATTGTTCGTGAAGACACGGCAGTTATTTACGCAAGTAAATATTAAGGTATATTCAAACCCTTAAAGAATTTTCGGGTCGCTCACGATAGACCTTACTATGGTGGCTCAGGTAAGCTGCCTCGGATTACATGATGAAAAGCTGTGAAGTGGGAGACAAGGTCCGTATTGGGAAACATTAAGGGCGTAATCTACCACTCATGCGAGTTATCTCACAGCTATATCTTCACAATTCGGACTCGAAGAGACGATTAGGAATACTAATGAGTACAATTAGAAAATTTTTGGGGATGAAACCAGGTAACCTCGGGGACTTCATAATGGCGACGTGAGACTTCGGGGATCCGAATGTTGTGCTCTCGGGTAAGATTGACAAATAGACAGCTCAGCCCATTGCTATGCTATGGTTAGACAAGGGCCAGTCCTCCTGGTCCAAGCGATTTAGAAGGCACCGAATTTTATGATAACCTTGGGAGGCGACGTATTCGGAATGTTTCCTCCAAGCCAGCAAATAATATCGCAGGTAATGTCATGACCCTCATCTAAGCTTGCCCTGTATCCCTTCCAACCATGGGGTCTGGTTCCGTAGGATCTGTAGACACTTACTATGAAAATAGCAAATATGACATACCCGACTTATTCTATATATGATATCTTGAGAAACGAACCTCAATTTGTTCGCTAGTAAAGCTAAAAAGATGTAACTGGGGACTAAAAAACAATCCCCGAGATTGGGGAATGGTTTATGTAGCAAGGGAGACTTGGGAGCGTGTAGGATCGCGAGAGAAATTTCCCACATCGCGGATTCGGGACTCTCCGGTATATGAGATACACCCAAGTAAGATGAAAACAAATAAAATACCTACCTTGGTATCTATCCCTGTGAACAACATGGGTATTATCAAAACTCTAAATCGAAGTCTTTCCGGACTGACCTGATAATGACTCGTCTGTTCACCGTGAGCAGGGAACTCGACATCTCGAAGCAACCCTTGACATTTATTCGATCAATAATTGGCATCACCTTCCTAGAGGGAGCTCTTTCGTCCTTTTAAGGTAAATTCTTGATCATATTTACTAACATGGTTGGTGAGACATTCCTGGAAATAGTCTTACCCTTGACCCAGATAGTCTTAACGGAAAAAGAAAAAGCAAATAGGATACTGTAGCAAACTACTTTCTGGTATTCGAGAATGTATCCCAAAGAATTCTCGAGTTTCTTGACATGAGGAATATGCACAAGCTGCATTGCATTTCACTAACAAGCTGTACCCCAGGTGCTCGTGTTTAAGACCACACATGGTTCGAACTTACCTACATCCTGCCGAGTCCCAGTGTCTGAACAAGGTGAATTGGATTGTCTAGCATATCCCACTTGGGCTAGCTAGTAACTCATATGCGCCGATCATAAGTTTCTCTGCCGTTATCCGCCATGCCTAACTAAGATGGCAGACGATATTGAGTTTCTCGGCTACTTGCTGAATTCTTCCTCCGTTCCTTGTTCGGCTCGTCATTTAACTGGAGCTTTTCCTCCTGTTCGTCATTCTGTCGTGTTAGCTGCTTCTACCTACCTGCTGGGTCCTGAGTTGTTCTTTTTTTACGAAGCCCTGCAAGGGGGGGTTATACAACGTGCGAAAATGTGTTGATATTTTATGGTATTTGTTACCCCTTTATGAAATCCATTTATTAAATTCTTTCGATACAATCCCATTCTACATTATTACCTTCAGACTAGAAGCCTTTACAGACGTAAATATTACCTTACATTAACGCTCTTGGTCATGTTAAGAATAGTTGAGATGGAAGATGTTAAAGCGAATGTGGGATACGTACACTGTCATCATTTCGCACATGGCAAATAGCGCCGTCGTCTTCTCGAAATAGAGTTTCTACTTTCCTGCTGTCCCCGTTTAGAAAAAGACAGAAAAATGGAGAGCGTCATGTTGGAGTCGCTCAATGTGGGCATCTTGGTGGAAAAGGAGATTGTGGTACACACAAATAGCAAGGACAGTGGAGACTTCACAGCATCTCATCCACCATCCGTCGTGTCAGTCGTTCACTCCACGTCCGACCTAAGACGTGAAACTAGAACGTCTGAACTACGGAAGACGGCCTCAACTGCATCGTCCGGGAAGATGCTTCCTCGTACTGACGTCAGTGAAAATCATCTTGACGACCTTGCCGATTTCTTTCGCTCTGCTCCTCCGCCGGGGAATCTCATGTCAATACCCGACGACGTGAGCATATCTTCGGCCGATGGGAAATGGGGTGTCTTCAAAGTCTTCCGTAAAAAGCGGAAACGCCGAAAACGCCAACCACCACTTGTCAGACTTCCAGACTCGACCGTCTCTGCTAGAACTGCTGGTGGCCACCGGTACATCGCTATATCGATCCCCGCTGATGTTTCTTTACCATACCCGGAATCTGGGTTAATGGATCCCGGACTTCATCAAGCCATCAGCGCAATATCCAACCAGACATCCAGTCATGGTGTAAAGACTTCGGGACCAGCAACTGAAGACCATGAATCGCTATCCTCGGCGTCCCTCGCGCAAAGGTCGGTGGCGCGTTCAGAAGAGGCCACCCGCTTAGCACCTCCACCAAGAAAGGTGTCTATGCTTTCAACAGTGCCATCGCAGGAAGAGTCCCCTTCCAGCAAAGGGAAAGAGCCAGATAGTAGGGGTAGGCCGGAGAGTGGTATTAGGAGCAAAGCGCCAATGAGTCCTTTGGGGTCTGTGAGGACGGCACGTGCTACCGAGCGAGGAGGCCTGGTCACTCGGACTGAGCAACAGGATATGCCATCAGAAACTGGAGATCAAGGGTCTGAAAATACCCCCCAAATCATTGAAATTCCGTCGAGGAAACGATCGGGGAAGAAACCTCAGCAGAAACAACTATCTCAAGCTAGCAATGAGCCGACTAGTGATAGCTCTGCGGCGAAGAACCGCCCAAGGTCTGCTGATAGGTCTCCCGGAACCCCGCACATTCTCTCGGCCAACCCGTTGAATGCACCGACACCACCAGTTCGAACTTCTAGTAAAAAGGCAAAAACCAGCGTATCAGTACTCAGTGAGGGTGAGAATTTCGGCAACCGATCAGTGCCGATGAGCAGAGGAGCTAGCTCTAAACGTAGCGGGAATAAGAGCGGAAATGGTCAAGGACCGCGCGGTTCATTTGCTGAAAGCCTCATGACAGAGTCCTCGCCGAAATTGTTCAAAGCTCAGACTGCTACGGCATACCAATCCGTGCCAATAGTTGTAAGACCCCCTTCACAATTGGAAGTTGAATCGCCTTTAAACCTCAACTTCCCCACGCCACCATCAAACCGAACTAGCCGCTCAGTTCAGGCAGATCTTTTGTCGCCCCCAGAAGCAGCGGAGAGGAGCAGAACTCGGAAGGACCGAGTGAAGGAGCGGAAGCAAAGAGATATGGAGAAGCTCAAGGCGCAGTTGCGTCAGATCCAGTCCCCGGCTTCACACCTCAAGCCAGAGATTCCAACCGAGCATCTTTTACCAGAGTCCCCAGTCTTAGGCAGATTCCATGAAGGACTAGGTTCAGCATCCACATCGAGACCATATCTGACAGCGAAAATGTCGGATATCGGCCCTAGCAGACCCAGCTTGCATTTAAAATCTTCATATTTGTCACCCGAAACCGTCCTAAAAAACCGCCGGGGAAGAAGTATAAGTGCGCCAGCCATGACTAGTTCCTCATCTCCCTCCCCACTAGAATCCCCATTGGCCTGGGAAGACACCACAGCATATTTCCGACGAAAAGAGCGACAAGCGGAGCGGGAAGAGAGCGAAGCAAGGAGACTGCGACACGCAGCGAAAGTGTTGGCGGAGGAGAAAGAGACCCGTGATCGGATCGCGCATCAGAAACTTATACGGCGGTATGAGAGGTTGAAGGAAAGTCGGACGAGGGATATGGAGAGGCGATTGCATCGATTGGAGAGGAATAGCGAGATGTTGATGCAGTCGATGGTGTCCCTAATGGAAACCCTTAATAAACTCTTACAGGATCGCCAGTCTCTACAGCGAAGCGCCTCGGCTTATCCGGTTACGACTTCTGCCCCGCGATCGCATGGAAAACGTCGACAGGGCTCTGGTCAAGGTCGTACTCAGTCTCTTAGATCCGCACGTAGCGATGACCGCCCGCTTCAAGCCCCCGATTCACAATCGGAGAGAGAAGAGCGTCATTATCGAGGGGATCGTCCGGCGGGGCTTCGTCTGAGTGGTGGTAGTCGACGGGGTGAATTCGAGCGAGAGCGTAATCTTAGCCAACCCGCACTCGAGGCTTTACAAGAACACTTGCAGGCTCAATCCTACCAGAGTGGTCGAGTCCCCGGCGTTTCGGGGTATGCTAGCATGAGCAACAGCAGCGATAATAATAGTGACGCTGGTAGCCTGGAGATTATGGAGCCGTTGATGCGGGAATTGCAGGGAGCGGCGAGGTTGGATGAGGAGCAAAGAACGCCTTTGACTGAGAGTGAGGTCTTTAATCTCTTCTAAGTTGGCAGTGTGGCCAATTAATACCCTCCTTTATGTTTCTTATGTTTTATTCGTCGTCGGGTTCGTGGTTGGCTGTCTTGAGTGCCCTCGTGCGTTGGGGATGGTGGACTATCGGCAGGATTGGTAATAGCATCGGGCGGGCGGTCATGGTAATACCCGGAAGAGCTAACCTGTTGGGTCGGTTGGTTTTCTTGACTGCACAGCTATCTAGGTATTAATTAGTAGAACCTTGTAATATATACACGCCTCGCGGCGTTTAAGGATAGGTAATGAAGCATCTTCCGCACTTGTACGATAAAAAAATTGGCAACGTAAATCCTTCTCAGTGACTTATAGTTGATGGTAATGGTTATTAGAGGGAGATATAGGGAAGAACAATAAATGTTGGGGGATATAGCAGAGATAAAACCACTGTGGCGTCGGGCGTTAGGATGCCTAACAGCTGTCGCATACGGTGGTCCGGTGGAACCAAATAAACAGTCAATATACTCCTACAGCGCTTGGAGACCTATGGGGATATGGTAAGTCCGGGCTGAGGCCAGGCGGTACACGATAGCGAGGTAGTTTAGCTGCTTAGGTGCCTTACCCTGAGAATTTAGGGGCTAGGTAGGCGTTAACATGAGCCAGCATAGCGGTAGCCTAGTTGCGCTGGCATTAACAGGCGTGAACGCTGGAATATTTTAGGATTATAGCGCTGTGTACGTCGTATGGGCTCGGTAGATACACACTAAAGGGTACGAGATAGTGGCCCTAGGTATGATGTTATAGCGCAATAAAGGACACGGTTAGGCACCTAGGCAGGTATCGTATGGTGTAATACGCACTGATTCTCCAGGAGGCTTGGGCGTCCCGTGTAGGGCGTAAGCTGAAGTAAACCCTACTAGAGAAATAGCGCAATAGTGATCACTGATCAGCTAAGGGCTCCGGTCGGGGTACTTGTCCAGGGGGGATGAGGTTACACGAATACCAGCTGTAGGTAACTAGCAACAGGCTATATCTACAGCGCTTGAAGTTGCACCCGTAGACACAGCGGGAGGTTTTTATCACGAACCTCAGTTCATATACGCGTGTCACAAGTTACACGGTCTACTTACCTGGGCTGGTCGGCCCCAGTCAACTTCAAAAATTAAGGTCATTATGGTGGTTATTTGACTGGCGACTCAAGGAATGTCCAGCCCTATGGGTGCCGACATCTACGAGGTCAAAGCCAACTATCTAGTCTAATCTCTCCTTTTTAGTTCCGTCCTACCCTATTTGATTCCCTTAGGATGCGAGACCTGGGTATCAACCACTAGAAAAAAATGCCCTCTGAGAGCAAGGGAAAAAAAGGAGAGAAAAGAACAAATCTATGGGTACAAATGCACTATAATCCCTACGCCGGAAAATGCAAAATGGAAATGACCACTATAACTTAGACGCCCCCAGAATGGTGCAGGATGTAGTGAACCTACTGAAACGCAATGAGGAACCATAATCGTACGCTGGGAAATTTAACGGGGTTTGTTGGGCTTGCGTTTGATGAAAGGATCAGTAGGAGGGGGTCTCCTTCTTTGAGGAGGTGGTGGTCTAGGTGCTGTAGAACCACTAGATGAACTGGATGGGCCCTAATCATAATTAGCGGGAGGACATTCATGATTCCCAGGCGTAGCCAGTACAAACCTTGGGCGCATTCGGGGGTCCAGAAGGACCTTTGCCTGCAGAGGACTTGGGTTGAAGGCCTAAAACAGACATTGCCGAAGGATCTTGTGGTTGTGGCATAGCTCGGGGCGCACTTGGCGGTATCTTTGGTGCATGGTTGCTAGCAATCTATGTCATAGTATTTTAGTCATTTTGCGCATGGTCTACTATTTCGTTTGAAACACTAACCCTCTTCGATGTTTTGCCATCGTCGATGCTATCCCTAGGTCGTTTTTGACCTGATTGGTGTATGATGGGGCGCTCGGACGAACGATTGATGGTGGCACTCTCTCCACGTTCGTTGATTCCACCGTATCCTGTCGAGCTTGAATGATTTACAGGAGGTCCGGGTCGTTCAAGAAGCGTGTATGTTTGTGGTAATTGAGGAGTTTGATGTTTCTTTTTCGGCGGCTGATAAGGTGCTACATCTTCCATGACCACGTCCTCCATATCATTTGTTTGGACGGGCTTTGGAGTAGCGCTCGAACCCGCCGCGGCCTCCTTTGCGGGGTTGCGTACTTCGGGTTGAGGGGTTTGGGGTGATGGGGCGTCGAAATTGGGAGGTGGTAATCGAGATCCAGGCTTCCTCAGCAAAGAGAGGACATCACCTGCTGTATAACGATCTCGAGCTCGGGCATCCTCAATAAGCTTATTCCAAAATTCACCCTGTACTAGAGCCCTCGAGTCTCCAAGAATGAAGAGCGAGGATTTCGCACGCGTGAGACCCACGTTCATACGTCGAATATCCGTCATGAAACCAATACCACCAGTGGGGCTGGCTCGGACACAGGAGAAGATGATAATTTCACACTCTCGTCCTTGGAAAGCGTCGGTAGTGTTGAATTCGATATGCTCCTTGATCTTCTCTCCATAACGACGCGAGAACTGGTCGCGGAGTTCGTATAGTTGAGCTTTATAGGGGGTAATAATACCGATTTTGCCTTTGAAATCAGTTTCCCGATAATCAGTCATCAACCTATCGTAGAGTTGCATGGCAACCTTCAACTCTTCCAAGTTAACCAATGATTGGCCTTTGCGACCTTTCTCCTGGATACCCTTTACGTCGAAGAATCGGTAAGGACCCAACAGCGAACTCTGATGCCACGGCTGGTGGCGGAGCTTTCTCATATCATCACCATCCACAAGACGTCGCTCGTAGAATTCTTGGCTTGGGAACAAGCTAATTTCTGGGTGCATACGGTATTGGGTATCAAGTAGATGAACGTCATCGGGGTGATTGCGCTGCATACGAACGAAAAGACTTTGGTCGTATCCATAACGAGCAGCGGATTGCGACAATACTGTTGGCGGCAACTGCTTTGGATCACCGACGAGAATGCATTTGGAACAGCCATATTTTAATGGGATCAATGCACTCAGCTCAACACACTGAGCTGCTTCGTCGATAATTACCGTCTCAAATTCAACTTGTAGATTCTTGAACATCTCATGTCCACTACCACTTAGTGTGGCGCAGAGGACTTGAGCAGAGTCAAGAATTTCTTGTTGGATTTGTCGTCGTCGAATCTCGTTTTCTCTTGCGACAGTATTTCCACTGTCTTTATCGGCGTCTATTTTCGCGCCAATTTGGGCTTGACGACGTTTTAATTCGTCGAATTTTCGCTGTAGTTGGTTGATCTGTGCTCGGTCTTCCCCATGAGCTCTTGCGGCCTCTAGCGCTGGTCGTAATTCGGATAATTCCATTTTGATCTGACCTGCTTCTTTATGCATAAGCTCTCGTGAGCTAGGGCCGGTATTCTGATTCGCGGCGCCCTCTACGCGAGCCTTGACCATTTCGTCTAAAGTGACGTCTTTGACTGCAGCATTTATTGCATCTGTGCGACCAAGACGTAAGACATTAATCTTATGAAATGATCCGGTAGTAGATTTGACCCCATCTTTGAGTCGTAGAACCAATTCATCGACGGCTGCGTTACTTGGGGCGCAGACCAGCAATTTCTTAGCGTTCGTTTTACTGCCCGTTGTACCAACGCCTCCAGGTCGTTTAATAGCTGTGCCTGCGGTTATAGAGAAGCTACCAGTTAGAAGGGCACCAACCATTGCTACAATGGTCTTCGTTTTTCCTGTACCAGGAGGACTGCAATTAATTAGCTAAATTCGGAATAAGTCTCACCCATGCTGTATTTACTCACCCTTGGACTAGCGTAAACGCATCATTCTCCTTTGCATTCAAAATTGCTTTTGCCTGACCAGGATTTAGTTGGTAATTTTGCATAATATTGTCAACAGCTTCTTGACTAAATTTAAGCATGGGAGATGGCTTGGCTTCCAGGACCTCTGGCATTAAATCATAGTATTGCAAACTTTCGAGAGAGGCGTATTCACGCTCAATCGTGGTCATGTTAGTAATTTTAACAGCGTAGAGTTCGGCCTGCGGCATCATCGTGGATATGATAGCACCAGCTCGGCCACTTAAGCGAAATTGTATTTCCAAATTGCCGTTTTTAAACTGAACACGCCAGATACGGGCAAGGCAGTGCAGTTCGTCTGTCGCTTCTAACGGATTTGATGCATGCGAAAATAGAATAATGTCTCCTTCCGCCAGAAATCTATCCTTGGTTTCGGCTATAGGTATAGCCGTACTAACCTCGACGAATTTGTCAACGTTCATTCGGTTGACAATCTTGATGCCGAAGGGTTTGGATGTTACTTCATCTTTAGCTGTTACAAAGGATCTCCAAGCTTCATTGATTAGAAGTGGTAGGAAAGTTTCCTTGTACTCCCGCGGATCATTGTAGGAATTAGATACTTGAGAGCACTTGATGCCGTTAGGGGGATCATTTCCTTGATGGAAGATATCCCATTCGAGAATAGCTTGGTGAAGCACATCCATCGGAGGGATGAGTCGTGCTCTCATATCTTTGGAAGAGCGTTGAATCTTCATCTTCTTTACCGGGAGACGTGCATTAACCTTCATTGGCCCACCCTTTGACGCCTTGTTTCCTGCGGCAGATCGAGCTAAAAACTCAGCATCATCGTCCGAGTCGTCCTCATCTTCCGACGATGAGTTGACCATAATCTCGCTTTTCTGCGGGGCATGATCTTTACCATGAACGCCAGACAGCCCCTGAAGACCCGATCCCTCGCCGCTGACAAGGGGCTTGGGAGCTCGTAGGGCTTTTGCTCTGGCAATGGCTTCGGCGTCTCTCTTTCGCTTTTCCTCGGCCTCCTTCTGACGCTTTTCGCGAATAGACGTTACATCAGCGAGGGGTGGTTTCTCCGGTTTGCGAGCCTTTATTCTCTCCAAGGTAGCCTTGCTTTTCTCCGAGGAAGAGTACTTGAGCAGCTCGCGCATATCATCTTTGCTCGTCCTTACTGGAATCTTCTCCTTTCGTGGGGCGCTTGACACACTAGAAGTGTCGTCGGTTGACTTCGACCAAGCATCAAGTCTCGTCTGTCGTTTAAGAGGTTCGGATTTCTTGACCGAGATAATTTGGAGATCGTCCTCCTGAGTGTCCTCACCTAACGCTCGCAACAGCTCGGCACGCTGACGATCATTCATATTCGTCTGGGTGTTATATCGTCCAGTCTTATTCTTAATACAAGTGTTTTTAACAAATGTCAACGCCGGTGAGGGCAGTTCGACGTCAAATTCGACTAGACGCCTAAGAAGTTTACCTAGAACATTCACAATCACGGTAACGAGGTACAGGTCCTTTAGTCGCAGCATTTTGCATAGGCCTAGGCAGTGCTTTCGTGGTTGTTCGAGGATATCTCTCATAGCTTGCTTTTCAGGTTGTTCGATATTATCCATCGAGGCAGAATGCGCAGACTCGGGGCCCAATGCAGAGGCTAGAAGACCATCCTGAGCTAATAGAGCTTCTGCGAGTTCCATGGCTTCTCGACAGAAGTTCTTCATTGTCTCCATGTCGATCAAGCGACTCCAATCTTCTGTTTGAGTGAAGGCGTTGTCGAGGAAAATCCACAGTGAGTTCCACCAAGCGCTGAGAACTTCGCGTTCCGCATTGTTTAAATCTCTTGAACGCAGTATACCCGAGGATGGGTCGCAGAGACTACTGAGAATATCTCTCGAATATCGGATAATATTGAACTGTGGTGACCAAAGCGACATTTTCCCATTGACTTCGTTGACAACGGCCGTATAAGAAGACAAAGCACGACCGAAAAAGCTTTGCAGTAGTTTCAATACAGCGTCTGTTCTTCTCATCTCACCAGTGACCGCCTTGATAAATGAAGCGCCGGCTTGACTAATAGTTTCCTCGCCGTGGACAAGAGCCGCAACAATAGGAAAGATCGTCGAAGACTCTGAGCAGAATTGTCGAAGTGTGGATTCGTTGAAGTCACCCAGCCTGTCAAGCATTCGGCCTACGACCTCAGCTGTCTTTTGGAACTCGGTATTGAATCCCGTCTTGACTGGCGATAAAGATTGCCTTTTTAGTGGTCGGAAAATCTCCACGGCGACTAGAGGACCAGCTGCAACCAGCATTATTTTCGCGAGATCGTCCGCACCCGGTTGGAGGATCTCCAAGAAGGCCTCCCAGTGACCCGAAGAATTACGCTTGACCTCTCGTTGGACTCGGTTATCACTATTTTGGAGGGCATTAAATTCCTCGACAGTAATACGGGAATCCAGAACTAAAGCGAATTTTATCACAGACAGCCCGGCACGCGACATTACAATATTTTGCGGGTCGTTTGGCGAAAGCTGGGCGAGCTGGAGAATCAAATCTTTGTATTTCAAAGTGAGATTTAGCGTCGCATTAGTATGGATTGTTGAAGAATCTGCATGTAACTTGTAACTTGGGGATGCGAATGCCTCAAGCGTAGAGGAGAGCACCTCGACGGCAGCAAGGGTACAGGCAAGTTTACCTCCTGATCCCATGCTGGAGTCTTGGGCGTACCTCTCTAGAAAGTGGTGTAGAAGTGAATCACAGACATCACTCCTGTGATGGACTGGAACCGAGTTTATAAAAGGCTTGACCCAAGAAATGGCTGCGGGTGATTCCGAAATTGAATATTCTTCCCCAGATTGGGCGAGAAGTGACTTGAAGGCAGAGCTAGCCAATATCTGCTCGGCAACGGTTGTATGAGAATAGTGACTGAAAGCGTCCCAAAACGCCTTAGGGGACTTCTGTATTAGTGCGCAAAATGACTTGAGTAACAGTTTTAGAACTGGAACCGAGTCAATCCGGGGCAATTGCGCGAGCATCAGTTCATATATGCTTGGCTGAACAGTCATGGCTCGCAAAGAATGAACGACAAGTCTCTCGTCAAGTACATTCAAGATGTGAAGAAATGCCTGCCAGAAACGAAGGAGAAATTGGGGCGACGCATTCATGTCGTTGGCCTTCAGGATCGCATCTGCGAGGTTGTCGTTGATTGCCCATTCGAAATCTTCTGTAGTGACAGTGGGCTGTCGGGAAAATGTGTGAACCGCGAATCGATTGCGGGTTTCGTTCTCGTCAAAAAGGAAGAAAGTCATGGTCGGGAGGACTTCATCTAACTTAAGAACCTTGCGCCTCTGGATTGCCTCGAAGACATAGTTAAATTGCTTGCGGTTCTCCGGTAGGCTTAGATATGGCATGCAGCATATAGCCTCGTAGAGAGCAATCAACAATTCCTCCTTATCCTCCTTAAGAAATGTGCTTTGACCGGCTACGCCATTGTGAGAGTCGATGAACTCGGCCGCACCTTGAAGGCCTTCGCTAATTCGGCTGAAATCAAACTGATTCAATCGATCCTCCATTTGAGTTACGACGGAGTCATCATATACCCTACTCGATGCATTAGTATTGACCAGAGAAAATGGGATAAATGATCTTACTGGGCAATATCCTTAAGAAAAGCCCTACGTCCCTTGTGCCAATTCCGCACGCAAGTCGCGCAACACTTAAGGAAGACGGTAACCCGATATCCAAACTCATAAGCCAATTTCCCAGCTGTTTCTTTTTCGAGGCCCAATACTAAGGAACAGAGGTATGTCTGAGTTAATCTATCTTTGCCTTGTTGGATCCTCTCTTCTTTTTGGGCGAGGGTGATTTTGCTAGGGGCATCCGGATCGTCGTAGAGTTCGTCATCGTCTTCGGAGATTCTTGGGCAACATAAATGTGTTTCATTAGGGAATTCGCTGAGCTGAGCGAAGGCGCCCTCGAGTATTTGCTGGACTTCCATGATGGTTGGAATTGGGCATGTCGTGATTAAGGAACGAAGGGTTGGTCGTGAATTCTCGATTACTCGTATGTAAGGACTTGTTATCGATAATCAGGCGTGAAAGATTCGGTGCACACTGTCTAATCGGCAGGACTATATGTAGGTTAGAATAGGAGGGAAGAAGGATCACAGATTACGTTTGTGAAGATGATTAAGGGAAGAATAGAAAGAGGCGCTGAAGATGGTAGATGCTCGGCCGTGCAGATAGCCATAGACACGCGCAAACATGAGTTGAAGCAAATAACATGAATAGGAAGATGATAAGTGTTAAATGACAGCGTTAAAAGTCTCACGTCGTGAAGGACGTGGAAGGGAGATATACTCAAGTCGGAAGGAAAGTCGAAAGTGAACTCGGCGCGTTAACTTTCGCTGGAGACGTGCCAGAGGATGATCTGTCTTATCGATAAGCACAATAGCTTTAATTGTTGCCGTAATAGGATAAGATTGATGACAAGGAGCCTGCTCTCACCCCTAGGAAAGTAACCTAACGCCCTAGAACGAGCTTTAAAAAAAGCTCTAAGTAGAGCGCCAGATATCCCTAGGAATCAGCCCTAGGGGTCGAGTACAGGGTGGATAGAGGGGTAGAAATAAATGATTAGGAGGTGCGGGTAGGAGGAATAGAAGAACTCAACCACAACATCATTTGGTTGGAATACGGAATTGGATGGGAGAAAGAAGATTTTATTTCCTCTCTAAAAAAATGATGTACAAGGGTAAAAGTAGAAGGTCAGAGGTCAATGCATCTTCCTAGGCAGCTAGGTAGAAGGTACCTCACGCGCGCATCGCCAATGTAGGGAAGTAGATTGCCAGTTTCGCGATACTCACCCGCCTCTTTAGATTAGGGTACCTACCTAGGCATACACGCATACAGGCGAGTACATGTACCGACCCAATCTGCGGAAGGGGCACGCAGGTACGGAATAGCAATTGAAGGAACACCTATAAAGACGACGTGATCACTTTGGCATTAGTTAAACATCATAACTCGAGGTGAGAAGAACAATGAATAAAGTGTGCAAATGCTAATGAATTAAAGCAAAACATAGAGCCCTAGAGGTATCATTTACCTAAACAGTCGGGGATACATCAGAGTATTAGTTACATTAAGCTGTGATCAATCCGGTTTGGTCAACATTCTGCTCTAGACATTGCTCTTGATCTTGCTCCTCCTTCACATCCTTCGACTTCGGCGATGCCTTTGACTGTTTCTTGTCGAAGCGGTGAAGAAGCTTCTCTAAAGGACACTCCGAGAATTTTGCCCAGTCGCTGGTACCTTCACTGGTGTTTGCCGCGCACTTCTTACACGTTTGCCCATGACGAATAAAAAGTTGATGGAGCCCATACTTAAAGCGATCTGGACATCGAACTTCGAGATGGTGGAAAACATTGTCCGCGCTTGCTTTCTGCGGAGCCCATCCTAGCCATCGAGAGAATCGGTGGACATGCGTATCGACAGCAAAACAAGGCTTCTGCAAGCAAAAGAGAGTGACACAGGCTGATGTTTTGATGCCAATCCCAGGATACTTCGTGAATTGTGTCATAGCTTCATCTTTTGATAAGCCGTGGAGGTGGTCGAGCGAAAGGATATTCTGTTCCGTCTTCTGTATTTCGAAATCTTTCTGGCCTTGCGTCTTCTCCGCTGCGCCGACAACGTTCGCCACCCTGCCAGTTTTTCTCTCTTCAAGGTAAGCTTCACGCCTTTCAAGGTTTTCTTGGTACACCATATCGAGGATACCCTTGATATACTTGGCCTTGATATTTGCCAAACCACCTTGGTGGATTGTGGCAACCACATCTTCCAGAGGGGCTAACCTAACGTTGTTCCAATTCACGCTCCCCTGTCCCACACCCTCATCCAGGGTACCATACTTCGCAACCAAGCTATTCAACATCCTATTTGCGCCCTCAAAGGTCACCGCACCACTTAGAAGTGTCCTCATCAACGCATCGAGGACAGAAGGAACTTCTCCACATCCTGTAACCTCAAGTGACGGGGCAGGGATAACATCAGGTGCCTGAGCTTGCACGTCACCATGCATCTCACTGAGCAAGTTGAATACTTCCTCACACTGCTTAGCGCTTGGTGCTAGAAATTCTGGAAAGGGAGTTACGCCTGGCATTAAGCCCTTTTTGTGAGTCTTCTTCGTTTTCTTTGGGCTGGGCTCAGGAGTTTGATCATCGTGAGTTTGATCATCTTCTTGAAAAGTGGCATTTGTTTGGCGCTTTCGCTTCGTTGGTGAAGCTTTGTCGCTTAGCACATCGATACTCTGTGCCTCCACCAAAATAGGCGTTGTCGGATTTAACTTGGGCTTTCGCGGGCGCAATTGCCGGCCACTATTCTGCACAATGTCTATTTCAATGTTGGTTGGCTTAGATTGCTCTTGAGTAGCCTCGACTTTAAATTGGAGGTCTGCATTGGTTTCCGAGGCCCTATCCGAACGAACCGAGTTAGGAACTTTGATTTTGATAATTGTCTTGGATCTGGTTCTTTGCGCTGGAACATCCTCAGCGACATTGAGATGTACTGCCTGGATCCCAGCTAGGATATTCTGGGCAGGCTTGGTGATTTCTCCTTGGCCGTCATGAGTAGGTGCGAGGCCGGCGATTGCGGAAGGTTCGACAATGGGGACGGCATCGACGACGAACGGCGATTCCACGGCAGGAAGTGCTTGGTTTGCTGTAGACCTTTTAAGAACACCCATATTATGTGGTAATGCATCCCAACCGCCTTTCACAGGCACGGCCCGTGTCTTGCGCTTACTTTTACCCATTTCTTGATTGTGGCTAAGGATCTAGTTTGGGACATGATATTTCAAAGAGTCTTAAATTAACTCAATTCAAGAAGATGTGCAGGGGTTGGCTAAAGAAGTAGCAGAAAGGGAATTGAGACGTTGTATAGAAGTGAGTGAAATACAGGAACGTTGATTATAGTGAGGAATTTGTGGGCGTAGTAACTTGAACGTAGATAGACTGTAGAATAGACCGTTAGGGCGTTACGCATGAACCTTATTCGACTATGTTGGTGACTTCGATCTGATTAGAAGACTGAGAGATTGGATTGATTGAGGTTGGCTAGAACAACATCAAATTGACAAATTTTGGAGTGAACATATGTGTAGATGGGATGTTGAAGATTTAAACAGGGGAGAGAATAGAAATTGGCTGGATGAGAAGTTCCAATCACATTGGGAGACAACGACTTTTTGAAGAAAGTCGTACTTGCTCATTCAAGATGGTCATGTCCGGTTGAAGGAAACGACGACCATAAAGTTATGGGGAATCACGATTGAGTGAGGGAAGTAGCAATCTGGGAAAGGAAACAACGACTAGCTCAGGGAATGGCTAACAAGATAAACTTCAATGACGACAGTTCGTTCCTATTCGGGTACTTGACGTAATTAGAATAAATAATTGGTTCGAACCTATATAAAGTAGCAATAAAATCATTGATTCATCTTGGATATTGAGAGGCTTGCCTCACATAATAACCTAGAGGTAAATAGATATATCTCAATACGATATATAGGAATATTATATGGTTACAGCTGCATTTAATTTAAGAGTGTATTAACTAAGCAAAGTCACTTCAATTAAATATAGGAAGAAGTAGAGTATTAGTAGCATATATATATACCTAAGTAGTCTTATTACGTTAAAGTAGTTTCGTAGTTTCGATACTAAGTTAGCGATGTAGAAATAGAAAATCATTCAAATGCGCTGTATGCGGAATTGGCAGAAGATGCGGCATGTTGATAATGCATAGATGGATTTGTGTTGAGTTGGCCCGAACGGTAGTTGGGTATACTTACGAATGACTTCATGTTAGCAAACATATTTAAGCGACTACTTGCATCTGCCTGGGGTGCCACCCATATAAGATGTATCAGGTACCCACCTGGGCAGTCAGTGCAATACTATCTGAACTTGAAGAGTCGGGTAACGTCTTTTGAAATATCGATTTGACCTTGAACTCTAGGCGCCAAGGAGGCTTCGAAACTCCAAATCTCTTCCTTTACCCGTTCTTAAGACGCATTCTCATTGCGCTCAAGTCTACGTCCGTGTTGTCCGTCATAGAATGTTGTCGGGGATAAATCATCTCCAAATCAAGCGGGACGATGTTTGAAATAGTCGTTAATTACTATCTCAAATTTGCTGCAGTATCTGCTCTAACGCCTGTGGTGGAGCAAAAATGTAGCAGCGTGTTTCTCCAAGGGAGATAGCATATATAGTGCTTGGCCATGGAGCACTGTATATAGATATATGGGAGGTAGTTAATGATTCATAGCTCTTTCATCCACCTAGGCCGTCTATATTGAGCTGTTTAACGTATCTCCATTCGGAGGGTGGGGCGTTAACGTCGTTCCGGTTCGGTAGCCATGTTATGAAGGCTGATATCATCCCGAACCAAAGGAGAAATAGCACCATTTCTCATCATTCCCGATGAAGCCTTTTCGGCTTCAAGTGCTGTGCCATTTGATGCGGATCCGTTTGCCCCGGTCTGACCACCACCCACAACTATGGTTGGGCCACTACTGGAGACTGTTGCGTGTGTAGCATGTTTCCGCTTTGTACCACGTAGTTGGTTTAGGTGGTCGAAATACCCCTCCGGGACTGGCGTGACGTACTTGCCACAGAACACACCTACTTCAAACTGGGTCGGACCGTCAGGCGGCGCAAGTTCTGCGCATGCTGCCTTGAGATCGTCAAGATCTTGGTAGATCACCTCCTCTGCATCAATGCCTGTAAAGTCTAGGTCAGATACTGTTTATGGATAGGCGCATGGTTTCCATTTCATTAATTCGAAATCAAGGTAGGGCGTAAAGCAGGGCAACTCACTCTTGGCAATTGCAAAACGATCTTTGCCGGATGCGATTAATTCCGTTGGACTAGCTAAGTCAACTGTAGAAAACTTAGTCAGCAAATTTTTCGTAGATGGGCAATCTTATTCAAATGAACAAGCCATGTGCTTTGATTAATAGATAAAATTGACACAAGCTGGGAAAATGCGGGCGCCACTTACTGCCGTAAATGTGTGGTGCGGTAATAGGCGGAGCACAGCTAGCGAATATCACCTTTCGCGCGCCGGCCTCACGCGCCATGGCTACTATTTCTTTGGAGGTGGTACCCCTCACGATAGAGTCATCGACGAGTAGGACACACCTTCCTTCGAATTCAGTCTGAATGGCACTGAGCTTTCTCCTAACACCCTTTTGCCGAGCCCCTTGCTGTGGCATACTGCGAAATGTCAAATTAGTAACCACCTTCACAAAAACTCATCGGAGTCACGGAAATTGAGAGGTAACGAACATGAAGGTCCTAAACACGTATCTGTTCTTGACAAATCCTTGGCAGTATGGAAGACCCAATCTTTCAGAAACGCTCGCAGCTGACGTGTTCGAGGTCTCGGGGATGGGAATAACGGCGTCGATATCCTTGATTGCTTCATCTCCGAGCAGTTCTCGTATTTTATCGGCTAATTTGTAGCCCATCCTTTGTCGAGAGGCATGGACACTAATGCCATCGATGACTATCAATCTCATATTAGAAACTGTTGAATGCGGGCGGAGGATGGTGAAGCACTTACCGGTATCAGGCCTAGCAAAGTATACCTAGAACGTCGGTGATTAGCAAAATTCCAAATAGCAGAACCTATAATATTTTCTTAGTGCGTCACAATGACGCCCCAAGCATTGGCTTACATATTCGAATATGTCAGGCGAGTAAGTCTTTGCCTTTTGAACCTGGCGGAAAACGGGTGCGCGACCCTTCTGAATGAAGACAGCCTGGCCGGGTAGGATATCCCTAATATTTCGGAAGCCTAGCTGCCGTAGGGCAATAGATTCAGACGCAAGCATGTAATCTTTCGTGCCAGGGAGGGTATCCGAATCTCTCTCCCCAAGCACTAGAGGCCGAATTCCGTAGGAATCTCTGAACCCCAAAACACCGAAACCAGCAATCATTGCAGTGCAAGCCCATCCGCCCTAATTTATGCCGTTAGCAAGAATTGCATCATCACCTAAGTAGGTAGAACAAACCGAACAACGCTCGTACATACGGCCCAACGCATCTGCGATATATCAGTTTCTCGATCAATGATCACGGACTGGTTATCTTCTTGAAACCCGAAGGTAGTGGGCACGAAGATGAAGGGGGCTTACTGAATATATCATCGGTGTTAACTCTAGCCTTCCCAGTTTCGTTGAGTTCGTTCGCGAATATGTTTAGCATACTAAGTAACACTTAGCTAAATTATCCCTCCTGTTGCACGTGGAAATCATCTCAACTTACAGTTCGCTATCACTGTCTGTATTTATATGTCTGTGGGCGACTGTGTCGAGATGCTCGCGTAACTCAGGAGCGTTGATGAGATTGCCGTTATGAGCGAACTGCAGCATTTGTGATTAGTAATCAATTTCCTTTAAGATACTAATCGTTGAGGATACACAAGCAAAATTAATAGAAACTCCAGAGGAGCGCACGTTCGCCGGACATATCTGCTAGAGCGTGTGCAATACTGAACATTATCCATGAGGTAAATATTGCTCAACATGCCCTCAGTCAAAAAGGGTATACTCTAGGGCGATAGAGAACGAGGATAGAAACAACTTACACAGATACCATAGGGACTGTTTACGTAAAACCTGTTGTGTATCAACACCCGCAAAGCAGTGTAACGTTATGAGAATACCCTATTGGGAAGGAATATATGAGTAATGGAATAAAGAGCGCCATAACGTACTACTAACACGTTAGCTATTATAGGATCCCAATTGCTTATGAAGTTATAAGAAGGAGTGGAGAATCCTATCTAGGATGTTTTAAACTTACCGGTTGTGATTCAGCATTCGACGATGTACCCGCAGTCGGGTATCGAAGATCTGGCATATCGTATATTAGCAGGCAAGAAAGAGGGGTGTCAAGGCGCAATGAACTGAATATTGAAGAACCTACGCCCAATTCCCATTGATCCTGGTAGATCTTGAACCCTCATGCCATCCATAAATACCTTGGCAGCCATTCCATTGCCCTGAAGATGAGGTTAGAAGCAGGCTTGATTTTAAAGTGGATGTATAAGCTTACTTTGCATTGGTAGATGCGCCCACCAGCGGCACAAGTTGCAATACCGCAAGCTAGTGGATGTTAGCTTATTTTGGTCTAATATTTCCTCCTCAATCGTATTGTAATGTAAGGCCGGTAATATATATGGCTGTTTTCAAGAGTATGCGCACTTTAGGGCCGTGCTGAGGGGTGTGTGTGCGAAAGTCACTAACCATCTTGTCCTCTGTGTTGAAGGAAGTATAGGGCTTCGTGGAGCGCGACGGCGGCTTTACAAGGAGCCTCGGGATCGTCACCAACATGGCCTAGAATTAGGCCAATTACACCGCACATATTGAACTAGTCAGTCGGGTCCGTAATCCTTATATCTCGTTAGCAGGACTGGAACAATAACGACACTTTTTAATATCTCGCAGGGGACAGCACAACGGTTGTTAAAGGGAAGAGGAGGGCGCACAACCACCTAGGTATGTTGCACATGAACCACATCCAAGTTTCAAGAATCGATAACGGATAGAACGTTGTTGTGCTGTCCTCCAAAAGATACGTATGATAATCAGAGAAGAAGAGATATTGGGATATTATTCAGAGTGGATGTATCCGCAGCATTTTGCTAGGCAGTCGAACATTTATAAAAAGAAAGAACTCATCACAACAATAAGAACCGCGGCGATTTCCAGGCACGATGGTTTGCCTTATTAGGTCGACGTTGCTTCCACACTTATTCCCTTTTCTTCTGCAGCTAAGTAGAACCTTGAAGTGGGATATAAGCGGGAAGCAACTTTTGTCAAGCCTTCCTGGCAGATCATCGTCCCTTTTGCGCCAATCATAATGACGATAGAACCAATCCCAACGTACCTTTTATAGCAGCTTTGGATTCGTGGAGTAAGGGAGCTAGGTAATGGGATGCAGTCGAGTCGGATCGAGTTCGATCGATCGCGGGGCAATGGAACGTAGTTAATGAAATCTGGTACTCGTTCCTCGAATTTGCGCGATTACTAGTAGGCAAGTAATACGGGAAGTAGTCTGAGTGGGAGTTTGGACGGAATACGACGTAATGATCAGGCGGTTGGATAAGATCAGGAACTAGATCGTCTATGGGAACATTCGTTCTTGGAAATGAGTGCAGAAGCACTGGCGCTACATGAAGAAGCGCGCGCAATCGGCATCGTGATCAAAATCTATTAATTTTTTTTTTCTTTCCTATGGAGAGAAATCGAAATATTTTGCGACCAATTGTTGGAGTAAAGTGGAGGAGGGACTTAGCGCCCTTGAATTTGATTGGACGAGACGGTTCTTGGTTTTTTCCGTTTGTGCTGCAAAGTGCTGCAAGTCCTGTAAAAGTGCAGGTCCGGGCTACTGGGATCCCGGATAACCCCCGCCGCAACTTTGGATCTTGGCCGGGGCTGCCGAGTGGATATCTGGATGCATTGACCCTATTGTGCCACAATGCCATAATCTGCACGCAATGCGGTTACACGCACCAACACGTGGCTACCATTTTTAATCATGAACGAGGTAGTAGAATACCATGTATCTAAAGTGGTAGATCTTCATTCAAAAAGGCATATACTTGTATACATATACGTAAATAGAATATTAATAAGTACCTAAGTACTGTCAATGGTGGGGTAAGATGGATTTCTATTTTCGTACTAGCGCAGGGTCCTACTTTAATAGAGTACATAGATACGTACCCCCTTAGGTAATGAAGCGAATAAGCATGAGCTAATGTGTGGTAAGCAGTTTTCGAAAGTTCAAATCTTGAAAATCCCCATTTCATGAGAAAGAGATGGCAAATTTAAGCCTCCAGTCTGATGCAAGTACTAATCTTAGTCGGCCGAAATTAGGTGGTCTTTCTAAATAGTTTAGAACTATTACCCCTGGAAATTCTTATAAGTCAGATTCTTTGCAACCATCACCAAATGCTTTGTAATTCAAATTCCAGGCCAATTTGCCTGCTTCGTTTCATTCTAGAAATATGTTTGAAGTAGTATAACTGCCCAAGTATAAAATATTTCATTTCGATTATGATTTCAACTTCAAATTCAACATTAATCCATTGCACTTAACTTCATCAACTAAGAAATCATACTGAAATCATACTGAAATCGACACATCTTGAAAAATACATACTAGATTTGACATTCCAGGATTATCAGTCCATGAACACTTTTAAAAGCGCCACGACCAAAATGCTCTCTCACGCCAAAATCACACTTCATCGTTCGGCCGCGCGCGGACACTCAGATCATGGATGGCTCAACACTTACCACAGTTTTTCGTTCGCTGACTGGTATGACCCGAGTTTTACACATTTCGGTTCGTTGAGGGTCTTGAACGAAGATCGGGTCAAGGCCAATTCTGGGTTTCCAACACACCCTCATCGCGATTTTGAGATATTTAGTTATATCATTTCCGGGGAGCTGACCCACCGAGATAGCATGCTTCGCAAGGGTGCTGAGGGTGAGCAGTCGGATAAGTTTTATCGGATGCGCCGAGGGGGTGTCCAGTTCACCACCGGCGGTACGGGCATTGCGCATTCCGAGCAAAATGAACACGCAAGGGATACGGTTCATTTTCTCCAGATTTGGGCCATCCCGTGGAAGCGTGGACTCACTCCGAGATACCACACCCGTCACTTTGATGATGAGGAGAAACGCAAGGGTTTTGTGCCGATTCTAAGCCCGCTTAAGGGCGGCCCAGACGCCACATTTGAGCAGGAAAAAATCGCTGAGCCGACAATTGAAGGATCTATACCGATACATGCCGATTTTGTCATGGGAGCCGGTATAATCCCTCCGCAAGGAAAATTCGATTGGGCTGTTGGGGCTAAGGTGACAGAAAATAGTAAAAGAAAGGTGTACGTTCATCTTCCGATGACGAAGCAGGGACAAGCCAAGATTCGGATAGATGGCCGAGATGAGGTATTGAATGAGGGTGACGGCGTATTTGTGGATAATGTTAACAGCGGCGATAAATTAGCAGTGGAGAATGTTGGTGAGGCCGAAGCGGAGGTTGTGGTTCTTGATACAGCATAGTCAACATACGTCTCTTATATAACTGTTAAATCAATCGTACACCCTTATTCCGATGGAAGCAAAGGAGCGGATTCATCATCGGTTGTATGTCCCACCGATTTCAACTTTCTCGATTCCCAACATAAGATTCCCTGTACGAGAGCAAAGATCAAGTTATCAACGGCAGCCCAGCCAACAACCTGATACCATGCGGTAAAGCGAACACCCCAAGGCAAAGGGATGCGCACGATCCAAAGGAAAGCCACTATCGTAAATATGGTGGTTTGAGCGACAAGTCCGGTGGGGCTCAATGCGCCAATCTCCTGGTATAACAGCAACTCCTTCCGTTGAGGAAATAGGGAGGCGATGGCGAGAGCAGTAATTACGGGGTTTATAAAGACGCTATGGATGTAGAAAAACACGACAGAGTACCACCAACTCTCATTAAAAGAGGATCCAGATGAGGGAGGTATTAGGGTAGACTCGATTATGACTGGTACTCCCGAGATAAGGAAGTAGGCGATATAGACAACTATCATCCAGTATTTGTTGGTGCGCGTCAACGATGAGTAGCGGAGGTAAAGTCCAAACCTTGCAGAAGAATACCTAATCAGCAGTAGACTACTTCTCTTGAGAACGTATATTCACTTACAGTATCAATTGACAGACCCAGACAGTGCTAAACTGAGCTAAGTTGAGCCAATCACCAGCCACCGGAGGAGTGTGCACGATATTGTCCATGATGGCATCATTAACTATGATAAAATGCAAGCTAATGGTAAGCTGCTCCGTAGCCACGATGAAGTTGAAAAGCACATAGTAAGGCGAAATTCTAGAGCAGTCGCCGCGGGATAAGATTCGACTATATTGAGGGATGAAAGAGGCTACGCTCAAGAATAGTAAGATACTACAATGTTGTTAGTAGTAGACGATCATATCGAGAGATGGGAACGCGAACCTTGAGATAACCAACAACAGTATACCCATAATTAGCTTCGAATCTATCTATTCCTAATAAAATGGTATAAAATAAAATAAGATGATCAAGATATCATCAAGTGTAATCGCGGGAATTTCAAATGTAAATGGGCTTTAAGTAGGTACTATGTAGGTAGTCAGCTACTTCATATATGATTTGTTAGGTTGTTGTAAGGATTAGCGGTTGCCTAACTACCCCGCTCATTCCTTAGGCGACTCTTCAAGCCATCACCATCTTAGAATATTACAACCTAGCTAGGTAGTCGGTGAGGTATATTTTTAGGGGTTGTCCATCCATATGCCCGTATTCAGTATGGACTGATGACCGTTCAATATATAGGCACATCAAATAAAGTCATGAGATACACAGTTGGATGCTATGCAAGCCAGTGAGTTTGTTGCACATTTCCGTCATTGGTGTGCCGCCACTGCTTTTTGCGCCTTGAAGGATCCCGCACTTGGGGGCAGAGCCAACTATGGCTGCGCGCCTGAGGTCTTGCGCACGGGCAACAATTGTTTCCTGGGATCAATCCGACTCTAAATCCCCAGAATAAAACCCCTCGTTTACGCTCTTTTCTTTTTATAAAAATCCTGTTTATTTTTATTATTGGCTATTTCCCACGAGTCCAGTATATAATCGACGAAAATGAACCATTGGCCTTTGTTTCGGGACGAAAGTGCTCAACGATGGCCAGCAGCATTTGACCCCGCTCCAACAATGGGATCTGGACATTGGAAACCCGCTACACGGACGGCGTCAGGAACCAAAAGAACCCACTAGATTTGGATCCTTTAGCTATAATGGTTAGAGATACAGCCTACAGTGAGTTTACTCAAAGCCCCGTGGCGATGAACTCTAGCTCCAATATTCTCAAATGACTTTAATATCATCAATATTTAATTGTGAGGGAAAAGTTGATAGATCGTTGTAGGTTTAGTAAAATTCTGCCGCAATCGTCTGTACACGAGCAAATTGATACCCTCCTACCAAAAGCGGACCATTAGTTTTCCATTTGAAATAAACTATGCAAAAGTATCCCAACCAGTACCTCCTTATATTCCCTGGAAGCAACATATGGAAGAGAAACGAGCCTATCCCCTGGATTCGGATATACCATGGAACTTGCCCTAACGAATCTTGTCTAATAACGATCAAGCCCTATCCGTGGATAAATCGAGCATTCCATTTCAGCAGCCCTCAGCAAGAAGCGCCTTAATTGCTAGCACCGGTACAACATACCCGCAGGGCGAGTCCGAAGTCCTTATTGGTCCGATTAACAGTAGCGGCGACGAAATTCGTAACGAGGAAAGAAAAACTTCCATGCGATACGCCTCAAGAAACCGCCCTAGGCGCCAGGTCATCGCCATTCCACAAAGCGAAGGCTGCTATCGTCACGGTTTCCTTTCGGTGCACCGAATGAAGTACGCCCTCGTCGGATATGCGCTACTCGCGGAAAATCTTTAAATGCTGACTATAGAGTAGGGAGCATCTTTTCAGGGCACATAAGATACCACCATGTTGCCCTCGTTGCGATATGGAATTAGGTCCCAATATGTCCTTAGAGTCGCATACGAGGCAAGATCCACCGTACGGGATCAGAGCAAAAAAGCAAAGGGAGGGTATTAGTCCCGCTATCGAGGAATTGCTTCGAGGTCGGAAGGAGTTTACGAGGAAGACCGAGGAAGAGAAGTGGAGACATATATACGGCGTACTGTTTCTAGCCGATAGTCCTATGAACATACCTTCTCCGTGTGAGTCCAATTCATAAATGTGTGAATGTATAGTCTAAACGGAAAGTAGATCTTGTAGAGCCGAGCCTCATCGAGGAATCTCCAGGTCCTATATTTACAGAAGCGACTTACGAGAATTTTCTGCAGATGGAACTCTTCCCCCGATTCTATCGGGCACTAGAAGGCAAAATCGATGAGGCATTGGATCTACCGAAGGGAAAATTTGGAGATATTTTGAAGGGACAATTGCAGAGTTCCTTCCATAACACCCCAGCTAGGCTCTATCTATACCGAGTTTAAGGCTTCTATAGGGGAAGATAGCGGGCAGCAGCGCAACGAGCCAAGATAGAGAGGATGTTTCGAGAACCCAATTCCCTGAACCGGAGTTATTTATGCCGGACTTTTTGTCTTTATCACCCTTTCCGGAGCCTTGGTCGACCTTAGGAATATATTATTGCGCGAGGGGGTTGAGTTCTCCGGCACCGCAAATCCACGGCGAAATAGCCGACCATAAACTTTAGTAGACGGACTTGTGGTTAGAGCTTACGACCGTTAATCCCCCAACGGCCATCGCCAATTGGTGCAAAGATCCTATTCATCATCTGATATTCATGCCTAGGTACCTGGGTGGGTATACCACAAAGTAAGACTATCACACTCGCTATGGATTTCGCTTTAGCACATAGGATAGGAGCTAACAAGTTATACTTCATACCTAGGCATACAGCGGAACTGGCCGAGTTGGGGTGCAGTTTGCGATCCGATATATGGATGGATTACCGGGGTACCCATATACCTATATTGTCGTCGCATTAAGACAAAATGATGTAACGTATCTTCGAGTCGGACTTATTACATAATTAGCGACGCGCGACGTCAATTTTGGGCGCTGGTTGCCTAAATACAGTGGTGAGGGCTTCCTATTAGGCGATATGACGACCGTCCAATTCTATACCCCTTTCGCGGGGGTTATGATGGCTCCAGAATCCGATACAATAAATCGGCTCTATACCTCCTAAAACCCGAGATCTAGTCTGGAAAACCGCTCACTTTCGTCAATCATGAATCTAGCCCAGCCAAATACACTAGGCGTCTAGGTGATTTGCGGAGGAAACGTCATCCCAGAGTGATCAACAATTTAGAAAATTGAACTTTTCTTACTATACAGATTAGCATCGCGAGCAGACTATTAAATATGCCGCGTCACTGTTGATCTGTTGTGTAGGACCTTTCCATTTCCATGATTTTGGCCGACATCTGTGGAGATTTTGGGCGCTTCCAGCTAGCGAAGTGCGAGCTAGAGAGATCCGGTCCTACTTAGCACACGCCCTACGGCGACGGTCTATTCAGGGGAAATGAAAAGCGCTTCGCCGGGTGATGATCTACTTCGAAAGCGAAGGGACACATTACAATGATGGTATCGAGGGTATTTATAAGGGTGTTGAGTACCAAACCAGCCCAGATACTTCATCTTCCTAGTTGGACTATATTGTATCGCTGACAGCCCTATGCATCATATGTTGTTGTTGTTGTTGTTGTTGACGATGATGATCTTTTCCTCTTCGCAAATTTTCTCCATTAAACAAACTCTTTCTAAGCGAGCCTCAGATGGTCCGACGGAAAGGTGACCCCCTTGCTCTAGATCTTAATCAATCATCGCCTAGCGTCTTTCGTGCAGCCTATGAGAATCTCGCTGTGCCGTATGAATGGCATCAATAGCTCGGCCCTCGTAGCCGACCAATCGCTACCCCTTGTCGGCGCCCCTCTACTATGCCTTAGGGCTGGTTCTAGGCCGAACGCTATACTTGTTCCTGAATGTCAGCTACCTTCCCAAATTCGATGGCACATGTTCTTTGTGCGTCCCGCATAATGGGCGTTAGTTTGGCGATGACTCTTCGGCCTACCACGATAGACTGCTTCGGCACGCAGTCCCGTTTGGGATGGCCCAGCCTCAATTTGACCGACTTAGGAAATTAGGTAAGGAGTAGTTGGTGCTGTGGACGTAGGCATTTTCCGATCGTCGAATTATAGTCCCGCAATCTAGGACTTCACCTGCTTTAGCGTACGGCTGTCACTATGAAGGACGGTTAACCCCTAACCAGGGCGGGAATGGCTGTTGGTGTGAGTGTTTTTCTACTCATACTCGGGTTTCCCTCTTTTCTTTCTTTCTTCTTCCCTCTCTCATCACCTGTTGAGTCGACAATAATCGGCGTACTAGCCAGCCGTTGCAGACATCTTGTTTGCGTCCTTTCGTTGAGTATCTTGACGATCACGTTCATTACGGCCTAGGCCACTTTACGATCTTTACGTATCACATAATCCCCTAATAGGCTAGCAAAGATGCAGCTGAAGCACTCAGTTTTGGTGGCTGCTGCCGTCTCGGCGTCTACCGTTGCTGCTACAACTTACACAAAAGACTACAAGCTTAACGCTTACTGGGTATGACAATTCATTAGAAGTTGTTTTATCATGTGCTAACTTACGTGTATAGGGACAATCAGGCCCTGACACTGACTTCCTCGGTGACCACTGTGAAAATGATAACATTGACTATGTTACTGTTGGCTTCGTGAACAATTCCCCTGAGAATGGAAACGGCACAGGTTATCCGGGTACAAACTTCGCTGCCCATTGCGCAGCAGAGGTCTACTCAAACAACAACCGTAAATCTAAGCTCCTCAGCTCGTGCTCTTACATCAAGGACGACATCCAAAAGTGCCAGAGGCTGGGTAAGAAGGTGTTGTTGTCCGTCGGAGGAGAATTCTCGGCCACTAGCAACTACACACTTTCCACTGTCCAGGCTGGTATCGATTTCGCCGAATTCCTCTACCAGGCCTTTGGTCCCTACAAGAGCAGCTACCACGGTCCCCGACCTTTCGACCCTAGTTCCACGAGCCACACAACCATCGATGGTTTCGACTTTGATATCGAAACGAAGTTTGGTAAGGTTTACCTCTTCATATCATCTTATTCCAGACCATGCATTGCTAACTCAAGCCTGAAGCTAACCAACAGCCATACGTCAACATGGTCAACCATCTTCGCACACTCATCCAGAATGACCGCAAGAGCATCATTCTTACCGCCGCTCCCCAATGCCCGCAGTCTGACCAGTACTTCCAAATGAAGACTATCCTCCAACAGGCTAAGTTCGATAAGGTAATTTTAAATTTTATTTGAGTCCCATCGTTAGCTGTATAGCGATGCCAACCCCTATATGTGGATTGAGAATGGTTTAACTAATCATGGGTGAACTTTAGATCTGGGTTCAATTCTACAACAACCCATCTTGCGAAGCTGCCGGTACCGGATTCAACTACAACGATTGGTCGGACTTTATCGATGGTGGCGTCAACAGCGCTGCCGAGTTGTACATCGGACTTCCCGGCAGCCTCGAGGCCGTCGGTCTGCTCGGAAGCGGTTACATTTCTCCCAGTGCAGCCAAGTCTCTCATCTGCTCGTACAAGAACAAGAAGCATTTCGGTGGTGCTATGCTGTGGGACGCTTACTATGCTTCCGAGAACCAGAACCTGGCAGGAAAGAAGTACTCCGACTCAATTGCCGAGGCCCTGAAATGTGGTGGCTGCTCTGGCGATGTCTGCGCTCCTCCTACCTCGACCAGCTCGGTTGTGACCTCGACAAGCACGACCTCGTCTTCCACCAGCAGCACTATTAGCACCACATCCACCAGCTCCTCCACTTCTTCAACTGTCAGCACCACGTCAACTTCAAGCTCTGCCTCAAGCACTGTCACGAGCACTAGCAGCAGCGCTTCGACTTCCAGCTACGTTGCTACTACTTCAAGCAGCACCTCTAGCTCCAGCTCCAGCTCTGCTGCCACCTCAAGCAGCGCCTCGACTTCAAGCTCCGCTGACCCTTCGAACAGCAGCAACACTGTGACTTCAGCTTCGTCTTCTTACATTGCTACCTCCTCCAGCAGCTCTTTCGACCCCAACGAGACCTGCACTGACAGCACCACGAGCTCTGTTGCTACTTCGACCTCCAGCGCTTCTGCGACCACCACGCAATCTTCTTCCAGCTCGGTGTCCACCAGCAGCAGCACTATCTCGTCTCTCACCACCACCAGCTCTTCTTACAGCGCCTCGACCACTGCCTCAAGCACCTCTTCGGAAGAGGACGACTGCCCTCCCGATGAGACCTCCAGCTCATCCACCCAGTCGGCTACCCTAAGCGTCTCTGCCACGACCACTGCGTCGCAGAGCAACTACCCGACCATCACTGGCACCAGCAGCAGCTACCCCACCGCCAGTGTTTCATCAAGCAGTTCTTCCGCCAGCGTCACTTCGCTATCGTACCCCGTCAACAACTCTTCTACGACGTCGTACACGACCAGCACCGTGTACACCACAAGCGTATACACCGTAACATCCTGCGCCGCCAGCGTAACCGACTGCCCGGCCCGCGGCTCCGTGGTCACCAAGACCATCGCTCTGTACACCACCGTGTGCCCCGTCACCGCGACGCAAACCGGTGTCCAGACCCAGGCTTACCAGACCCAGTCTCCTAAGCCAACTGGTGGTGCTGGTGTAACCACTACCAGCACTGTGTACAGCACTCGCGTCAGCACAATCACCAAGTGCCCAGCCAGCGTAACCAACTGCCCCGTCGGTTCCGTAACCAGCGAGACCGTGCCCGTTACCACCGTCGTCATCACCCACCCCGCAGTCTTCGAGAGCAACACATACCCCGCTGCTTCGCCAGTCCCAACCACCGCCACTTACCCGGCCGGCAGCAACGAGAACGGTTCTTCGCCGTCGAAGCCTGTCCAAATCGTCGCTGTATCCAGCTACCCCGTTGCTGGCGCCAGCAGCGCGTACATCGCGACTACGCTCACAACCGCTGCCATTTACCCCACAGGTGGCTACAGCAGCGGTGGTAACACCAACAGCACCGTGCCTACATACAGTGCCGGCACCGGCTACCCGGTCGCGCCCACCACCACATTGCCTGGCTACAGCGCCGTCGCTTGCAACGGAAACGACTGCACTGCCGCGTACCCCACGGCGTCCATCGTTACCGCTGGATCCGCTAAGACCGCTTCCCTCAGCCTTGGTCTCTTGGCTGTTGTTGCTTTCCTTTTGTAGATGGTGGAGTTGGGATAGATGGAGTGTTGCATTGAGATAGATGTGGTGAATGGGAGGAATAGGAGATTTTGATATATATAATGTATACATAACTGTTGAATTAGAGAGAATCGAGAGTTGATATATACCTTACTTAAAAAGTCTTGCCTTGTTATGGGTATGTGACAGTTGATGATGCTTTTGGCAAACGGATCCAATAGTCAGACTTAAGATAAAATAGACCTAGGAACAAACGTGCGTAATGGACGTCAACGACGCTGTATCTACTCAGATATCTATGCACACGAGGACTATCTGAGTGTGCGAAAAGGCTATCACGACCACGGGAGTTGGGTATTGGTATATTAAAAACGAACAGCAAAAAAGAAACATTGTAATTAAACCGAGTTATAACCTGAGAATGGGTGAAAAAAGCAAAAGATTAAATGCATCAGCCGCGAATCGAACGCGGGGCCCATCGATGGCAACGATGGATTTTACCACTAAACCACTGATGCCACACCAGCCTGTTGTAGGCGTTGTAGGCATTGAAGATGTCAGAAATATACGCAACATAGTATATATCGCTTAATCCATTGGCTTGTCCGCAGTCAACCGGCATTTTCCCGGCTTGGCGATTTCCCCATCATCTCCGGCGCGTCCTACCCCAGCCATCTTCATGTTCGTCTCATAACCACATCATCAATTGCTCATCAAGTATTCATCTAACTTCTCATCCGTGTTCCTACTACTTTTCTGCTATTGGTGTTCATTCATGCCACTGAATGTTTCGCTTACTCTAGGAGACAACCATGGCAAGAATCAATTGATTAGCACTCGATTGATCATATGCCTGACTGCAACTAATTCCTCGACTTGGTATCCTACTCTACATCCTTACACCCTCCTCACTACTCCTAGCCCACTTGACACCTCTCTGCTTGCCAACTAGACCATCAGTAACTCCCTTAATCTCGTTCTCGCACCACACGTTGTTTCCAGAGGCGTTCGCAAGCGCAAATCCGAACTTGGACAGAAACTCAGGATCCACACCTCCTACGGCGAGCGCAATGTCTTGACGCGATTCATCCCTCCAGTACAAGAAACTCCCACAATCAGTGCAAAACCCGCGTTGAAAACCAGGGGTTGCGTAGAAATTCTTTAGTGTCGTGGTCGACGTTAGGAATGTGAACCCACTGAGTGGTGCGGTATGCGCCACGAAAATCAAGGCTCCGGTGTTGCGCCTACATTGAGTGCATTGACAACTACCACTCTACGATTCGGGTTGTTAGTTGATGCAAGACGATATGCCATAAACCCTAACGGAATAGAATATCAACTATTCACTTACTGATTTTAAGAAATCATGGTCCTCTGGAAAGTTAGCCTGGTACCTGATCGCGCCGCAGAGACAACCGCCCGTGACAGTCTTCGGCTTCGGGAAGTCGGTGATAGAGGTTAATTCAGACATTTTATGTGGCTAATTCTTCAATCTCCCAGGAAGTAATACTGTTGATTTCTTTCTTGAATAATTATTTTAATAGTTATGTTTTGTTCCAACCAGTTCAATATTCAAATTGATAAGAGAAGCCTCTTATACCAAACCCCCGCTTGTCAAACGCGCCTTACGGTCCGCTCTGCCATGTTCAATGACGTAGGTGCGTACAGATATCCAAGGGAACCTATCTATCAATGATAAGGTCGAATCGAATATACGATTAAATATCCTTGAGCTATCTAATCTTTCATTCGCATCAAACATTCCCCAAGAATCGTTTGCGAGGAAGAGTGTTAACCCTTTGCCAAGACGAATGATTATGGAATACCGTACCATCAATCATATGGCGAGCGGGAAGTATAACCTCCCCTACACAGTGTGTAGCCATTTATCTTTTTATCACATTTTCAATAAATACAACATCATTAATACAGTCAGCCCAAGAATAGAGTCAGCTGAGTTAATAGGTTCATTTCGGTCATATGGCAGCTTTCAGCACTTCTCACCGAAATATTCTACGTAACCAACAAACTTCATACCGATCTACCGTAACACAAAGATGCTTACACTCTTCTTCAGTTCTGGGCGAAAACTGCCAACTCACCAGAAGTTCAAACGTGGTTATACAACCACGCAAAGCTGTGAAATGACGAGGCATTTCTATCAATCGCAATTAAACTACATAGCTACTACATATATACCTAGGTAGGTAGTTGTTATGAAATTCATAGTCAACGTGCTGATAAACTCTCAATATAGGAGCTGACAAACCGCCCATAAAACATAGTGACACTTTCAAGAAGTGATTATACAACAATTTACCTAATAGTATGACCCTATTGCGCGAGTTGCTATTCCATCGTGTGAGCTTACAGATGCTCCTCGTACATTATGCTCTTTGAGCTTCCGTGGAAATGTCCGTGGGGATTGCTCCGCTTTTCCATCTCGCTTTCGTCAGAGGTTGTGGCACAGCTACTAGGAGCACTCATATGACAACGATGGGAAATCAAGAAACTAACGAGATGGTAAGGGATTACTGAGTGTGTGTATAGATATCTAAGCAAATTGTGGTAATGACTCGTTTTTAGTGGATGCGTCTGGGAGTATAAAACCATGTACTCCTTTCTCTAATCCGTATATACAATACCAGCAGGTTCTTAAGGCAGTTCGCCGGCTAGAGTTACTTTGAAGCATATTAGCAATTATGCCTTCCCCTTTACAGTCCTTCCTGCTGTTCGCTCTCTCCTTAACGGCGCGGGCTGTTACTGCTCAAGCACCACCTGTAACTGAGCAGTCAACAGGTTTTAATTCCACTTTCACTCTATCATCATCCCAAATCGAGTCGGCGAACTTGTCAACAACATTGGCTTCTAGCATTAATACCGTTGTTAGGTTCGACCGTTCCCAACTCGCCAATGGCGGTCCCGCAGAGGATACCTTCTATAATCTTCCCCCGCTCTCGAACACATCCGCGTTGCGCCCTGGGACTCTCCTGAAAGTTCAGGACTTCACTAACACATCATCCTTCGTCATCCCGCCTAACACGGCGCTCTCCCGCATTCTTTACACAACTACCGACTATAATGGAACGGTAATCCCGGCCTCAGCCTTCATTCTCTGGCCATTCTTGCCTAAGAAATTCCAACAAAGCTCGTCGGGATACGTCCACAATAAGACTACCAAGGCGCCCGCGGTTATTTGGGCCCATGGGACATCTGGATTTTTTGCCCCCCAAGCTCCATCAACCCATCGTGCTCTGTGGTATGGGGATTCTGCGCCTTTCACCTTGGCCCTAGCGGGTTATGCGGTTGTCGGCCCTGATTACGCTGGCCTTGGCATATCTAAATCTTGGGATGGTAGCGATATCCCACACCAGTACTCCCTGTCGCAAACCACGGCGCGCGACTCTTTATACGCACTCCAGGCATCCCTAGCTGCATTTCCTAATCGCCTTGATGACCATTTCGTATCCTTCGGTCACAGCCAAGGTGGAGGAGTGGCCTGGGGTGTTGCAGAAGTTATCGCGGCAGAGAAAGATAACGAATTCAAGCACTTAGCCAAGGGATACCTCGGTTCGATCGCAGGAAGCCCGACAACAGACCTATTCAACCGCTTAGTACCGCAATTTATTCCCTCGTGGGTCGGCTTGGCACTCAGCAGCATTTTCCCTGACTTCGAGCTCAGCGCATGGCTAACACCTCTTGGTGTCGCACGCACACAACTATTCAAAGAAATATCTGGCGGTGTCTCAGTTTCAGCCCAACTCTTTCTCTCGAGTGATAATTTAATCCGCGACGACTATAAGAGCACCTGGTATGTTGACGCATATGCTAGGATCGCCAATGCGGGGCGTAAGCCCTTTGCAGGCCCGCTGCTCGTGCTTCAAGGGACTGCGGATCCGTATATCCTGTACAACATCACGTCCACCACCATCCAGGAAACGCGCGACGTTTATCCTGGTGGCGATTTAGAGTACGTTGTCGTCAATGGTACGAGCCACGTACCAACACTTGATGCTACGAGACAGATCTGGCTTAGGTGGATTGAAGAAAGATTTGAAGGGCGACCGCTAGAGAAGACCGGGTATGCTAGGACGGATTATGAGAGTTGGCTGCCCTTGGAGCGCTACCAAAGTACTGGAAACTCGTTCCCCCAATTTGCTGGGTTGACCGAATACAGCTATGAAGCTCCGCTGGGAGCTTAAGGAGCGAGCGAATATTCCACCTGTCCTTATATTCCATTTCATATTCTCCTAAGTGTTCATAAATTCATTTCTTATACGATTGTATATATTAATTCGTGGTTCAGTTATAGTGTCAATAACTCACGGAACCTCGAACCGCCCCTTTGTGCCTTTGTGCATTATCTTTAGACGATTCATTACCACTTCTGCCATATATTCATATAATCTGCAGCTTTCAAGATAGGCTTACATATGTACTCACGAGTTATTCCTACTGACGCACTAGCCTACTATATAAATTTTATACATGCATGTATCTGCTATCCTTTGACGCACGATATACCTAGAACGAGTGAGAAGATGGTTACGAAGAATGTAGAGCGGTTGGTAAAGGTTCACCGATTGCTTTCAGTTTGGCTGACCGGACCTTCTGAAGTTTGCCATCAATAAGGTACGCACATAACAATATCGAGAACATAGGAAGTCGTCTCCCCCCGAGTTCTGGGTCGTAATGTGTGCATAGGTTATCGCTCCTGTGTTCATACTGCATATCTTCAGGCAAACGTCCCTTCCTATACCAACACCCTTACATCGATGTGGTCGACGTTTCTCATCGTCTTGTTCGCCCTTACCTTAATGATCCCATTTGCCTTGAAAGTGCCCATCCATGGGTTCATACAAGTATTGTTTCAGTTAATACTGCCTGTTTCGAAACTGCGCAGCTTTTCAGTACATCATCCTCCCCCTTTATTACCTACTTAAATAGTTCAACGCCATGGAAATGAGGCGGATTACGACTGCCTAGGTTGGCTTTATTCAATAGTGCCTAGGTACGCAGTAAATCCTTGGATAGACGACGGTTTTTTGAGGGGTATGACCCCTCGTTAACTTTGTGACCGGGGGATGGGGGTCGACAGCATTGTTGACGATAGAGGCCCCGCTTAGTCGTTTCAGCTCGCAGGTGCCTCCGGGGCTTTCTAGGTACGACTAGCCCTAGAGAGCCCCCTCTACGCCCCGTATAAACAACTAAGAACCCCGTAAACTCGAGAACGAGTCGTTTCTATGGCGTCAGGGCTATCTTAGGGTTTCGTTGCCTGTGCCCTATGGATGATTCTGGACTACCACACGTCCGGCAGCCAAGTATTTAATCTTCTCTCCCCTCTAGAAAATCCTTTCACCTTTCCTTTCATCTTTTCTTCCCATCCTCACAACCCACTCCAGGAATTTACTTCCTCTCCAACTCACTACCTACAACCACCTAGAGCATTCAACTCTTGTTCTTTTCCTCCAAACCATCTTATTCTACCTAGGTAGATTGAATTCCTTGGTAAGTTTATTTATTACTTTATTTTCTCTGCTTGTATTAAACTCCATTGACGGCAGATGGCCTACTTGCTAAGCCATCAAGTGGTGGTAGTATCCATCTACCATCGCATCTTCATCCCTCTACTCTCTTTGCTTGATTATTTCCATTCCATTCTCCGATCACTTCTACGCTATGAAGCATTTCCTGTGGCTACAAAATTCATGTACGAAAATTCCCATTGCTGTTGGCTATTTTGAATTGACAAAATATTATTATCACCCTGTCGACCCTTCGCGCCCAGCACCTATGCCATCGCGCTTAGGACCCGAGTCATATCTAACCTTGTCATCATCGATTTATTTTCGCAACAATTCTTTTTCATTTCCCTACCTGTCAAAATCCATCTCTTACTCATTATTTACGCAGCTTCACCTTCGAGTTGTATCACTACTCCTAGACTATGGGTGGACTCGCGGTATACTCCCACCCTGCCACTTCCTTCTAGCGCCACCCCAGTAAGAGCAAAGAGTCTACTATTGAACCACGGCCAAAGGATGGCCTCGATAATTCACCCCAACACGTATTGGGATTTATTTCGGCTCGGTCGGATAAAGTAAGTAGATGCTCATCGAAATAATAGGGATGGAGATGAAAACTAATATCACAATTAGTGAATCCTGGCGGAAAGCAAAGAGGTCTCAATTCCTCATACATTGTTCAAGCACCACGACCTTTCCCTTGGACTTCAAAGCCATAGGGCCGCCCATGAACTTGGCTCACATGGCTCTGAAAGATCCCAGTGAGGCGCCGCCCGGCCGGCAGGCTGAAACTTCTTCATCGCTTGAGTATGCTCGTCCGGGGGACACCGGCACACTAGCTTCAAATCGTTGAAGTTAGCACAACTATAGTAAGACCACATCATATACTTTGCATTCTGAGATCTAACATAGAGCAGGGCCCAATCAACAGATCGTCACAGACTTGGGTAAATAACACCTTTGTCTATCTTTCATTCGGTCAAGGACTCCGTCACTTATCGCATGCCACCGCAATAAGTTCCGACCCACGGTTCCCATTATAAGTATATTGGGAGACCGTTTCATCCATCCCGCTCCTAAAAGTACCTACATACAGTACGTATACCTCCAATCCGCTACAGACCAGTAAATAAGGGAACGGATCAACAAGTACCGATTCGACACCACGTACCTTTATGGCAGACGTGTTACCCTCAGAAGTGGGTACCTCGCTTCCACCATAGAGTACCAAATGGAGGGTGTTAATTGGCTGCTCTATAGGCCGCGTCCTAACAGCCGTTTGCATACCTAAGGGCCTGGCATAAGAGCTCTCTGAGGCTCGTTACACTGTCCCGCGCTCACCCGCCCTTCTTTCCTTCCATAAGAAAAAAAAATTATAGAATAAAAGAAAACAAATAGAAAAAAATGGAGAAAAGGAAGGGAAGAAGGGAAGGTGAGTGCGGGACATGGGGCACGAGCGGGTGGCAAGTATCGTCAGGGGTAGCCGGCACCATCGTAAGTCGTTGAGTTCCTAGTATACATGAATCCGTCTAACACAACTAACAGGATAGCAGCCGGGCAGGCGTTTGGTGATGTGTCGGTCACCGTCGCTTCCCACACTTGTGGCAGCGGTAAGATTGGAAGCAGCTAAGGAGTCGGCGACTCGATTTCCCAGTTGTTGCACCCCAGCCGCCATTAACAATCCCCGACACTTTAGACATCACCAACAATCGCTCTATCACCAAAACTCACGAGGAGTCGAGAAGAAGACAATCGCCGATAGGGCGATTGTTGGTGATGTCTGAGGTGTCGCCGGTTGCCCGCTCGTCGATTCTCCGATGGTCAGCGACTAGCGATATGGGAAACAACCATCACCAAAGAGTTGCTGACGACGAAGGGACCAGAGACCGGTGATGACTGGACAATCGGCGACTCGATTTTAGTTGCTGCACCCAGGTACTAGCCCTCCCCCATCTCACAAGGCTGACCCCTCTTCGCCCGGCGTAAAGGTAAGTTCTTTATATCCATATAGTGCGACTGTTGCTAAGTATCGCAGACAAATCTGATCGTCGCGCCCAATGCGCTCTTGAAGCAATGGGCAGAAGAGATCAAGAAAAAGATTACGCCGGAGCATAGTATGAGCGTATTCGAGCATCATACTCACTACCGGCGCGAGCTCACATAGACACCAAGTATTCCCCAGACCTTTCCTAGAGACTCCCTGAGGGAGGACCCCACTGAAGGCTCCTCACCACGGCGTATTCACGATGAACCACGTTCATGACGGCGTATCGAGACTCTAGCACGAAGCGCCATTGATTGGTGGGCTCCAGTTACCAGTTATCAGACTCAGGAACCTAGATCGACATTAAAGTCAAGCCCGCCGCGGCCACCCCAGCCTTAATGTCAAACTAAGGGCATCCGCGGCGCGTATCGCCCAGAAGAAAGCGAAGGAGACAGCACCAGCCGCGTCGAATGGCGACAACCCTCTCCACCAAGTGTTGGCGCGCCCGCTGTTGTAGGGTCAGCACCCACTCACGCACGCACACACACGCATAGTGTGGAGTGGATCCGCCCCGCTGCAACGGTTGCCGTACTTGAGGCGGGGGGTTGCGAAGGAAAGTGTGATGAGAAGCGCTGCGGGAGCGAATGGCTCGGACCCAGAGCCCGTGGTAAGGCATCCGGGCGACGAAGCACCACGGTACAGGGCTACCATGGGCTCTGGGTCGGGCCCCGCCTTCTAGTGTCGGCATCAACGACCCGGCCCTTGCGATACCCGCGGCGCTTCCTCAGGAGGACAGCAGCCTCCGCCCTGCGACTTTGATAATGAGCTCCATAAATGGATGGATGGCCGATGCCATTGATATAGAAATGTCAACGTCCGCCCCGGTAGCTGATTCCATGGGAGTCGGTGCATACGAGTTCTTTAACGTTGGAAATAGGTTGCTGAATCTCCTCATTGTACTGTACGAATCCTGTTGGTCCCCGGGTTGGCTGCAATTTCGTTCTTGGGGTATATCACATAATCTCGGTCGGGGCGCCAAACAGATATTGTTTGATGTGAACGGCACCCCGACCGAAGAGCATCGTCCAAGAACGGCTCGCAGCCGACCCGGTCGTTCACCTCGAGACAACGATCATCGCGGACTGCGCCATTTTGATGTATGAGTTGTACATCATGTTGGGGGAAGGTCTGGTCTACCTTATTAGATAGTCGGTTTGGAAAGCAGAATTGTAGCGCAGGGATTGGTACTATTGTTAGCGATAATAAACTATAAACATTTCAAAAGAATTCACGTAAGAGTAGAATGGCCCCAAATGTATGGTCATGACCCGCGAGTAAATGCCCATGCAAGTAAAAGCCATGACGTATACAGTTTAAATGAAATGGTTGGTAACAACGACGTACAGATTTTTGCGTATGTTACAGGTTCATTAGCCATAAAAATCATGTCGTGGTTTTCAAACTACGTACCTTTGAAGTGTGCATAGGATTTTCGCCCAGCTGTTAGACGGATTACAAAAACAACTCATTTGAAATGTATTAAAATCCCAACGCACAACAATAGGACGAGTGATAGGTGGTATAGACAGCAGAAGCGCTCCAATTAGTCACCACTCAAGATTGAGTCGAGATCCCTCAAAATCGACAGTATCAGTAAGCTCCTTGTCGCCTCGTCCACGCCGGACTCTCTACTAACACAACAGGATCGCGCCCTGTCAAAACTGGCACGCCAGCCTCAAGGCGGAAGTCTAAAACTGGCGCATCATCGCTCCCCTCCATGCGCCATATCGCTAGTCCTATCCAATTCTCACCATTATAATTCAGAATCCCTTCGGGAACTGGGAAGGTTGTCTGCGGCCCAATATGGCCCACAAACTTGCCAAATTGCCATCCATTCACGTACAATTGAATGCGCGCAGCCCCGCCCGCAATGTTGCGGAATGAGAAAGAGAGCGGGATGTCATACTCATTAGATGGAAGGTCGAGTGAAAGTGGCGCCGTGTAGAAGGATATACCGGGCTCGGATGATGCCGAAAATGGCGAACCTGGGGTGAATTTCTCGGTAGGTGGTTGTGGGAGGTGGTATCCCTGCCTCTCCGCGTAGAGCCCACCTTCATTCAAAGGGCCACGCGCACGATCTATATAATCCTCACCGCCAAAATTTCCAGTGATTTTCCAGGTTATGGGAGTCATATCGATTATGGAACTTGTAAGACGATAGCTCAGAATCCCGCGAGGAGCCTTACCGGTGTCGATGCCAGGTATGTAGTTTCCATCCAACCCCATATGATCAATTACAATCGTGAAGATGTACAATCCTCCTTGGGCAAGTCCTGGAAGCTGATAGGTTGCGTCGTAGCTTGAAGTGCCGGCGCTTCCAATCCATGACCCCAGAAAAGTGCCGTTCAACCAGAGCGAGTGACCGTATGCTGTGCCACCTTGGGTTTTAATTTTAAAAGTCTTCTCCGTGCCCTTAGCGATAAAATGACCTCGGAATAAGAGTACTCCAGCATTAAACCCATAATCGCCGGCGAAAAGGGAAGTTGGGGTTTGTAAGCTCTGGTATGAATTGTTGGTAGATCGGTGATCTGCTACCACCCATGCAGTGTCATCGTAATCCACTCGAATCTCCTGAAGCGAATCGACATAAGTCCACGATAATTCAGACAACGAGGGTAAATTCAGCTTTGGCGCCGAATACGAAATGTTCACAACCAATATTCCATCCTCAAAAGTAAAGCCGGTCTTCTCACCGTTGATTTTAAAACTTGTCGTGTTATGGGCGGCTCCGATAACTTCGACAGTCGTTGATCTGTTGAAGTCTGCGACAACCGAAATCACACCATTATCAATTGAAATATTTCGTACGAGATAAGGCCCATTAACGATTAGCGACGAAGACTTATCAATCTCGGGCACCCAGTAGTTGTAAGCGGAATTCCGATCTGCCACACTGTTAGCTTAAACCGTCGGGGGTAGAAGTCAGCTAACCCAGAATATAAATATGGAAGTCATCTATTCGAACAACCCTTCTTGTTGTAACGGTGGCCCAGGCCAATGTGACAAGGCCATTGGTTTGATTCACTTTAATAGACTCGTCCGCGGTTATGGGAAGGATTGGTGTAGCTTGTACTGCGAGTTCATTGGATCCATTTGGTCCGCTATACACAATCAAAACTGTCGCATTTTCAAATCTCTGATGCGTTAAAATTTCGGCGCTTGAATATAAGAGTTTCGTCCCTCGGACGTCGTAATCCGTAACTACAATTTTAGAATCTCTTCCATGAAGAGTGAGCTCATCGAAAAGCGTGGGGATAGATATATCCCCCTCTAACGTGGGGAGTTTCAGCCTGTAATTATCTGAAGAGGTACTAGTATAATCGCTATGGCGGACAACGAAGAACGATCCGCTCCCCAAGGTGTTGTTGCCAGCAAGCCGAGTCACCGTAATGGCTGCATTGTTAGCGTAAGTCCAAACCAGAGCAGGCCCCGGTTCAGCGACCAAGTATTCTGGCGATACTCTCAACCATTCAGCTTGCAACTTAAGTTCTGAATATTTCTCTCGTGTAAGTGAACGGTCTTCAGATATCGCCTATAAAATCGTTAATATCTCCCCTTACGACGATGGGCTTTAGATATACCGACCGCGCCGTAATCATAGGATGTATAGCCACCCGGATGTCCGATATTACCCCAATTAGTTCCACCAAAAATCTAGCACGTATTAGCGACAAGTACGGCGATAATCGCGTCGTTCCTAACCATGTAAATATTATGAATAGTTGCACCGGCAGCAAAGTTATTCTTGAAGAAAACTCGTTCGAATTCTTGATTGATAAAAGCAGCACAATTGTTAAAACCTGGGCCGCCCCAAGGATCATAGGCACCACCCTGGAACTAAAGTTACTTAACATGAATAGTGCTAGTCACAGCTGCGGATAATTCCGGCTTACCTCAACAAGAGAAAAAGGTGTTGAAGGGCTTTGTAACTCATGTATTTGATGATACGTTCCCGACAGAGCTAAAGGTGGCCATGTGGTAGGATTGCCCTACATCTGTCAATACTAATATCCGCAGGAGTTATCTAGGTGTGGTGCTACTAACACAATCAAATTGAACTGGATAGGCGTCATGTCCCTAATATTAGTTAGAATAGAGGAAACGTTTCTTTGGGCGCCACCTACATAGATATCTACTTCACCTAACCCCGTACCCGGAGCATTAGTTCCCAGCGGGGCTGCATCATTACTGATTAATGGCACAACAATGCCCGCTCTACGTGCTTGGTCTTCGACATACTGCATGTATTTCCCACTGGGGAAAGGAATAGAAACTCCGACGGTGTATTCATTCTCCGGCTGATACAATATGATGGGGCCACCATTGGTAATCTGTGCTTGGGCAATAATCGCGCCGATCTGAGCAACGTAGCTATCCAAGGTCAGCTAGAAGTGCATGTCTCGAATGATATCATGGCTTACTTGTCGGTAGCTGCCAAGTAGTCTTCATCCGATGTCCTCAAATGTCCCTTGGTGCGTTGAAGCCAGCCTGGGAACCCACCAAAGCTAACTTCAGCATTAATATAAGGGCCAGGTCGCTTTCTCAGTTCAGCAAGCATCTCTGGGAGCTACGAAAAAGAAAAAAAAGCTTACCGCGATGAGGTAGACACCAGTCTTAGTCGCAGCTTCGAAAAATTGATCATAAGAAAATATACCATCTGCCGAGAAATTCCCAGGTTTTCCTTCCAATAGGGCCCAATTGGTATAAAAAGAGACGCAATTGAAACCGGCGGCTTTGATTTTCTGGAAGATATCAAGCCATAGCGACGGAACAGGTAGCCTCCAAGGATGGAACTCACCACTCATAATCATAATTCTTTCACCGTTTACATAAAGTGAATGTTTATCCCAAGTAACGATATCCTGGAGTGATCTTTGATCATTTCCGATGACCGTTTTGGGGGGTTTCCCCGTAACACCAACATAATTTCGAACTGTCCAAGATAGTATAACTAAAGCGACGAGCAATTGCACAAAATTGGCCACCGTTCCGATTGGCTTTGGTGAGGGTGGTATCTTGGTGGGAGGTACAAAACCCATTTCGGTGATTGGCTAGGAACAGACCACTTGGAATTCCGCGGTCACGACGTAGAAATACCAGAAATACCTAATAGAAGATGTTTCGGCGAACCGGATTAAACCAAGCACCATCGGCTAGTGCTCAGATATTATCATTGTGAATTTATAAATATCGGGAATGCTACATCTTCAATATGGAGAGCATCAAAATATTGAATGATATGGATTTCTCTTGGAAATGGTAGTACTAGTTGAAGTATGAATTGGAAAGACGAATGAAAGGAGGAACGAAAGCGAACGAAAAGAAGCGCGGATAATAGAGCGGAGCCCCGCGTTTCGACCGCGCAATGGTGGGGGGTTCGTGGGGGGCTAATATTTAGGCACAGACCATCTTTAGCGATTGTATATTAAAGCTCACTAGGTTCCTTCAACGTTAGGAAACTCCCCAACAACGACAATTGATATTCCACGTATCTACCTCCTACCCAATTACGTCTCTTTAAGAACAAGTTACATGTTTCATCCCGAATAATCCCAGGTACCTTTGCTAATGAGTTGAGAGTTATTAATTTTCTTGAGGAAAAATTGACATATTAAGTTTTTTATGTACTTACCTGCCAGTCTTCAATGTTGGTCCTCAAATATATCCTCAAATATGAATGCATCCAATGCGGTATCAAATTACAGCCTTACTAGCTACCTAGGTCTATATGAATTTATCACTCGGGCGCAGCTCTAGTTCTTTCCCTATCATTGAGAAAATGGTGTTTTTTATGAGTAAAACAAGGAAAGTGTGCTCTTCCACTCTTGTTACAGTGCAAATCCGTGGTTTCCATCTGATTTATTACTCGCTAAAATCTAGGAAAGAACTCACGGATGCTTATTGCCCCAAACCTTGCTACGAACAGATAAGAAATCATTCCCAAGGAAGGATTCAATGTTTTAATGGCAAGTCCGAGCTAATTGCCTAAAAATCATGTCCCAGTGGTTTCCTCGTAATTCAGATACTACCACCCGCCAATGACGAAGCAAACCAGGCAACCAGGGCATCCAAACTCTCTAGTCCACCACATCCATTGATTGCCATGTACTAGGACTACATGCAAATTTTGCATTGCATTCCCTACTGCTACATGCGTGTGGCCTAGAATTCTTTTCCCTTTTTATTTTCTCTTTCCCTACTAACGACTAGTCACCAACCTTGAACCCACGCCGTCAACACTGAATACACTCATCAAATGCATGCATAAAATACAACACTGATAAAATCGTCACCTAGCAAGCATTCTTTCCTTCATTATCGATTTCTTCAACACATACGAGATCATTACAAGTGACATCGCCGTCTCCTTAAGATGTAAGTCTTCGCCAAGCATTTCCATCCTCATCAACTAAGATGCTAATGCCTATTTTAATTTAGGGATTCTACCATTTCCCATAAACTCTCCGCTAAGAGAGAAAGGAAGGGTGAGGATTGCGACGAGGGTCAGAAGCGCCAAAAGCTTCAACATGATGACAAGCCTATCGTCACAGACAACACCATCGCTCAGTTGTCCTTTAGGTCATTTCCGGCTTCCCTTAAAGATAAGGTAGTAAACCAGTCGCCCTTATTCCCTCAGTTCAGAAAACTCCCGGCGGAATTGCGTCTCAAGATCTGGCGAGAGAGTTGGGAGCCCCGAGATGTAGTCGCCTTACGACACTTGGACGGTATGAATGGTCCAAGTAACAAGCACCTAGAACCCTCGGGTATGCTTCGGGGCGGTGATGCCCTCTTCCGACAACACTTAAGCGCTACTCTACGCACATGGGGTGTGTCGCGAGGTGCTCAACTAAGCGCCGGCCCATTGGATTTGTTTATGCTTAACAACTTCGAGACATCTACATGGTCTACTAGCAAGCCTCCTATGTCTTTGTGGGTCAACAAGGAGTCCCGCGAAGAGACATTGACACACTATGAGCTTGCTCTAGCCTTGCCTGATGGTGAATCGTTGGTTCCGGGCGGTCATTCTAAGTTATACTTCAATTTCAACCTCGATGCACTAGTGTACCCCCTCCACAGATCTCTGTCGCTTGCCTTCTCTCAATACGACTTAAGCCGAGTGATAAGGATCTCCGTTCCGGAGCTGGTTCCCGCCCTTCCGATTTTTGCTAAATGGAATGGTCCCCAAGGCAAGAATCGATCACGAACCCTCCCAAAGGTGGATGACGAAGACGTGGCCATCTGGCACCCGGATTTCAGGTTTGCTTGGCGAGCCCTACGACAATGGTTTCCCTCCCTACGCGAGATACGCCTCTTGCCATTCTACACCTGCAAGTACTACCACTCCAATGAACCTACGCCAACTCACGCAAATTGCGCATCATGCAATGGTCTCCACGCCGAAATTGCTAGGCGATTCCCACACCTAAGCGAAGACCCCCAAACCCCACAGTACGACTTAGACCGTATACTCGATCGCATTGATATCATGCAACCTGTGTTCAAGGACGAGACCTTGGTGATTGGTAGAGTCGCGGGTAAGCGTCAGGGCGAGTACGAGGCTGTAACGGTTACGTTTCGGGCAATATACGAAGGAGACGAGCGCCCAAACATCCTTAGACTTCCGAACCCAGGACTGAATTGGGATGATGTGAAACGCAGATGTGTCGTGAAGACACTAGAACATGTATTCGCGCCGCAATTGGGCCATTTCATGGTCTACAACATTCAGCAGTAACACCCGCGCGGAAGATATTCTGAGAGGGTGCTTCGCATTTCAGCCAACAAGGAAAGGAGAGGGAGGAATCAAGTTGGCCGTTAGGCATGCGGAATCGACATACCGGACGGCGTTCAGGGTGATATTCTAGGGAGATTTCATAATGCGGTTTGATATACTTTCGCTGAAAAGTATTTAGGATGTCTAAAAGTCGCACTGATGGATTGGTATCTACCAATAAGAGCAAGGCAGAAAAGGGATATATACGAATGGCTCTGATAGTCGGTACTTTGAGCCAGATCCTGCATTATATGTGTGAGGGCCATGCTCTGCCTAATTTCGGGGATTCTGATACCCTGAGATTTCTCTATGTTATGATTATTAGGTAAGGGGGGAGAGGGTTACCAGAAGAAGAGCTACAGTCAGTCAGGCCGATGCGGTGCCCATCCTAAGGAACAAGAGTCCTGATCTGTTCCTTCTCGCCTGTAAATACCTAGACATGAATTTAATGGTTTTGCCACACATATCAAAGCTGTCCTTGGAATGGCGTTCACGTGAGCTTAGCGTCTATTGCCATGTAATATGAAAGGTTAATTTGACATTCCGTTTAATACCAATGTGACTATCTCCACGCCGCTTTGTCTGTTTTAAACCATATCGGCGTATGTCTTTGGTATAAGCCTCTAGATATAGTGTAGCCATCCCCATTATAAATCAACCGGTAGTAACGGAACATCCGTGAAAGTAGTGGCCCGAGATACTTGAGTTTATCGTGATAGAATGAAGTGGTAAGGATAGACGCAATGATATCACCTACTATATATGTTCAAAGTCCAGCGCACGAAGTAGTGAGTTTATGATATGGGTTAATGAAGCCAGAGAAGCACTTGGTGATAACAAATACTTCGTATAAAATCTTTATAAAATGCCTCGCATCCTCACGATAGTCATTGGAGTATCTTTGCGGTCTTTCCCTTATTGAGGTATGTACGCCTCAGCACACGTTAATATGTGTATTTGATGCTATTCTCGTGAACCTCGTCGTCGTTACTTAATAATGCATGTGCCTTACCTTCCTGGGTAAGTAATGTATGTCTATCTGTGGTACCTACCTCACTAGGGGTTATCTGAAGGAGGAGGGCAAAGGCTGGGGCGAGGGTTAGCCCTGGAAGGAAAGGAGAGCCTATCGCCCCCGGAAACATCTCATCTTCGGGGCCTAAACTCTTAAGTAGCCACTTATCACGTACGATTCTACCTGCAACAAAAGGATAAACGTACCCAGCACAGGAAGGTAAACGTGACTAAGTAGATGTGTACCTACTTCGTCGGTGACACACGAAAGATCCACGCTTTCGAAACTTTCCTGACTCCTACATTTCTACAAAACACCCTTCCTCCTCCTCTTCTCCTCGTTCTTTACCTTCAATCATCTCTTGACATACAAACACAGGGACGACACGACACTCTCCTTCTAGACTGGCAATTTGATGCCTAGTTATTTCGAACATAGTAAGTTATCATCATATCCTTCTTATTAAATATCACCCATTCTGCTGCCTTGCTGCATTTGCAACCCTCTCGAGTGACAAAGTCACAATGGCCTCGTAATGAAGCCTCTCTCACGATTATTCCCCATACGATCCCTCGAGTAGCATATAATCACCCTTTCCAGCCTATATCATCTTGCCTGAATTCCGCTTGCCATCAGGGGAAAGATCCTATGCTTTTTTATTTTATTTTATTTTATTTCATTGCCTGACACTCACTTCGACTAACTCCCTCTAGTCCTGCCTCGAATTCCCGCTATTTCCTCCTGTTACGTCACGGCTGGTAGCTAGGCTCGTACCTGCCTCTCTACCCTCTACCCTAAAGCACCTTCCAAAGCTAATATTCATCGTTCCTTTTTATTTTAGTTCCCTCTCGTTTCGGTAGCCCCTAGGCCATCAAACTTCCCATTCCCATCACCAAAAGCCGAATCATGGCTCTACGTCCTAGTGACATCATGGGTGGTTCACCTGCCAGTAAGGAAGTACTTGACGCCACATTTGTCACTCACGTCTTGCCAGACATCTCACCCGCTGCTGGTGTCATTGGTATCTGCACTGTTCCCAGCGATCGAGCGGGCGCAGACGACCTCGGCTGGAACATCGCCGACTTCCTGGCCTTCAAGGCCCTTCTTCGTGGCGAGGGTCACCCTAAATCGCAGGTATGGCTAGCACAGTGCGATGTTGTTGGCATTGTCAATGCCCATCCTGAGCAGTATGCTCATGGCATGGACCGTCGTTTAGTAAGTAGCGCAGCAGCTGCTTCCTCTTTCACCGACCGTCACGGCGGTACTCAGCAGCGCGAGGGCAGCATCAAAGTCGACTCCTCCGCAACTGGTCTAAAGGCACTGTTCCTTTCAACACTTATCAGAATGTCCGATGGTGCTAGAAAGATGAAATGTCCCCTTGTCATCATCGTTTGTGGTCCTACCACACTCGAGCAGGACGTTTACTTCGGCAACATCAACGTCGAAGACCGTGTCACTAGTGTCCTTATGCGTAAACTGCTCGGCGAGGACATCAATGTGACGATGGTAACTCCCGCCCTGTTCTCTGCTGGTTGGTTGGTCAACCCGTCTTTCTGCCGATCACCGGTCGCAGGTGTTCGAGCCGATCGAACAGACTTCCTCGCGAAGCAATTTGCCGGAATGTTTGCGAGAGACACAGTCGACCACTTCATTGGCTGGGACTCGCCTCTCCTATCTAGGTCAGGTTATAAAGAAAGCCAGAAATCGCGTCGCGCATTTCCTGGTCCTGTGGAGCCTTCTAAGCAGCAGAGTGAGGCAAGCGACGAGTTAAAATCGGCGATTTACAAGATTCTCATCGGCCAAGTCTCTATCGGATATGACGACCACTCCTATCGATTTGAGACTCATAACGATGACTGGGAGAAATTGATCGGCGCCCGCGAACATAAGCCGTTGGCTTACTACAAGAAGAAGTGGGAAAGTCTCGAGACCTGCGCAGCTGACACGAACAACCAGCCATTCGACTTCCTTGGAAACGCATTCGGCGGCAACCAAGCTTCACAAGCGAAGCACATTAAGCAGCTTGTAAAGATGGCTCTGCAGGGTTGGCCTGGTCACTGGAAAAGCTTTTACGGTCGAGCAGCAAAACTCGCACTTGAGAATTTCCTCGAGGAACCATCGCCCCCATCCATAGATTGCCACGAGGTATTTGTTTTTATGGAGCATCATGCGACCTCAGCGACATTGGCCGATATGATTGTCAAGTACTTCAACCTGACGCTTCCATACAAGGAACGTTCCAAGGATTGGGACGCCCCGAAGTGGGACGAAGAGATATCCGATTACGTTGGTTTCATCGGCTCTGGCCCGTTTAGAAAGATTGGTTTGCATATCCCTGCTACCAACCTTCCACCGGGAGTCAACCGAAACCCCCTCAGTCTAATCCAAACCGACCTCCAATCAGCGGAGCACTATGTCTCGGCGTCTTTGTGCCTTCAATACGTTGGCCGAACGCGCGAGCTCGAAAAGGATATGAGAACGGCCACCAAGCATATTTGCAACTGTGAGTAAACCAATAAAACCTATTGTCGTCCTTTTTCTACCACTAACACAAGATTCAATGCAGTCCTCGAAGCGATCCGAGACCGTCAGATCAAACTTCTTATCGAGAATCTCGAAGTCGAGAGCAAGGGCGCTGCGTGGCTTTCTTCTATCGGCGCACCGGTTCGCCCCCTGAGCGGCGCTACTACGGAAGTGGCTTCACACGAAGACGAGGCCCATACTATCGGCAATCTTGTGATACGCTTGGCAGCAGATGTACCGGGTCGCGGAGAGGGTACCATTGTTGAGGAGTCGGACGAATCGTCTCCTGAGCATTCGGACAAGCCGCTTGACCCAGAACCAGTCGAGGCCGAGGCGACACCAGCTGATGATGGGAGGACTACCGTCTCCGCAGACTTATTAGAGATGATTCCTCACATTGACCACAAGGTAGTCATGGAGCATCTACGAGAGGTGGAGCGCCAGCTTGCTTCCTCACCTGATGGCTCGCAGTCTGCGCTTAAGCTCAATGAGATTAAGCAGATCAAGCTGCTGCTGGAACAGGAGATGGGCAATCGCCGCTCAACGGAAAGCAACGCGAGTCAGGAAGCTCCTCAGGCTAGCCCGCCTGCGAGTGACCAGAACTCTTCGGGTGGTGAGCCGAGCAAGCCGAAGGCGCAGTATATCCCACCGCACTTACGTCGCCCTAGTCAGTGAGCCTTAATAGGTGCTCTTATGGTCACGGCACTCTCTTCTGCAGTTTGATTTGAGAAAAAAATTCGGTGTGGCTCAGGTTAAGGGATTCGCAACGGTCTAGCAGGCTATTTGTTTTAGTGATTTCGGGCGTGAAGGTGTGGAGGTGTTCTGGCTGTTCTTTTCATGGCATAGGGCGGCGATATCGTTGCATTTAATGGTGGTGTGGTTCAATGATCGGCGCGTCTACCTCTAATTCATCCAGATAGCTCGCTATTGCGTGTTTTGCTGGAAAGGTCCGGGTGTAGCATAGGCAGAAACAGATAGCATTAATGATCCCCTCTTGATGATACGATGTGCTTTTTCCTATTTCCTACTAATTGGTCACTAATCGGTCGTCGTGGTTCTTGTGAATGAACTTAATACAAGATGGAATTACCTGTCCGCATCGGAATGAGAGGCACTCACAATGACACATATTCACCTCCATGAAGCTATCCGAATGAAGTGGCGCTTACGTATCGTCTCTATTTTTACGATTACTACCATCCTTATTATCATCTACTTCACCACCTGCGCCGGTATCTTTAGATGGTGCCCTCGCTCCTCGCTGGAAGACGAATAAGGCCTCATCTTTACCAGGGAAGCTCGGCAGCGCAACCTGCACTACCTTAACCCAGCCCTCGTGGCTTCGCTCCCGCTCGACGTATTTGTCCATACTAAGACCGCGAAATCCGGTATACCCATTACGATTCTGCGTCCCGACAACCGCTAACGTGTCGCCGCAATACGCGTCCATCATCGTTTTGGTAAACCCACCTTCAGCGCCGCCCGCGACAGATCCGCCGACGACAGGGTATACAAGCAGCAGAACCGGTTCATTGGGGTCTATCGCACTATTACCGCCTCCGGAGGTTATATTCCGATTCTGCTTCCGTCTCTTCCTCAACCAAGCCCCACCCTCAGCAATAACCGTATGCTTAACCCAAGTGACCCTCCAAGCGCTCTGCGCGCTATCAACCGGGATAACGGGGTCGATGCCATAGGCTCGTAGCATGTAGCTCCAATACCCACCGCCAGATCCCATGTCCAGAACCCCGCGGCCCCGCGCGAGGATGCGGAGGATGGAGAGGGCTTCGTGGGTTGGACAGGCGCAGCCGAAGTGGTGCATTAGGATTGGGAGGATATGGTGTGATTTCGTGCCTGCGAGGGAGGAGGAGGGGCTTGGGCCGGCCCATTCGAGGACTCGCGCGGAAAAGGCTAGGTATGGGAGGTAGGGGTTGAAGGGGATGTTGTTGGAACTAGGGCCAGTATTGTTTGTGGGAGGAGTGGTATTGTCGGCGTCCGCGGTGTTTTTGTTTTGGCTCTTTTTCTTTTTCTTGGCCGCGCGCTTTGGGATTGTGAGTTCGGCCTCGAGGGTTGGGTGTAGGTATCGCTTCGATAGGAGGTATGTCGCGATCTCGGCGCGTAGACTGCCCTTTTTGGCGTTCGAAAGGAAGGTTTTGAGGGCGGCGGGTGTTGAAGTGTTTGGGTCGAAGATGGATAGGTAGGCGTCGATGTCTGGACGCGTGGGTGGCGGGAGAGCGGTTAGAGAGGATTTGGGTTGTGTCGGGGCATCCTCATCGTTCTTGGCGGACGCGGGCGCGAAATACCAGTCATGTAAACCGTTTTGACGACCGAGTGAAACGACATGTTGGACTTCGGGTAGGGTCACACTGACGATAGCGTGGTAAACGTAAGGATCGCGCCGGGGCGGCGTCGGAAGGCCAAATGAGGCGATGATGGCGGACTGTAAATCATCAGCGGCGAGGAACGCTTCGACGCGCTCGTGTAGCGCTGTGTCCGCCACATAGGTGGCAGGATCCCATGACGGTGCACCCTCGCAGTATATGAAGGGTTTGCTACTAGGCGCCATTCGGACCGCAAGACTTCGCTCGCTCCCCTGGTTCACGATCTGGTGATGGGGATACGCCCGCGATCGATCGGATAAAGGAGGGGAAAGCCGAAGATGGCGGGGTTTATTCGAAGCTGATCACGCCCCGCATTAAATAAAGGGGTCAAGGCGATTTTTACAGGGGAATCTCAACGATCCCCCTGACCCTATTCCAACTCAAGCTTTCCAGACGACGTAAAGATGACGATACATACCTAGGTACAGATCGGTTTATTCAGAGGCCACGTGCAAACAATATATACGATTCAAAATATTATTTTATTTTTATCTATTAACAATATCGTAACTGGAAAGTTGTACTTGTGAACTTGTAGCCGGACTTAGATTTTTGCCAAGAAACACTGCAATAAGTTGTTGGTGAGTCTTATTTTTCATTTAATTTTATTACTGATACTTATTTATTTAGGAGGAAAGAAAGAAAGAAAATATACATAGCATAACGTATAAAATTGCAATCTCTCCTGACAGCATATAGTTAGACGGGAAATCGTATCGGTCCGTACAGGTTGAATACTTCCAGAATTGTGTAATTATAACCAACAAATTTTCTCGCCTCGTTCCTCCAGATCTCTCGGATATTTCTCATCCACGGCGATCGCGAAAGTAATGGCTATACTAGGCAAAGCCATTAGTCAGAATTTCCGTGGCCTTACTTCGTTCCCACGACTCCGTACACCTTTGAATGCTTAACGTTGCAGGCCCGGCTGTCCAATTGGGGTTTTTGTCAAACACGCTTGAGGTTACCCGAATTTCCAACAAGCGGATTCCAGGATGCTACGTTGTGCCATATCTCATTCTCCCTTCGAGAGTAATCCGTAGGACTGGGAATTGCTTGGACGGTTGGAAAGTGGTCAGCCTATCGAATTTCTCCCTTTACATCTGCAAAGAGGATTGTTTGGAATGTTGTCATATCGGAAAAAATATCTGCAGTTGCCCATCTCCATGGAAGGTCCCAGTAGCAATCAGATCAATTTTTGACGTCAGCTCCGACTAACCATCAGTCCCATTGATCGGGCCCCTACTTGTTTGCCGGCTGTTACATGGTCCAATTCGGCCTGTAGCAAACTTCTAGTCCGTATCTTATTACAAATCCGAATTAGGTACCTAGGAAACACGAAGCGTAATTGCAAGTCGCTATCGGAGTCGAACCCGTACAATTAATTCTTACCTACCTAAGGTAACTTCAACTCGTGACTACTACCTACCTGGGTACCTAAGTACTTAGGTAGGGAACCAACCCTCATGTAGCCTCACAGGTGTGGTCCACGGGTTTACTAACGTCTATGACCTCCCATACGTACCCTGTAAATGAGTAGATCGCCTCCGAAGGCGAACTGCACGCGTGAAGTTCGATTAGAAAGCTGCAGTGTGGCCTTGGGAAGAAAAAGTGGGGATAATTAAGTCGTCTATCCGAACCCCTGACCCCTGACTAACATCAAGAAGCACTATAACGGGCAAAAAAAAAATAGTGAGGATACAAGACCTGTACCTGGATGTACACAGGCAGGTAATCGCTAGGGACTATCGCTTAAATATACCTAAAATTAGTGATTGAAAATAAGAGTCCAATCTTACCTTCAGTTCTAAAAGGGTAGGCAATTCTTCATAGAAGAACACTGTATACTTAATAATAGGATAGGGGTGGTAGTAGAATACCTTCAAACGTTGCTCTTCTTTAAAAGCCTTTGTTTATCCTGATTGCGTGTTCTCATTCGCAGATTGGCCCCTCCAGGCGAGCTGCCGTGTATCGGTGTTGCAACCCTCATTACGCGGGTATTTCAGTCATTCAGGATTCTTCACCACTGCTGGTGTCCATGCGGGCTTCCGAGCTTGATACTACCAGTCTTTTTGATAGCCACATCCAAAAGATTGTAACCAATTTAGTACTCTTCCCGTGAAACCAAAGCCGTGGCGTAAACAGCGGGAGTGCAAGCCCTGCTAAAATTCAATGGGAAATTTAGGGCGTTCTCAATCCTCATTCTACAATGTTGATCAAACCAACCCGACTACTTCAGGAACCAGATGCATATATACGCATGGCTGCTTGAATGTCTCATTATCACCTGACTTATATCACATATAACAGCGAATCTTTTATCTAATTATCCTTTGATCTTTATACGCTCCTTTGTTAGCCATGGCCGACTTTAGTGGCGGCTCGACCGTTGTTGTCTCTCCAAGGCTACAGAATCGAGTCCACGCTCATCTCCCCCGGGATATCTCACATTATAACTCACGTCCCCTGATACCAGCACAAGCTCGAGAGGGTAATATCTCTGGTTTACCGATCGCCCTACCACGACTCAGAATCGACACTATCACAGGAGTAGCGTATTTCAACACTACAAATAGCGCGCCCCGCCTTACTGATTTCCCTGGTCCATCTACGAGCTACTCCCACGCTAATGGACTACCAGTAAGGCCTAATCGAAACTTACAATTTGCTTTATCGGAGGCTCGCGACGTAAACAACCGTCCAGTGCAGCATATAGCGAACGTGAATTATAACACGAATGCCTCCATGACAGGTGGAAATGGGGATAGCACATATGGAGTCACTTCTGAGGTACTCCATAGTGTCGAACAGGCAGAAGAGCATACCGAAGCAATCGAACAAGTCGAGGCTGGAACCATCGAAGTAGACAGTCCATCTACCGCCGATGCTGGTTACGAGTCGGACTCAGCAGCTACTGCGTCCACGTCGATGTCGTCAAGCGTCTGGGACTTCTCTTTCGAGAATGGCAGAAGATACCACAAGTTCAGGGAGGGCCGATATAACTTTCCGAACGATGACGTCGAACAAGAGCGTGAGGACATGAAGCATGCCATGGTGAAACTTCTCTGCCAGAAATTGCACTTTGCCCCTATTGGAGATGATCCGCAAGAGATAATGGATGTGGGAACAGGTACTGGAATTTGGGCAATCGAAAGTAATGCGCTTCCCCCCCCCCCCCCCCCTTTTCACGGTGCTCTCTTTTTTGACCTATATAGTGGGCGACGAGTATCCCAGCGCGAACATTCTCGGCGTAGACTTAAGCCCCATTCAACCCGAATGGGTGCCACCAAACGTCCGGTTCATGGTCGACGATGTCGAAAGCGAGTGGCTGTACCCGAAGAACCACTTTGACTACATACACTCGCGCCACACCATCATGGCTATAAAGGATTGGGAGAAATTGATGAGAACATCGTATGAGTAAGTCGTGCGCCGTACTGCTGCTCAGATAATAAAAATTAGTGGACCTATGCTAAATCCTGACTCAAAATAGGCATTTGAAACCTGGTGGCTGGATCGAGCTGCAAGAAATGTACCATTTTCCCATGAGCAGCAACAACAGCCTACCAGAAGATCACCCGGTGGCTCAGTACTGGAGATACGTGGATGAGGGGCTTGAAAACCTCGGCATAAACTTCAGGTTGTCGAATGAAGGCCGGATAGCCGCGTTGATGCGACAGTGCGGATATATCAATGTAACCGAACGCGTCTTCCACGTACCAATTGGAACTTGGCCAAAAAACAAGACTTTAAAGAGTGTTGGGCTGTACTGGAAGACTATCCTGCTTGATGGCATTCAGGCCATAGCGCTCGGACCGATGACCAGGGGACTTCACTGGGGAAGGGAACAAGTAGAAACATTTCTGGTTTCGGTAAGAAAGGGATATCATGACAACTCGATGCTCTTGTATATGCCATTTATCTGCGTTTATGGCCAGAAGCCCGAAATCTAGTGATAGCGAGCCCAGTCCTTTCGAATTGGAGAGGTAATAAAGATAAGTCACAAAATAAAACCTCATGTAAATTATGGTCATCAGAAAGGAACGCTCGAATGGAACAACAGTATAAAATAGGACTAGCTCAACTAATTTTAGACCCCTTTAGCTACCCTTGCTCGCAGGAGCTATTATCATTGGAGAATAACGATATTTTATAACCAGAATAGGAAACCTCCTTTTCGTAGTGTTCTCCACCATGACGTTTTCTTTTCTTGTAGCTATTGAAATACAATCCATGGGTGCCCAGGTGCCTAGGAAGGAAACCAAATACATCTATAGTACCATATAAAGATTGGTGGCTTGTCTAAAGAAGAGTATACATTTAGGGATCTTCTAATCACATGCGACAAAAATTACATATGAACATCCATCTATTTGTTAAGGGTAACACCCGACGGTGTCGGAAACATGTTAAACCACCTCTCGACATTTACACGCGCAGCACGCTCATAAGCACAGAGCAATCCCATCTCAAGATTTTCTCGTGGCTGAATAACGTCTTACTTCGATAGGTTACTTATTTACATGATCCGCATCCCGATCCGCTCGATGTGAAATAAATGACCCCCAAGGCGGCGTCCTCCGGCCTTCAATTAGGAGTGACGGGTGGCATGTAAGTACCCCAAAATCCGTGAGATTCCCTTGGCCAGATTCCAACCACCGACGCCATCACCACTTCATACACAAGCGCATTGTGTGTTTTCTTACTCCAAAATGAGCGCCATGCAGCGGTGGCTGCTGTCACGTCAGGTATCTAGCCGTACGCACGGCCATCGCTTCGAGCAAATGATAGGATGTGCAGATGTGATGAGAGTTGGTCAACAGAGAAAAGGGAGCCTAGCAAACGTGTCCTTCCGTTCTACATCATAGTTGATGGAGTGAATTGATGCAATTAAGTCCAGAGAAGCAAGAAACTCAAGAGTAGATATCTACTCGGGTGAGCATTCTAAGGCAATGTGAAGTTCATCGTTTGCAAATAAGACCTATCCGATGATTTCATCTATTGCCTTTGGTATCAGGTTTCGAGTCGTTTTTCTAGGGCATATTGAGATGGTATCGTCCTGTTGTGCGACTCCCTTAAGGACAGGAGAACAGGGGAATGGGTGATTATTGGGCGTGCCAAGGTTCTACTTGCACGGCGTGGGTATTGGAACAGATCACATTGACATACTTACCCACATATTTAGTATGATCTTGATCTCTAAAGTGTTGCAGGATCCCGTCTTGCAAAAAGAACAACTGTCAGTGGCTGCATTAGAGCCGTGACAAAAGCAATCCAACGGTCAAATTGTGACCAACTAAAGAGCAAATCCCTGTCACCTTATATGTAATATTCACTGCCACAAAACGCCCAAACCCCTCCTTATTTCTGTTCTAAGCCTGCTGCATTTGAACTATTGATTAAGTACCTGGTGGCAGGGAAGTTCTAAAGGATATAATCATAAGTCCATGTGGCTTTATCGGCTTATATGCCGAACACTTCCACGTCCAAGGTTCCCAAGGACAGGAGCCACGCAACGCAGTAATATACCCAGGTACCTAAGCAGAGCTCTCTTCTATTTCTACCTATGCAAATGAGCCAGAAGCTTTGTACCCTGTAAGTGTAATATAACATGTATTTTGAAGGTAATGTACCTAGGTAGTCAGTACTTTCGACTGTGCTTGATTCGAGAAAAGCAACCAGAATCTAAGATCAAGTAATATGATACAGTCGTAGGCAGATCAAGCTGCGCCGAGTACCTAGGTAGCAACAACAATCTCCTTTTCTCTTTTTCTTTTCAACTCAACATCGTGTAACTAGTTTCTTCTTAGGGCTAGTTAGCTTTTACAGAAGAAGGCCCTACGACAACTCTCAACCCTGTAGGTCTTGATTTAGCCATATCCCCGCATAGGTCTTCCTATGGTAAGACCAATTTGTATCGAGATCTTACCGCCATAAGAAGTTGTCTAATTCATACCTAGGTAGCTACCTGGGTAGGGAGAATGCGCAGTATCCAATCGGCATATCGGCTACGATGGTAACGATACTCAAATTGCCTATACAGTATCCATCCGTTGGCCTTGCATTGATTTTAATCAAGCTACAGCCATACACTCAACATGAGACTATGGCGTTCATCACTTTCAATTCGCCTCATTCTAGGGCGTGCAGTACTTTGTATGTTTCCGGTTAGATGTATAATGCGCGTAACTGAAGCTCTACCACTGAGACATCACTCGGGGTAATTGATACAGAATAGGCCGCTTATCATAACGACAGGACTGATGAGGCTAATATGGCCGGGGTCGATTGATGCGTTTCTCCCGCTCATTAATTCGCCAACCCATTTAGAACCTATGGGATTTGGTGAGACCTACCTCACATGGGATATCCCAGAAATCTCGTAAGGCTTCCAATCCAAGAATTTGACTCTCCGACAGGCTGGTATCCATTCAGAATCGACCCGGAATGTTGTCACTAATTATCACCTTCGAAGTCCGCATGGCTTGGCTAGAGCCCTAGTGCATGCTCTCGACGTTCCTCCGACCAACTAGGTGTGCAATCGGATGATCATAAGACGACGACTCTTGCAACCAGTGGCTAGTCCAGGCAACTCAAGTGTTTCTCCTACCGCAGTGGAACTTTATGCATGCAATTTTTAGGCCGAAGACCACTGCGACGGGACCAATGAAACAACAGATTGACTATCATAGCTGACGAGTTAGCCCCTTGGACATCATGACCCTATAGACACGACGTATAACAAATACCCTAGGTAGATAGTGTTCTTATCGGTCGATTTCCATGAAAGAAATACGATATATACGGAGATTAGAGGCAACATCCGTGATCTCTTAGCTTGTCCTAAGATAGTAAGGGAGAGAGTCCTTTAAGCATCATCGGACAGCGGAGTTCATTCCTATCACTCAGCCCACAGACATCTCCTCCACGGGCTCGAACAAAACAGCAATATGTTTCGTCGTCAGCCGCAAGTGAGTCTAAGAGAAGTATACCACACAATACTAGAGACACTTACATACGTACAGGGGTTACAATTCACTGCGGTGCAGACACCCGGACAAGAAAAGGATAGCCGCAGCTAGACCGCTCACAGCAGGTCCGCACGACGGCCGAACACATAGACATAGCGAGCCAGGCAGAACAGTCACCTAACAAAACCCACACTTGGGCTTACGTTGCTCTCTGGGCTTCCCACACTGTCGGGACTTCGTTCTTTCCTAGCTATTGCGCGCCGGGCGAGAGGAGTTCCTATAAACTAAGACACGTCGGGTCATACAACTGTAGAAAAAGGTAATCGCCGTCTTGGGAACTGCGTGTCTCTCGCGTCCCCATCTCGTTGGACCAACTCCTCCAATCCTTTAACACTACCCAGACAACACACGCGCACACAGATCTTCACATCCTCGTCTCCAGCCGGCTACTCGTACCGAAATAAAAAAAACTCGCGGTTCTTTTCGCATGTCTGCCGTGTGACACACCACAAGCGAACGCCTCTTGGACCCAAGACCAAGTCCTCGGGAGCTGTCATCCAGTTCTCTGGTCCGGAAGATCCCTGATATGGTTTTGTTTTGATTAATACCACATTTTAAAACAATATCCATCCCACCGAGAAGCATTTTCTGATACGGGGGAATACTGTGCTATTATTCGCTAAATTCTGGTCCTCGGCAACAGATCTAGCCGCAGTTCGAAGCTATCGTCTCCCTTGCAGGGTAAGCGGTAGACTTGCTAGCATCTGGGTCAAAGAGATAAGAGAAAGACAAGTTCTCTAATACGTAGTATAAAGCGTATTGGCTTGCATTATAAAATCCATCGATTATCCAGAATTCCCGCATTGAGAAGGCATACGTCCGCGAATTAGGAAGGAGGATTTAAGAGACAAACATAATAGGAAGAACAAACTACCTAGCATATCTTTACTAAGTGGGTGGACCTATCTGGGTTCATTTTCTTCATCCTTCAGCCAAGTTCCCTGTTGCATGTCTTGCGTTATTGGACACCCTGCAGAAGTAATACAGATCTGACAGTCAGGGTTTGTTTTCACCATCCTTTATGAGCTAAGCCTCGGGGTTCACTAACACGGCATCAACATTATTTTGGCCTACGATGATTGTCGAATCCTTAGTCACTTTGGTCAACAATATATATTCCATATAAACAAGCATCAATCGCTCACTTCTCCTGGCCTTTATTCTAAATCCGACAGCGTGGGATATTGTTTAATTTTCTATGATTTGGTTGATTTCTGAATATCACTGTTCCTTGTTATTTAGCTCCCCGCACCTTCTCATTATTACTTACTGGTGGCTTGCTTTGTTTCTACCCCCTACGTCTTATAAGCCCTTGGCGCACTATATAACAAGCACGATATCACAAACATCGTCCTCGTCGTTAAAAATGGTTAGACTAAGATTAGCTACTTGGCTTCATCCGACTTCGCCTACCCCTCATTCGACAAACACCGATTGCATAAAACAAAATTTCAGACCTACGCCTGAACTGTCAATCACCAATCCACCGGAGGAAAAGAAGCACCACACAAAGTGCCAGATAGAAGGGATAGACAACAACATGGCCAGAGCCACAACCCCTCAGAAAAAAGGAACCATGGCGTCAGCACATACACCATCCAAGATGATCATTCTTGCGCAGAAGATCAGCAGAGAGACAGAGAAGGTCGAATCGTACTTTAAAGAGAACGGTCTCCAGACCCCAAGCTTCGACGTGGACTCGCCTAGCGACTTCCCAAAGATGCCAGATGATATTTCTAGAAGTCGTAGAGAGGTCATTCATGCCACGCAGGAGCTACAGGATCTCATGGTCGGACCCAGGGAGTCAGTGCGATGGGTGGCTTGGGATGTGAGCGACTTCCTTAATGCGCCCTTAAAGTTTCTAAACTTGCCTTTGTTGGCAATACATACCGTGATAATATTCATACTAATTAAATTTTCATATAGTTCATGAATACCCAAAGCCTACAGCTTATTAATCATTTCGGTATTGGTATGTTGTCGAACTCTTAAATGGCCGATATATGAAAAGGTATTGACTGAGTATAATAGCAAAACTTGTGCCCCTAGATGGATCCATCACGCTCTCACAGCTACAATCCAAGACACCATTGGATCCTATCAACCTTGCCCGCCTTCTTCGACATGCTATGACGAATAAAATCTTTCAGGAACCTAAGCCAGGAGTCATTATGCATACGGCCGCATCCAAGCTTCTAGTTGAAGATCAGGCCCTCCAGTCCTGGGTCGGATTCAATACCGAAGATATTTACCCGGGTTCCGCACATGTCCTTGACGCCATAAAGAAGCATCCGGAAGCCACAAGCCTCACTCGCACCGGGTTCAACTTCGCCTTTAATACAACCGACCGAGAGCCCGTCTTTGTGACAATCGGCAAGGATGCCAAACGCGCCCAGCGCATGGCACAGGCCATGAGTAGTTTGACCGGAGGTGAGGGGTATGAATTATCGTACCTGTCAGAAGGATGCGACCTTAAAGAGGTAGACGCGGTTGGCGGAACTCTCGTCGACATAGGCGGTAGTCACGGTTTCGTGAGCGTGCACCTGGCTAATGTGTATCGTAACATTGAATTCGTGGTACAGGACCTCCCTAGTACCATCGAGAGTGCGCCAAAGCCCGCATGCGCGGATTGGCGCGTTGCGAAGCGCATCAATTTCCAGGCGCATGACTTCTTCACGGAGCAGTGCGTACAGGGCGCCGATGTATACTTCTTTCGTTGGATTATCCATAATTACTCGACTCCCTACGCTGTCCAGATCCTGAAGAATTTAATCCCCGCACTGAAGCCGGGGGCTCGCATCATCATTAACGACCACTGCCTGCGAGAGCCGGGCACCGAGAACCCCTGGGACGAACGTCTGATGAGGAGCATGGACCTCGTCATGATGACGCTACTGAATGCGCAGGAGCGCAGCGAAGGTGAATTCAGACAGTTGTTCAAGATGGCCAGTGATGGCTTCGTTTTTAAGGTGAGCTATTCGCAATTGGCAATTGGCAATGAATATGATCGAGATTGCTAACATATTCCTATAGGGTGTTACACGACCGAAGGGCTGTCGCATGAGCATCATCGAGGCAGTGTGGAAGCCGGACGAAGTGAGATAATCACCAAAACGAGTTCGCCCGGTTATGCTCGCTACCTCATAAAGAAAATGAGGAAGCATGCTACGACGGCAGAGAGATATTACTTATCTTGAGGAAAATGGACGGCATGGTTTATTAGTCTGCGAGCATTTGAGTCGTTTACCTAGAAAATCATTATAGCGCAAAGAAAACTGCACAGGGCAACGGCGGTAAAGTTGAGAATGTCGCTGTTGTCGATGCATAGCCGGAGGATAAAAGTTATGAATTCTGCTTTTTTTTCTCGCTCTAGTCACCCGAGCTTGATACCCACCTCCTTTAGCCCATCTCTGCGACCGAATGAATAATGAATTAATGATGGAAGGGAGAGGAGGATCTAATACGGGCAAAGCTGGCTATGGCACTATAACCATAAAAAACGAAGAATGTATGATTACAGGAGGATCCTATACAAGTCTGTTAATACGATTTGCATTACGAAATTGGTGTTTTTCAGAGCATGCTCTTTGTGGTAGAATACGTATTTTTGAGTGCCTTACAGTAGGATATCAATTCGGCCCATTGCCTCGTAACTTGATAAAGCTATTACCTCTCGTAAAAAACCCATGTGATGATCCGAGGTCCGGGGCGGAGCTAGCGACGGAGTTCTGCGGCGATGATTTGCTCGAACTCCTGAGGCTCAAGGAACCGAATGAACCGAAAGCTAGTAGCGCATTTTAATGGCCATAGCGCTTTGATACAGCCGCCGAACAGCCAACCAGCTTGCGATAAAGATTTCCAAGCGTTCCATCCGGCGCTTTCTCGGATGGGGATTAGGTGTGCGAGCTCTCATCGCGGGGTCTATCGAACGACCAGGATCTTGGCGGACTTTTCAAAGGGCACCCCAGATCTGGCATGCCCTCAAAGGTGGAGCTTCCCCATCATAGGGATTCATCCAGCCTCCGCGATGATCTCCGCTCCTGGGGTAGTTCCGTATACGACCTAGAAGTATGCATGACATTGACGTTATAACCTGGGGTCGTCCTCCGCATTGTACACCTAGAGCTGCCGATGAACGACCGGAGCTATGAGGCTTAATACTGAATATAAGACTGCACCCTAAGAAGATTACCCCGAATGAGCTACTACAGCGTAGCAATAGGTGAGGGGAGCTGGGGATGGACTCGGCGGTATATCATGGACCCAAGCGGTGTTAGTTAGGTACAGATCAATAATGTCCTCTTCTACCATGACCATCGCCTCCAACAATTATTTCGGTCCTTCTTGCGCATCCACCGTGATACTGCCGGTACGAGCATCAAAATAGAACGTTCGAAGGATATATCGAAGTGTATATATATCGACGGAATATCAGGTTGAAAAGACGAAATTCGAAGTGCAACCACAACTTCATTGCCAAGATACGCGGCCATAGCTTCATCTCAAGTCTTTATATTCGTTCGAACCGATCAACATCATAAGATGAAGGCAGTCTTCGCATTGGTCTTTCCTGGCCTTGTCACTCTAGTGAAAGGTCACGGATATCTCACTACCCCGAAGAGCCGTACTCGCCTTGGATTCGAGGTTCGCCTTACCATAAGTTTCTCCTATTGAGTTCAAAGCTGACCCATGACTCCTAAACCACATAGGCCGGCAACGATACCTGTCCGGAATGTACTATCCTCGAGCCGGTGACAGCTTGGCCCGACCTAGACTCGGCCCAGGTCGGACGTAGTGGTCCTTGCGGGTACAATTCCCGCGTGAGCGTCGATTATAATCAGGCCACTGAAAAATGGGGTACCGATACCGTAGCCACATACGCACCAGGCGATACTATCGAAGTGCAGTGGTGCGTCGACCACAACGGTGATCACGGCGGGATGTTCGCATACCGTATTTGCCAGGACCAGGACATTGTCGACAAATTCCTAGACCCCACCTACCTTCCTACTGACGATGAGAAGCAGGCTGCCGAAGACTGCTTCAATGAAGGTCTTCTCCCATGCACTGATGTAGACGGACAGGACTGCGGTTACAACCCCGATTGCACTGAAGGCCAGGCCTGTTACCGCAATGACTGGTTTACTTGCAATGGTTTCGATAATGGGGACCAGACCAAGTGCCAGGGCGTTGACAACTCAGCCTTGAACTCATGCACCACCACTATTTCAGGTGGTTACACCGTGACCAAGAAGATTAAGCTCCCAGATGGCTTCACGTCTAACCACACGTTGCTCTCATTTAAATGGAATTCATTCCAAACCGCTCAGATATATTTAAGTTGTGCGGATCTAGCCATCGTCGACGGCGGGTCTGCAACTCCCACAAAAACGACAGCAACTAGTGCGTCCACCTCGACCGCGGCATGCACCGCCGCCGCCAACAGTGTTGCGCTGACGTTCAACCAGGCCGCCGTAACCACTTACGGAGAAACAATTAAGATCGTGGGTTCAATCCCCGAACTTGGAAGTTGGGACGTGGGCGCTGCGCCCGCGCTCTCAGCTGCGAAGTACACGACTGCGAACCCTCTCTGGACTGTTACGCTGAACCTTGCACCTGGTCGCAAGTTCGAGTATAAGTTTGTCAGGGTCGCGGCCGATGGAACGGTGAAATGGGAGAGCGATCCGAATCGTTCGTTCACAGTGCCAAGTTCGTGCACAGCGAGTGTGGCTGCTGTGGAGGGGACGTGGCGGTAGAGGGATTCAGCTCGGACTTTTTCAGGGGGCTGGTTTTCATTAACCGAAAAGCCTTTTGTTGGTAAATACTTTTCTCCATAAGAAATATTTCTGTACCTTTAATTACATTTTCGATGCAATTCTATACTCAAAGACAAGATATGATCCGTCGAAGATCTTCACGCCTACTGAATCTCAATTCCTCGCGTCATCATTCAATCATCTCTTCTAGACATCTACCCTCCTAATCCACCAGTGATAGGCCATAAAATTCAAATGCGTTTGGTCAATATGGAGAAAGCACATGAGGGCGTCATTGACAAACCTCTAGATTCCTTAGGTATTGACAACCACTCTTCAGATCAAAGGGCCTTACAAATCGCGACCGGGCTGAATACAATATCCGTCACTATGTCACGATGGGCAGGACTGGAACCATCAAATACGCTGTGATGACGGCGATTATCGTAATTTATCCAAATCCTTGACGCGATGATAACTAGAAAGGCAATTGATATCAGTTGACCTATTCGCGACTCTTCATGGCTGGTAGTATCCCACTTGGTTCTTGGTAGAAACCACGAACCAGACCAAATCATCAGTTGTTCGATTATTATCACGATGCTCAGACAGGCAATTCGTTCAGCAGGGTTCCGAGGCTCTAGGGCCTGGCCAACGTCTACACTACCCGCTCGAGCACCACTCGTGCGCCCCTACTCCGATCAGATCATGTCGAATAGTTTACTAAGGTCAAGGCCAAGGTCAAGCGGTAAGACTATCCGAGATCATCGCTCTCCAAACGACACGGCCCAGACTTTCAGTCAAATGGACAGCATCTCGTCCATAATTCACCATGACCACAGACAGATTGAGAAATATTATAGTAAAATTATCAACTCAAAGGATCCCGACGTTCAACGCCGATACCAAAATGCCTTCGTGTGGGAATTAGCTAGGCATTCAATAGCCGAGGAGATGGTTGTATATCCTTCAATGGAAACTGGTGTCAACGACGGTAGAGAGATGGCCGACAAGGACAGAGCGGAGCACCAAGTGGTACGTAGAAACCTAGTTATATTCCCCTTGCGATCTCTTCTTCAATTTGCTGACGACCTTTTACCGAATTAGACTAAAGAACAACTCTACAAATTCCAGAACTTGAAACCCAGCGACAGCGACTTCATTCCCACACTTGAATCGCTCATGCGAGACTTAAAAATTCATATCAAAGAGGAGGAAGAGCATGATCTTGTTAAGTTAGAGGAAGCATTGCTTCCGTCGAGATCGAAGGATCTAGCCCAGCAGTTCGAAATGACGAAGGCGTTCATCCCAACTCGCAGCCACCCTAGCGCCCCTAATAAGCCGCCCTACGAAACTTGGGCAGGCCTAGTGACGGCGCCGTTGGATAAGATTCGCGATATATTCCGCGCCTGGCCTGATGAGCCTAGTCCGAAGCCGTCTTCGGGTGGACCGGCAAGATAATACCTGCGAGCATTTTTAGACGCACGTCTAGACCCGGTTCAGACGGTTCGGCGACGCTTTGGTGAACGTTACAGAGATGTAAATGTCGATGGTGATTTTCGGTTTGGTTAGACGGTTAAATATGTCTAGGCATCAGATTTTCTCTAGCCCTACGTTCAGTATCTACTTTATATTAAAGCTCCTAGAACTATCGTTCCGTACGCTAAAGACGAGCTAAGAGCCTGAAACCACGCAATTTGCATATTACATTTAAAAATAACAGCAAATTCAATTGGTTAACCATGGTCCCTTCGTATCTAGTTTCCAGGTTCGTGGAGTGTTGTGTAGGATGATTCGACCTATACAATTTAGCCGGTTCCACGACAGCTTTGGCATGTAGGATTGATCCGTGGATCTAAGCAGGTCTAAACTGAGTGGTGTTACGCAATGAGCTAACGTTACGATATTGTAGCAGGTTGCTAAGTTGTGAAGGCGCTACGCCGTCGTGAGCTACGAAATTATACAAATATTTCCCATAGCCTTTAGGATTTCGTTTGAGTTTACGAAGCATAAATTGTGAGTCGTTGATTCCAAGCCAAAATGAGACGTATCAAATTATTCCTTGCTCTTACGAGCCTCTACCCCCTCGTCAGCGCGTCAAGCGATTATCAACATTCTACAACAGATCTAGAACCCCTACAACCATGGGAAGTAACTAAATTTTCCACGTTTTCTCCTTCGGGGCGGCCTGGAGGGGACAGGAATGCCCATTTGTAGACAAATATCACAAATCCCAACTCCTTTCCCGCGGGGCCCGGAGTTTCCTTTGACGCGAGCGAGGCAAATTGCACTTTTGAATGGGAGTATTGGGGTACCAATGGGCCGTATGGCCAAGCTTTCGGGTGCATTACGACAGAAGAGTCTCAATCATCATCCTCCTTCTCAGGCTCAAGCTCAACCTCGAGGTGGACCATTGAGATCTCTGAAGCGAGTGGTAACTGGACGTCGCCAACAGAGAACGTCGATGTCAAATTCACTCTCACGAGCAACTTGACGGTAGATGTTAACGAGTATTACAAGGTCCTAGCCGGAACGCATCATTTCGAGGTTGGGAAAAACATGGTAGGATCATGTGGCGGCAGTGGCGTGGTGCGTATATTTCCTCAACCCCGAAAATCCTTACCCGAGACATTAATAATTTGGATGGGGATGCTAATGTTGGTGTGTGCCACAGTGCTCCTGGTATTTAGATAACAAAAACGGGCCGGCGTTGATTCATCCTACGATTATGGCTTGCGAGGGGGCTTGCTGATCATCTGTACGACACCAACAAATGTCTCAAGATCAAGATAAAATGCGTTGTCTAAACATTGCGTAATACAATCATAATCTCCTCCATCCGAGATTTGCGTTTATTGAAAGTACCTACTCGTACTCGTCCAGTGCTGACTATGCCTGACGCCCAGCGCCGCCAGTAACCAGCTACGGAGCTATCGAGAAACACAACGTTACAGCGTAACCTTTTCTTCGGGCAAATGTACCACAGGCAAACCCCAAACGATACTCGGTCCTGCATTGGCACCACTCCAAGGCTCATCTAATGCGATACTTGACCACGCTGATGCCTTCGACCCCCTCTCAATCATCTCATCTTGATAGTCTCCTAACACCTTCTTTATTACTTGAGTATCATTCGTCCGCAACCTAGCTAAAGCTTTCCCAAGTTTAAGAGCATCTAGCAAAGCGTGAAATCCACCTTCACCGCGGACTGTTTCGATATGTTAATTACTCTCTCCATTAAAAGATGATAACTTGACCACTTACATGAGGGCATGCAATGCGCAGCATCACCGAGTAACGTGATCCTACTCTTGGGCAACATTTCAGGGTCCATAGTCAACGTCCAGAAATGAATCGGCGGATGCTTCATCCCCTGCGGCCCAGTCTTCTCTACAATAGACCTAAGTTTGGGCGGCAGATGTTTGGTCTTATCAATCGCCGTCCCTGGAATCACCTTCATTTTTATTTGTTGGTTTGAGTGAAACTCTCCCTGATGGGAAATCTGGAAAGTACTATTTCAATTTGTTCTGGCGTGATGAAGATGCATCTAAGGACGGGTTTTGGCCATATTCAGCTAGTCGTGAGAAGCTGTATGAGACGGGCTCACGTCGACTAAATAACAGGAATGAGCCATCTCGAGTTGCCCTTCCATATCACTGCCACTCAATGTGACCTCTCCATTGATGATCCCTTGGCACGGTTTCCTGATCACATCACGCCCCTCTAGGAGATATTTCCTAGCTAACCCAGCGTCAGTGCATGCTCAGATATTGGTTTGCCGGACGGATTGAAGTACTCACTAGGGCTGTAAGGTCCTTCTGCACCGATGAGAATATCGCCACTAGCCGATGTCCCATCCTCGAAATGTGCCGTGACAACATTACGATTCTCTTCAATACGAACAGCATGCTTGCCGTATTGAATAGGCATATTAGTCGCTAGCCACTTTCGAAGTCGGGCACGGTTCGCACGGATGAACTTTCCGCTGCCATCGTCGCGAACGCCAAGCTTCTCAGTACGGTCGTGTCTATACCAGGCAAATCCATAGTGAAATTTCAGGGGAAGCAGATGGTTCACGAGGTCCCGCGACGGCATGTCATCCGGAATTGATGCGTCAAGTTCATCGAGCATACTTGGTACGAGCTGTCAGCTTTCGCAATACGCCAACTTGTGGAAGACTACGTACGTATGAAGGCCGATCGCCCAGCCCTAGACTCTTATGTTGTCGCTCCGGTCTCGTTCAAAGATCTCAAATGAGATATTATTCTTCCGTAGGATTTGGCCCAGCAGCAATCCTCCTAACCCACCACCTATGATCAAAATATGAGGAGAAGATCCTTTGGCCATCTTCCCTAACTTATTGAAGTGAGTGGTGTTTATATATTGCTAAAAAGGTCTAGGGTTTGGTTCTGGTAACGGCCAAGCATGTCCTTCATTCAAATTAACGCAAAGAGTTGAACATATCGACGCCCACATTATATACATACACTCACAGCTCGAAATAAGCCATATCGAGGAAATATAATCTAACAAAACTCATCCCTCGGGTTGGAGTTTCATAGATCAACTACACGATATTCTCGGGTCGGCCATACATACCTAGGTACTAGCCCGACGACCTGGACCTCCCTTGAAATGCCTGAATTAAAAAGGCACATTTAAATCTAGGTGCCAACATGAAGACTATTAGGCGGCTGTGCAGCAGTTCCTAATAACGCAATATAAATGTGCAATGATGATTGGCGGCCATTAATAGGAAATCTCAAGTCAACGAACCCTGTCAGATAGTCACATAACTTAGTGTTTTTGTCTTCAACTGTGTAGCTTATAATTTTCCAAGAAGTTAAAGCAAACACCCAGGGATTCCGAAGGATTCTCATGTTTCAAAATACACGCTTCCCTTACTTAGTCGCGCCGCATGTTAATCATAAGACTGCAACTGTTTGTTCATGGTCAATTAACCGATCTCAACGATGGAGAAACGGCCTAGCTCCACAAGGTCTGTATCTGCGAGCTACAGTTAATGATCGGGTTAAGGGGTCCCGCAATGATACCCTCAAGTTGTTACGGTTCTTACCATGAAATTTCCATGGCCAATTACCGTTTCAACATGCTTTATTACACCGGTAACGCCGAGATTATAAGCAATAAGTCCGGCCAGTGACCATTTTTAAGATATATTCCTTATGAACACGAATCCCGGACGCATAAGTTTGTTTCCCACACACACCAATCCGTGACTGACCTATAATAAGGCCAGAAAAACGTGCATATTTTATTCAAGACATTGAACACCGCTAGTACTAACAGTTACTTATTAAGAAAACGTGGCCACGAGCGAGGTCGAAAATTCCCAAAGGCCGCTGAGACAAGCGGCTCGATGCATGCCGCTTCGGACTGAGACACGTAGAGGCGACCATCACCACCTAATATGCGGGACGGCCGCGTTTTGATTCCTTGCTAGGTAAGTTAAATCCATGCACATGTTGCGCAGGAAACTGTTATCAGTTGAATATTTGCAAGCCACGATCCGGATCCAATTAGAAGGCTTAATCAATCAACTATGATACGTGGGCTGCTCTCTGCCGATACGTCATATATTGAAAGAGTGGTGAGAGCTTTTGCTTTTTACCACCCTTCAGCTTTGCTCCAACGCAATATTCTTTTTCGCATCGAAAACGCCGAAATACTTGGTATAATACGGTATTTTCGACTAGTCCTACGTATTAAACATTACCTCGTAAGCTCTAGCATTGTGCTAGGTTCTTCCTTAGGGTAAATACCGAGAGCGATGCAAGGTAGGTATTATACACAGTCGGGTGCCTTCAGGACAATTGCGGACGCCGGGAAACAGTGGCATACCTTCTTACCTAAGGTACCTACGAGATAACTCCTATAATATTCAAACCCCCATCGTACACCTTTAAGGAGCAACGAGGTAGGTTCTTGATCTTGAAGTATGGCGCCCGACCGCTTGGGGTACGATCATAGATGAACGCCCCATCAACAGCATAGCCTTTAGGATTGAAGAAAGCAATATGGCAGACCATAATTCTAATCATTAACAGCGAAGAGGCATGTGCAGAAAGAGGCGTGCTATTTTGATAGGTTATCTGGTGCATGTTTTAGTGATATTCATACAAGCGACACGCAGAGTATGTCCATAGGTATTTGTGCGTATACAAACAATTGCGTCGATTTAACTTTTTCGTCACATATCGATCTCGGTGCTTACAGGTGGTCGAGCATAGCAAGCAATCATTTCCTGACCAAGGCAAACGTCACTAAATTCAAGAATAAAGAAGCTTCCTACGTGAGAAGTTTAATGCGCAAAAAACTGGTTGTTGGTAACTCGGCGACATGGGTGAAGCCCAAACACGTGCTCGCTCCCCGGAACCTAGCGACTTGGCGAGCTTTGGCCTGTTTGACTCTTGCAAAAAACAAACATTCATGGCCGTATTGATACCATAGCTGAAAAGGTAAGTCTGGAGAAGAGATATCCTAGCCTGAAAGGTATAGCGATTTACCCCGTCCGGACATGGCTAACGCATATAATAGCATCGGGCTTTATCGTTATGCCGCGAAACCGAAGGACTTGTACGCAAAGCTAGATGTTAATTCTCTGTGTTGCTACATCGATGTCGAAGAACGTCGAGCAGCGACACCGCGAACAAATAAACCCATAAGTACGGCCAGTGTGATCTAAACCGATATTTTCTGATCTACCGCCGGCCCCAAGAATTGAACCCGTCATTTTTAGCGTCGTATTACGTTTCCACGAGTGTACCGGAATACTCTACCACTCCCCTCCAGAATGCCGAAACAATGGATTATAACCAGCCGAAGTTCTTCACGTATAGTAGGAGTCCCGCCAGAGTTCTTATTGTGGCATTGGGATCAAAAATACATCTCTTGGGGAGCATAGGCAACGTATAGTGCGCTCCTACCACCGACGCTTCACACAGTATGGTCTTGGGACCAGTGCTATGAGCGGTGTCTCATCTGGAAGATATAACCAAGGTAAACGTTCGCATGTGACGTGACCTGATCCACACATCATATGTAATACTGAGCTCCCGAAAATGGTTTCTAGCCGAGAGGTTGTGTAGGGAAGCGAAGGGGATTGCAATGCAATGCAGAATCACTTTTTTTCGCCAAGGCACAGTCAAGTGCCTAGGGAAACTGAAAAAAGCCAGCGGTATATTATGAACCTTCCATTCCAGCTATGTCGTTTGAATGCCTAGGTCTCTAGTTGACGTATTTAGGTACTCGTAGCAAAGCCAATACCCATGCCCCTATACGAAGGTACCGAGTTTGAGCTCCATCACAAGCATTAGCTTACCTCCAGTTTCACCTAGCCATCGACGCTGGGGCGGCCTAATAGTGGCCCATTAATCGAGGACGCCGGTGACATTGAGAATAAAGATCTCGTGACACGAGGCGTGGACATATACCTTAGGTAGTCGTCCCCCATTGAGCTCGAGAACATGAATACCATCTAGGTCTTTTGTCCACAGTACGTTCACACGAATATCTTTTGCTATTTAGAGCCGTAGGCGTACATCGAGGTGCGGCAATGTGCTCTTAAGACAGATATCATAGTAGTATGAGTCTATTGATAACTTTTTCCCGCCTCGTTAGCCAGTTTATCTCGTCAACTAGCAGAGGGGAATAATAAAGGGGGTAGAAGCCTTTCGCTAAACAGGCATTAGAACGAGAAGGAAATACATATGCGTTTAGAGATAAAACAAAGGAGAGCCGAAGGAACCAATTTCGAAGGAGTATATGCGATGCCATTGGAAGAACTAAAGCCAAAAAATGACTATGGTGCATTTTAAGCTGATTTTCCCTTGAGGTCTTGATGTTGTATATAGATATGTGTCTACTCGATTCAAGCAAACGTCTAGAACACAGTAATAGCATGGCTTTTTATAAAAGCTACATACACGTCGCGTCATCGCGTCTCACCATAAATTTCAAAGTCTTAGCACTTTCCAAGTCTTAAACACCCTTGGCCTACAATGTTCTATAGAAATAGTTCGCCATCAGAGGTAACACCTCTATGGATATATACAGTTTTAAGTATCCTTCTCTGGGAAAAACACGGCGAGTGATAGCTAGCTGTTAAGTCGTGGGGGCGATGCTCGCAGGGGAAACTAGAGGCCAACTACGCAACATTCTAAAGTCAAGATCAATGAACCTATACTAGAAATAAATCGCGCAACTACCCTCTACCAGGCCTAAAGATTAGGCCTTGCTAACCAGCCTTAGCCGTCTTAACTAGTTCTATACCCTCGTTCGTTCCATCATCCATCACGTAGCGGTTCCCCAGGGGCACCGTGGACTCCTGGACTTACAACATAAAACATACCATGATAGGGGGGAGCATCCAATAACGACGGGTTCGAAATGCCCTTCGGCAACGCATCTCAGAATCCTATTAGTTGCCATCATACAAACTGATATTGTCGATAATAATCGTAGGTCCGAGTATTAGACTTAGGTACGGATTATGCGCCGGATACAAGCGGGAAGAGGCCTTTAGTTCAGCCAAAAGGGGGCCGTAAGCTGACTGCCTTGAAAAATAGCTCACAAAGATTGATAATACGGCTGCTATTCCCTGGAGATTCTTCTTCCTGGATGACACACCCTTCTCACTCACGAGGAACCAACTATTTGACCATCATCCGCCCACCAATCGAGCCATACATTTAGTGTTCGTATAGTGAGCATGTTGTGTTTAAATATTGTCGTAGAAACAGCCATTCAGGACTCAAGATATTATCACTTCAGATATTGCGCCATGGTTTATTGCATTAGAATGTCAATCATATCGGTCATAGACGAACAACCACATTCCTTGGGAACCCTATGAAAGCTAGTCACAGTAATTCTATGATCCTGTTGTAAGTTAGGCACCACGAATAACAAGAAATAATAATATATAGTGACCCAAACACGTAATTACCCACGAAATAGCTGCCATACGCTCTTGCACAAGCAGTGAGTTTATCCAAGCTCACAACCTCGTATTCAAGCTATCAATATCTACCCAAAGATTCATCTACAACCACTAACAGGTCTAAGCAAGTTAGATTGTGAGGTTCTACCTAGTATATAACTAGCAATAGCCCGTGGTAGCGTGAGGGACAAGGCTGGGGAAATTCGCAGTTACACTTTTCAATAAGAACATTCAGGTTCGACGGCCATTGTAGATTAGATGTTCTCATCATTGCCTAGATGATGAGCTAATAGAAATGCAACGGGGATGAGAGACTTGAACAATTCTCCGCGGAGTTGGTGGGCTTCGACGCTATCCTAGCCCCCAAATGTTATTCTACCTCCCCAGTCATCCCAAGTGCAAGTACAAGAGAGAGGCATAACATGACAACCGAGGCCAGAACAGCGACCTGGGATACAGGAT